CGGTTGTTCTGACGCCCAATTCTGGAACTGAGCCATGAAGCGACGGGCTTCAGCGCCATCTTTACCCTTGAAAACCTCGGGTTTGTTCATGCTTGACTTAGAGGATGAGCGTTCCTCCATAGCTGTAGCAAGGTTAGCTACTTGTCTGATGAGCTGAGCCATGAGATCCTCCGCAGAGGTGTTTGGGGCAGGCGGGATAGGAGTCGACATGATGGGAGTAGGCAATCGGGGCTGGGGAATCGGCAGGAAGGTTATATTGCTCACAGTGAGTGGCTCTCGGATTGAGTTCGAAAGGGCGTTGGGGCAAGGTTGAGACTGGCAATCGCGCCAAGTATCGTCGTTGTTATGGGCGTGAGCTTGGTCTCTGGGGTCAAGTGCGTGCGGGAGTGCGGAGCAGTCTATACTGGCAACAGGTGTTTCAGAGTCGGGCGGAACTGGGGAAGACGTGGTGTCTATAGACCCTGCAAGGACAACCTTATCGGTAGGCTGTCAGTGCAGTAATGGATCTTGACCTAATGTCACGAAGCGGCAGAGGCGGAGTGACTAACGGAGCGGAAAAGCGGAGCGACTAAGCAGAACGGCGAGGCGGAGCAACTGGACAAGGCAACAAGGCGGAGCGACTAAGCAGAACGGCGGCAGGCTGGTCCCAGATAATGACAGAGATATATTGAGTATCGTAGTCATAGGTAATAATAAGTAAGCACATACCTGGTCCCAGATAATGACAGAGAGGTCAAGATAAGGGACCAGGCTGTGGAGGGTTGGCTATATATACATAATCCGGTCTGCGAGAAACAACGATGTAATACTGTACAGTTTAGGAACAAGGAAGGTGGCGGAAGCCAGTAGAAGGAAAAGATGAGTCAGGTGGATCAGTAATCGATGGATCAGTAATCGATGGGGGTTTGACAGTGATGGGATGATGTATCGTACAAGTAAAGGCGTCGAGACGGTGAGAAAAGGAAAATGATAGGGGCTGCGTACTTTATGACAGTTCCGCGCATAGATCACTTGCGTGTCTTTGGCTGTGGCGCGTACGTCTTTCTTCATGAAGAAGTACGGGTAAACAAACAATCGCCCAGGTCAGAACTAATGACATATCTCGGAGTTTCAGATGGTGGACACGGAAATATCTACATGCGGTCGAACAATGCAATGTTCACTGCTACGCAGTGTTTGACGAGAAATTATTTCCTCGTTGTAAATCCTCAGAGCGTCATCGCTCTACGCGACTACCAGATCGCAACCTAGATCCTAAAGATCCTATTCCTCCACCTGGTGATGATGATGTTCCCATCTTTCATCAACCTACTACTCCCCAAAGGAGACAGGATCCGGAGCAAGACGTTGCACCGCCTGTGCCAGCTGAACAGCCAGCACGAGATCCTAGTCTGCCGCCACAACCCCGGAATGAACAACCTCCTGCTGAAGAACAGTTGAGACGTTCAGGTCGTGCGCGGAGACCACCTACTCGTCTTACTGGTGATCCTAGAAGCAGCACTAAGCTTCCTACGGAACAACAGGTAGAGAGACCAAAGAGGGATATTCAGAGACGCGCAAAAGCTCCACAGCCAGGTAGCTCCTCGGCTGAGCAAGAACGCCCTGAGCCAGAACAGGTTCCCGGACCTAGTACTGAGCATCCTACTCCTGAAAATGGAGAACAACCCTCTGTCACTCCCGGTGACGAAGCTAATACCCTGATCAGACTATGTCAGGAAGGGGGAGCTGAATTAATATATTTTCTCATGGCTAAGGCCGTTCCCTTTGAGGGGGAGCTGAAAAGCTCTGAGAATGTCCGTGAATGGACTTACAAGGACATTACTCGCCTACCTAAGGCTGAGTGTGAGGAATGGCTTAAGGCCTGCCAAGAAGAGCTTGAAGCGCTCAAACGGCATGGTACTTTTGAACTCATGGATCGTCCAGCAGACCGAAAGGTCATTAAGAACCGCTGGGTCTTCGACATCAAATCTGATGGTCGTAAGAAGGCACGCCTTGTTGTCAAAGGGTTCTCACAAATTGAAGGTCTTGATTATGACCAAGTCTTCTCTCCTGTAGTACAGTTTGAGACTGTTAGACTGTTGCTCGCCTTGACTGCGCTGAACAACTGGTATCTCACTGGACTCGATGTTCGAAATGCCTATCTATATGGCGTCTTACATGAGACTATCTACATGGAACAGCCTGAAGGTTTTCGAATCAAAGCCAAAGAGGATAAAGTCCTCTTACTGCGCAAAGCTCTGTATGGACTGAAACAAGCAGGTCTTGTCTGGTGGCGAACACTGGACTCATACATGAAAACACTCGGCTTCAAACGCCTGAGCTCTGATGCAGGTATTTTTATCCGACGAGGAAAAGATGGCTCTCTAGTCATCGCCATCATCTACGTTGATGACGCACTCTTCGCTGGACCTGACAAGAAACTCGTAGATTCCCTTAAAGGGAAATTCATGTCACACTGGGAATGCAGAGATCTTGGTGAAGCCAAAGAATTCCTTCGCATGCGGATTAATCGTCATGGCAAAAAGATCTATATTGATCAATGCGCCTACCTTGACAAAGTCCTTAAGCGTTGCAGTATGGAAAATGCTAAAATGGCTGATACACCACTTCCTGCAGGGTTCCAACCTGAACCCACCATAGGCCAATCGAATTCTGCTCTTCGTAGCAAGTTTCAAATGGTTATTGGTTCCCTTCTCTACCTTATGTTGGGTACACGTCCCGACATCTCCTTTGCTGTTACCAAGCTTGCACAACATGCAGCTAACCCATCTCAAGAGCACCTTAACAAGGCACTCTATATTTGCCGCTACCTCCTAGGTACTAGATCATATGCACTTTGCTATGATGGTGAATCGGGTATCGGTCTCAGCGCTTGGACTGATTCGGATTGGGCTTCCGATCCCTATACACGCCGGTCACAGACTGGATTTTTCATGAAGCTTGCCAATGGCATCTTCTCTTGGACCAGCCTGTCACGAAGCGGCAGAGGCGGAGTGACTAGCGGAGCAGGAAGCGGGGTGACTAAGCCAGGCAGTGAGGCGGAGTGACTAAGCGGAGCGGAGGCGGAGCGACTAAGCGGAGCGGAGGCGGAGCGACTAAGCGGAGCGGAGGCGGAGCGACTAAGCGGAGCGGAGGCGGAGCGACTAAGCGGAGCGGAGGCGGAGCGACTAAGCGGAGCGGAGGCGGAGCGACTAAGCGGAGCGGAGGCGAACTGGTCCCAGATAATGACAGAGATATATTGAGTATCGTAGTCATAGGTAATAATAAGTAAGCACATACCTGGTCCCAGATAATGACAGAGAGGTCAAGATAAGGGACCAGGCTGTGGAGGGTTGGCTATATATACATAATCTAGTCTGCGAGAAACAACGATGTAATACTGTACAGTTCAGGGGCAAGGAAGGAGGCGGAAGCCGATAGAAAGAGAAGGTGGGTCAGGTGGATCAGTAATAGATAGATCAGTAATCGATGGAGATTGACAGCAATGGGATGATGTATTGTACAAGTAAAGGCGTCGAGACGGTGAGAAAGGGAAAATGATAGGGGCTGCGTACTTTATGACACAGCCATGCGCAGAAGACAATTGCTCACTCGTCTACAGAGGCTGAGTATATGGCATTGTCTGATTGCAGCCGTCAAGTGGTTTGGATCCATAATCTACTTGAAGAACTAGGCTATAAGCTTGACGCTATTCCTATTGCTGGAGACAATCAAGGATCCATTTTCATGGCATCAAATCCTGTCACTAGCAAGCACTCGAAACACATTGACATCCGGTATCATTATATCCGTGAAGTTGTCGAATGTGGCCTTGTGCAAGTATTCTTCGTAGATGGCAGTAACAACCCTGCAGATCTTTTCACAAAGAATCTTGGGCGTATCAAATTTGAGCTATTCCGCTCAATGCTTGGACTTGAGTTCTACTCGTCCACCAATCCTTAGGCTGTCTGCCCTGCCTGACGCCTACCGCTATTGCTTTGAGCAAAGTACTTTACTGTGCTGCTCAGCAAGGGGGTGTGTTGAACGCGGCTATGCTGTTCACATGCCACTATTATGATCATGTGTTATAATATGTCATATGTAGTCATATCTAGTTATTTACTATATGCGGATTCCTCAGTACTTCCTTATGTAATACTGTCATACAGTTATGTATATAAACAGGCCATATCCTGTACTGGAATTGAGCTTGCTTCTCTCTTACTTTTATTGCCTCACTGAGACACTAAGCTCTACTACCAGGTATGGTACTGGAGAGTGGTCCCACTACGCACTCCTTGCCTGCTCAACATTGTTGAGATGAGAAACAGAAGTAGAGAGATTGAGATAAAGAAACAGAGAGTAAAGAGAAAATCTATATAGTTAGCAGGTACAAAGGGACAGGGACTGGACCTATGCAAAAGGGTGTGTGTTCAAAATATACCAAGCTGGGGCTTGGGACGCTATGGGACTGCTTAAATAGGTACAGGGAAGTTAACAACAGAACAGTGCATAAACTGGGCAATCAAGATTGGTTACTAATGGGGATAGGGTGTTGTAATAGCTGGGGAGGTCCCTAGTCTGGTGGTGATGCCATGTTCCTGGGAATGGGTGTTGCTGTGAGTATTGGAGAATCAAGATATGGAGATAGGTAAGGGAGGTTGGGGGAGGTAACTGAGGAGCTTGGGGAAGGTGGGGAGTGGGTCAAGGCATGACAAAGCTCCTCACTGATGGATTGGCAACAAATCATCAAATTTGAAAAATCAACTGTACCCTTCTTGAGTGTGTTACAGCATGAGTCAGTCAGTACCATGTACTACAGCTAAAAATCCCTGCATGTATACGTCTTTCATTTCATATATTTTGCCCACTTGTGTGGGGCTAAAGCTCAGCCAAACCTCCTCGCGATTATTATTACTTCAAATTCTCATTTCATTCTGTCGAATTATGTAGCCGCCTGGCTTATCGGGCAAATTGAAATTCGCACCAGCGCTAGAATAAATTCAACTTCTTTTGTTGCCATGTCTGATCTATATCGATCTACTCTCAGTGCTCGTCTTGCTAAATTGCCAGCAGACATACCTTCCAACATCGACATAGAAGATGAAGACGAAGAAGTTGGAGATTTACTCGGCTCTCTGCCAGGCAGTGGCCTCGGTCCTCCTGCAATGCAAGTCTACGATATACAGCCCTGGAAATTTCTCTTATATCTCCGACTGTAAAGGCCTTCAATGTCGCATAGAACGAGGAAAGCGAAGAAAGAGCCAAACCCTGCTTTTGCGCCGATTTCAGCCAAGAGCTTTTTCGTTCAAGCTTTCCAGGTAGCGTTGCCGAATAGGAATCTTGATTGTAGGGTGTATTATACACCTCCGAAGTTTGCCAATGGGACAGTCATGGTGTGTCAACATGGAGCGGGCTATTCAGGCTTGTCTTTTGCGTGTATGGCTAAGGAGATCACGGACCTGTCTGGAGGAGAATGTGGAGTGTTGGCTATAGATGCCCGTCGACATGGTAAACTCCTTTGATCACTTCTTGGGACGGGATTCTTATCTTTGTCTTGAAGGGAAAACGATGTCCACTTCGGACCAGCCAGATGAAGATCTTTCTATCAGCGTATTGGTTGATGACTTTGTTGGGGTGGTCCAGACGATTTATCCAGATGCTCAAGCATCACCGAATCTTATTGTGTGTTACAACCTCATTTGTCTATAAATTCCTGCTAATCGATATCCAGCTCATTGGCCATAGTATGGGTGGATCAATCGTCACTCGAGCCTGTACCATATTACTCGATAGAAAGTACACGATCGGTGGCGTAGCTGTATTAGACGTCGTTGAAGGTAAGCTCGGCAAATCCTTGCCTTGAGCATGCTGAATCCTGATTGTGTACATAGGCTCTGCGATTGAAGCTCTTCCTCATATGAATAGTCTTTTGAATGCACGACCAGACGGATTTGACAGCGTAGAGGAAGCGGTGGAATGGCAGTGAGTTCCTCGCTGAATTCCATGACCCGTGTACTATGTGTCAATCACTCGATGTCTAGCCTAAATACGAAAGCCATACGAAACCCAACGTCTGCCAGAATCTCTATTCCAGCAGTCATTTCGCCCTCCGAAAGTTCTTCTCCGATTGTCCCCCCTTTCATCTGGCGCACGCCTTTGCGCTCAACGGCTCCTTACTGGCAAAGTAAGTGCGATCCTCCTCAGTCAGATCGTCAGATGAAAATTCTACAATAAATCACCCCACAGGTTGGTTTGTTGGCCTGTCTCACACATTCCTTAACGTCCGCACTGCGAGGCTCCTCGTTCTCGCTGGTACAGACCGGCTCGATAAAGAGTTAATGATTGGACAAATGCAAGGCAAATTTCAGATGATCGTCGTGCCGGGCACTGGGCATATGTTGCACGAAGTGTGTTTCTTTTCCTTACTTTCCCAGTTTCGCGCTGAAGCTCTCTCAGGACGACCCCACCCGACTAGCAGAGATCATGGTGGATTTCTGGAGAAGGAATGAACGTTTGGTGATTGGGATCAAGAAAGTCGGAGAGGCTTAATTCTTTGTTCGATCATATTTGCTCTCTATCTACAGAACATAAACATATGTTACAATTAGGAAGTTCATGAAAGTACCGCCTCTGGCAAAATGATTAAGGAGCACCCCGTTTTCCGAACTCGAAACACTCTACCAGACTCCGACGGGTCCCCAAGTACTTATGTGGGTGGATACAGTGACGCTAGACATTCAGGTCCTATCTCATTCAATGTTCAACGTAGGCTGGGCACACAAATTCATGCTGCGGGAGGCTGGAGGTTAGTATAATGAAGGCAATATCATAATTTGCGGTTACCTACCAGGCTGTACCTGGAATACTTCATTTGCGGGTAAGGGGTAACGCCTGGTAACTCTGTATTGTGCGACCTGATTCTATGACCTGGAATGTATAGGATAGACTGCAGTAGCCAAGCAGTAGTGCAGGGATACTGTCCGACAAACTTTGAGGAGGTGTTATTCGGATATCCCGTCGGAATGTGTATATAGGGAACCGGGTGTCGGGATTCTGCTGTCGGGATTTCGTTGTTTCATCTCTATAAAGAGATGCAACTCCAACCAGGATGTTAAAGATGTTAGTGATAGATGGTGAGCTCGGATGAATTGGAGATCACTAGATATTCGACATCGCCTGGACAACGCATCGGCATTACACGAAACTTGACGAAAGGCCTTGTCCGGTACGTATATTCGCGGTATGACATGTGCGTCCTTGTACGGCCTCGTTCTACGGTCTCCAGAGGTCTCCTCGGTACTACTGCCCAGTATTGCCGTTCGAAGTGCCTTACTGAAGAGAAGCTGGTTTTAACTTGGTCAATTTGTGCATCGATACAGCTCGATCCAGTCTAGTAGGACACAGACTCTGGTGCATAATCGAAAAGTAATATGAGCTCAAGCCTCAAGCTCAGCAGTATCGTTTTTTCAGAAACCCAGCTGTACGATGATGTCTTTTTTAGAAACTAGATCTATCCTACCTATTATCTAGATCTTGCTACCAGAATTTCCGGTGTTTTGAGAACAGAGTGGGGGATGGCAAATGCGCGTTGGCTACATATATATTCCACGATGCATTGCCATTTGTGACTTTGCAATTGAACTTCGAATAGGCTAGCCCATCGTTTCTGTTGGTCATTGGGCGCGCAAGCACGCCATTTATACAATCATGTCATGACTCTTACCACGAAATTTTTCTCCGTGCTAATACTCAGTACATAACCTCTTGTTTTATACTCTATTCTTCTTTTGCTCTCCTTTGCTTTCCTTCTATCACTGCTAGGACGCTCTCAGTGCGAATACTGACCCAATAACAAGTCAAAATGAGCCCCACAATCGATACGAAAACCCCCGCTGTCCACCATGATCTACCAACCCCAGATCCTGAGTCACCTACAAGAACCCGTCAGCCATACAAGTTGTCGACGTTGTGTGTTGCGGTTGAAAATCCGTCGATGAAGGACCAGTATGGAAGTAGCTCTGTGCCAATCTACCAGAGTGCGACATTCAAAGGCGTTGGGAACGAATACGATTATTCCAGAAGTGGTAATCCAACACGAAGTCATCTAGGTCAGTATTCTTATTTTCTCATTTTTCTTTAATAATGAAATTTCTATTCAATAGAACATCATATCGCAAAGATATCATCTGCAGCACGCGCGTTCGCTGTTTCTTCGGGAATGGCTGCCCTAGATGTCATCTTGCGCTTGCTCAGGCCCGGAGACGAGATCATCGCTGGTGACGATTTGTACGGTGGAACCAACAGGCTACTTACCTTTATCCGTACCCATGTCGGTGTCACCGTCCATCACGTAGACACCACAGACCCCAACGCCGTCATTCCTTTCATCCACCCGACTAAGACCGCCATGGTCCTCCTAGAGTCTCCTACGAATCCTTTGCTCAAGATCGCTGATTTGGCGCTTATCAGTAAAGAAGTCAAGGAACGTGCGCCGAATGCTATCGTCGTCGTTGACAACACGATGATGAGTCCGTATCTACAAAGGCCTTTAGAGCATGGGGCAGATATTGTTTATGATAGTGCTACGAAGTATCTGAGTGGACATCATGACTTGATGGCCGGTATGATTACCTGTAACAGAGATGACCTCGCCAAGGTGCTGTTTTAAAGTTCTTCATGCTTTTTGATATCTTCTCTTACGTCGACTGTTTTTCCCTTCTTTTAGCAAATAGCTTTTACCATAAACAGTGTTGGCAACGCCCTAACTCCAATTGACTGTTTCCTTCTCCTCCGAGGGGTAAAAACGATGGCTGTGCGTATGGATCGCCAACAGGCGACTTCTCAGCTCGTCGCTACCTATCTGCATTCACTCGGATTCAAAGTTCATTACCCTGGCCTCCCTGACCACCCTGGCCGGGAAATTCACCAACGTATCTCGGATGGTAATGGAGCCGTTCTGAGTTTTGAGACAGGCGACAAAGAGCTCAGTGAGAAAATTGTTGGAAGTACTAGACTCTGGGGAATCAGCGTAAGCTTTGGTTGCGTGAATAGCTTGATCAGTATGCCCTGTGTCATGTCGTACGTGTTTTTCTCTACTACTAAGTACACCGGATTTCTAAATACACTGGATGCGGGTTTTTCCCTTTAGACACGCTTCAATTGATCCAGCGATACGCGCTGCCCGTGGTCTACCTGAGGACCTTATTCGTTTGTGTGTCGGCATAGAAGATTCTTCAGACCTTCTAGACGACCTTGAACACGCCCTCGTAGATGCCGGAGATATCGCGCTTAGTGCTCAACAAAATAAATATGTCCGCGTCCCACCTGGTCATGTTGCCTTAAACAAGGCCGTGGAACAACTTGCCATCGGAAGCAGTAACAGCAGGGGAGTAGAACATGAGTGGTTCGTTAGTGCTCCTGGAAAGGTTATTTTATTCGGTGAACATGCCGTTGTTCATGGTGTGGTAAGTAACACAATTCTGTTTTCAGTCTTATTTTTTCTCCGCGCTCTTTTTGCGTTTTCTGACTCTTTTCCTTTTCAGACTGCGATCGCAGCCTCCGTAGACCTTCGGTGCTATGGCCTGACCACACCGCGAAACGACGGCAAGTTGTCTGCTCATTTCAATGATATCAACGATTTCCAAGCTGAGTGGGATATTGAATCGTTACCGTGGGGCGCATCAGCGCCACTCGGCCACCATGAAAGACACCCAGAAGACCTGGATCAGCAGTTGATTGAAGCCATTCATGCAGGCCCATTGAGAGAACTTGGTCCAGATAAAGATCAAGCACGCAACGCTGCACTAGCCTTCCTTTACATGTACATAAAACTAACGAACGCTGAGAGGTATGTAGTGTATCTTTAAAAGCACTTCCCTACCCTTATATCTTGCCTCGAATTTCTCCTTTCAACTTTCTGCTACTGATGGCTGACTACCTGATCTTCCTTTCTCTTTTCTTCGCTTCTATCAGACCCTCGGTGCATTTCGATGTACGTGCAACTCTGCCTGTTGGTGCAGGCCTCGGATCTTCAGCATCCTTTTCTACCTGCGCAGCTACCGCGCTCCTCCTGCTCTCTCACCGCGTCACTCTTCCCTCGATCCCTCCCCCCATCTCCGCGGAACATTTGCACCTCTCGCATCATGGCCGACACGCCCTTGAAAAACACAATGCTGAGGAGGCGAACCGTTGGGCGTTTATCGCAGAGAAGATCCTGCATGGAAACCCGAGTGGAGTGGATAATAGTGTTGCGGTGTTTGGTGGTGCGCTGACGTATAACAGACCTGGATTTGGAAAGCCAAGTGGAATGGAGAGTATTCAAGGGTCAGTTTGGTAGAATTGCCGGTTGTTAAAGAAATATCTGGCTAATCTTCATGATAATTTGTAGATTTGGCTCTCTCCGCTTCCTTCTGACTAATTCCAAGGTCCCTCGAGACACAAAGAAACTTGTTGCAGGAGTGGGTTTGATGAAACAGGAGGTATATCTTCTCGTCTTCATCGAGCAAAGGCATAATCCTTAATCACATCCGACCAGCAACCTGAAGTCGTTGGTTCCATCCTCGACTCTATCGAAAACATTAGTGCTCAGGCCAAGCGGTCGTTGGCTGATTCAACCGAGTTCGGACGCGAGAACTTACTTCGGGATTTATCGGTAAGTTGGGCATACCCATTTTACTCATCATATCATTTCTCATGATTTCGGTGTTCAAACTCTCTTCCAATCTTCCTTCCCTGCTTCCCTACCACCGCTCTTAGGTTATGATTAGTGAAAACCATAAACATCTTGTTTCCCTCGGCGTTTCTCATCCCTCGTTGGAGATCATTAGAGAGAAGACTGCAGCTCCTCCGTATAATCTAAGCACGAAACTCACCGGTGCTGGCGGTGGTGGGTGTGCCGTGACCTTAATTCCTGACGGTAAGCATCTCCCCTGTCCTTGTTACTCCCCGGGTGTTTCTTATCTTCCGTTGTCTTGCTCGAGTCAAGTGACCGTATAACTGATGCTCTGCTTTAATCATCTAGATTTCAGTGATACGTCCATGAAAGATCTGCTCTCTGAACTCACCGAATGTGGCTTCGATCCTTACTTAACATCAGTGGGGGGAAGTGGGCTGGGCATCCTGTCGCCTTATCCAGAGCATAGAAATACAAGTGCGAAGGATATCCATCCAGGACAAGTGACACCGCCTGAAACACCAGACGAGCCGAATACTTCAGATCCAAGAGACTCAATCAAGGCATCCTTCGAGACTAAATCATTGTTGGAGCTCACTGGATGGGCTCAAAATTTGGGCAAATGGCTATATGTTTAGTATGATGCATTTGTAGTTCCCGTGTAATTTGAACTTTTTTGTTTTTGAGATCTGCCGCCTTATATGGTTTAGGATAACCTTCATCCTCGGAGCGACGCTTTGACCAAGAGTTAAGAAGGTTGATTATTCTCAGCGTTCTACACAATGGCTACGTGATTCCTAAAACAAGTGTTCATTAGGATATTATTGTATTTGGTTGGTCAATTACAAGTAGTAGTGGAATACAAAGTACTAGGAAGACAATGGACAGAATAATACAAGCCACGTCAAATTTTGAGTATCTGCTCGCTCGTTAAGAAGACTCATTTGTAATTCCAAACTATATTATTCGCTTTCAGAACCAGAGTCACTTATCAGTTCTTCCGGAGACTGAGGGCTGAGATAGACAATTCCAGTCTCTTTGACTTCCAAAAATCGAGCTCCAAAGTACCGTTGCGTTTCGAAACTCCAGCTGTGAGGATATAATCAGATGGGTGATGACAGTCTCTTGATAGAACAAATATCACTCACTCGAGATTGCCTCGTACCCAGTGAGCTGTTGCATCCATATAGCGTGCAACGCCGGCATCAACCTCAGGGCCCCACGATGGTATACGCTTTCGAGCATCCAGATAACGATCCATGAGCACCTTGAAGTACAATCCGATATAGTCAGAAGCTGCTTGCAGTTCGATATTTCTGTCTTTCATTAGTACTGTTACAATGTTGTTGCCGCTTAGGCCTTTTCTTTGCTCCATGTCGTATGAGTACACATCCTAAATCCAAACGGATAACGTTAGCATAGATGATTGTACTCGAAAATAAGCTCCTTACATTTGCCCAGCAAACCATGTCGGCGGCAGCCCAGTATGCTTCCATGAAAGTGGGATCGTCAAAAACTTTTTGTGGTAGATCGAGGCCGAGGACATATTCGAAAAGCCCAAAGCATAGTCGAATGGCACTGTTTTCTCGACGCAGGTCGATAAATGATGTAAGGTCGAGGACCTCCCCTTGTTCACGGAGCTCAGCTTCTCTTGAGACGCATTCTATATAGTCGTCGCAGTGTTTTAAAAATCTTCTCGCTGTATCAGGACCAGCTAAACTCATGTATCGTTTTCTGAAACTGAAAAAGGTCACATTTGAACTGTATTCCATGCACATAACGAGGGTCAACACATACTCTTTGGTGATTTTGCATAATGTCGATCCGTCGTCAAAATCTGGGTCTTGCATTGTATTCAGATCTAGTTGAGCTGTCAGTTAGGCTGAAATTAACAGAAGCAAGCTATGCGTACAGATCTGTCCGGTGGCGCGAGCATCTTTGCCATTCTGGTCGTCACTAACTTCATCAACAACGAAGAGCAGGTTGACAAAATCGCAGCAAGTTCTAAATTGTTCATACCTGAAGTGATAATTGAAGTTGGTAAGATAGAACTCATCAAAATATTATCTTACCCAGCATAAGGGTATGTATGCGCCACTAGTAATTCGTTGCAACCTTGCATGAAGAACGCTTTTTTTCGGTCGGTGAAGACATTATAACTGTTGATCCAATCAGCGGACTCTGCCCCGGCCTCCTTGTAATGCGGGTTTGTATCTCCCTCCAGAGGGCAGACGACAAATAGGTCGGGAAGAGTAAAATGTTGAGGCTGGTTCATGGAAAGTAGAGGGCGTAATCCGATAATATTTTGACTCTACTAACATACCTTTTATATGGTCAGTCAGGGTCTCGTCGGGTCGGGATAGTATCCTGTGAGAAAGTTCGCCCCCAGCCACGCAACGCTGCAAGTCCTCAGAGGGTAGCTCAAAGATCTGTAGATTTCGATGTTACATGTAGATTAGGAAGGGAAGGTCTTGCAGCGTGGCTTCATTTCCGGGTTTGTCTAATTTGATGTGGATGCACTTATCCGAAAGCACCAACGTAGAAGCTTGAGCTACTAAGTACATCAAAGTACATTTGCCCTGAGTAGAGGCCGCCGTCCTTGAGAGGTTGATCATATTCCGATTTTTCGTGACTATCTGGACGGATCTCCCGGTTTTCGAAATTGCGCATAGAATCGTCAAAGAAGGATGAGTTCCATTATATATTGCTACAGTCGACTCTCTCTTAACCCATATCCCTCCGTGGAGGTCCAGACCTATGGGTTATGGGGGAGTATGGGTTTATGGGGTGGTCACACCAAGTGACATGCGTGACGATTTGCCTAATCTAGAGCTGTAACACCCCATACATGGGTTATCATGGGTTATGTTAGCTCAAAATTAGTGTAAATCGACCATTTTATTGGTTTTGTATTGATTTTGTGCCAATTGTCTACTTACTGATCCCATTTTGGGAGTATCAAATGCGATGATAGCAATCAAGGTATGGGTTATGGGTAAAAATATAGCGGAGAATACCCCCAAAAAGGTATGGATTATGGGGTATGGGAGAGTTATGGGTTATGCATGGCATTTCTCTGCAAACGAGGTCGGTAACCCAGAAAATGTATGGAGTATAAGGGAGTATGGGTTTATAGGGGTATGGGTTAAGAGGGAGTCGACTGTACATCTAAGGAAGGAAAAATCTCCCATCTACACGTACCTCTACGTACCTACTGTCATATTGCCTCAAGTCCGATTTGAACCAGGTTCACGACTGTTCAATTAAAACACGCATGCGTTCCAACCGCGTTTCCATCACATTCGTAGCAAAACGGATGCGACAAACGAAGTATCTCAACTCTCAAGAAAATAACATCCGACCCATGCCATACCGACGCGGACCGTGTTTTCGACCGTTCACAAAATAATCTAGACCGTTCTAAGCCGTTTTACAAGACAAAGAGTGCTTAGATTGACGAGGCCACGCCGCGGTACTGGGAGTCGTTAACTTAAGCTTAGTTCATGGGTGGGTCAGCGAGGAGACGCCGTTTAAGGAGAGGAACTCGCTTACTTACATATTATAGCACAACCTCTAAAAACATAGCAAGTTGAGTAAGTATGAATTGAAGTCCTTGCAGATTGAATTCACATCTTACACGTTGCCGGACCAGAGGATGAAACTGCATAAGCAGGTCGTTATTTGGGCCTTGGCTGGGTGCAAGACAAAGCGGAGATGCCGGTTGGCAAAAAGGAGATGAGCCCAGGATGAGCCGCAACGGTCAACGGTCAACCTCACGACTTCCAGGGTCAACGAACGTATTTTCTTAGATTTTCTTGCTATCGCAACGTGCTTGACAGAATCCGGCATGGCATTCATTTTTTGAGTAGGAGTCCGAATGACGTGTCAGGAAAACACGTTGAGGTAAGGCCAAACAATCCGCGCCGATGGACAAGCCGCGGAACCGTAGGTCAAGTTCGTGGAAAAGAGCTGCGGGCATGTACCATTAGGTGCCATTTCCGTTGTAATCGATGTATTGAGATAAAGACTGACTAGCATCTGCCATCTGCCTTATCACTAAAAGATTGGACCCACATTCTATCCAACAACATGCGCCAAAAACAGGAACGAGTGTTGAAGGGTCGGTGGAATCCGAATGGTACAAGGAAGAGAAAAATAAACATTTATTTACTGCAACTTCTTGAAATGAGTGAACAGCGAGTGGAATTGGGTTTAAATAGGTTTGAATGCAACAAATACCGTCCGAAAACATCGCGCTAGCACGAAAGCGGTCGCAGATAATTCACATCCTAGACCCCATCTTCAAACGGGGACGTGGGTATGCGGTTATGACAAACGGCATCCCCCAGTCCCGAAAATTGAAGCTGAAGTTCGAGCGTCGGCGCGATGAGTCTCCAAACATGACGAAGTAGATCTTGAATTTCCGACGATGAGAAATGAGCTAGATCTTTGCATAGAACACACTGACAGTGTGGAGAAGATCTGAATGTCGGATGGTTCTACTGAAAAGAAGGCAATCAGTAGAAGACGCAATATAAATCAGTCAGAGATCTTTGCTATTGCTGAAGAATCTCGAAAATATAGGGAAAAAAACATGAGGTGACAACGTTCCGTGAAGGGCCAACTACCGCTGATACCAAATTTCCAACTCGGATCCGAGGTCAAAGAAAATTCGAAATTAGGTGTAGAAATACATGCGGTTAGCTCATTAGGACACACACAAAAGGGAATAGACCAAACGAGCGGATGCTCAAAAACATATCCGGTAACTAGCATAACGCCCACTGGTTTCACTTGGTCTTGTGATTTTCACGACTTGTCCTCGCCTTAATCCATAATAGCGCGCGACAGGATCAGCCAGCTGGATACGAGGCAATTGCGTTTCCTTCAATCGGCTACACAAGAACAATCAGGGTGAAAACATGCGAAGCAAGGAAAAACGAACTATTTTTCCAAAAGTACTTTCTTCTCAGATGGGGATAAAACCTGATGACGGGGTACCAATGAATGATGTGTTATGTTCACAAGCAAATCGGACTCTGAGAACTCCTCTAATCGGAATTGTGATGCCATTGCGACGATGACCTACGACAATTCATCAATGGGCTTGACCATCGTGCTGAAGACGGCAGTCTCACTTTTCGAGCGGATGGTGTCATATTGCCAGGGAAAACAATGATACCCTGCTGGATACCTTTTTCTTCGAGAATTGAAAGCATTCTAAAGGGAGGGGAAGTTCAGCTATAAGTGATAATTGATACAGCATATCACGCACTTTCTCATCGTCTTGACGCCCACGCTTTTTTCATCGGAAAAGAAGATAAACAACTGTTCAGCGGGGTTGACCATCGAATTTGAGAAGAAATTCAGTTGATTGCGGCTATGATTGAATGTTAGACAGTATTACAGTGTAAAGCAGCGATAACTCACTCAACAAACCCGCTCTGATTCGAAAATGACTGGCGAAACGTCGCCAGGTCCATGTTAATCTCCTCGTCTGAGACTGAAAATCCCTTGGAACTCGTCACATTAGGAAGAGAAGATTTCAAAAGTAACTCACTCTATCCTGCACCAGCTCATGCATGGTTCTGTTGACTTTCCATAGCTTAGCGCTTTCGTCGGCGTCAGACATTGGGCAGGGGAATGAAGAAGGGCTGGATCTGGGCTGGACAGTGGACAGAGGTGGGAAGAAAAAAGCGCCGGTCGAAGTAAACAAAATTTTGACCCGGACATTTTCATGGTTATGGCTCCCTCGATCAATGCCAATAACGGCTCTTCTCAGCCCCAGCTTACTTTAAGCAATGGAACTATGGTGAGTTGAAAGTAATGAGAGTTGTTAATCTTCTTAATAATAGTGGTTCAGCTGAAATTGAAACCATCGAGGATATTCAAAACTGCCGTAGAGAATCCAACAGTATCTCCTGGACGACCTTCTTTCGGCCCTCGACATATTACTGGTATATGCTTCGATGATAGAGGGGATCAGCTACTTACTGCGGCTGAAGACGAAACGTTTCGATTGTACAATTGCAAATCTGGCAAGTGAGTTCTCTCATCATCGTCACCTTTCGCTTTGCTGATTATATTTGGTGTCTTTAATATTGTAGACACTTGAAAACGCTTCAATCAAAGAAGTATGGAATAGATCTGCCACGATTCACACATAAAAGCACGGCCATAATTCACGCCTCAACAAAAGAGGACGACGGAATACGCTACCACTCATTGCATGACAACAAATATCTTTCATATTTTAAAGGTCACAAAGGACGTGTAATATCGCTTGAGGTGTCGCCTGTGGATGACGGATTCATGTCTGGCTCCCTGGATAAGACTGTGCGACTGTGGGATTTACGCGCACCAAACTGTCGGGGTTTACTCACTCTTCCTGCACCTCCGGTCATAGCCTATGATGCTTCTGGCTTAGTCTTCGCCGTCGCTGTCAATCATTACTCCAGAATACTTTTATATGATCAGGCAAACTACGACAAAGCACCCTTTCTTGTCATCACGCTTGAAGACCTTACACTAACCCTCATCAGTTATCCACCGAGACCTATATATATGACCTCGCTTTCATTTTCATCCAATGGAAAATATCTCCTGGTTGGATGTTCCGGGGACGCACATTATATTCTCGATGCATTTGGCGGTCATCTGATCGCAAAGCTAGAAGGCCATGTCGGGCTTGAACGACGGTCGGTTGCAGCTGCACTTACTATTCAACCTGACAAAGGATGTAGTGGCGAAGAGGTTTCTTGGACTCCGGATAGCAAATTCATCGTAGGTGGAAGCTTGGACGGGAAAGTACTCGTTTGGGATGTCCAAGATCTACAGGTTCCACAAGGTCCCGTGAACTTGAAGACTGCCCCGCGACAGATATATCCTTTGATCGCTCACGATGGTCATCCTGGAATTTCTAGATGTGTCAAATTTAATCCCCGACATGGGATGATGGCCACAGCTGGAGCAGAATTGGTAGGTTTTCCAGTATTCTTCAATCTCCCTTGAGGCTGATCTTCCCATTCGACAAGGCATTTTGGTTACCAGATACGGCGCCAGAATCTGAGGAGGTTGCCCGCGATCTTCTGAAGAGGAAAGCAGCAGCGTAGAATACAAGTCTAAATGTACTAATTAATAATACATTGCACATAATGATTCAATGCAGTCACGTGGATACATTGCCGGCGACGTGGCACCGGTGAACGTATTTCTTCTTGCTCAGTGCTCCGTTCACGTCAATTTGGCATTGGTCGTTTTCCTATGCGTTTCTTCTCTCTGCTTGCTGCAGCTCTGTCTGTCGCCTCTTTGGCTTCCTTCGTGTCCGGAAACGATGAACTGGAAGAGGAACAAAGTTCGCGAATCATTCACGCTTGCATATTGGTTCACTCACGATCATAATTTCACAGTTATCATTGAGACGGAAGATGTAGAGCCTCGATTTCTGGCAGCAGCAGCTTGGCCTGAAAGCAATCCATTCGGACGTGTGTCACTGCGCTTCACTAAACAATATCTGGATATTCATATTACACACAGATGTCGTTAACGGCGAGAAGAACACAATCGGCGTATTGGTAGAGAACAGATTAAACCGTAATACGACTCTTTTGAACGTTGCGGGGGCTTTCTATCAGCCAGACACGGATGTTCTGGTACGAAACGTAAGTTACTCTTTCGGACTCTAATGGTGCATTACCTCTTATCATTATGTTGACACGTTCAGCTGAGTGCGATGACCTACAACCTTGAATTGATTGACGGTGTCAAATTGCAACTCCCCTATGCCTTCTTTAGCGAGTGCGTGTCCTTTTAAATCTTGCACAAGACCTCACTGAATATTCCTGCTTTCAGATTTAAGGTATGACCGATTAAATCTCCAACGTACGTCCTCATCATCATACGAATGCTTTGGTAGGCTGGGGACCTTCGCCTTATTGTTTGGCTTGAGCATTCGGACCAGGTAAATCATGTGTTGTCGTCCCGTATATATATTTTACCGTACCGTCATCCTTGCATAGGGTGAGAATCAGCGAGTCGTCGCCTACGATTCCATTGTCACGATCGTTGAACCTGAGGGATCTTGGTTTGACTTTAAGTTGTAAGCTCCCATCCACGCATGCCTTGAATATATTATTGATGGTTAAACAGGCTCTCCACTTATCTGGTCGTCTCCGGTCTCGTCGCGGGTCTGGGTTACTTCACTTACTTGACTTTTGTTCCCCAACCAAAACGGTCACGCAAGGCCGCAGTGAGTGCTCCTGTTGGTACTGTCACCGCAACTGGCGCAGGTGGATATCAGGAGGAGTGGATTCCTTCGCACCATCTCCGCAAGAACAAAAAGAAGAGTGGTGTGGTTAGCAGTGGGGACGAATTAAGCGGCGGTGAAACCAGTGGGACTGAAGGAAAGAGACGGAAGGGGAAAAAATAGCGGTCGTACCACAAGCGTAAAAAGCTGAAAATGGGCCATCTTTGATTGTTTCAATCAGGCGTGTAATCTCATTCATCGTATTACACCACGCAAAAATGAGATTTAATTATTTAAATTTACCCAAAGCACGTTATGCATGGGCACACCACACGGACCACCTAAATCCATATATGACAAGAGACAAGACTTGAGAATTGGAGTGTGCGTGTGGCGATTTTTATTGCAATTGCAGTAGAGATTGGTCGCATTTCCTTGCAGCGTGTGATGACTGCATGTTGCTGTTACGCAAGTTGTCGATTATCTCCCACTCCAGGTCCTCCAAGGTGGAGATTCAAACATTGGGTACACTCCTTCAGTTGCATCAGGGCTAACATTTGGATTACAGACCTGTATGGTGCATAAGGGTACATAAGGGTACATACTACTGGAACACAACCTGGGGACCGTGTCGGACTCCGTCTACCCTATCTGGAAGCTCAGAAACGAAGAAACGAAAATGACAATCAGGGCCAGAGGGACCAGGGCAGTAAATTTCGAGGAATTCACCTCCGCCCTGGGAAATGTTGTCAACTTGTAAGGTGCTAAGCTGTGCTAAGGCACTCAAACTTGAGACCCACATTTTCTAATGTAGGAATTCCAATTCGTAAAAAAAAACAACCTCTTCGATTAGAAGTTCGCCCACTCAATCCATAACAAGTATTCGAATATATGTATCAGCTTTCCTGCCTTTCTGCGATCGGCATTAGGTCGGTAAGCGGTTATTTTTATCTTCTCCGTCCGCTCATTTCAATTCTTTTCAATTGCCTTACTGATATTTCAGTATCTACCTTCCGGAGGTTGCTGCACAACGTTCCGAAGTGACCTCCATTGAGGCATAGCCAACCCTGCGCTCGATTTGTACGTCCTAACCTGTCCTAACTACCTTTAGACCTTCTTACTCTTTTTCTTAATATCCCAACGCGGATACTTCCTTGAAAGTTCGTATATCTGACTCGCGCAGATCCCCGAATTCCAAAGGAGTATTATTTGTGGATTAATACATGCTAGGCACCTACATATCGTAACTGAGCGAGTATGGCTAGCCCCGCTCAACTCTGGCGAGTGTACATAGGATCGCTCCTCGTGGCCAAGCACACTTCCGACTTCCGGACGGTGGTGGTGTTTTTCTGGAATGCGTAGGAAAGATTTCTTATCGCTGACAGCTGGAAACTCAGTCTCTCCAGGATCCCTTCATCACTTCAAGGTTCGCACTACATATAGCTCTGTTGGCCTTGAGCTGCAGCCTGCAAGAAGCCTTTAACGTGGCTCATAGAGTGACAATGAACACCTGGTGGCTACATAACCACCGACGATGCACTCGGACTTTTTGATGAGATAAATTGTCATACACAACTTATTTACTCCAAAACGCTGAACTCGACTTGAAGAACAGGACTAGGTCTCACCACCTTCGTATATCTAATCCCAATGCATACATGGTTTCCATTTTGAGTCTTTCTTGTTTCATTTGAGCAGATTTGAGCAGTTCAATTAGGGCGGGCACCGCAGGAATACTGGCTCCCTTCCTCCTCTCCTCTTCCGACGCTTCCCAGTATATTTCATATCTATCTTATTCTATCCAAGGCTTATGGAGGTCCAGGATCGGACGGTCAACAGTACACTTGACCCCTTTAATCCGGTGTCCTTGCAATCTCTTTGAGAACAGCCAATGTGTGAGGAAATGTTTGAGAGAAGACAATCTCAACCTCGTACACAGAGTCACTTGCGATGCGCGGCAGAAGCTGCTCGTAGCAGTATATGAACATTGTGTGTTCGCAGTGCCTGGGGATGTAAAAATCTGACCGTAGACTACATAAGATACGTAGATCAGCGTCCAAATGCTGCTGTGTATCTAAATTCGAAGAATAAGCGCTGGAAGCCACCGGTATGTAAGCTGATCAAAAGTTAAACTTCAGTCAAACCCGAGTCTAACGGAGGAGTATCTACAAACAGTAAGAGACAGTAAGCCGCTTACAAGCACTCCCAACCAGTTCGTTTGTCGGAACAAGAGTCGAGGTTTGGTCAATGTACCGTCACATCGCTCGTTTTGACAGCAGAGGGGAAACCAATTGCAACCTCCTTTTTATGCTCTTGCAGATTCTTGGGTGTTCTCCGTAGCATTACAAGTATTTTTCGTAGCATTACAAGTCCATTGGAAACAGGAGTGCACACGTAGTCAAGCCATGCAACGATGCAAAATGAAGGATACAAGCAGAGTCGGGAGAGACATAAAACGTAAAAACAACGATAGCTTGACGGAAGAGCGATACATAGATAGGGTGACATTGTATACCACAAAAGCGTTGATTAAGAGAGCAGAGGCAGAGGACAGATGAAATGAAAGATAGAGAAATATATAATTATGTGGCGTGCAGTAGCTTATACGTAGAGTGTAAAAGGAAGTTTAAAGATATGCGAAAAATGCCTCACCAGGAAGCAGGTACTGTATAGTCTCAATCTGACGAGAAGAGTCGCTTCAAAAATTCTGAAGCTGCTTGCTTGACTGTAGCGTCAACTTTATCGTTTCCCAGGAGCTCCTGGACGAATCGTTAGCAAATGACAACCCGAGAAGAAAAGGAAAAAGTAGCCCACGATAGCTCTATCAGCTTTTTGCTTCGTATTCGCCGAGCTTTGCTTATGGTCGAATTCTGCCCTCTCCCTTTCCATTTTGAGCCTCTCTAGCTCTCTACGCTGCTGACTGTCCCTCTCCTCCCTTTCTTCGCGTTTTCGCATGTACTCCAACTTCATTTTACTAGCGTGTGTTTGGGCCTGTAGAAACTGGAGATACGAAGAGACCATGCTTTGGGTAATGGTAAGATTGACGACGGCTTGATCAGAAGAAGACACTAAGGAGGAGGAAGAAGAAGGAGTTGAAGAGGGAGGATTGGAACCGGATGAAGATGAGGAAGACGTGAGCGTAGATGATGCTGTATTTGTGGAAGAAAGTGTTGATGTGGAAGAAAATGATGGGGAACCGGTCTGAAGCAGCGCAGGATTGAGTGACGAATTGAGAAGGGAGGATGAATTGGATAACGAATTTGACGATCCGAGGAGGTTGTTCGCTAGAGACCCAGAAGAAGGAGCGGAAGAAGACAATATTGGGGATGTATGTGAAGGTTGTGTAGACATATGGACATTTGTATGGGGAGAAATAGGCGGCGCGTGCTGCATCTCGGAAGGATTCATAAATGACATGGCTAGAGATGATGACCGGTCATGAGACAACCCGGAAACACTGTTCACAGCCTGAGTGAGCGGATGTGAAAAATCAAGCCCGTGGTCATCGTTATCATCGTCATCGTGAGGAACGCCGCTACCACCATTTGACTGACCATGTATTAGACGAGAGTTGGTTGAACGTGTCGTCGCGGGGTCGCCATTCCATCTGCAAATGAGAAGTTAAGACAGTTCATGCAGGGACAAAAGACGGGGAGAACCTTGAATAAAATAGGCTATACCAGCCATTTCTATGCCATTGATCTATTGTGCGAGCGGTGATATTGCCAACGTCGCATCCTGCTTTTCGGGCACTTGCTAATCGACGCTCGTATTCACGAAGTGAATCTGTTTCACTAAGATCAGGACTGAGCTCCAATGAACCCGTGGCTCCAAGGAAGTTCTCGAAGATGTGTATCTGTTTGAACAGATTAAAGTTGCGTTCGTAGCAACCTTTTAGAGCTTGGTAGGTTTTCTTACTGCCAAAAACCTCGTGAGCACACTGCGAAACGTTAGCGACGGCTAAAATGTGTGAAGGAGACTCAATCACCTCTCTAAGACAAGAATTCTTAGTCGCTCGCAAAGAGTTCCAATGATCATCTTGACCGGGACCCATGAGCCATTTGAATAGTTTGGATTTTTCTTCATCGGTCCAGTGTTTGGCGCCCTGTCCGCCTGGATCGTCAAAACTGTCTGCTGCATCTTCTACATCCCTTCGACGCTTGTTATTTGTTTGATTGAGTACGCCATCTGCTATATGTTTCCGTTTGACCTGGCTGGCAGAGGGTACACCATAAGCTAGGTAACTTTCCTTTGGTTGCTGAGCCGGCTGGCCGTTCTGTTGAGGGTGTACGGGAGGAGACGGAGAGACACGATAATCTTGATTGTGAGCACGAGAAAAAGCAGAGCCGATGTGACCATGACCCAAAGCCTGGTTTAAACTGGGGACGTGGGACTGGAAAGTCTGCAGTGAAAGACGGTTAAGTATCTGAAACAAACCAGGGGAAGTGGCCGGACGAACTTACTGTCGAACCATTGTCCATCCCAGAATCTCGTCGTTCTCCCATTCCCAGGTGTCCATACTGCATCACTGTGTCGCTGATACATGGAGGAAAACAAGAAACTATTATTTCTTCAATGTACACTGGATAAAGAAAGCCCTTTGTACCTTCGCACCTGCCCAACTGGCATCCCGGGCTGGTCTGGGTCGCAAGCTGTGGTCCGCAAGCGGTTCGTTTGAGTGAAGCTTGTTTGTGCCAAACAAATAAAATAATCGCTTATCAGTTCGGTTTAAATGTTACGTACTGACGCGCAAAGCAAGATTTGCTACAAGTTACAACACAGAGCTCTGTACAGCGAGAAGTAGAAGGTAAAGCACACTACACAACACAATATGTATACGTATAATAAGGTAAAAAGCCAGCTAGCTGTCTGCGTCAACATTATCATCTATATCATACTCTCCATCATCTACCGACCCATCCGCATCAAGGTCTCCATCTTCTCCTCCTTGTGCGTCAACCATTTCCACATCGACCCCTTCGTCATCTTTTGTCACTACCCTGACAGATTGAGTATCACTCCCGAAGACAGTGATATCACTTGGAATGCTATGCCGACTCCCTGCATCTATGTCCTCCACTTTCACATCGTAGTCCTGGAGTTCTTTCGACTGAGATGCATGCTTCATATCAACGGTAGCATCACCATTCAATGCCGCAAAGACGACAGGTTTTGAATGAAGAAGAGACAGCAGACTCGTAGCAGCGGTGGCTTCTACTGATTCAGAACCCTTAAGACTAGCATCGCCATCACCAAACAAGTCTTCCATGCTGTCCGTTATGGAAGGATTGGAAACAGAGACAGGAGACTCGGAATGCACATTATGTTCTGGGACACTCTCGACCTGCTTCCGCTGTTGGGGCTTTCCAGGTTTTCGCCCGTTCACCTGAAGTTCGTCTGAAACAGGGCCGGCCAAAAAGTCACCAGAATCATCAGATGCGACCGCCACTGCAAAATTGCGTAGTTGCCTCGGCCTTGTGGCGGGGACTAATTCTGTTCCTTCAAGCTGCATGAGCTCGTCATCGACCGATATGATGGGTGGCGGAGACGCGACCGAAGAATGCTTGGAAGATTGTCTCGTCACTCGTTTGACCAGAGTAGAGACCTGTCGAGAGCTCCTGCTAATACTTCTACGCCCGAGCACAACTTCAGCTTCTACGGCTTCTTCGATATCCATGTGATCAGCAGGGGAGCATTTTCTTTGTGTGTCCCAATGTCCAGCTTCTACCGCGCTTTCTTCTGCTTCTACACTTTTCTCATCCAATTTGACATTACCTTCCTTCTTCTCAGATCCATTCTCAATCTCATCCTTTGTGTGGTTTTCATTTTGCTTCGACATCTTCGATATCCTCTGAAGGGTAGAGGGCCCCACAGGCATATCTGCGCCAGCAAGATTATCAATCTCCGAGGGATCGTCCAATACATCTTCCTGATGAATTTTGTTGGACACATCAAGAGCTTCTAAGGTTGAGCTTGGCTCTAGATTGCGCGTTGGAACGAGTTGTGGCACCAAAATATCTACCGAGCTGTTTTCATCCGCGATAACATCTCCTGTACCACATGTAGCAGTTGAAACATTTGCACGTTTTCTCCGATGCCTTGGGGAAGGTGATAATTCACGTTCCGGGGTCGAATTTCTTTTGGACAGCATACGCCTTCGACCATTTAATGGGGGTTTGTTGGATAATGTTGGTTGTGGAGATTGTGCAGAAGATTTCGAGAGATTACTTGCCTCCATTTCGGCCGCATTTACGACATTATCATCATCGAATAATGATAACGGAGTGTCGGTCCCTCGACTTGCGCTACCTTCTTCTATTGATAACCCATTCGTCGTCAAAGCAGTGAGCCTGTTGTCGCTAATAAATGGTCCTGTCCCAACAGCTTCCTTCGCCTCTGTCTTCTTCACGACCCCGAACTCCCCTTCCGCACCAGCCCTGACCAGTAGGAACGGACTCCACTTCAGCTTTTCAGCTCGTAACTTCAAATACCCTTTTGCCTCCCAATTCTGCATATAATTTCGCACGACCTCTGGGTCCCATGTTATTTCGTATTCTTTTGGGGCAATGAACGGACCTATGGGTACATGATGATGATTGTCGTTTGAGTTTTTGTTATCGTCGGTTTGACTTCGTTCAGTGGTGTTCGTTAGTGTACGTTGCAAATTGCGACGTGCGACACTACCGCCTCTTCGACCTTTGACGTATTTGATAGACTGTCCAGGAGATGGCCGAATTGAAGGTGGGGTGACGGGACGAGAGGATATCATATTTTGTTGTACGAGAATGTTATATATGTCTTCGATTGTCATGGATGTAGCAGTGCTGATGTCTAGAAGATAAAGCAAGAATCAGAAATTATATCCGATAAGAGGAGAACAAGCGCACCTTCCAGTCGCGGGTTTTCAGGAGCGGTTTCAAGGTAGCGCATAAGAGATAATGTCCAATAGTTTTTGTATCCAAGGGCACCTAGAGCAGACAACGGCTTTTCGGGTGAGCCTGTTCGCTGTTCCTTCTTCGATAATAGATAGCCTGGCGGATTCATTAAAATGAGCTACGAACATAAGAGACAAGCGCTCACTGAAGTCAATAAGTAAATTTCCCCAACCTTGCCTCTGACGTACAGGCAGAGTCATGATACAGCTGACATTGTAGTCCTTTGGGCTACGTTTCTCCTTGCTAAAATATCCAACAAAACGTGCGCCCACGTCGTCGACTTCGGTCATCACGTAGAATAGAAAGGGTTCGACATCGTAGAACAAAGATTTGTGATCAAGATACATCTTGGATAAGAGACACAGATTTTGGCAGTAGATCTATGAAATCCATAAGCACACAAGTACCCTAGCGTTAGATCATTACGGATACCTTGTTCTTTCTACCATCGACTTCAAATATCGACACTGAACCATCTCTGTATATCTCGTCCCCTGGTGGATGTTTTGCTTTGCATTTCATCTACATGTGATCAAGTGAGCATCATGCTGACATACCGGTAAAGGATAGAAAACCGACTCACCCGATGGCGAACCGCACCAAACTTGCTCTTCATGTATTTCAGACAGAACTCGCAGATCCATAAGCGCCCATCTGGAATGTTGGCATATTCTTCTGGGAACGGTGCATCATACCAAGTTTTGATTTCGTGTGCACCAAATCGAATCGTTCTGATGCGGAGAGTAGGCGGGTCAGTGTTAGTCGTGAGGGGTCCACCGGGAGTTGAAGGTGTTGGAGAGTCGGAAGTTGGGGAAAAGGGAATCTGGTTGAGTGTACTTGAACGAAGGGGCCGAGAAGAAGGGCCTGCGACTGGTTCGTCTTCCGGGTTTTCAGAGGTTCGTCGAGGGCGTGGAGCGAGCTTTTCCTAGAATAAGATGATTGAGTCCATTTGTTTTTACGTCGACGACACAAATGAGTTCACTTCAGCTATAGCCCGACTTCGCTCGAACCGTTGCTTATCAGATGGCAAGATGACCGTCTTTGAGGTGTCTCGTTCATCCCCTCCAAGTACATCATCAAACAATCCTTTCGATTCTTCCTCTTCTCTCTCCTTCGCTTTTCCTTTTCCCTTCTGAGTAATCCGAAGGCGGACCTTGGGTATATTGATATTGTTAGATGGTTGTGCAGGAGACTGCAGACGGAGCCGCATACGTTTCGTCTGGCGGGCATTAGGAGTAACAAGGTCGTCGTCCGAATGATCAAGAGCGGGACCTTTACCCTTCTTCAATGATTGCATCGATTTTGTTCTCGTACGCCGTAAAGGTGTAGCTCTCGTTTCCACTTCCATCTCCAACTCTTCGTTATCTGTGACCCCAACTGGAAATTGAATTGCTTTTGGAGCTTGCCCTCTTTTTCGCGACGCACCCATTCTTGATTTCGCTTGAGCGGGCTGTGAACGCGAGGAAGAAGCAATGGATACTGCACGCATTGGAATTTCGGAATATTCGTCCAAGGTTGGTTGATCGTTGTTAGAAGGATCACAAGTCACATTCAGGTCAGTATGCAGATGAGGATTGTCTGAGCATTCTGAGCAGAACCAATCTCCTTCCGGGGTTTCGACCGGAGGATCAAAACAAGAGCCGTGCCATCCTAACTCAACCATATATCACCCAGACAAATTATCAATCACCACATCCACTCACCTCGATCACAGCCATCACATAGGAGAAGATCTTGCTGCAAAGTGGGTAAGATTGAAGCGTAGTTCTGAAGTTGGATAATGGAGTTAACACACATCATTATCCTTGCTTCCACATATCTCGCAACTCTTACATGCTGCGCACTTCCAAGGCCTCGACCTCAATGCATCGACTCTCATGTGTTTCAGGGACAGACAACTCGGATGACCTGGCAGAAAGTAAGAAAGATAAGGGATAAAGTAGCTTGCAACTTACAATTTCGCCCACAATCGACGCAACTCAGCATTGTTTCTGGGTCTCCATCTCTATTTCCCGCATCATTTCCTGAGCAAGCATCGCACGACGCATCTCTTTTCTGTTTTCTTTTCCGTTTCATGGACTTCTGCGAGGGCAAAAGCTGTGGTTGATCAAGTGGTGGTTGGAAGAATACTGGTTGAGGTTGAGGGGCGAACGGATCACCCTGAGGGCCTTGGGAATACTCGCGAACGAAATGGTCCGTTTCCACGAGTTGGGCTGATTGTTCTTCGTCAGGTTCTTCATCATGGTCTTTTGACTATGCTACATAAGCAAATCTGGACGCGACGCGACTCATACAAGCGCTTGAGAGTAAATAGGACTTACAATCCCCTGAAATGACCCATTATGCTCAGCAAATATCGGCAGTTTGTCCGCCGAATCCATTAAAGCCGGATCGATTGGTATGTCGTCCAAGTTGCTCGTAGGTGTGCCATGATCATCAGAAGTCGCGGGCTCGGATTCTGGAACTATTGAAAGTGCAGAAGCCCTCATTTATGACAATGAGAAGCCAGAGTGAGCTTGGAAGGCTCGGAAGCCTTTAAAGTTCTTGCTGGGTATCACTTAGTTTGTGGGCGGCGGCTCTCAGCTCCAATCATGAGCTCAGCGAAAATTTTCCCACGATTAGGTTGACTAGGGCAAGTTGAGCTTGAAAGCTTGAAGCTTGAATCTCCTCATTTTATCACTAGTTTCCTATACCTTTCCAGCTATGACGCTTGCTAAATCCCTCTACCAGCGTATGTACATAAAATAGTATGTAAAAACGGGAAAAGATCACGAACTGGTCTGTGTATATATCCGTTTCCCGCCGGACGAAGATAATCATATACAGGAAGAAAGCTTGCATTTAGCGCGAACTCTCCTTTCAAGTTATATCCACTTTTGCATTTCATGTCCGGGCTGGGTCTGTTTCGCCGGATCAAGGAGTTTGTAGCAGGTTCGCCACAGGCACTCGGGAGGGAAAGGGGCCGGCACGGTCCCCGCGCTACATTCGATTCAGAGTGCAAGCTCAGTGCAAGTTCGCGGACGTTGTCTAGCATGGCCCGGCATTCTTTGTGCCAGAAAGCCACTGAGAGATATTTCTTCTATACTAGATTGGTTAGACGACTTAGCTCGAGTATCATTCGTACTCTATCTTTCTATCTGTTTGTCTATTCAGCTGCATGATGAATTAGTGATCATGGAATGGAATGAGCTGGGGTCCAAGTTAGACACCGACCCGACTCCGGATCCGATTGTAAGAGAGTTATAAAGCGTGGGTCATTTTGATTCTGTTTGATCTTTGTAATTGAGCTGGCACCTCCAATCACTATGCCTCCCAAAAGAACTCGTGAACACCGCAAGTTTTCTTCGCGCGCTTCTAACTTTGAGACTTTCTCAATTCGATTGACAGTATCTAGACAAGTCAACGAGGCGACGTCTTCAGCCTTTGCTCCAGAATTCCTTGCAAAACGAAGTCAAAATCATCTAGACGAGCTCGAAGTACGCGTTGATCAACTCACAACATCGCTCCAAGTTTGAGATGTTTTTGATAATCACCCTTTTCGGCATAGAGATCCAATTATAGCCTGTCAGCATCTGTAAACGTGGACGAACACGACGATGAACCTACAACTGGGAAATATAGTACCAAAGGCCGTGCGAGACAGACGTTGATTTCTGATAAAAGAGACCTCAAACTTGCGGGTAATTCTCCCGCAGCAACTAAGAAAAAATCTACAATGAACGTTCGGAGCGCTTTGCTGTATCGAAAGAACTTATCGGCATTGATTGAAGAATCTGTAGGTCTCCCTGTCCCTTTTTATATATGCATATCTTGATAAATTCAACAGGGTATCGCTTCCCTTCCGCCATCGGTTCCTACGTATCTCACCGCGGTCGCATCTCCTCCGAAATATCCTCCTCGTCTGATATGCTCCGTATGCGGCTACTGGGGCCAATATAAATGTCGAAAATGTGCTATGCCATACTGCGATCGCAACTGTGAGGGTGTCCATTTTGAAACTCGCTGCGAGAGACGAGTGATGTAATTCTGATGATGGATACGCTCGCCTCGATTTCAGGATGAACAAGCTATGTGAGATGATCAGATACTGTCCTTCCGTTGAATTTAGAGTATACGACTCACTTCAAATTCCCTATAGTGACGCACATCTTCTCATGCTATACGAAGTCAGCAAGTTCTTGGTTTTGAGAGCGAATCTGTCTATCCCCTCAGTGTAACTATTTGCTGCCCGGCTGGCCATCTGCAATGTCGGTCTCGTGCTTTAAAAACACCCCCAGTACTGGATTTACTCAATTCGATTCCACGCCTCTGTCGTTCACCTGATTGATCATTGTTAACGGAAACGGGCGGTCAGCTTGTTACCGTGAGCCACCGTTCCACGTAGGGTAACCATGCTCCAGTATTTAAAGGCTTCAGTCGATTGGGAATTTTCACTCAGAAATCATTGATGTTGAAACTTGGATTCACTTCGTTCCTATTACTATCTTTTACGGTGACTTTTGCTCGCGTTCATTCTCGTGCAAGCAATGGGGTACCCGTCATTGATCTAGGATATGCTAAATATCAAGGGGTTTTTGACTCGACGAATAACGTTACGAATTATCTGGGTATAAGATATGCAGCTCCGCCCACTGGTCCGTGAAGATCGTCTCAATTATGTCTACGTTTTATAATCACTGTTGTCAGGCGATCTGCGTTGGCGAGCGCCCCAAACCCCCGCTGATAACAGCAGCGTCGTTCAACTGGCCAATACGCAACCTCTGCCTTGTTTCCAAGCCCCTACGGGAGAAGCTTCCACCAACCCTCTAGGAGCTCTCAGCAAACGAGCATCGGCACCTGGAAGTCCTACTGAGGATTGTTTGTTCCTGAAGTAACTAACGAGTACAATCAATTTCGCATTCCTGGCTGAGTTATCATCATGATCTAGTGTTTACTTCCCTGGAAATACTATCCCAGTTGAGCCTCTACCGACGTTGGTTTGGATTCATGGTGGAGGGTGAGATACCCACATACCACAATTTTATCGATGTCTTCTGATCTCCCCTCCCAGTTATATCATGGGTGGTGCAGACACATTCACGGGTTCTGACCTCATGCGTGAAGCTAATAATGAAATACTACTTGTCATTATACAGTATAGACTGGGCCTCTTTGGTGCGAAAAAGCATTGCCTGCTACTGGTTTCCAGAGCCAACCCGATGATACTTTATAATAGGTTTTTTGGCCGGGTCCGAAGTCAAGGAAGATGGTGATCTCAATGCTGGACTACGTGAACATCTACGCTCTAATTTCCACGCCCAATGCTGAAGCTGTTCTTATCGTGTCAGTTGACCAGGACTTTGCGTTACGCTGGGTACAAACTCATGTAAGTCTTATTCAATGGTTCTTTTCGGCGTTCATTTTCTCTGTAGATCTTGCAATTTGGAGGTGATCCCTCGAAAGTCACGATCTGGGGGGAATCTGCAGGCATGTAATGTGATATTCGATGACACCCCGCATTTTAGAATGAAGAACCGTATATGACTTGCAGGTGCTGGCTCCGTATTACAGCATATTGTAGCCCAGGAAGGTCGAACATCACCGCAGTTATTCCGGGGAGCCATCACGAGCTCGACATTCTTACCTTCTCAGTACATGTTTAATGATTCTGTTCCGGAGGTTAGCGTTTAGATGTCAAGTTTATGCTCTCTCTCAACTGATTGTTTCAAAGTTACTCTATTCCGAAGTCGTTTCCCAAGCGCAGTTCGTTCGTTCGTGATGCCTTCTTGAGCAATAGAATGCTCATTTATTCTCACCAGGTGTACCACTGCAAATGATTCTTTGGCATGCCTAAGAACAGTCGACGCTGCTACCCTTGGAACTATCAACAGCGACATCAACGCAGGAGGATTTTTCGGTACCTTCTTGTTTGTTCCAGTAGTAGATGGAACATTTATCACAAAACGCCCTACGGAAGTTTTGAAGCAAGGAACGGTAAATGGAGTGAGTCAGCATACTGATTCTTTTGTCTAACCCATCCTCTGATCCTTGTGCCTCACCCAGAAAGCACTTCTTTCTATCACAAACGCAAATGAAGGCACCATTTTCGTGAATCAAACTGCCCCAATCACTAATGTATCACTATATGCCAGCACACTGTTTCCCAAACTTGGGTCGCAGGCTGAGATAGCCGCTCAGCTGTATGCAAACTTGGGTACACCCCTTCAACAAGATGACTTGGTGATGGGCGAATGTTAGTTTTTTTGAGCACTGAGTACTAGTCGCTTACCAGAAATCTCAGCCATCTTCATTTGTCCAACATACTATTTGTTGAATTCATTCCCGGATAGTGGATGGAAAGTACGAATCATTTCTCCGACCCCGGAAAATAGAAAACAGCTTATTGTACTCTATTTTTCTAGGGAGAGTTCAGTAAGTAGACATATCGAACAACAAACAACTCAAGAATCCGTGACAAGTTACCCACAGCTGTCCCGCCTGCGACACACGGAGCTGACGTGGTTTATTATTTCACAAGGTACAATCTTGCATCACAGAGCCCACATATGTATTGCTGAGTGTTCCTTCTAGTCAAGGAACCCCGGGGTTCAACAACACAGATTTTCTTGCTGCATTCCAGGCGGCCTTCATGTCGTTTGTCATTTCGCAGGATCCAAATGACAAACTAAGTCCAACTATCACTCCGTCTTGGAATATCTACTCGCAAGGCAATACGGAGATGATTTTCAACAAAACCGTCGATGAGCAGCCTGATGTTAATGTCAACAGTACAGACAATGACTTACTCGAACGTTGCAAGTAAGTAAAACTTCATTCCTGGTTTGATATATCTATGTATGTATCCATTATATTCCACAGTTTCTGGAATACCGTCGGGGCATTAACCGGACAATGAATCTGTGGGTTAAGATAAAGAGACTGAGTAGGTCCAAGTGCAATGCGACAAAGCAAATCACAAGCCTCTGTACTTCTTACATTGCAATAATCTTTGACTAGTCATTGGAACAGTGTATTTGTCGCGCAGTCCTTGACTGCTCATCTTTTCTTGCCTCGGAACTCCCCTCGGCAAGGCACCTTACAAGATAAGATGTGGCAATGCCGCTGGGATGCTCGTTAATTTTGATGGTTATATAAAAGAAGTTGTCAATGTCGGAATTTTGGATTTCTTTTCCTCAGCCTGACCCTTCCTAGTTTCTCAAATGAGGAAAGTTGCTTGGACGTTGATATATTTTGCATCCGCGGTGGTGTCGTTCTCGACCTGCATGGATCCTCGTACAATCCCAGACGCACCTGTCATTGATTTAGGATATGCTCAATATCGAGGCGTTTTCGATTTAGTCAATAATATCACCAGTTATTTAGGCATACGATATGCGGCCCCACCTATAGGTTGATGGTTCCCTTATTAGTTTATGATCTTACCACCTGAACAAACCTTTTCCAGATAATCTGCGTTGGCGGGCCCCTCAACCTCCAGCTGATAATAGCAGCACTGTACAGTTGGCCAACACTCAACCTTTACCCTGTTTCCAAGCCGGTGTTGGACTAGCTCCTAATTCTCTCGAGGTCCTCGAAAGGAGAGCCACTATTGGAGATCCCATCGAAGATTGTTTGTTCTTGAAGTGTGTAACCCTCGAACTCGTGTACTCACACTGGTTTATTGACATAGTAAAGTGTCTACTTTCCTGGAGATACTATTCCAGCTAATCCTCTTCCAACTTTGGTCTGGATTCATGGTGGAGGGTGAGTTTGGTGCTCATACAAATTTATCGATTCTCACAAACGTTCACAGCTACGTCATGGGTGGCGCAGATGAATATCCAGGCTCCGACCTCATGCGTGAAGCCAACAACGGGATAGTTTTGGTTATCATACAATACAGACTAGGAATATTCGGTGAGAGAATGATATATTTACTGTAGTAGAAGCTGATTCACTAACACCACGTACTAGGCTTCCTAGCAGGGTCCAAAGTCAAGGAGAATGGGGATCTCAACGCTGGTTTACGTGAGCACTAAGAAATTGGAAACTGGATATCTAACTTTTTCGTCCTCTCAGTTGATCAGAATTTTGCATTACGATGGGTACAGACTCATGTAGTTTTCTTCCTTGCTACTTTTGTTGTCATTTTTGCTCAACATTTGCTGTCTCCATAGATCTCACAATTCGGTGGGGATCCTTCAAAAGTTACCATTTGGGGAGAATCTGCAGGCAGGTATTTTTTCATGCCACTAGCACTCGGGCTCAAAAACCTTATACTTCGTAGGCGCTGGGTCTGTAGTACAGCACATTGTGGCTCAGGATGGTCAAACATCCCCGCAGTTATTCCGGGGAGCCATTACAAGTTCGACATTCCTACCTTCCCAATATGCATATAATGATACCATTCCGGAGGTCAGCGCTGCGTTACGAAACTTTGGAGTGCGCTGTTTGCTGACATTCCATACTAGTTACTTTATTCTAAAGTTGTTTCCCAGACTGAGTTCGTCTGCGCCGGTCCCTTTTCTAATCGAATGTAAATACCTACCAACCGACTCGATTCTTTCCTTTATTTTTAGGTGTTCCTCTGCAGATGATTCTTTAACGTGCCTGAGGGCAGTAGATGCCGCCACCCTTGAAACTTTAAACAACAATATCATTGCAGGCGGGTTTTATGGCACTTTCCTTTTCGTACCAGTCGTAGATGGGACGTTCATCATGCAGCGTCCCACAGAAGCCTTAGCACAGGGAAAAGTCAATGGGGTAAGCTCCCGTACTAATTTACTCATTCATGATTATTCATATTAACTTGGCGCACAGAAAGCACTTCTTTCTATTACCAATGCAAACGAAGGCACCATTTTTGTGAATCAGATAGACCCAATCACGAACGTCTCATTGTACAGTAGCATGCTCTTCCCTAATTTTGAGTCACAGCAAGCCGATGACACTGCTGAACTATATGCAAATTTGGGCTCACCTCTTGAACAGGACGATCTCATCATGGGCGAATGTAGGAACTTGACTATATTTGTGTGCGGGGGCTCATCTATCTTCAGCTATCTTCATTTGCCCTACGTATTATTTGTTGAATGCGTTCCCGAACAGTGGATGGAAGGTATGTACTAAGCATGACTCGTTTCAATACCAAAATGGCAAACAAGATCTCAATGTTCACTAGGGAGAGTTTGGTAGGGAAAAATATATGTAACGGAATTGTACTCAACTTCACCACAGTGATCCCACCTGCAACACATGGAGCCGACGTGGTGTACTATTATACAAGGTAGTTTGTATTTGATATGGCCTTGCATCGATTGTTGACGCTCTGTCTCAGTATCGGAGTTCCAGATTTCCCCAACCCAGACTTCCTCGCGGCTTTCCAGGGAGCCTTTATGTCATTTGTGGTCTCGCAGGACCCAAATGACAAAATCTATACAACGATTACTCCTTCTTGGAACCTCTACTCCAAAGGCAATACAGAGATGATCTTCAACCGAACTGTTGATTACCAGCCTGATATTCATGTCAACAGCACAGACAATGGTCTACTTGAACGTTGCAAGTAAGTGTGATACGTGACTGATATTTGCGGAATAATAAACATGTCCCACAGTTTCTGGAATAGTGTTGGGGCATTGACTGGTCAATAAATAGCATGGTGAAGACTGTCTCGTAGCCTCTGACAGCCTCTTTCGGCAAACTTGAAATGAAGAACCTCTGTCACAATTGCTTTGACCGGAGAATCGTTGTTCTTGGGGATCTGGACCTTCAAATCCCGGCAACAAACTCGAGCCAGCAGTTTCAGTGAAAAAGTGATTTTGCACATCACGTCTCAGCAATGGTGACTGATTTGAGCAACTTGCCAACCCGTCCGAAAGCCGCACTGCCGGATATGAGCATACTCATGTAAACGTACCGCTTACTTACATGCATACAGTCACACTTGTGACATCACACTATATAGGCCTTCTCTCCACTTAGATACGACTAGAGCTCTTACCACCATCTCATCTTTGGCTTAGACTACTCTCGAGTGTATCTCTCTTTCTCTTTCCTCTCTTCACCAATCATATTTGGTTCATAGTATTTGATCCTCGTGTGAGTCCCGCTTTAGTGTTCCCGCCATCACGGCAGGTTTCCACTTTTTTTTTACTATAGAATTCAACATTGAATTGGAGAATTTTATATCTTGTTTAATCACCGTTACGCGATTGACGCGAACCTGATTCGGACGGAAAATCTTTCCTGTGTATTCCAAATTTGTTGGCACCTTCATCGTCTCGCATACCCACGTCGTCGCTCGTACTCGTTTTCTTTTTCGTACCTCGTACCTCGCCGGGCTTTGCCATTGCCCGTATTTCGTCTATTTCGTCTCGCCTTCTCGCCCGAAGGTTATCACGTCTAAAGTAAATTGTTGTTTGAGTTTTGGGGACGTACGGTCTCGCTTCATACTCGTATTCTACCTGTCTTTTCCTAGCGCATACACGCTAACATTAACTCGATGCAGGTTGCTCATTCTCCCAGTCTGGCTTCAGGTCCTCGGATTCGTCGTGAAGGCTTACGAAGCGCCGAGAAATCTGCTCCACCTGGCCACGCTGACCTCGTCGAGCCCTCTGAATCATCGCAATTGTCCAATTCTTCGCTTCCAGACCAACCTTGCATTTTGTCTACCTTTCCTTCTCCTCCTTCCTCTCCTTCGACATCTGCTTCTTCTGACGAAGAGACTATGACTACCCGTGTAAACGAATCCGGCCGGATTGAGCTAAGCTCTGGCAAGAGCGGTCCTCGTGTGAAGCCGGGTGCTGTTCTATCTCCTGAAGATTTAGATGACCTCTACGAGGACGCGCGCCGTTATTCCAAGTCTCGCACCAAAGATGACATTGAGAATGTTCGGGATGTCATCGCTGAAGCATTCTCTGCGCGTGTTCATCGTGACTGGTTCCGGTCCGAAAAGAATGCTCACCTCGCCCTTGCCTTGGAAACTACTGATAGTTCAGATACCTCCGCGCCCTCGACCTTTCCTTTCCTTGATGCCTTGCGTCGTCAATTCTGTGGTCATGACTGGGCCCAGGTTCATGCTGCACGACGGGATGATTTGCGAATGAATGTTGGTGGGGTCGGTTGCTTTGATGAATACCTGTCTCAGGTCGAAGGTTGCAACAACCGTCTCAAAGGAGTTGGAAACTACCTCACCCCTCCGCAGCTCCTAACGATTCTTGCACGTGGGATTGCTCCAACTTTGACTGCTATTCTGTCAGAGCAGGGTATCGTCATCGACGAAGACACTACATATAAGTCATGGGTCTCGGCTTGCCGGGACCTCGAAGTTCGTTTTAAATCTCGTCTCAACGCCGCGGATCGTCAGGCGCGTCGTGGACCATTTGCTTACAATGCTGGGTACGCGTCCACGAACAACAACCCTGCTCATAAGCGTAATGCTACCTCTGAACCCTCGTCTTATCCCAACAAACGCCCTTCGTCTGCTGCAGGTACTACTGGAAACACTGGGTCCAATGGCGTTTTCTATATGAAATCCTTCAAGTCGATGCCCGAAGCCTTACAGAAGGAACAGAGGGAGCTACTGGGTCGGATTCATGCTTGCCCGAAATGTCGGACAGCGTGGGCGACTTGTGGTTCCAACCTCGATAACTGTTCCGGTGCTACGCTTTCTGTCCCTTGGCGTCCTTTGACCACCGAAATGGTGGATTGGGCTATTTCGGCACATAAATCCACAAACCGTCCCATCCTATACAATGCGATCCTCAAACAAGCCGCGAGTAAGACAGCAGTGGCTTCTGTCCATGGGGCTCCGCTTGAGGATATTAGTGCATACATCGACAATGTAGAACCTCGTGCGCCTGTAGCTGCCGCTATATATGGGAATTTACCTGTCTCTCATGTTGCTCGGGACACTCAGGTTTATGGTTCATTTGCTGGACCCGCATTGTTATCTTCTCGTTCCGCCGCATCTTCGAATCGTGCTAACGTAGTTGCTCCCGTTGTGGGACAACATCGTCTCCCTAGGGATGATCAGGATGACGAGGTTGACTGGTCCGACGGTTCGGTCTCTCCTAGCCCAAGGCCCAGTGGCTCCGAAGCTCGTGAACCTCGTGAACCTTCTGTGGAGGTACGTGACGATTCCGCTATGCCTTTCGAATTACCCCATTTTGTTTGGAATGCGAATCTTCGGGGACCCTCTATGACTGTTTCTCACCCACTTCTAATTGACGATGGTTGTCCTTTTGTACTGATCCGTGCTGATGTTGTCATTGCCTTAGCTTTGAAGGAACGACGTCTTCTCAAGCCTCAACAAATGTCAGTTGCCATGTCCGAAGGTTCTCCCCAAATATTCACTGCGTCCTCGTATTGTAAAGTGGGATTGGAAGATCCTTCTGGGGCATGGTCTTCTCGTTCCGTTCGTGCACTAATTGTGCCTTCTTTGTGTTTTCCAATGGTTCTCGGTATTCCTTTTCTCGCACATAATTTCCTAGTTACCGACTATTCTTCTCGCACTGTCATGGACAAGACTTCTGGCTTCGATCTCATGAATCCCTCTGCATGTTGCCCTCGTCCTCCTTGTACTTCTCCTGTTCAGCGTCGCCGTCAAATTGTAGCTAGTTATGAAGAAACACTAGAATTAAAGAAAACCGTTCTCCTTGAGTTAAAAGGATACGTGCGTGATCACCCAAATTTACTCTTGTCTGATCCCGTACGTCCTATCGACGTCGCTGCTGCTGTGCGTGCAAGGATTGAGGAGCTTTCGGAATTGGAGCGCTTGGCTAAGCTCGGTGATAACATTAAGGCCCGATTCGCTGATGTGTTTGGGGACATCCCTCACATAGACGAACTCCCTACGGATATTACATGTGGTATTTCGCTAAAGGATGCTAACATGACCATGCAGTCCCGAGGATATGCATCTCCTCGCAAGTACCGTGAAGCTTGGTCTGTCCTAATTGAAAAACACTTACAGGCGGGTCGAATTCGTCCTTCCTCCTCGCAATATTCCTCGCCTGCCTTTCTAGTTCCCAAGTCGGATCCCACTGCTTTACCTCGTTGGGTAAATGATTTCCGAAAGCTGAATGCTAATACAGTACCTGACCGCCACCCCTTACCTCGTATTGATAGCATTTTGTCAGATTGTGCTAAAGGAAAAATATGGGGAAAAATGGACATGACGGATTCCTTTTTCCAGAGCCGTATGGACCCCAGTTCCGTTCCCCTTGTATCTGTTCAGACACCCTTAGGTCAATATGAGTGGCTCGTTATGCCCCAAGGGCTCCGAAATGCACCTGCTATTCAACAACGTCGAGTGACTCAAGCCTTACGTGCATTCATTGGTCGTTTCTGTCATGTTTATTTGGACGATATCATTATTTGGTCTAAGGATGAGGCTGAACATGCTCGCCATGTCGAATTAATTCTGGATGCCCTTCGCAAGGCCAAATTATTCTGTAATGCAAAGAAGTGTCAATTTTTCCAGCTCGAAATTGATTTTTTGGGCCATCATATTTCGCGGCGTGGGGTGGAAGCCCAGCACCACAAATGTGAGGCAATTGTAAACTATCCTAGCCCTTCGTCTGCCTCTGAGGTCCGACGCTTCCTTGGTATGGTTCGTTTTGTCGCGGGTTATTTGGAAAATTTGGCAGAGTACACACGCATACTTACTCCATTAACAAAGAAGGAATGTGATAAATGTTTCCCCGGGTGGACTTTGGAACATGAGCATGCTTTCATTAACATTAAGACCCTCGTTCTTAGCCGACAATGCCTAACTACAATTGACCATGATAATCCGGGAGACAACCATATTTTTTTGGTAACAGATGCCAGCGATTGGCGGCATGGTGCTGTTCTCATGTGGGGCCCTACCCTTGACACCGCGCGTCCTGTTGCCTTTGATTCGGCTCAATTCTCTGGGCCCGAATTGAATTATCCTGTACACGAAAAAGAGTTACTCGCCATTGTCCGCTCCTTACGAAAATGGCGTGCAGACCTGTTGGGAATGCATGTTCATGTTTTAACAGATCATCGAACCTTAGAAAATTTCGAAAGCCAAAAGGACTTGAGTCGCCGACAGCTCCGCTGGCAGGAAGAGATGAGCCAGTTCGACTTGGAGATTGCGTACATACCGGGTGACACCAATTGTGCTGCTGATGCCTTGAGTCGCATTAAGGCTGGAGCCTTGCCGTCTGATTCTACTCCTGGCGATTTGTCCACTGGTGCTACTAGCAATGTCGAAGCATGGAAATCCAATCCTTTTGTTTGTTCCTCTATTTTGTCCTTGTCAGCAGATGCTACATTTCTTTCGCATATCAAGGAGGGTTACGTTTCGGATCCGTTTATTAAGAAAATTGTCGAGGGTGGATCACTTGTCCCTGGCATTGAACACAAAGGTGGCTTGTGGTTCGTAAATGGTCGTTTGGTCATTCCGGCGTACCTTACCCTACGTGAGGATCTTTTTCATCTGGCTCATGACACTTGTGGTCATTTTGGAGCAGACAAATGTTACGCTATGCTTGCCGATTCTTATTACTGGCCTCACATGCGTCGGGATCTCTACAAGTATTATGTGCCTGGTTGTGAGGACTGTCAGCGGAACAAAGGTCGTACTGCAAAGAACGGAAAAGGGCCTTTACATCCATTGCCGGTCCCTGAAGGTCGTTGTGATAGTGTTGCAATGGATTTCATTGGTCCTCTTCCTCTCGACCAAGGGTTTGATTGCATTTTGACTATGACTGACCGCCTTGGGTCAGATCTTAAGATCATACCGACAAACATCGACATCAGTGCACCTGCATTAGCCCGTTTGGTTTTTGATCACTGGTATTGTGACAATGGATTGCCTTCCGAGTGGGTGTCCGACCGCGATAAACTGTTTGTGTCTGAGTTTTGGTCCGTTTTAAACAAGCTTTCTGGTGTCAAAATCAAGATGTCTTCTTCCTTCCATCCGGAGACCGACGGTTCCAGTGAGCGTTCCAACAAAACCGTTAACCAGGCTATCAGATTTTATGTTGAGCGAAATCAGGTCGGTTGGGTCAACGCCTTGCCGAAAATTCGTTTTGATATCAGGTCGGTTGGGTCAACGCCTTGCCGAAAATTCGTTTTGATATCATGAATTCCGTGAACACGTCCACTGGTTTGTCAATGTTTCAACTTCGTTACGGGCGCGCACCTCGTGTCCTCCCCCCACTTGTGCCTGTGGATGTTTGCAATGGACCCGATTCCTCCGATAATGCATTTGATGCCCATGCCTTCCTTGCCGAAATCGCTGAAACCGTGCAAGAGGCCCGGGATAATTTGACCTTAGCTAAAGTGGTTCAAGCATATCAGGCTGACAAGCTCCGTGGTCCATGCGAACTTTTCGAAGCTGGGGAATGGGTAATGTTATCTACTTGGCATCGACGGGAAATTTTTAAGAAGTCTGGCGAAAAACGGGTGGCTAAATTCTTTCCGCGGTTTGATGGTCCTTACGAGGTTATAAAGGCATATCCGGAAACTTCGCACTACACCCTGGACATGCCAAATCATCCCAATGCCTTTCCTTCCTTTTATGTGGATCAATTAAAACGTTATGTGCCTAATAAAGCGGATTTGTTCCCCGGTCGCGAGCGGGTGATCCCCGAGCCTACAATTGTCAATGGTTTCGAAGAATTCGAGATCGACCGTATCTTGGATTCCCGCAGACGCGGTCGAGGTTGGCAATTCCTCGTTCGTTGGGTTGATCAAGGTCCTTCAGAGGATCGTTGGTTGTCATACTCCTCCTTACAAAACTGCGAAGCTCTTGATCATTGGGTCCGAAATGGTGGTGACGGTCCACCGACCTTGTTGGATTCAGTTGAATTGTAACGACATCGTTTCCTTCTTTAATTTCTTCCTTGAGTCTTCTTTTTTTTTCCTACCTTTTTTGTTCCCTCTTTATCCCCCCTCTTGTGTATTTACTTATTCTCACCTCTTGCCCTGTCTTGTTTTTAACTGGGTGGGGGTGTAAACGTACCGCTTACTTACATGCATACAGTCACACTTGTGACATCACACTATATAGGCCTTCTCTCCACTTAGATACGACTAGAGCTCTTACCACCATCTCATCTTTGGCTTAGACTACTCTCGAGTGTATCTCTCTTTCTCTTTCCTCTCTTCACCAATCATATTTGGTTCATAGTATTTGATCCTCGTGTGAGTCCCGCTTTAGTGTTCCCGCCATCACGGCAGGTTTCCAACTCATAACTATAAGTCGTCCCGTTGTCTTCCCTTCCCCTTTCCTCCTGCATTGATAACCGCAATAAAGGACTGAGTGAATTCCAAGCAGAAACTATTCCGATGAGGATCGCCATTGTTAGATTCACATCATCATTCTGATTCGGAGTCGGCGAGGGAAGTAAGCTCGGCTATGGATAATTTCTGGGTACGTAAGTGACTCCATACTACAGTGATTTAAATCTCTGGCCAAGGCAGTACAGACCAGATGATGTCGTGAAATCATATAATAAGCCTCATCATCGGTACTGGTCGTGCGCGCGCGCTCCTTCCTGATCCTCCTCCCAAGTCAATGAAGAAAGTCGTACTGGCATCTGCACTGTTAACATCCGCGGTGGCGCTGCTCTCCGCAAGCACACTTGCTCGTGCTTCAAACAACGATGTACCCGTCATTGATTTAGGATACACACAATATCAAGGGGTTTTCGATTCGGTCAACAATCTTACCAACTATCTGGGCATACGATATGCGGCACCCCCTACTGGTCAGTTTGGTTATCCTCCGTGCTGACCCACCTTATGTAACCCATGTATCACAGGTAATTTGCGCTGGAGGGCCCCCCGATCGCCTGAAAGGAACGACAGTTTCGTCCAACAAGCAGATACACAACCTTCACCTTGCTTTCAATCTTCTGGCGGTGCTGCTTCCACCAATGCTCTTGAACTCAGTAAAAGAGCCGGAGTTGACGTGACTGGAGAGCCTACGGAGGATTGTCTATTTTTAAAGTAGGCGCAGACACATGATACCGCCATCGGGCCTGCTAATATTATTTCCAAGCGTTTATTTTCCCGGAAATACCGTTCCAACCGAGCTTTTACCAACGTTGGTTTGGATTCATGGTGGAGGGTAAGTTTCGATCACTGCTACAAACCTGTTGACGTTGATTTGAGCTCTCACCCCAGCTATATTGGGGGGAGTGCCGACCAATATTCGGGGTCTGACCTCATGCGCGAAGCTAACAACGAGATAGTGGTGGTCATCATACAGTATAGACTCGGTCTCTTTGGTTTGTGCTCCTGGCATCTCAAGACTGCTCTGTCTTCTTCATTCATGTCACCTTATGTACACACTAGGTTTCCTCTCAGGATCTGAGATCAAAGCCAACGGAAGTTTGAACGCAGGACTCCGCAAGTCCGTTTCATTTTCCTGATAAGCACCTATTGACGCTTCCCCTCAGTTGATCAACACTTCGCGTTACGTTGGGTACAGTCTCATGTGAGCTATCTTCGATTTATAGTGGTCCTCCACTGCAATTTTCTGAATGTTCACTAGATTTCGAAATTCGGTGGGGACCCTTCCAAAGTCACCATTTGGGGAGAATCCGCAGGTATGTATTTCTTCTTCTTGCCTACGCACACCTATGCCCCAGAGCTAACATTTGTGTATCGTTAGGCGCAGGCTCCGTACTACAACATATTGTCGCCCAGGATGGTCAGACATCCCCACAATTGTTTCGGGGAGCTATCACAAGTTCGACATTCCTGCCTTCTCAATACATGTACAACGATCCCATTCCCGAGGTCAAAACCACCCCTTTATCATTGATTTATTTGACCGCTCACCCCTCACATAGTCCCTGTATTCAACGGTTGTTTCCCAAACGAAGTCTGCTCCCTGTGTTCGCTTACAATTCCGATAATGCTGACTACTTTTATTTCAATAATGATAGTTGTACATCCGCGAAGGATTCATTGGCATGCCTTCGTGCTGTAGACGCTGCCGCTCTCGAAATTGTTAACGGCAATGTCAATGTGGCAGGCTTCTACGGGACCTTTGTCTTCGTCCCGGTCGTAGACGGAAGCTTCATCACTCAGCGCCCTACGGAAGCAATGAAACAAGGGAAAGTAAATGGGGTGAGTTTTCCTCTCATTCCCGTGATTGTCATCCTGACTTCATCCAGGAAGCGCTTCTTGCTGTCACCAACTCAAACGAAGGCTTCATTTTTGTGAATCAAAGCAACCCAATCGCGGCGTCGTCGTACGCCAGCAACCTCTTCCCAAAGTTTGGAACGGAAGTCGCAAACATAACGGCTCAGATCTATGCACCTTTCGGATACTCTCTCGAACAAGATGAGCTCATCATGGGCGAATGTAAGAGTATTGATTTCTGTTTCTTTTCAAATTCTCAGCAGTTGACTGTGTACAGCTATCTTCATCTGTCCTACGTATTATTTACTCAGCGCATTCCAAAACAAAGCATGGAAGGTAACGTTTTCGTCATGGCAATCATGTGTACGAGACACTGACGATGCATTAGGGAGAGTTTGGTATGTGGTCCTGCAAAATGAACTCAAAGAATGCTGGATGTCATTAAAATTTACGCTCAGCCATTCCCCCTGCAACCCACGGATCTGATGCACCATATTACTTCCCGAGGTAAGGAATGTTTTCACATCTTCCGGGAACCAGTATGACATTCTGAAAACGAATAATTTATTAGCGTAGAGTCCCCACCGTTCAATAATTCAGATTTCCTTGCGGCATTCCAAGGAGGATTTATGTCTTTTGTTGTTTCGCAGGATCCCAACGAGAAGATAGCTCAGACTATTACTCCCGTTTGGGACCTTTATTCCAAGAACAATATAGAGATGGTCTTCAACAAAACAACCGACAACCAGACTGATGTTCACGTTGACAGCACTGCCAATGCTTTGCTTGAACGTTGCAAGTGAGTAAAGTAGCCTTGCTCCATGACTGATATTTGTTCAACATGTTTCTCAGATTCTGGAATGATCTTGGGAAGTTGACAGGGCAGTAAAATTCGGACTCTGGGGTTATCGTATTGGTGTTCGATGGACCTACAATTACCCTGGTAAATTACAAGCTTCCACGATATTTCTCCTCACACTTTCAATGCCAAAAGGCGGGTTCAACCTTACAGTAGTGACCAATGGTGAAAGACACATCAATTTGGCCAATTCCTCCGAAGAGATCCCCATACGTCCAGTTTCTGAATCCTCTAAAGAGAGCTTTATCGCGGAATGAATTTCTTTTCTGAAACGGTCAATGACGAGCTGTGCTTCGGCAGTGGCTGAAGGGAGATAATCCGCTTTGGTTATTACTGGCTGAATTTGAGTGATGCGAGGCAGGCGTAGGTTGCCACTCTCTAAGGATGTGGCCCAATTAGTCGACAATACTTCGAAGAGAGTTCGAGAAAGATGCGCGAGCATTTGTTGGTCTCTATCATTGATCGGATGTTTCGCATTGAAAGTAATGTATACGCGTTTCAGCCTACGGATAGAACGTTATTTCAGTTTAGATTTCAGACGATGTACTACGGTTCTGAGCGCACTCTTGCCGATTTTTCACGTAGGAGTTGAAAAGCAAGCCCCATTCTGGACGTCCTCGGTTGCCATAACCTGGAGAATCGACTAGAATAAGGTTTCCTGGAGCGGCACCAACACGAAAGAAATCCAGACGTCGCGTCTTTCCCTAAATCAACTGTGAATATCATTCAATATAACAGATTAAGTGGCCCATACCGCCTTTGAGCTAGTCGCGATCAAGTCCTTACGCCCTAAGACGGCATTGAACAACGAGGATTTCCCAGAATTTGCGCGACCTTCGAGTACAATTTAACGAAGACTTTGAAAGTACAAACGTGATGTGCACCTGTGACAATGACCTGACAGTTTCTTCAGCTTGAATTTGAGAACGGAACGGAGGTTTTATTCACCTCTGGAAGTCCATTCAACCGTGGAAAAACGTCGATTTGAGTCCCGTCATCGTTTACTTTGAGTTGTGCGGCATGGGAAGAATGTACTTGCTCCGCAGACTGCGAATCCTTGAAGATTTGGGCAGAGAATTTGGCAGAAGATAGATGCCTTTTGATGGTGAGGATAGATGAAGTTCGAGTCAAGACATGGCGGTTCAAAAGAGAGCTCATCTAACTTCGGCTTTAGCGGCCGAAGGTTGTCTAAATTATCCGAACGGTGATTAAAGCTTGAATGGCTTCGCCACTAATATCCGTCTCCGGATCTGGAGAACGCTGACGAACTGAACATCTCCAAGATCGACAGAAGCCGCTGGGCCATGATGGACAATTGATGGAAAAGAAAGCATGGTCCGTGCGCGCAGTAGTACAACCTCCATCTATCTATCCACCTTGTTCACTGTTCCCAATCGGTTACCGTTCATTGTATTATACTTTCTTCATCCAGTCGATCTGTCTACATTCCGCCGTCGGGTCGCTGTCTTCTTCAAAGGTGGGTTCTTCCTTATTGAGCATATTATGTTTGCATAGTATAGTGCACACAGACTCAATACTTGATTCACGGTGCTCGACCTGGTGATGCTGCTAGGATAGAACACAATGTAAGTGTCCCTCTATTCTCAAAGCTCGGATAATCTTTTATCTTAATGTCGATCCAGACCCTCCGAGTTGAAAACCATGATTACTCCTGGAATTCTTGGCGTACGGTCTTCCAAGCTTACTTGTCCCAACAATGCTACTGACACATATATGGATTAGCTAAACACTCTCGACGCTCGACACCAGCATTTATTGACACTTGACTCTCACAAGAACTATTACAACCTTCCCTGTGGACTTCCTGCGGAGCTCTGGAATATTATTTTGGATCACTTGTACGACGATAGAGATACCCTCCTGTCATGTCTTCTTACATGCCGTGCATGGGGTGACTTTTGTCGATATCACATCTACGAGATATTCACCTGGAGCGCCATAGACAAATTCGATGAAAATGGCCGCTCAGAGTTCCACCCTTTTCCTCATTATGTTCGACATCTGGCCATCAGCGGGGGTTTCCTCGATGACGACGTCGGAAGCTCGGACACTGAGTGGTTATTGCCGCTGGCTCGGCGACTAGATCAATTTGTGTCCGTCGTACACTTAGAGGTCGATTCAATTGACTGGGATGAAGTATTTGGATCCCCCGCCTGGGACACGTTCATCTCCGCCACTGCTTTCCTCTCCAACATAAAAAGTCTAGATTTCAGCAATATTCCTCTGCAACCGTTCCAGCACATTCTTGACAGCATTTGTCTGTTCCCCTCCTTAGAAAAACTTGACTATTTACCGTCACATGTTGATTTTGACGAAGAGATCCTCGATTTCCAGTGTTATATCCCTTCAAGCTCCTGGCATGCATTTTCCACAGAACACAGTCCATTACAATTGCCCACAGTTGGCTTTTGGACCTGGCTTTCCGCTATTGCATTTGCGTCCCTTCAAACAATTCGCTTGGATAGCGTACCTACGTCGGATCTTCTATCCTTGTCCCATTACTTGCGTCTCCTTGGAGCGTCCTTGAAGGACTTTCGTATCCGGTTCATAACACCGCATGATATTTGTAAGGATCCAACACCTTAATTTTTGGCGACGTTAATTTTTGCTGAACAACATATGCATTGACCAGATGAATTCGCCCAATCGAACGCACTAACCAACAGTCATGGTCTAAAACGACTAGAACTGGTCGGAATCATTCGTCAGTATTCTGATGACCGGTACTGGGTTGGGGAGGAATCGTTATACCTCCTCAACGTGTTGCCTGGTACCTCACTTTCTGGCCTTGACCTTGTTTTGGATGGAACATCTCGTCGAATAGCGGATTCCGTACCATCTCGTTTGTGTGTTTTAGACAAACTTCTTGCAACATCGGAAAGGTTTCCGGCGTTGAAGGACGTGCATTTGAGGGTGGGTCGAAGTTGTGATAATGAGACTCGAATCAGAAAGGATTTTGCTCACTGCCAGAGGAAGGGATTAGTCACGGTATCTACTTCAATGTTTGTGGGTTTGCGTTGTTTTGTTCTGTATGTTCTGATTAAACATCCACAGGATGTTTCCTTGTTAGCGATAGTCAAAGATGTGGTCGTTCATCAGATAAATCAGTAATCATAACCCACTACCTGCCATAAACATCTCAAGGCAAGTGGACTCGACGACTGAATGACTGTGTTCGCACACATAGCCTGTGATTGACAAGTAAGGAAAAGGGTACGTTTATGTATGCTATGACCGGGAGTATAAGTCCTTCAAATGTGATAATGCCGTCTGTAGTGGGTGTCAGAATCAAAATAGTAAGTGCATCAACCATAGTCATACTGTCGCACCTCGTAATGTGGAATTAGAGGAGCAAGTTGCTTTTCTCCGATTCTCAATCTCTTCACTTCCGAGAGGTGGTGAGCATCTTTCATCATCAGTTTAAAATGTCTAGCCTGAAAACCATTGACAGTATTAGACGACAATGATGATGAGCAGATAATCAGAACTGTGATTACTGACCTCTTGCTCTTCGACCAAAGTCCAAGCATCACCTTCCCTTCCAGCTCTCGCTGTGCGCCCTACACGATGCACATATTTCCTCATATCCACAGGCGAATCATAGCTGATAACATGGGATACGTGGCTGATATCAATTCCTCGCGAGATAAGGTCTGAGCAGACTAAGCTATAAAGGATACAACAAGCAGATCGACGCTGCGACTCAGTAAAATATAAAGACTGGAGAAAAAACTGTACATTTGTATTTCTTGGGATTTGAACTTGTCTAGTACAGCTTTTCTCTCAGCGGTAGGAAGGTCGCTGGAATATGCCTGAACGACTATATTTTTATAGTTCGACGTTTCGGAGGTACGAGCATTCTGAAAAAAATCAAGTAACTGGACGAGTCGGTTCGTCGACTCGGCGGATTTGGTGAAAACCAGGGCGTTGGTGATGTCATGGGCATGGACGAGATGGAAAAAGACGAGAGGCTTTTCGTATGCTGAACAAATAATCATATGCTCCTAGTGAAAGAAAAGCAAACTATCAGACAAGTTAAGAGCGATGAATGAAATGTAACAAGTACCTTTAACGTATCAGGCATAGTGAATTTTTCCGTGACCACATCGAGAATCGCATCTTCTTGCTCATCAGGGCTGGAACCCTGTACAATAAAATATTTCGGGATTCGGAGTTCCAATGCTGCGATCTTGCCTGGATCACGAGTGAGAGTGGCGGAAAAAAGCAGTTTTTGACATGATGCTGCCTTTCTTTCAGTGATGAAGGAGGGGACATCGGGATAAGGGAGGAGGTGAAGGAAGGCGGGAGCGAGGGCATCAGGAGTGGGATTGGGCGTTGTATCCGACCGTGGAGTCAAAGTTGTATCTGCTAAGTCCTTCAATGTGTGTTTGAGAGGATTTTTGGGAGGGCGAGTGGCAGCTAGAACTTGTATGAGCCAATCTTGGAACGATTGAGCTAAAAGACGGTCGGCTTCATCGACGACCTTCACAAAAAATCAGCAGTATACATCTACTATCTGGTAAGTTATTGGACAAACCAGGAATCGTAGATGTTGTAGAGAGAAATTCGGTGTTTCCTTTAAATGGTCGATCAACCGACCGGGAGTACATATCAAGATGTCGACTTTGCTAGACCCCCCTCGGAGACTGCCCGAAATAATGGTTAACAAGATGAGGCGAATCCTTGAAGAGAAAAAATCACCTTGTGGAATGGTCTGCTACAAGTTGCGCTTGTTCATGAGGGAACGAATGCTGGCCCGTGGCTGTCCCAATCTAGACATGTTGTAAATTAGACGGGTTGTAAATGCACGCCATGTTGAAAAAATACCTTCAATCCTCTACCTTTGCTGATAGTCTCGAATGTTTCACGAACTTGCATAACTAAATCTCGCGTCGGAAGCACCACGAGCGCGCGTAAGCGTGTTACTATACGAGAAGAAAGGATCTGTGGTTTCAAATTAGGCTAAACCATCGCGGAATTCGGTATTCCACTTGCCTCTACAATTGGAACAACATATGCAAGAGTTTTTCCACTTCCAGTCGGAGCAGAAACGCAAACATCGCGAGGAGGATTATAGGGCTGGTACAAGGCCCTATGCATAGGATCAGAAGGGAGTAGGAAGGGAAGTAAAGACGTCTGCACTGCAATATATATACATATAAGCTGAAAGCGTCGGAAGAAGGGAATGTACATAATACATACCTGCGAAGAGTTCAGTGATACCCAAATCTACCAAACGTTTCCTCATCTTTTCACTGAGACCTGTTCCTCCGTCTATATTACCATCAGGAGGTATGTGTAATGTTTTGGACGGAGAAATTATATCAGCATCGACCAGGGCTTTGTCTAGACCTTGCAGAGCAAGTGTAGCTTTTGACGGTGGGTTAGGGAGAGCGGGTAAAGGGAAAGTAGGGAGCGCAGCCTGTGGAGTTGGTGATCGTTGAATAGAATGAGCAGGCGGCGGTGCCAGTGATTCCGAATGCATCTCTACATCTTCCAGTTCAATTGAGAACTTGCGCCGTTTTTTGGGTCGTTTCTCCCTTTCCTCTGGGACAGTTACCTCTTCATCTACTTCTTGCATTTCTACCTCCACTTCCTCATCTTCTGTCTCTGTGCCTTCTTCTTCGTCTCCAACTTGAGATTGGGAAACCGAAGTCTTCTTCTGGTTGTTTTTATTATTTTTATTATTCAATTTTCGGCGCTCCTTCTTGCGCTTCAAATACCGTTGTTTCGCCTTGGTTTTCCCCTGAACAGCTTGTAAGATTTTATGATTATATTCTTCTGTTTTGATTGAAGAGGATTTGATTATCACCTTTGGCCCTGCTGCTGCTGCCGCCGCTGTGTCCATCGTCGTCGTTTGAATTGGAGCAGGGCAAATTTCTCCGCAAATGGAATCACCTTACTCGTGAGAAAAGCCAAGACCTGAAGCAAAGCCGCAGCAATGATCATGAAGAGCATGATTTATCGTTATCAATTCGTTAGCAGTGGTCATCGCTTTTCATCTAACACTGCCATGAACTAAATTATAATACATCGCGCACAACTATAAAGTTTCCCGTCACATCGAGACCCATAAACACAAATCATGTCTGGAGACGAAGAAGAAATCGGCACCTTGATAATCGTGGTCCTCAAAGCCCAAAACCTCAACGACAAACACTTTTTCAAACAAGATGTCTACGCTCAGGTATCCTTGAACGGTGAAGATCTCGTTCATTCATACTAGGAGTAGTGTATCGCTGATCTCATCTGATGTAGGTATCACAAAGAAAACAAAAATCGACTACAAAGGTGGTCAGCATCCCGTGTGGGACTCAGAGCTTAGATTCTCGGTAAAGAAAGGCACAGCGAAGAAGTACAGAGAGCTCGAGGTATCGTGCTTTGCCAAGGAACACAGAGATGACACTCTTTTGGGAGAAGCCAAAGTCGATATGACTGCTACGTTGAAAAGCGGTGAATTCGATGGTATGTGCCGAATGGATGTTGACTCTGAATGATCCAGAAGCTCAATATATCTTCTGTAGAATGGGTCCCACTACAAGTAAACGATGTGCAGCGGGGTGATATTTATCTCGAAATTACATATTATAGCAACGGTCCTGCACCTCCCCCGTCTGCACCTCTCACGTCTGCACCTCTCACGTCTGCACATCCCCCATCTTCACTACTTGCCCCGCCCACCGCCGCTAATTTATCTCGAAGACCATCAAAGATGTCTCCAGCTGACAGGTTATACCGCCCAACGTCATCTGTTAATCTACATGCATCCGCTCAGCAACAGCAACAGCAATCAGGACCTCGTACTCCTCCGAAAGAGGGATCTTTACCAATCCCCGGCAGCTATCCTCCTACGACGGCGGTATCCAACACTATTCCAGCTGCAGTTCCCCATGCGCTAAAGTCCGGCCCTGCTGCAGTACCTAGTACGTTGAAGCCTGGTCCTGTGGCAGTACCCAGTACATTACAACCAGGACCCACGGCGGCGCCGAGCAAATATACAACTGGACCCACGCGTGTCAGTCCAAAGCAACAGCAGCTGCCCCTGCCAGCTACCGTCCCCCCCGGTACCGGTCGTGCACCGCAGAGTAGTCCTCCAGCAGTGCCTTCCATACTTAGGCCTGGTAATCCGCAGTCAGATCCACATCCTTCTCGTCGGTCTTCTGCATCTCCTCCTCGTCAATCACATTTAGGTAACTCTGCAACGGGCTCTGTGCCATATGTTGCGACACATACACCGAATCCTTACACTTCGTCGAGTCCAGCCCCATCAAACTATAACCACAATGGAGCTTTGTTTTACTCTCCGTCGACACCTGTGCCAGTATCAGGTGGTGGTCCGATCCCCTATGCATCGCCGTCAACTCCTGTCCCCCCATCGAATCGCAATAGTTCCTTATCATACTCATCGAATGTCCCTTCAATCCAACCACATACACACCGACAGTCTTCTAACCCAAGCTCTATCCTGGATTGGAACTCCACCTCTCAACCCGAAGGGCCATTATCCTTTCCGGTACCGAATTTCCCTGGTGCTCCATCTATCGCTGTCGACCCCACCGTGAATGGGTATGGAAATGGTTTTTACAACAGTCAACCGTACCAAAGTCCAGTTCATGTGCACCAACGAACCGCATCGTTTTCGCACATTCAACAACAGCCGGCGCGGACGTCGAGTTCAGGCAGTACTGATCTACCTGATCCATATCTGATTGCACGATATCAAACGCCTCTTCCTCTTCCTACAGAAACTCAAGGAGCTTCCTCCTCATCATTCAGCAGCCACCACCGGCGTACGGCAAGTGCCGAACCAACTTCATATCGCCCCGCTCCTCCTGTTCCCGCCAAACATCCTTCCTATAGCACAAGTACTTCTCCTCCTCCCCATAATCTCAATATCCCCCTGAGTCCTCCTCCTTCAGAACCAACACGGTCTCGCACACCAGTAGACGAATCTCGTCTTCGCCAGGCTGAGCAAGAAGCAGCCAGACGGAGGGAACAAGAAGAAAGAGATGCAGAATTAGCGAGGATACTTGACCAGGAAGAAGCAGAGCGAGAAGAAAAGGAGCGAACGTTGGAACAGGAACGACAGCGTCAACGGGAGTTGGAGAAAGTCAGAGCGCCGCCTGTTCCGTTGCGAAAGCCTGATTCGCCGCCGCCTTATGCGAAGGCAGAGGAGGTACGGAAGGCGCAAGAGGAGAAGGATGCAGAGTTGGCGAGACAATTGGATAGAGAGCTTAATCTCTGATTAAATTATACTGGACTTTGTGTGGGAGGTTCATGACAGTCATCCACTGAAAATTTTTGAAATATCTGTATACGTACATACAACATTCAATAATCATCTAGCTAAGCTATAAATTACAAATGAGCATGGAAGAAGAGACCTTGATAATCGTAGTCTTCAAGCCCAAAGCTAGAGCCTCGAGCTCAAGGCCTCAACGTCGTCCAGATCTTTCCAGGGTCTCCTAGGCCTGAACGACAAACACTTACAGGATGTCTACTCAATATTTGTAATGAATTTTCTGAGAGTTCTCGCTCCAGTCTCCACCCCAGAATCGATATCTTTTTTCGGAAATTTGAATACCGAATGGAGAAGCGCAGTTCTGTGACGTCAAGAAGAAAGAAATGACATCATCAACAGTTTCTCGGAGCCAAAAGAGAAGAAACGCGTTTTTGAAATTTCTGTACTTGCCAACTTCTGCCCTGCAGCTTCAGAGGTCCACATTTCTATGGCCATCTTCTCCCACCAGCGACACCATTGGGCTTATGTCTGGATCCCCATAGGTATGTCTCGCTTAGTCATATCTTTCGTTCTGTTACGCTCAACCGTGACGAAATTCAAGTGGGAGCTTTCATTTGGTTTGGTACGTCTTTGAAATCTATTCAATTTCTGTTGAACTGAATAATATTCAGGTACTTTGTGGGCAATGCTTATAACTTGGCTCGCGACGGGCAGGCCACATTATGGTCTGTAATATTGACTAGGGCATGCGCCTGTTTAAAGCTAATGTTTTTACTCGTAGTGTCGATGGCCGCAAACCAACACGTACCCTTCATTTCCGATATTGCAGCGGACATCCTAAAGCCACTGTTCATCACATCTTGTACCATAACTTCAATAAGCTTCATTCTCGATCTCATTATCGAACGATATCTCAGGCATTCCGGTCGGTACGTCCTGTTGTTTCTTTGGAAATTAGTACATGGTGATGCTCAAAACATTTGTTCCAGGCTGATGCCCAACATGCGCACCAGAGAACGCGTTTTCAGCTCACTAGCAATCTTAGGCTCCGTAATCGGCGGCGCAGGCCTCATCCTACTCTCTATATTCGATACCAGGAGACACAAAACCCTCCATGATTCATTTTTATTGGTGTTTATTGTCGGAGTGGCTCTGAGCGCGATTTTTACAGTCGTCGAGGTTCGTCGTATATGCCTTTCACGCGGACGTTGTATGATTGCTTAACGTGCTCATGATTTGATTAGTTTCGCTGGATCTATAAAGATTTTCAATACGCCCCTCTTTTGAAGAGAAGTTATTGGATGAAATCCATCATCGCTGGCATTCTTATCATCCTCGCTTTTGCTTTCGCTGGTACAGAGTTTAAAGTCGTGAATGTAGGAGGTAAAGATGCTCTCTTTTCCTTATCAACGAGTATTCCACCCAGTGATCTCAAGCTGATGTTGTTGTCTTTTCCAGGTATATTCGAGTGGATTATCGCCATGGGCTTCACGTTCTATTTGTTAACGTTCTACTATGACCTCCGGCAAAGCAAGGGTGTCCATCGAGGGGAGCTCAGTGCAGATCGGTTGAATAACAATAATAGACGCTACCGCATGAGACAGATGGCATGAACTACACGAAAGGTATAACGACATTCATCCCGACCGCCATTCCTCGCTTGTGTTGTATACACATTGAGATTGGTCATTCCTTATTAGATTGCAGTGTAACTAATCATGTATGTATTCCATGTATATCTTTGTAGAAAATTTGAATATCAAACCACTATCTTGTTGCACTGGCGGGAGACGAATGGAGAAGTACTCCCGGGGTTCTTACTTGCTAGGCTTTCGACACCGGTGTGAAGCTGAAGATGTTGATGTTGACGACTATGACGAAGAGGTGATGATGAAGACCATCCCGGGTGAGACGAAGGGCTGGGGAGAAGATGTGGAAGATCAGGCCTCAGGTCTAGCAAACAGTAGGTCTGTCTGTTCCCCGTTCGATTACCTTTCCTGTACAGACTTTTCGAGTGATGTCTGGACAAACCTCGACAGCTGCCTCTTTGGTACAACATCGCACCGGGAACCCAGTCCCTGGAAACTCGAGGAAGTCTGAAATCTGACTCTCTTCGTCCACGACCACATACATATGTATGCTTCGCTGTGACGGAGTCCTGGGGAAGGTTTGTTGTAGTTTCGCAAGCTAGAATTTAGGAGTCGAGTGGAGGAAAAATAGTTCAATCATGGCCCAGTTGTAGTTCAAACCCCGCATTACTGAGCAAAGTTGACACGGAGGTGGAGGTGTACTAGAAGAAAGTCGGTCCGCTCACTGCTGGTGTATGAGGGTCATTACACATTCATTCTAGCACCTTTTCTATATACTCTTTGTCAATGCGTCGATGAGATACCAGTATTGCTTCGCTTCGCTCGAAATTAAGGCCAAATGATGCATGGTCCTAGATGTTTTAGTGAGTAGGCGGTACTAGGTAGGTCGTATCCGTAGCATAGATTTCCTATCGCTGCAAGTTTCGGGAAAGCTAGAGAATCAGTAGACAAGCTGTGCGTGCGTATTAATTTCACCAAGAGAGAGATGACTTCCGCCTGAAATTCCCCTTCAATATTCTCCAATTATCAAGTAAAGTTATCTTCGAACGAATCACTTGAATCAATAGAGAGGGGCGGCTTTCGGTCTCGGCCGAACTAGCGCGCCACCTGTAAACGCTCAAGCGCTCATAGAGTAGAATTCAAATTGACAAACCACTGCTATCTGTTGGCTATCTACGAAGTTTCTATTCTTGCAAAAATATTTTACCCATGTCTGACGCTGGGGCTCTCCACTCTGACTCCGCCTCTCGTGGAATCGCAGAGGATCTAGCGAGAGCATCCGACGCCCTCGAAAACATGCAGGCTTCCGGCGAATTGGCTCCTGTAGTCACTGTTGCTCCTGCTTCACCGAATGTTCCTCCTGCTCTGTTCGGCGCTGGAGGGCCAATGTGCGTTTATAACCTTATTCATCGATCAAGATACTTATTTTACATGGCAGGCTCAAACGCTTCGACGAATCGACCGTAGCAAGCAGAAAAGGATCTAATGCACCATCTCCGCCTCCGTCTGTGAAGGGTATAGGGAAGAAAGGTGCGTTATATCTCAGCCTCGTTTCTTGAACCGTTTCTAAATCATTTCGTAGTTGCTAAACCGGACTACTCAGAACAAAAGATCGTCGTGGCGATGGTGAGTGTTTCAGGTTCGTTATATTGCGATGAATATGGCCTCCTTATATCTGTAAAGGTCGGGCTACCTGCTCGAGGCAAGTCATATCTCAGCAACAAGCTCATGATATATCTACGAGTCCGTCATCTCATGCAACCCACGTCGCAAATTGCTGATCTGAGATGATTTAGTGGCTCGAATACGACGTCAAGGTATTATCGATCACGAAACCGTTCATCAATGAAGACACTGACACGACGCAGGTATTCAACGTTGGACAATTGCGACGGACCAAAGCCAGGCAGAAGGCTCAGAAGTAAGCTATTTGTTCGATGCATCCACGCTGGATGATCAATAATAACATATGTACCCAGATTAGGCGTCAAAGAGAATCACACTGCAGAGTTTTTCAGTCACAGTAATGCTCAAGCAACGCAAAGTCGCGATAAGCTTGCGGAAGAAAGTTTAGAGATGCTCATCCAGTGGTTAAAGGAAGGAGGAAACGTTGGAATTCATGGTATGTCTGTTGGCTTGCTTGCCATCCTCGATATTTGATAGACATGATATTAATCCCTCAGATGCTACAAACAGCACCAAAGACCGAAGGTTTGCTTTGCTCGAGCACCCAACGTTTGTAGTTTGTTGATCATCACTGTCTGTCAGGGCAAAGATCGAGGCACGCCTGGCCAAGGAGAAGGGCATGACCCTCATCTTCCTGGAATCTTTTTGCGACGATCCAGCAACGATCGCTGCGAATGTCGAGCTCAAAGTCAGCCAAGGTGATCCTGACTACAAAGACATGTCCCCCGATGAGGCACGGAAAGATTTTTTGCGCCGAATCAGCGAGTACGAAAAAGTCTACGAAACGATCACCGAGCCGCACCTATCGTACCTGCGCATTAAGAATGTCGGAGAGGAAGTCACGATGTCCCGTATCAATGGATACCTTTCCAGTCGGATCGCTTTCTACCTCATGAACTTGCACATTCGCCCGAGAAATATCTTTTTCTCAAGGGTGAGTAAATCTTTCATTGGCGGTCTTGAAGCATGATTATAAGATATAATTCGTCAGCACGGGGAGAGTCAGTATAATGTGGAAGGCAAGATTGGTGGAGATTCATTATTGTCATCTCGTGGAATGCAGTATGCGAAAGCGCTTCCTGCTTTAATCACCGACAATATTGGGGAGAAACCATTGACTGTGAGCCAATAACCATTTATCTGTCGGCTCTCGAGGCAACAGGATGACTTCGTGTTGGTATGTCAGGTCTGGACTTCCACCCTCAAGCGAACCATTCAAACTGCCCAGTACCTTCCTTATACGAAGCTCACTTGGAAATCTCTAGATGAGCTCGATGCGGGTGTTTGTGACGGCATGACGTACGAAGAAATCGAGGTTGGCTTGCTTCTTCTCTTGTTGTGTTCGTATGACTTGACTTGAGCACCTTTCCAGCAAGCATATCCTGATGATTACGCCAATCGTGACGAGGACAAGTTTAACTATAGGTATCGTGGGGGAGAGTCCTATCGCGACGTCGTGGTTCGCTTGGAGCCTGTCATTATGGAATTGGAAAGACAAGAAAATATCTTAATCATCGGGCATCAAGTCTGTTTATTTATTAATCTTCCACTTGAATCTATTTCTCTGACTTATGAGCCCACTGTTATAGGCTATTCTGCGCTGTTTGTGCGTGCCTTGTTTTGTTCCCTCGTTGTAGTCGTTACCGTCTGACATGGGATACAGATATGCATACTTCCACCACCTTCCTCAAACCGATCTACCATACATCAAGATACCTCTTCACACTGTCATTAAACTTACACCGAAGGCATATGGCTGTGACGAGGAGCGGTAAGTGGCGGCTACCCCATAACGCGATTTTTACCTCTATTTACTCTGTTTTACTTTTAATCTTTAGATATACCCTTCCTATCAATGCCGTGGACACTCACAGGCCCAAGCCAAAGGCGGCGAAACAACCTTCAACTCATTCCACAACTCAGAGACAGTATTTTGTAGAAGAAGAGATAAAGCCACTAGCGTAGTACGACAGCAACGCCTGACTCACACCTTTGGCTTGAATGGGTTCGCTGTTCGATCCCAATCTATAGAGAATCTATCGAGGGACTTCCAGGAAGGTTATCTGACTTAATTATATTGTAAACATCTATAATGCACTAATGAATGACGGACAGACCAGTCCAAGTGCGTGTAGTAACGACCGTAAAATGATTCCACAAGCTCAAAAATCGTTTCCTGCAAAGTTTAGTAGAATCACTTCATGTACTTTTAGCCCTTGCGTATGGTATGAGATCGTTTGTCATTTTCAGTCCTCAGCAACAGTCTTCAGTATAGCAGTGTGATCAATCCATGGCGAAACTCACTCTACATGCGAGTTGGAAGTACAACACCACAAACGTTTATTTCACAACGGAATCTACGTACCATATCAGGCCTACCTCCAATAAGAAAAAGTTCAAGTTGTGTCCGAAAAAAAATCAGGTATCGAACCATTTGGTTCATACGATTTCTGGTGGGACCATCGTTTTTAAATGTTACCCTGAACTTATTCAACTTATGGAGAGTTGTGTTGGGTTTTGGAATATATCCGGGATATTCCCAGCTCGAAATTGTAGCTTGCCTTGGTCTACCGCGTTCATCTGCGTTTGTGGCCTCATTTGTTCAACCCCATTGTCATTAGGCCTAGGATTAGAAAACTATATTTTACCTACCCCGCCCAGACGCTTGCCGCTTCGAGTGGAGTGGAGTTGGCTGCTGTGCCCGCCCGGAAAAGGCAATTTTCTGGTGTCCAAATCTCAATTGAGGTAATGAATGGATCATCGTACCCCAAAGCCAAAGAATTAGATAATTTCCCAGGGCTTCTCTTGACACTTAAAACGACTGCTCTGGAGTCTCTCATGTTTATCGATCCCTTCTTTCCCAACCACCATGTCCCAAATCCTTCGTGCATCTCGTGTCTGGTCCAAAACGATCAAATATCCGAAAGCAACACGCTCCTTCCACTCTCCGTTCGCCGTGCTCGGTACCACACATTCTACTCCCTCATCAACCGCTTCAAGTGTCAATGTGTACGAGAAACAGGTAGATTTCAGTCCTGAACCTGTTCCCTATAATGGAGGGCAAAGAACCTACGTCGTCTCTGAACCTGACCCTGCCAATACTCATTACCAAGTCCCCGCTGGTGCATATCCCGTGAGTGGTTCTTGTGACCTTGCATGCACAGCTGACTGACATTCGCATTGATCTGCATCTAGACAAGCCTCCCGTATGTAAACTTCCCAGCAACGGAGGCACCCAATCAAGAAGGCCAAAGCAGCTCTACCAGCTCGTCTTTAGCACATCCTGTGCTAACTCAGGCTGCAGCTCACAATCAAAGCGGCGTCGGTGAAAGCTCTGCAGTCAGGCATGCTACGGCGCCTGGTTCGATGGGTCAGAGGGGAGGTAGTCATGGTGGGCTCGGTTTGTCAGATCAGCCGAGTACGCACGCGGGTCAAGGTTCCCTTGCCGACAGGAATCCTCCACCTATAGAAAGTGACGTTGTCGAGAAGTTTTCTAAAATGAGCGTAAAAGATGCTTGGAAGGCCAGGAAGTAAACCTGCTCTGCTTGCTGTCAATGTCTCCAAAGGTACCGTAGATTGTTGATTGTGGTCTCCAATTTCATACTTACACGAACTCACAGAATTCAGAGCGCGTAGTGTAAACTGATTGCTCCGTTGTGTATTTTTATTATTCGAAGCGCTCGAAGATTGTTGAAATTGATATAATATTGTGCATGCCTTGAAAAACAAGTTTAATAAAGTTGTTTACAGACCAAGCAAGTTCTGTATTGAAAACGAAATGAAAAGTCAGTTTGTGTAGAGACCAAAGCAAGAAGTGGACGCACCGAAGATGAATACTGTATGTACACAAGAATGCCCAACTACTACTTTCTTGGGCGTTTCTTGACCTCATCATCTTTACAAGCATGAAGCATGAGTTTGTTGGGGTGTCCAGGTGTCATGCCAGAGTGCCCTTTAGACCAGTCGTAAGACACGGCGTAGGCAAATATTGATCCAGTCCGGTTGAAAGCGCTGCAAGTTATAGGTCCGGGAGCAGCTTCGAAAGCTAATAAGGTATCTTAATGATGTAGAGATAATGTAGAGACTGGGACTTACTCTTGAGACGAGTGCGAGCATCCTTGTCCCAAAAGTGTATTGTACCGTCGGAACCTGTGATAGTACTCATCATGCGTCTGGAGCGAAGGAAATGGGACACGGGAGACTTGCCGCAAGTGGAGAAGGTACCATGGACGGGATGGAATGATATATCATTCACTGCGTAGACCATAGATTGATCTTTGGCAGTGGGCGTAGAATCTCGTCGATGACACTTGAACGAGAAGTTGTTACTGGGAAAGATGAGGATAGGTTATTCTAAGAAATATACAGTGTGCTTACCTGCTATCCTTGTCTTCAACGTACCTAGAGAGGAAAAAATGAGCAAGACCAATGAACAAGTAAACAGCACATACTGTATAGCTACTCTACCCTCGATGCTTCCGACTGCGAATCCACTACTTGCAGACGCAGTAAAGCATGTTGTAACACGTGTTTGCCATTTTAAAGGAGATTGCATGGTCTTGTAAGCAGTAGTGGGATTGGATAAGTTGAAGATCTGAATGTGCCGTTCGGCGGTACCAACGACCATTAGTGGATATTGGACGTCCATGCTATAACATCGCTCGGGGAGGGTGACGCTAGCCACTGGTTGAGGTGTGCGGAGATCCCAATACTTTGCAGACCAGTATGAGTTGGAAGACAGAAGAAACGCGTCAGTCAAATTTACGCACCTTCACTGTTTTATCCCAGCTTCCTGTTGCAAGAATTCCAGACTGTGCGTCTACCCATTTCACGCTCTTGATAGGCGCATCGTGTTGAGCGACTTGGCTTGTGGTGCCCGTCTGGACATCGAACATTCGACCCGCGTTGTCGGCACCACCAGACAGAATTTTGTTTCCTTCCTTGAAGTTCAAAAAAAGAGTCAATTCATTTCAGACAGTTGAGAAAATGGAGAGAGATGGGTGCCTTGTTCCAACAGACAGATAAAACAGGTCCTTGATGTTGATACATCGCTTTTCCTGTTGTTTGTCCTCCAGCTAAGACCTCGTATATGCGAACCTGTGTAAATAGTATATTTTGGACAGAGTAGAGCAGAGGGGATAGTTTGCTTACACTATTATCCCAACTCCCGACTGCAAGATAATCAGCTTGACTGGAAAAAGACATTGAAGATATCGAATCAGTCGGAGGGTCAGCCATTTCAATGTCTTTCTCGGCTGTGGCCGACGTATTCGTCGTCGTTGATGTCCCGAAGAAAGACATCTTGGTCAGGATCAAAACGCAGTGAAGAAGATGAAATATGAAGGGAGTAAATATTGTTTTACTATCCGACAGAGGCCACTGAAAAACCCGTGACATTATGATGAGTGATGTCTTGCTCACGCACCGCGATCTTCTGTTGTCAAATTCATGAGGAATGATGGAAGATAGATGTTCGCTCGCTCTTTGCTGCGCTTTTAGTATGACTATCACATAGATTCGCCAGTACAGGATCTATCCGATAGCTTTCCATCACAACTCTCAAACGAAGCCAAGTGATACTGAGCCGAATGGCAGAACTGTAACTCGCCCTAACTCGCCTTCATAATACGACATTATAACTTACAGACTCAGGCGTCGACTTGGTGTGCGAGATTTTTCTCCCTGATCGTTCTGCTCGGTTGTTCCTTAATTGGACCGTGTTGGTTAACCTTTCTTCCATTGTTCTTCGAATCTTATCTCGAAGGGCTCCCTGGGGCTCCTGGGTCTACACACTTCCAGTCTTCCACGCCGCAGGTTTGTGTCACGGACTAATAGCATCTAATAGGCAAGTGATTCTCCCAACATTTTCGCATGGTCTAGTAAGAGGCAGTGGTGCTTATCTTTACCGTACAGCTATTTCCGGGAGTGTACAGTACAGTACTAAATTTGACGCACATGAGGTGGGTTAAAAATTATACAGAGAAAGCAGTAGTTCTCTGGCACTCCCCGTTGACTTAACCATCTTTCAATGGGTGCTTAAGCTATGTGCCAATTTAATGGTTAAAGCTCTACTCAAATATTCTTCGTGGTGCTGCATGAATGGTAAATCAAACATTTATGTATAACCATGATCTGAAGTGCACCCAACTATCACCGCCGGGCGTATCTCGGACGTGATTGCAGGCTCTTGCTGATTAACCTAAGTGCTTTCCAGCTTCACTCAGATCTACCATTCTGGGCTTTAGCATCTTTCTTTGCCTCGAGTTGTGGCGCATGTCGTCCTCCCGCTTGGGAATTCAGTGAAAGTTTCGGGCATATCGATTTCTAAGAGGGGAACAAGAGAAAAAAGATACTAAGTGTAGTTTCGGGGGTCGCTCGGTGACAGACATTTGTAAACCCGTACCCGCATAGTAAACACATAACCATGAGGTTATTTTGGTATGAATTGACGGGCCAGTGCTAGCCATACACGACTTACAGCTCCAATAGAAGATTGTCACTTGAAGTAGACTAGAAAAATAAAAAGAACGATTACATAGTGCAGATAAGGAGACACAGCCGGAAAATAAAATGTCGGAAAATTAGTAAAAGTTAGAAAGCCCGGACGAATGAAACACGATACTCCGATATTGAAGGTATTATGGTATTTCAGACAGTAAGAGCTACCACCGGGGCTGCGAACGGAGACGGCGCAGCGCTCACTCCAGTGTAGGCGAGTTTCTTGAAAATCTAGAAATACATGAGCGCAAAGTATAAGGATATGCAGAAGAACCCAGGCATTGTAATCAACAAACGATGTCGTGCTCACCTGAATGAATACGTCGGAAGACTGGCCTCCTTGTACGCACCACTTTCCGTCGATGATGGTCATGGGCACACCAGTAACCTTCGACCTGACCTTTTCACACATAGTATTGACTTCTTCAAGTAGTTCATCAGAATGTAAGAAATCAAGAGCCTTGGTAGTACGTCAGCAAGAATGAAGTGAAAAAGGTATTGGCTACTGAACCTCCTGCTTTGACATGACGCCGGTCTGTTCAGAGATGTCCGAAAGCACGTCAAGGTCAGCAACATCTCTCCCTTCTTCCAAGTACGCGCGGAAAACAGCACAAAGGAATGGCAGCTGCTTATTCTGGCCACCAATTTGGTAGGCTTTGCGGGAGAGACGATGAGCTCTTGTTGATTGGCTGACAAGACCTTTAAAGGCTCTGTATATTTATGTTATCAGATTCGAAAGACAACAACACAACGATATAGCGGCGCACATAGGTATGTTTTTCTCTTGCGACCATTTCATAATACTCGCCTGCATTGCAGCCCAAGGTTCTTTGCCTACAGTACTAGTAAAGAATTCATCCTTGGAAACTTTCGGCGTGTTTTCGTCGGGAAGAATACGGGTAGGAATGAGCCTGAAGGGCAAGAACTCGATTTCAAAGGTTAATGGAAGGTGCAGGGTGTCCTGGCAGTAGGAAACTGCCCCAATTAATTCGTGCTGGCCAATGTTGCAGTTTGGACATATCTACAGACAACTACTGAGCATCCCAAGGGCAGTTAATCAGATCGGAAAATCAGGACATACCACATCGCTGATCACGGTTAGCTTGACTGGTCGATTAAAGGCAGACATGATAATACAGAGATATTCTGTAGTCTGCGACTGGGTATTTGGTGACGATCTGAGGGAGTCTGTAGATGTCGGGAATGGTGGGGAATGATTATGAACTGTAATATATAAATAAGAGACACGACGCTGACTACAAACGAAGTAAATAGGCGTAATTATAATGGGCTTACACACGACTGTATTATGCGATCGCAAGGTGTGACTAAGGGGGATCTCACTGTTCACGCCGGAAATTTACTGAATTTGTAAGTAACTTTCCCGTCACCACTGCCTACATAGTGCTCAAAGTTGGCCTTCGAGTCCAGAGATCATCTCGGAGGTTCCGGGTCATTTCACGAGTGGGTTATGAATCGGTCGAACTGCGCTGGAAAGGCTCAGAATGACCATTTCGCAGAAAATGAGTAAACCTTGAGATTAGAATATTGGTGAGCCGGCGAGTCATAACGGAAAAGTATGACTTGGATTGGTGAGAAGCGAGATATGTACATGACGGGAAGTGCAATCGAGCCTGTGATCAATAGATCTCCCAGAAGCGATCATCCTCTATCACATCTACATTTACTCCTGGGGGCCATGGCTCTGGATAATCTCCAATGCGATAAATCTTTGTCCAGACTTCAAGCGTACCGAGAATGCTGCTTGCCCGACGACGACTTCTAATGTCAAAGCTTACCATTTCGACAGGATGATTCATCTGCGTACGTCGTTGAACCATTCTTAAGAGAATAGGGACGTCATTAATAGCCAGATCGCGCACACAGAGCGCCCGCAGATCAGGCCACCAGACAGGTTTACCTTCAATACTGAGGGCCATATACAGGAGCGACGCAGATTCCAGCGTCAGAGATGCAACGGATGGGAAAGCTAACATCAACTGCCCTATGTCGCTGATCCCAAAATTGCATGCATATAGCGAGAGATCTCTAACATTAGGAAAGTCAAATAACCATAGTTTATCCATATCACACAGGACTAGGTTTTCCAGCTGATTTAGCGGTAATGCGGTAAGCAAGGAATTGGCATAGGTGAAAGGATGATCGGTGTCCTTTGCACGAAAACGCAATGATCGGAGTTGAGGGAGTTCCAATGTCTGCAACTCTTTCATCCCTGCTGCCGGTTGGTCTATCTTCAGTCCTCGGAGAGAAAGATTAACCAGAGACGGCGTAGCAGCCAGAATGTTCCTATAGTCGAAGACAGTAAGATCCAACATGTATACACCGTCCAGGTGCAGAGTTGTGATGCCACTGGAGATTGGGGGTCGAAGACCACTAGCAATCCCAGTGAGCTGCAGAGAGGTCAATGAAGGTGCTCCTCCTTTGAGAATGAGAGGTACATTGCTCATGATTCGGTCATAAGGACCGCTGTCTGCCCAGTCGACGTGAATAGCAAGAAAATCCAATTGAGAAGCCTGCAAAGACTCTAAATACTCGCGCAAAAGCAGGCAGGCTTTCGGATGCTTCAATACCGAAATCGAAAGATGGGAGCATCGTGAGATGTGAGAGGCGATAAGGCTCAGAAAGGGGGAAAAATCGAGGTTTGATTGAATGTGGATGCGAGCGGCGAAAAGACACGAAGGACCGCTACGACTGAGGTAGGTTTCCAACTTGTGTTGACGCGATGATATATGCGAAGAGTGTTCGAGGGGTATCCTAATGTCGGCCCACAACATTGGTGTACCGTATGCTAGCTCTCTCCAGCGACTGCATACCTGAGAGGCGATGATTTGAAAGGCATGGAACTCTTTCTGGCATGATAAGAAGATATGTGAAAGTAGTTCGGGAGGAAGCTTTGATATGAGCACGTTATCATTGTTAATCCGCGCGCGCTTGGTTTCTGCCATAGATATATCTGCGTTGACTTGTTCAAGTTGGTGGAGGAGAAGAGCTTGTCTGTCACGTAGAGAATCTAGGTGTGAATCTAGCGCATGCAAGGAATCTGGTAAGTTATGAAGACTGGATAAGGCTTCTATAAAAGATAAGTGGGCAAATTTAATCATAAAGGTGGTTAATGATAGATACCCATGTGTCTAACGGTTCAAGCTTGAAGGATATTCGGAGTTGTACATGTACACCGTCACCCCAATTTTTCCAAGGCCGCTCAACGAATTGCGCCATTTCGTGTGACTTGTAAGCGAGATCGTCACATGTTTCTACGTAGAAACCATATACCTCCCTGATACCTCCATATACTTGGAAATTGGAGGGAGTCTTGGACAGCCTGGACAGAGAATTCAAGTGCTTCTAAACAGACCCCCGAAGGTAGAACAGGGTACACTGGTGCGCAGAATTCGATGATTTTCTTATGGTTGCGCTCTTTTAAGAATTTTGACTGGTTTCTTAAGGAAATCCTGAGATAGAGGAGCACCCAAACCTGTAGAATTTCTTGAAAACTACAATTCTTAAGAATTTTGAATGAACTTTTGAGGATATTGTCAGATTTTTGAATGCCTTGCGACTCGCGTGCTCATGTCCGTGATGAGCAAACAAAGGAGCTCATTTTAGGATAAGATAAGGCCTGCGTATGAGAGATGACTTAGTGCGCACTGAGCGCTTAAGATCTCTTGCTCCCGTCTCTCATTGCCCTCGCGCATCTTACGCGTCATATTCGCAAAATTGGTCATAAATCCGCCGCAATGAAAGGCTTTCAGTTGTATCCTTCCTTATCCCGCGAAAACAGAGCCTGAAAGACTCACAAAACCAAAGAAATATCAGCTCTTTTCAAAAAAATGGACATTGTGTTGAAACTAAAACTGAACTTCAAAATCGACAAAGAGAACCGGAAGCGATGAGAGAAAAGTCTCGAATACCAGCTAGGAAATGCCACAGAGGATGCCTCGGATATAGCATCTTTCGTGACTATCGACACAAAGTCCCTCAAGAATGTCAGAAAGGACCAGACCATCTTCGAGAGACTGAAGGACTTTCTAACCACTGACACATTAGACTTCTTCAGGCAGAAGAACGAAGAGAAAGGAGACGGATGAAGCAGAACAAGAGGCAGAGAAGAAGAGGCAGAAGAAGGTGTGAGAAAGAAACGGAAGATGGGAAAGGTCACTCTAGTACCTCGATCCGCTGGTCCACACGTCACAACCTTCGACACACTCCTTTTCAACACTATCAACGTGTTCCCCATGTTTCCTCTTTTCCTATTCACCAACAAAAACCTAGACCTGATCAACACGCATATGCCCGAGCTGAAACGAGTGAAAATCTCCCATATTAGGGGCAAACTACACATTCTTGACCTCAAGGAGATAGCCAAGTGGGTCAAAGAGGCGGGTGGTATATTCTGCGATGAGGACCTCAACTTCATCCAATGGAGTCAGGCAGTGAAGAACTTCTACCAGTTCAAATGCCTAAGAGATGAAGATCTGGGAAAGGAGGCCCCTCAAGCTCTCTCTTATGTTGAACACTTTGCATTCTTCCTGAACCAACAGGACTCTGAGGACTTTTTTGCATACTGGCTCAAGGTTGAAGTCAAGCTCCGAAAGGAGCATCAATCCAAGCTATATGCTTTCGACGGCAATATGTACGAACAGGAATGGACACTCGTCTACGTGGAACGAATCTCAGACTCCAAATACGCTTCATCCTCTCTCATCTCCCCTCCAACGCAGACTCCATCCTCCTCAACTTCGAAAGCACCCTCGTGTAAACCGGAAGCCCCACCTGCAACAAGCAAACAGCCCTTTTAACCAGGCAACAAGGATAGAACTGCGGCCCCTTGTTGCCTCGGATGCGCCGCCCGCGGTCACAAACTTGATGGACGCGACGACACGAAAAATGGACTGTTTCGCTGGGCCCGTAACATCAAAGGCCTCATCAGCACGCCGGGGGGAAAAAACATCTGCTGGTACTGGAACCTGCGAGGACAATGCAGAGGTTGTGAGAAGGAACATTGCTGCACCTTCTGCGGCAGTAGCTCCCACTACGCTTTCAAGTGGGAATGCACCACCCAACCCCCAATTGTCTAAAGAGGACCTCATGGAAATCTTCCATTCGCCACCTCTCACTTTCCATGACTTCAAAAACTCTATCATTATACGCCAAGCTTTGCCAGACACTCCAGCAGAACACATCGAAATCTATGAACACATTGTCACTCCCTATAACACAGACGCCTTTGAACTCGAACTCACTACACATAATATCCTAGACCGGCACCCACTTCTCGTGAACATCCTTTGAAATGGCGCGCCACTCAGAGAAATGCCTCAACTCAGAAAATCGATCATTATTCCCAATCACAACTCAGTAGCAAAATTCCCTCAGGTCGTCAAAGACTACCTCACAGAAGAAAAACTCAAAGGTCAGATGTCAGGCCCATTCTCACTCAAGGAAATTGAGTCCATTATGTGCGGTCCCATTGTATTCTCCCCATTGATTGTTGCTGAACAGATACAAGTGCCAGGGATACCAACAAAGTATCGGGTCTGTCATCACCTATCAAAGGAAGGCAAAGACTCCGACGGTAATAAATTCCCATCCGTTAATTCTTTCATTGTGAAGGACTTATTCCCAACATCATTCGACACTGCCTCTAAAGTTGCACTGGTAAGTCCAATTCTCTTCTATACCTCTCATCTAACACTTCCAAATTCCATTCTAATATTTGAATGTTAATTCCATATATTCCATGAAGTTATTCCAAACACTCATTCCCATAATTCCATATAAAATGATTCCATAATTCTGATTCCAACCAAAACATCACAGATCTCATCGGCGCCCCCAGGAACACAAGCATGTACAATCGACATCGCGAAATTCCACAGAACAATACCGCTTATCCCCCACCATAAGCCATTCCTTGTAGCACAAGACCCCAATGGCAGTTTCTGGGCAGACCACTGCTACTGCTTTGGTGCAGCATCAGCAAGTAGCAGCGCAGGGATGGTATCAGGTGCAGTAATTGACATTTGGCGAGAAAAAGGAATTGGACCCATTTCTAAATACAAAGATGACCTCCTTGCCATCCGCTTGCCTAACGACTTCAGAAACTACGATTACGACTGCACCAGCATGCTCAAATCCATCGCTCCACTCAATGTTCCTTTTCATCCAGCCGACATCAAAGGAGATGCAGAGTTCACCTTCGAAACCATGTACACAGGATTCCACTGGAACCTACCTCTGAAACAAGTCAGCCTACTGAACGAGAAACACCTAAAATATCTGAATCGCGTGCGAAACTTTTTAGAAGAATTCCACGGATGCAAAGCTCCCCTCGTCAGAGTCGAATCCATTCACGGAACCCTCTGCCACATTGCATTCATATACGCTAACAGTTGATTTCACCTCCCTCCAATCTCAAACTTCATGGCCTCATATCGCATGGAGCATGAAGAATACGATGGACGATATCCACCAAGCAGTGTCTTCACTGAATTATACTGGTGACATGACATCCTCAGCATACCAGACTTCTATCGCGAATTACGACCCAGAGGACCATTACTGGATCTGGGTATCTATGTTGATGCTTCTACAGACTGGGGAATCGGCATCCTCCTCGAAGACTCCTGTATGGCTTTCTGCCTGGCCAATAACTGGAAAATACCTGGTCATGATATCTGCTGGCTCGAAACTGTCACTATCGAATTGCTCACATACATCCTCGAAGCCAAAGGCTTCTATGACATCTACATTCTAATACATTCTGATAACCAAGGAACTATTGGTGCCATAAGAAAAGCATGCAGTTCCAATTATTGGATAAATATGTCTGTCCGCTATACCTGTGGCGTTTTAGGCCCACTCTTTATACAAACTGAACTTGAATATGTCGAATCTGCTTTGAATCCGGCTGATCCAATTTCGCGCGGAATATTGGGACCAGAGGATAAGAAACTACCTCTTTTATTCCAGCTCCCAGATGAGCTCAGTAATGTTATTACTTATGTTTAGGTAATTTGCATTCCAGACGCAGATAAGACAAAATACTCATTAACTTACATTGCACAGTCCTTTTGACAGAATACCAGCGCCAGTCAGCTCTGGTGCAAGAACTATTGCTCCGCGCGCTTCGAGTTCTCGAATCAATTCTCATACCTTTCTTGATGACCCATTCACTACACGATTGATACCGACCCCAAGTAAATATAAGAATGATAATAAACCATCAATTCACAGTCCCTTTTCTGACCCTTTTGTAATGCCCACCACCTCAAGTACACAACAATCACAACAACCAAAGCAACTTCCTTTCAAACTCACCAACCGAAAGCCCAAGAAGGGATGCAAACTCGATCCGAATCCACTACGACCAAATGTACAAGCTGCCAATCACATCCATGCATGGAACACACCATTTTCAATACAGAAGAGACTCGAGGAAGCATCCTCTCTACCAGCAAAAGTTATCAAATTAGGCGATGCAATCATGGCAAAAGGCACCGTAAAAACAACAAAGGAAGTCTACGCTGTGGGCCTACTCTGCTACAACCAATTTGGAGATTTGATGGGCATTAGCGAGAGCGACCGCATGCCAGCATCAGACAGACTTATTATCGGTTTCATTGGACACTATGCAGGAAAAGTATCTGGAAAATCAATCTCAAATTGGCTATCTGGCATTAGACTTTGGCATGAGACAATGGGAGCCCCTTGGCCAGCAGATTCACGCAGAATCCGACAAGCTAGATGGGGAGCTAACGTCGAAGGCTCTCATCACAAATGACCCCCACGACACCCCATCACCATTGAGCATATGAAAGCCCTGCACCAAGAACTCAACTTTTCCATCCCATTCCACTGTGCCATCTGGGCCCTCGCTTGCACTGCATTCTTCGCATGTCGACGGCTAGGCGAATTAACAGTCCCATCACAAAACACATTTGACCTGAAGTTTCACGTTATCCGAGATTCGAAAGCCATAACTTTCAATTCCAAACCAACCTCGGTCCATTTCTGTATCCCATGGACAAAAACCACGAAAGAAGAAGGAGCACCGGTAGTAGCTACCAGCCCCATGGGAGATAATACAGAGTTCTTATGCCCTTCAAAAGCCTTACGGAAACACCTCCTGAAGAATGCAGTGCCAGAGGACTTCTCATTGTTTGGATATATTGATGAAAAAGGGAAGCCACAACATATGGTGAAGAAAGTATTCTTAGATTTCTGCTTTGACATATGGAACCGAGCGGCACTCCAAGCAGTCTTTGGCCACAGCTTCAGAATCGGAGGAGCAGTCTGGCTACTCTTAGCAGGAGTACCCCCAGAGATTGTGGCAGCCAATGGATGATGGACATCACTAGCTTTCCTATTATACTGGAGAAGATTGGAAAGCATACTCCCAGATCATATTGCAAAGGCCTACAAAAAATCCCAGTGGAACACACTTCGAGACAAAATCGACTCATTCCATAAAGTTAATAAGATATCCAAAAAGTTTATCAAAGCATGTATAACAGGTAACAACATAGAAATAGAGTTTTAATACATTATGAGCCTTGCTCTACTTGGGGGTTTCAGCTCCCTCCATAAATGTCAAGACCCAAGAAGGAGCTATGGCTCTGTCTGGGATGTTCAGGCCTCTCCATGGGTGGGAGCACGGGGCCAAGCCCCAGCCAAACCTCAGATCAGACTTGTAGAATTGGGGACTCACTTCATGTAAGAGTGAGTCCAGTTTAGTACAGTCTCTAAGCTACTTATCTTATTCACAGATCCTGGCCCATGACCAGATGATTTAACATCAAATATCAGACCATTTAAAAAAAAGAGAATTATTTGCTCATTGAGTCCGTACAAGACTGCGACGACTACAATATTTTACATGCCATGTCTACCCTATATACTGATATTAGTACTTATGTTGCCTATTGAGAAGTGCTAGTGAATGTTGACACTTGAGCTTGAATTCTCTTGAATTCGAGCTTGAAGTCTTGAGGGTGGAAGTTGAGATGGTATTGACAATGTTGACAACATTGACAATGGTGGAAGACTTTCATCCTTGAGACTTGAAGCCAAAACTGAGACCTTGCAGGAGCAACTATTTGAAGGACGTTGAATCTCTTGACTCTTGTGGCATACACTTGCTTCCAGTTTGTGGGCTGATGCAAGTTGACGTTGAGGAGGAAGGACAACAACAAAAAATGATAGAGAACTTGAAAATTGTCAGTGCGCTGGCAGACATTTGTAATCGGCTTTACGATTGTTTTGCTGACAATGCTGAGAAAAAAAGAGACTTCCAATATTTTTTGTGAATGACCAGACGATATTCTTAAGAGTTGCAGGCTTAGTCAGGAAATTTCTTCAAGATTCACAAGAATTCTGGATCCAATATAGATATTGACGATATTCTTGAAAGTGCATTCATAAGAATTTTCTTCCTTCCGATTCTTAAGAATATACCAAAGTTCCGTGCAGCAGTGTACGCAATGTTTTCGGCCTCGAAAATATGCTAAGAGACGCTAAGTAAGGTCCAATAATATTTGGACAAGAAAATGGCTGATTCTGGCCTCTAAAATACATAATTTCAGACAGGGTTCTGGGGCTTCCAGGGGCTTTGTACAAGGGACATACACCATACATAGGTTTGGGAGAGATAATTTGGTTGATAATTTGGTTGTTCATTCCGAGGTGTAGGTCAGTCTCGAGTAACAGACTGACAATATACACGATTAAAAGATGTGTTTATATGTACGCATAGAAAGATATCAAGATGACTTGATCGCATAATACTATGAGCTTCTCATCGCTCTCTTGCGAACGTCTTCATCTTTGACAGCATGGACCATGATTTTGTTGGGTTGTTTGCTGGTCATGCCGGAGAAGCCCTTGTGCCAGTCATAGGATACCGCATAAGCAAATATTGAGCCTGTCCTGTTGAAGGCACTGCATACGATCGGACCAGATGCACGATTGAAACCTGACGTGTAGGTAAGAAAAAAAAGGCGGTTACGGATGAACGTCGAGTATGAAAGAAAGGAAAATGGGAAAATGAACAGGGCAGAGGTCACGAGTCACAACGGAATACGCACTCTTCAATCTCATTCGTGCATCCCTGTCCCAGAAATGGACAGTCCCATCGGAACCTGCAGTAAGCACAATTCAATTCAGTCATGCAGGTTGTAGCATCCTGCACGACACGCACCGCAAGTAGAAAAAGTGCCATGTACAGGATGAAAATTGATATCATTGATAGAATAAATGAGGGACTGATCATTCTTCTTTGAACTGGAATTTTGACGATGACATCGAAAACTGTATTCGTTACTGTCGATCGGGTGAGCTCCAATATTCGAACTACTGTCATTAATTCAAAATACCGTTTGTTATTCTCCTCGAGGTAACTAGGGAGACAAGTTGTGAATCCTGGAACAAACAATGAATGATGAGTCGAGAACTCACCAAAATGACACCCTCCCCTCGATGCCGCCTACAGCAAACCCAATCTTGTCAGGGCAGCATGTAACAACACGAGTCTGCAACCTCTGCGGAGAAGCAGTGTTTTCATATAATATTGGAGATTGCGCCAAGTCGAAGGTTAATATGCGGCGTTCGGCAGTAGCTGCGACCATCAGAGGGTATCTTGCGTCAAGAGCATAACACCGTTCTGGGAGTTTGACGGTTGCAATAGGCGAGGGAGCGCGTAGATCCCAATACTAGAAGAGATTGAGCAGCATAAGGCAAGTTGCAAAACGAAACACACCTTAATGGTTTTGTCCCAGCTTCCAGTTACTAGTACTCCTGCATGCGGCATGCTCACCCATTTCACGATCTTGACGGGCCCGGCGTGCTGTGCTACTTGAGTAGTCTGCCCAGTCACAACATCGAACATGTGCCCCGTGTTATCAACGCTACCAGAGAAAATTCGGCTGTTTTCCTTTCCATTTGTGATGTATTGTTATGAGGTAGTAAGAACCACATTAAAGAGCACTTGCCTGGTCCCAGCAAACTGATAATACCGGGGCATGATGAGCATACACTGCTATCCCTTTAGATTGACCTTGCGGCGAGACCTCGTAAACGCGGACCTACAAAAAGTAAACACGTTCCGACGTTTGGATACATTAAGGTGGAATGAAGAAAAGCTTACCGAGTTGTCCCAGCTTCCAACGGCTAAATAATCAGCTTTGTTGGAGAACGAAAGTGATGAGATTGAATCATTGGGAGGATTGGGGAGCCCAATATCTGCGTTGTTAGACATGAACCTCGCAGTCACTGACATGTCCGGAATTGTAAATTTACATATACACACAAAAATTGAGTCAACTGCGGCTCCGAATTGCAACGGCTTCGTGCAAAGGCGGACTGTACGAACTATACCGATGAAGGATACGCTAGCATACGGCTTTGAAACGGGGACTGCGATGATTTCGTTCCAACATGTTGTTATGCAGACTCTTACTGCATATGCATTATTGAGAGGCCAAATACATGCCCTACATTATCGCTGCACCAGTTCAATCTGGAACGTTCAAGACATCCAGCACGAACTGGGCTGTCATCAACTGATAGTCAATAGTCTCCGATGTCCAAGCAGGTTTGCTGATCGTCGACTCTCTCGGAACGATAGGGTAAGACGGAGGTAGGAAGACGTGCAGAAAGCTCGAAGCAATGTTCAAAGTAAGGCGGGTTAAAATTCATTGAGAGTTTGAAGAGATCTTCATCGGTAAATGTATCAGCTCAACGGACTGGCCAAGGGCCACTCAGACGTTTCGGAACTAAGAGAGAGCTGTGTATTGCTGGAGGCACCGGCGACGGCCGGACTGGGCCACGTGCTAACCAATATCTCGTTTGAAGTTTCGGTCATTGAACCGTGAACGTCTCTTTTCTTTCTCCTCAAGTTGGCTTACTCCAGTTCATTCCTTTTTCTGTCCTATTTCGGGCTGGACTGTTTACCATATAAGTCACCGTCATGACTACTCCTCATGTAATTGCTTCGTCTTCCCCACATCCTTCTCAGTCCACAACATCCAATGGAATCGTCGGTAGCCACTACAAAGTTGGGAAGAAGATCGGTGAAGGTTCATTCGGTGTTGTGTTCGAAGGTGAGCTGTCATTCTGATTGATGACCTGACTCCTTGTCTCTTTTTGCCAAAACCTCCCTTGCTTTCACCTATGTGCTGTGAACTGGCGGCTTCTAAAAACGTAAAGCAGTTTTTGCCAAAGCTAACTTAAATAACATACAGGAACCAAGATGATTTCCAACACACCCGTTGCCATCAAATTTGTACGCTCGACCGATTCTTGTAAGGCGACCTACTCACCCTACCCACCCTAGGAACCTCGAAAATCCGATGCCCCTCAATTACGGGATGAGTTCCGCTCTTACAGGACGTTGAATGGCACCCGTCTGTCTTTTCGTCTTTCCATTCTCTTTTCGTATTCGAACCTATCTATTCAGCGGGTGTTCCGCAAGTACACCATTTTGGTCAAGAAGGGCTGCACAATGTCTTGGTCATTGATCTCCTTGGTCCAAATCTTGAAGATCTGTTTGACATGTGTGGGCGCAAGTTTTCCGTTAAAACTGTTTGCATGGCCGCGAAACAAATGGTAAGTTATCGTCTTTTCTCTTGTTTTTCGACGTATGACCCGAGTGCTAACATCATCAAACTCAGGTTACTCGGGTACAAGCAATCCATGAAAAGTCCCTTATATACCGCGACATCAAACCCGATAACTTCTTGATCGGTGTACCAGGTTCCAAGACTGCTAACACTATACACATTATTGGTGAGTTTGGTCCTCGGATGTTCAATAAAATACGCTTCTTTTTATGTGTTCTTCCGTTTGACGTCATATTAATCTTGCGTCGCTGTTAGACTTTGGTATGGCGAAGCATTACCGTGACCCGAAAACCAAAATCCACATACCTTACAGAGAGCGCAAGTCGCTTTCTGGTACTGCGCGATACATGTCCATCAATACCCATTTAGGTCGTGAACAGTCTCGAAGGGATGACTTAGAATCTTTGGGTCATGTATTCATGTACTTCCTCCGCGGCGGTCTACCGTGGCAAGGCTTACGTGCTGCAACCAATAAGCAGAAGTATGAAAAGATTGGTGAAAAGAAGCAGACCACCGCCATTTCGGAATTATGTGAAGGTTTCCCCGGTGGGTGCCTTTCTCTTTACAATGTGTTTCAGGCGACTGAAGTTTCATCAGAGGAGTTTGCAATTTACATGAATTATGTCCGAAAGCTTGGTTTCGAGGAAACTCCAGACTATGACTTCCTTCGTGAACTATTCACCAAGGTTTTGAAGACGCTAGACGAGCCCGACGACGGTGTTTATGATTGGATGCTTCTCAATGGTGGCAAAGGTTGGGAAGCTACTAATGTAAATTCAAAATCCTCTGTACATATTTATTGATGTCTAATCTCTACTTTCAGCCTCACGCAAGCTCTTCGGCAACGCATCGTGAACACAGGCGAGAACGTGAACATGGTGCTCACCGACGTGGGTCACGACAGGCTCAAGACCCTACCAATACTTCATCGGGACTCGTTGTCAGCCCCGCACCCGCACATGTCAAAAGCAGTCGACGACCAGCAAATGGTGAGCGGGGAAATTCGACGCCTCGTGATATAGGAAGCGTTCAGCCTTTGGCACCTGCTAGTCGGCGCGCGAGCCAACAACAACGCGAGGCAAGCGCTCTCGCCAGTGTTGGTATATCAACACCTCACCCTTATGCGACCGCTCCAACTCCTAACGGCTATCGAAGCAATCCAGATCGAACCGCCTTTGGTCGAAGTTCCCCTATTCCCACTCCGGGGTTGCCAAACGGGAACGGGAACGGCATACCAAACAATGGTTCAGAATCGTTCTTGTATGGTCAGATGCCCAAGGGCCCAAATTCGCGAGAGGGCACGACGACCGGCGGAACAGGTACAAGGGACATACATGCACCGGGTCCTGTACGGAGCATGGCGGTTTATGATCAGATGGGGAGGGTTGGAGAACAGGATGAAGATGGTGGTCACGGTCGGAAAAGAGGGTTCTGGGCTGCACTATGCTGTCGAGGTTAGAGGTTGACCTCATCATGACTTGGTTATGGTGAGCGCTGCTTTATTCTAAACCTTATAGGCAGTCCTTAATCTTTCTTCCTAGACGTTCCAAAAATAGATCGGCATGGCTACACTACAAGCTCGCTAATTATTTATTTATATCAACACTGGTCACGACCGTTCTCTTTTCTTGGTCTCTTTCCGGTTGTCTTCACGCTTTCGATGTCAGGTCGCATTTATTCGCATTGTAGTTATAAACTTCTTTCACTTTCACCTCATCCACTTTGTCTTCACACACGAACTGGAAATCGAACCATACTTGCTCGGTGCACGAATGCCCAAACCTTCACTCTTCCAATTGTATAATTTAGCTGGCGCAATTCTTTCAATCATTTGGATACTGTACTTAGATCTATGATTTAGGACTCAGCCTCCAAAATCTATTTAATTCTACCCCCCAATAGAATGGAAGACCAGGCAAGGCCCGTAGAGGGCGAGAGCAAGTTTCCGTAAATAGGGAACAGCCAGTGCGATGAAAAGCCAATGAGAATGGTTGGTGCATCATAAGCTTCTAAGCCTTGAGCCTATCTACCCCCGATCTCGCTCACCTCTTGCTCATTAGAGTAAGCAAAGTTCATTCTCATTCTGGCCCACACAGATGGTCACAGAAGTGCTGTGCCACAGGAGCCATATGCAGCTGTAGTTCGTGGCTTGTGCTCATCGATCTTCCTCACATCGGGCTTTCTATCGAGCACACACAGACTGGTCTCATTCACTTGCAATACCGAGAAGTATTTGTTGATTGATCTAAATTCGGAAATCGACGTTCATTAATATTTTCTTATCCAGTACATACATACATAACCAAAATGTTATTAAATTTCAGCCTCTTCTAGCCGAACTTTTGTGGCAATACGAATGTCATCCAGCGTTATAGACGAACGTTCGCACATACTTCTAAAAATACCATTTGGGTTTTTGTACAAATTAGCTGGTGTGTCGAATTCCTATCAAGACAGTTGTCATGAGCTGTAGCCAAAAGAACATAATTCTGAAAAGACACACAGCAATCTGCCCAGCATCAAGCACACATATACGGTCATATGAAATAATAGTTCGTAGTCGATGAGCAATACAAAGGATGGTTCGGTCTTGAAATTCATGAGTTATGGTGTCTTGAATTTTTCTATCAGTTTCATAATCCACCGAAGCTGAACGGTGTATTGAATGATTATCATACGGAATAATCAGAAAACCAATGACTAACCGGTAGCCTCATCCAGGATCAATACCTTTGTCTCCTTCACCAGTGCGCGAGCTAATGATACCAGTGACCGCTGCCCAATTGACAAATTCCCGCCTTCGTCTTCTATCACAGAGTCAAGCGTGAACCTGTTTACCGGCGTATCGCTGCCACGCTCTTCTAGATCGGAATCACTAGTGAGTACAGAAGTGCGCTTTGAGTTGTCGACCAGATACGATCTTCTGAGTGCATCCCACAACTTCGCATCGTCGTGTAGATTGAATGGATCCAGATTGGTTCGAAGAGTTCCTGAAAACAGTAACTACATGATTGACGACTCAGTACCGGATTATGACAGGAAGAGAATGAAAACGGACTGCGTCTTGTGGTATGATAGACAAACCAGTCCTCAGATCTGTGAGGCCCACATTAGCTATGTTCACGCCGTCTATTCTTATAGAGCCCGACGCCAGTTCGACCAGTCGATATATAGCCGACATCAAGCTACTTTTCCCGGCTCCAGTTCGCCCGACAATGCCAATCTTCTCGCCTCCTTTGACATTCATTGATATGCCTTTAAGTACAGGAGGTAGTTCTGGACGGTACTTCAATATCACATCTTTGAACTCAACATGACCTTGAGAGGGCCATGGAGAAGGAGGCCTTTTGTCTGGTAATTCGTGAGCGGCTTCTTGTTCGATCTCTTCAGCATAGTATATGACTCGTTCCACAGAGTTCATATCGTTTTCAACTTCTGCACTTTGACGAACTAGCCATCCAAAACTATGTAATACGCAACATTGAGCATTGTTACAAGACTAGTAACACATGGAACTCACGCTTGCTGAATGCTCAAGATGTATGACAGCACAACACCAGTTTGAGCTGGGGAAATTGTAAACCGTGTACCAATAGTCAACAACGCGACCACAAAGGTCAGAATTGTCCCAAGGAAATCGAGCCGGATACCGAGCCAACGCTGCAGATAATATTCACCATTGAGATTTTGTCGAGAAATAGCTTTAAACAAACTTGATTTGTAACGGTCAACCAATACGCTCTGAAATTGGCCCGAATGATATCAGTCCTGAGGTGCTTGGAAGTAGTAATGCTTCTTATTCTTACCTATTCTCTACGTCTACTCTGCGTTCGTTGTCAAGAAGGAACCGTTGTGATTCTCCGTACGCTCGAATAGTGGCAAGGCCGGATAAACTTTCTGAAAAATGTGAGTAGACCGAGGATCGAAGAATGGCATCTATGTAGGTGATAATTGATTTCAGACAGCATATCAAGATCACTGGAAATAAACTCGCCTAATCGCTGGGTACAGGAATATCATAAAAAACAATTGTCAGTGAAGAAAAAGTTGATTAATCAGTGAATATATACCTTCAGTTCACGAGCACTGGCTCGGTAGAAGTACGCAGCATAGCAATACACCAATAGAACAACCACCACAGCGATGAGGAACCATGGGAGAATGATAGAAATTAGGATAATAGCACCCAAGATGTTGGACATGGTGCCAGCCAGCATACGAAGTGCATCTGACCAGAAATAGGAAATATCGGTTCATGCGCTGATTACCACGAGCCGAGCTTGACTGACCTCCGAGTAAGTTATCGATTGTGTCAATATCTGCAAGGAGATTATTACAGACGCTTGGGAGAATGGCTAGAAGCATTACCTTTGGCGAATCGATTCATGATCCGGCCCAACGGGGTAGTCTCAAAGAATGACATCGGAGCTCGCATGACACGCTCGATAGCAGCCTAATTACCCCATCTAGTGAATCAAGCGATGCGGATAGACAGCAGGAGAGTACGCACTTTATGCAAACGTTGCGAGGCGAAGTAGGTAAGCATAGCGAAAGTCGTTCCCATTAAAAACATTGCTGCTGCTTGCGCAACTCCAAGTCCAGCATATATTCCCATCTTGATAACTGAAATTAGCGTCATCAATATTGTAGTTTGGTAAACTTACATAGAAACTTTCAGGTTCCTTCCATTTCCTATAATCGCTTTACTTTCACCGATAAACTAAAAGCAGGCCATGAAACTTACAATTCTTCCCAATAGACCAACCAATAAGAGGACATAACCGTCGCGCCCTGCACCAGTACAAGGGATAGAAAGAAGATAGGCAAGAGCACAAATCCGTTGCCAGATTTGATGTATGTTTTATAGATGGACCCACTGACTGCTCCTGTGTTCCTCTCTTCTACCTGCATCATTCCGGCACCCGCTGTGGCCATTCTGAGCTTTTTCTCATGTTCATCATCTTCTTTGACGACTTCGACTTCTGACTCTTTTTCGTCCTTGGACTCCTGTAGTTCATTGTTTCCAAACTCGTTAATGAACCTGGAAAACTCGTGCCCGTTCTCCATAAGCTCACGATAGGTGCCGAATTCGACGATACGACCGTCGTTGACAACATATATGTAATCAACTAGGGGAAGAAAGTGGAGTGCATGGGTAACGAGGATACGAGTTTTTCCTGCACTGTTATCGTGGAGAACGTTGTTAAATACAGCTTTTCCTACATGCGCATCTAGTGCAGACAAGGGGTCCTACAAGCGTGTAAGCCATATGAGGAAGACAATGATACTTAGCACTCACATCGAAAATCTGGATATCTGTGTTGCAATAAATGGCTCTGCAGATATTCAGACGCTGTTTCTGACCACCAGACAAGGAGATCCCCTATGATTAATATCGTGTTTAACCGCTACCCCTCTGCAAAAAGAAAAGGCCCACCTTTTCACCGACCTCGGTCATATCACCATGAGGAAGCATCTCAAGGTCTGGTTCCAAACATGAATTCTTGATTGCGGTCCAATACCGCCCCTCATCAAACGCTCTCCCAAAACAAATATTTTCTCTGATAGTAGCATTCTGCGAGAAAGTCAGAAACGCGGCAGATACATAGTCAGTACCTACCTGAATCCAAGCACTCTGGGGACAGTATCCCACACTTCCACCAAACTTGACGCTACCACCGGTCCTTCTCATCTCTCCAATGATTCCCTGCAGAAGCGACGTCTTCCCACAACCAACCTGTCCAACTACTGCAACCAGCTGTCCCCTAGGTATCGTGATCGTGATGTCGCGGAGCTTGAATGGTTCCTGTGGTGACTCAGCAGTAGCAGCAGGCTGTGCGTTGGTGATGGTCTTGTTCTTTCTCCTCATCTTTTTCTCTTCGCGTTCGGGTGGGGGGGCATCCCAAGAAAAAGATGCCCCTTTGACTTCAACTGCGGCATCCATCCTTTCATCTATCGCCAATGTTTCGTCTAAAATTTCAGCTTCGAAGACTCCATATAAACGTTGGATCGCATTGTGGGCATCGGTAATTGAACTGAAAGACAAGGCTCAAGATAAAGTCAGGATTGAATACAAGGAGGTGGAAAGCAGAACACACGAAGCATCATCAGAGGCATTCTAAGTAGATTGAAGAGCGTCAAGGAAGCGAAAATATCAGCAGCGTTTAACTGGTGACCGGAAAGTGAATAGGTCACGAATGCCAACACCGATGCCAATGTTGGGAGCGACATGGCGATCGCATTGTTGGCAGCACGAATGATGAGAAGAGTACGAATATAGCTGGATAGAAATGAGTAAAACACTTAAAGGAACAGCGGAAAAAGAGACATACTACATCTCTTGGTATCGATAAGTCGCAATCCGCTTAAGGAAGGGAACCTCCCAAGCAAAGTACTTTATGATTTTCATACCGCCAAGAAGCTCTTGAAGGAGTTTTGCCCTTTTATCGGTCCAACGCATGCTCTTCTGTCGAAAAGCAAACATTTTCTTCATGGCCATAGTTTGAACAGGCGTAGAAAGGATGAAGAACGCAAAGCCGGCAAGTGCACTGGGTCCAATGTTAATGATGAGAAGAACAAGACAAATGGTCATTTGAATAGGAGCGGCCCAAGACTGAGTAGACGAATTGAGTTTAATATCTAAGAAATAGTAAAATGCATACCATATGGAAGAAACCAGCGCAAAAGTCTATTCTAGACACATCCGTTGATATATGATTCATGATCAAGCCATTGGGTAGTTGGGATCGAGCACGGGAAGTAAGTCGCATTGAACGAGCGTATATGGCTGCTATCAATCCTCCGCGGAGCAGGACACCACTGCCGGCTGATCGATAAAAAAACTGGTGGGTACAGACTGATGCAAGGATCTGCAAGAAGAATAATCCGACCTAGACCGTGAGTGGCAAATGTGAGTCGACATTGTGAAAAATGAAGAATGCTTCTCTTACCGCCATTCCTATACCCTTTCCTATAGGAGGAACACTTCTACCTTCCATGTGATTTGTGTAGGATTCGGTTGCGAAGTTCACGATTGCCTATTAAGAAATAGGATAAGAAAGATAACGAGGCGAATCTGCAGACGCGTACCTTTACTAACAACGGCGAAGTCACTTGCGCAGTGTCGCCTATTACCTTGAACAATCCCCCAGTCCAAAAAAATACCTTGACACTGTCATTCAAAGCCAAGACAAGACTGGGTCGTTTCTTGCCATCCTTCTCCCGCCACTGCTTCTCTCGCTCCTTCCTGTCCCCTCGTAACGTCCACCAAATAGTCTTCCAATTTCCAGCCGAGATCTCGCCTTTTGCCAATGCTTCATTGTATTCTTGTGCTTCCTTTCTGCGTCTTTCAAAGGAATTTATAATCTTTTCTCCAATATAAGCGGCCTTTCGATCGTCCTGGAGCTTGTACAAATCGGAAGCTTCAAGCGGGCGATGAAAACCAAGAGTAAGAAGGGGATTTATCCATTGGAAAACCACCAGGCTGAATATTGAAGCTGTTGCTTCCGGGATGAGCTGGGCGTCTTCGATAGTGCCTGTCGGAGGTGTTATTGGTTTTGAGGAAAGACGCAAGAAGCGACGAAATCTAATCAAATCAAACAATTGATCAATGTAAATACATGTGCTCAAACGAAATGATACGTAGCGCACCTTGATCTTTCCGGCGCCTCTTTACCATTGCTGTCAACTCCGGCTTCAAGCTTTTCATCAACTTCTGCAAATTCTTTTGCGGAAGGAGGAGACATTGTGAGAGGAAGCAAACCGTGAGGGTAGATATAAACCTCATTTCAATCTATACTGTCATGCATTACTTATAATGTCTGCGGCTTGCTTGCCGTCGGAAACTATTCAGGCACACTATCGGATAGATGCTTTTGGACCGAGCCGTTGTGAAGATCCACTTTCTCTTCCTTTCCACCACTTCGGACGATGTCTTTTTGCTTCGTCCATTAAGCAAACAAAGGGCACGCAAGCAGAACGCTCAAACTTTGCAGCTCATACTACTATGTGTATTTATCTACCTGTGATGCAAAATTTTCCTTAGATGCGAAACCTTTTTACCCGCAATTATCCGGCTGACAAGCCAGCTCTTGAAATTCTCCCGTCTTCCGAGATCCTGGGATTTTCCCTAATGCACACTGTAGTCAAGTACACTCCACATTGAGACCTACTGAGGCCGTCGTAGGCCGTCGTATATAATACACATGATAATACTAAGTAAACCTTGCCAACCTGTACACCACCTCCCTGACGTTCATACGACGTTCACATTACATCAATAGGAAGCTTTCCATGGGTATGTACTTTTTCATTTAGGGGGGCCAAGGTGCGTATGGATATAATTAACGTCGTCACGATTCAATATTCGTTTACATAAGTATATACCTGTTAAAGGCCTTATTTTCTCAACGGAATGGTAGTGTGTAATCCAGGTATCCTGTTGAGTGAAATGATTTTCCAAGACTAGCAAGAAGGAACTCAGGACAGCGGAACGTATTTGCGCCCTGCAATAGAAACATTAAAATTTAATTACCCGTAACACAAATTCAGGTGTGGGGCTATTCACGAGACCCGGTTTACAGGCGTCAAGCACAAGCCCTCAAAACTGTATCCCTACATAGCCCTACATACATAGTTGATAGATATGTACATAGATATATTGATATAGTTTGTTCACTACATCGCGATTCGAGTTCAATACTATTCAAAATTAATAATTGCCTCTGATTTGATTCCGTCATCATATCTCCTTGACTGTAGATACTAAAAGTCAGAGTAGAAGTGCAAGACACAATGAGCTTTACAAATCAAGTTCTTGTGTTCCATGTCGAAAATTTATCCAGACTCTCTGCCCCATGAGATGCTTCCGCATTGAATCGTCAACAGACATCCTCAAGGAAGAAATCAACCTGCTGGGATAATTCGCTGGTAGTGTAATGATAGCCCAGGTCCATATTTGACCATGAGAGTCAATACGGAAATCAATTGAACACTACATATTATAATTAGGCATAAGTCGGTTCAGCTAAAGAGGCACACGGATGGAAGCTCACAGATGGGTCCTCACGAAAAGAGTTGAATATGATCTCCAATTGTCGCGACAGCATGACTATACTGTAAACACTGGGTCCTAATTGCTTCCCCTCCCAATCTTTGAACAGTGGCATAGTATCACAGGCTTTGGAAACAATATTTTGAACATGTCCATGGATAACGTCAGGCTCGACCTCGAAAGTTTTACGAGTGAGTTCTACGAGATCCTCGATTGAGCTGGAGACACACAGTCAAAAACCTGAACACATAAGTTTGTACAAGAACTGACTTTTTAAAGCTGAAGGTGGACTTATTTTCCCCGAGATAATTAGCAGTCGAGCCTAGTCTATCCCTCAAAGCGCGAGGTATCGAAGCCAAGGTGAACCAATATGCTACCTGCGAATCGGGCGGGTACATCACCGTTACACGAAGTCCAATACGAGTCTGTCCATCGTCCGTGAGGATCGTGTACCAGGAATCCGCGCGAATAGGGTCCACTTTTGACCGTATGTTATTATGATCATCAATAGAATATGCATGTTCTACCGGAGCCAAAGGAATCACCCAGCAAGCCGAGTCGCCTACAAATCGTGCGGTATCTCGGAACTCAGACCGGGAACGAAGAACGTTCTTTACGGAGGGAGTGGATTCTATATGCCATCCTCGTTTGCTATACTTAGAAAAGGCACGTAGCACGCTCGCTCGTTCATCGTGTAACCTTCCAGTCCGTATAGCAATAGAGCATTTTTCGACGAAAGTGGCATAGGGATAAAGGGCATAGGCGTGGGTGTAAGTGATTACGCTCATAACGCAAGCTTGAAGGATCAAAAGCAGTCAATGATTGCTGATACATCTTTGTGTCCAATTTACTGTACTCACTTGAATGAAATTTCATAATGACTTGGGTGATGTTGTCCTTGCATGTTATAATCTGGATTTTCTTTCCATTAGATGCCCTTATAAAGCTGTATACATCCCATATGTCTTCATCCGAGTAATCATTGTCCAAATCTGGTTCGACATGATTATGTCGTCTTCCTGCTTGGAACGCATGCTGGAACGTTCGTGCTTGGTCTGATCTGGGCGTGTAGTCATATGCAATACTAGTCAAGAAACCAGTCAGCAAGGCGACCTTATCCCAGTCATTAACGACATATAGGTCAAGATCTGAGTCATCAAAGACCGTCAAGTCAAAAAATTGCAATGCAGCAGAGCCGGATATAATGGTGTTTGTTTTGAGTTGGATCAAACGGAACATTTTGATCTCGCCTTCGTTGAAGTACGGACAGAGTATGTGTTCTATGCGATAGGCCTGTCGATTGAACGAAGATACCGCATCATAAGCTTCCTTGTTCGCTAGAGAATATCGATGACGATCAAGGGGTGAAAGTTCACGAAGAATCAAGTTAGAAGCGGTTAGAGGTCTAAAATATCATCATGAGCGCAGCTTTATTTGACGATTTTTCAGAAGTACCTACAATAATCCTTTCCTGTTCTCTATGTCTTCCTTCGTATATAGATGTTTCTTCTTGACAGCAAAGAGTCTGGTTATCCATTGAATATATGTAGAAGAAAATATGAAGTAAAAGACCCAGTAGTTCGGCAAGAAGGAGAACAACATCCTTGGAACCGTGGAAGTCTTTACGTCGTACTTTCGATTCATGATTAGAGCACGTGGGTTGTCTTTTACGCGCTCGCGTGACATGGCTGGACTCCGTGCAGAGGCTCGGTCCGACATCCGGAGCTACAGTATTCTCATCGTTACTCAGGACGACGATGGCCATGGAAAGCTCTTCGTTGACCGAAATGTCTCTTCTCGGCAAGCGTTCTCGTCAGCCCGACGAAATAGAGCAGCTGCAGACACCAGGGCCAACGCCAAATCCAAAACGCACCAAAGGGACGACAACACCGGTGTTCGACGGTAACGGAAACAAGGAGAATATTCCACCTTTAAACCTTACTCCAGTCAACAGCAACAATGCTTCTACGCCCATGAGTAGCAGGGCAGTACGAGCTCTTCGTAGAAGCGCCACTTTGGAAAGTTTTGTCACTCCATCCCCCGCTCGAACTGGTATGTATTGACCACTCGCAAGGCCCTCCTAGCTGAGATTTTTTGATGATCTATAGCTGTTAAGCGGACTGCCTCCTTCTCCACCTCTTTTGCCAACCTTACACTCGCTACACCACCTTCTACGCCGCTTACTTTACTACCCTTACATGCTCGTGCTAGGGCCTTGCTTCGTGCTACCAGCAACAACAGCAATTTTTTCATGCCAGCTCGCGATTCTGAACGCGAAATAATCACAAGATCGATTGCCACATTTTTGAGCCACTCTGGGGCAGACGCGTCCCACAATCTCTACATTTCTGGAGCTCCAGGATGCGGCAAAACTGCACTCATAAATTCCATTCTGGATTCCCTGGAGCTGGATGATACGCGAATAGTCAACGTGAACTGCATGGCTTTGAAAAATATTGCCGCGCTTTGGGATCTTCTCGTCGATGAATTTGATGGCTTATTGCACAAGAAACGAAAATCTGGGATGAAGAGGGGCAATGGCCGCGAGGCTGTAGAGGCATTATTGTACGGAATGTCGACTCGATGGTTCGTGCCTTGACCGTACCACTGAATTTTTATACTTACATGTTGTTATCAATAGCATCCTCGTGCTCGATGAACTGGATCATATCGCTTCCAATCCTCAGTCAATCTCTTCACTGTTGAGCCTTGCCAGATCTGATGGATTGTATGTTATTGGGATCGCCAATACCCATACGCTTACATCTTCTCCCTCATTTTTTACTGATGACATTCGAACTCTTCATTTCTCCCCTTACACATCCGCTCAGCTGCTTCAGATTCTGCAGTCACGTTTGAGTATTCTTACATCTCAATCAAGCTCCGAGTCCGCCCCAGACGATACCTTGAAACAGCTCCTTCCTTTGTCCACTCTGACTCTTCTTACCAAGAAAATTGCTGCACTAACGGGAGATGTTAGAACTTTGTTCGAAGTTCTACGCCGAGCAATCGATCTTGCAGTGACTTCGTCTGCAACCGCCAGAATTGATGACGACAACTTCTTAATTGATGACGACAACTTCTTCGCCGAGGCCGGCCCTGTGTGTTCAGTGACTCCCACACATGTGTTGGCCGCTATTACTCAATCAACAGCAGATCAAACTCCAGTACAGACAGCATTTACATCCACAGCCTCGAACAGTGAAATTGTTCGAAGAGTTACCAGTATAGGTTTCCAAGCGCGATTAGTCCTTCTCTCTGTTCTCGTGGCGGTCAAACGAATTGAGGCTGGTTTGACGATTGACATTTCATCTTCCCGAAATCCGACCCATGGTTCACTCCAAAATGGCCCTGAATTCCTTGCAACCGACAAGGACATTGTTGTGGACGGGTCCCATCTTCACGCATACTACTCCCACATTCTCCGTCGCGGAGGAGACGCGAGTATTTCTAGCCCTGTATCTCGGACCGACTTCTCAGACTTGCTAGGGATGCTCGAGGGGGCTGGCCTGATTGTTTTGGGCCCCTCTCAACTGTCTCCGAAAAAGAAGAGGGTTTGCTTCGGACCGTCTGCATCTTTCGGTAGATCTAGTGCATGGTCTTCTGTGCGTAACGGTGGCACCTTGACCGAGGAGGTGCGGCTTGCGCCGGGTGTTTGGGTGGATGAAGTCTTGAGAGGACTTGGTGCCGGTTTCTCGTCTAATATCAAGGCTTCGCGAGATGTCAACGAGGAAGAGTTGAACACCCTTTGGATGAAGGAAGACACCATCATACGTAAAGAATTGAAGGCAATCGAAAACAAACGGAATGCGCAGGAGGGCAGTCAGATGTTTATTGATGCATCTTTGGATGATTGAACGCTCTGCTAGGTTTAACGTTTTGCATGCACCTATATGCTTATTATGTTTTCAATCATCTTCTTTTCTCGGTTTTGTCAATGAGACATATGCTTACATTTTTCTTAAGGCGCAACAGTAGATAGTTACTAATAATCACACGACTATGTAGTAGCATAACATCGAATGAAAATTCCTTTGAACCATTCGAATGTACAGATTCGCCCAATATCCGCCTCCCACACGCATGAAGAACGGCTACAGACTAGCAACAAATTCTGAGGGCAGTATTGTGGTGGATTTATGACCTGGCGAAGGTCGGTGAAGAACTCGAAGTCGCCCAAGCTCTCGAAGAGGAAGAAATGCTGGATGGACGTTCATATCGTTCATAGTCACAAACATGCTAGACTGCCCCCAGGGAGGAACTTCCAACAACAGGGTAACAGTTTCCAGATATGAGGCTCTACTGAAGACCCCTGCAAGCTGAGCCCACAGGTCACAATGCTGTCCAAGATCAAACAATCCGTAAGTCGAACTGATGACAAAGGATATGTGCCGTATTGACAAAGAATCCATGTTAAGATTGGAGAACATAATTCCTAGATCAGAGAGGTACCGGCCAAGGATGTTAGGCAACACGGGTAGGCAGAGAGTGATTTCGCGTAGAATATTATTCAATAAACAGGGTAGAACACCTGATAACCTGAATTAGCACAAGAGACATTGAAGTTGAAGAAGATGGTCACACCAGAAGGGTCCAACACCTCTGAAGAGTCTAGGTATTTGAGAGACCTCACATTAGCCTCTACCAACCTTACGATATCGGGAGAATGGAAGTGGATAGTATGGGCTACAAGCCGACGAAGTTGCAGCAGCATTGGGAAGAGGTAGTCCATCAGGAGAGAGAAGGTCGCGAAAGGTGATTCATTTTCGTTGAAAAGACAGAAAATTCGGATGGCTGGTAAATGAAGTGGTTTCTCAGGCATATCAAGTGATCTTTCCGTATAGTGGCTGGCTAACGACAACGACAACTCCTCTAATCCGAGCTCTGCGGGGATGGCTCGAAAACATTGAACGATCATTTTGTATGTTGGTATTTCCGTCAATACCAACTTCTTCAACGTAGGGAACCCTGGCAAAGACACATGCTGGAGAAAAGACGGCGCCAATGCACAAGAGAGTGTCAAAGATCGCACTTGAGTGCAGTAGCATAGTACTGCATACAAACTAGCAGAATCATTTCTCTGTGTAACGTACTTGATATGTTTGAAAAGTAACCCACGTCCAGGGTTGGCTAGGATGAAGGACGGAAAGTCGCGAGTATGTCGCACACTGAAGAAATTGAAGAGTGGGGTCCTTGGTGGAGCAGGAGCAACATTTACAGTTACTAAGTCGAATAACATAGGCTGAGCAAGACGCCTCCATGATCGGCAAACAAGGGTACATCTGTCGAGCTGATATGCGTAAAGATATTGCAGTATGAGATGAACTACATCATCTGGAAGCCAGAAAGGATTCGTTTGGTCGTCCCAGAGTTTTATAGGTGTTGCGGCTGTAGTATCTTCAGATTCCCAGAGCCACTGACGTTAAAATATAGGACAATGCTCACTTCTCATGTAGAATGTTGAGAGAGCAGGAGCGATTAGTATTAGGAAATTATGGGAGTCGCACGGAGCCAAAGCTGAAGCTCACCTATAGCTCGGCGTAGAGTAACAGCCGCGCTTTAAACAACAACGACGACGCCTTGAGACCGTCGCTGCTCATTCTTCCCCTCTGAAGATCTGAAGACTTACACATGTGAAAGGGTTTATCTTACTCAGCAGCCAGAATTTGTAGCAATCTGTGTATATGTGCAGTCTCTTTCTCTTCTCATTCATCAACAACCATAGTAATTGTAAGCCACGAACTACATGTAGATCTCTGAACACCTTGAACTCTCAACTCTCATGCAATGATTCAATTCTTTGTTCAGACTGCAAGCACGTGAACGCGGAGGGATCCTTAGTACATGGAAGAACAAAGAACAATACACTTCTTTCAGAGTCTCTCTCAGGTTCTTCGATAACCAGATACTCACCACCCACCCTCTAAATCTCTTCTAACCTTCTTGCACTTTCAGAACGATCTGCCACCTGAGCAGTAAATATGGAACCCCGGTATGTCTACGAGTGCCATTGTAATACATATACCGACGATCCTCACCTGCCTGTGCCACTCAGGTTGGATAACCGTAGCAATTTATACCCAGATATTACTTCCATCAAACACGAAGACTTCCAAAAAACATTCCCAACGAGTAATGCCGTCGTAAGTGAAAAAACAAAGACCCTCTAAGTACGCTGGGCTCAATGCTCCCCCTCTCTTTCAAGCCTCCCAAATCTTGGTCCATCAGATCCAAGCATGTCATATTACCGAACTCATTTTCCGACGATGTGAGGCCACATCCCGTCTTTGTTCCTCCAGAAGAGAATGCGTTCGGCAAATTATCTCACCCAGTCGTCAGCATTGCTCGAATCGAAACACCTAACAAATGGTTTGGCCGATCGAGCCAAGGTTCCTTGAAACCAAACCTACAGCGGCGAGGTGTCAAGGTTGAAGAAGTCGAAGATGAAAACGATTTACCAAGAAGATCTCAATCTGCCAGCCGTTCGGGCCCTCGCAAGTCGGAGCCAAGTTCAAATCTCGAGGATCGAATAAGATCTATGTACTTGAATGAATCTACCCCTCCGAGCACTCCCCCGACTAAAAGAAACAAGAAGCCTCGAAAATCGGAACCAACATTGTCATCTACCTCCTTTGGTAAATGCGTTTTTCTTTTTCCATTTGTGTGATGACCATACCTTTTTCAGGGTCTGATCCTCCGAATTCAAGTTTTCTGAGAGACGCAGGAACTCCGACCGGAAACCGACTCAACTCTGCAAAGCTAGAGCAGGATGCATTGAAGCTATTCGATGAACCCCGATCTCACGACTACCAGAAATTCGACACGGCATTGGGATACTCAAACTACACACTGAAGTTACATCAGGCTTACGCTCGACCATGGATGGCAGGCCGGGAGAGTGATGGTAGGAATGGCGGTATCGTGGCGGATGAGATGGGGTGAGTTTATTGTACTAGTATTCACATACTAGCTCATCATGTCCGATAGTCTTGGAAAAACCTTACAGATGCTTGTTCGCATCAAAGAAGATACGTTAAGAACGATTGCGCGAAGGGAAACCGTGCGCCCGACCCTGTAAGCTTGGCTGTATAATTTGTACTAACATAGTGTACTGAATGTGCCGGCCAGTATTGTTGGACCGAAATCTATCCTCCTGCAGTGGGACGAAGAGATTCGGCGCTTCTTTCTACCTAACGAGGGATTGACTTGTATCATATATCATGGTCATAATCGGGAATCCAAATACAGTAAGTATTGTATAGACTTTTCGAAGCGATAAGGCTCAAAGAATGTCCTTGGACCTTTTTGCGTAGCTCTGACAGATCTCGAGCGAACCGATATAGTGCTTACTACCTACGGAGTTCTGACTATCGATCACCAGTCTACTGAAGGTATCTAGAAGAAATTCATTCTCCGTTACCTGGGTTTTTGAAAATGAACAGCTAGCAAGTGGAAAAAATTATACGGCCTGTTCGGAGTACAACCTTGGCGTCGCATTGTATTAGGTATAAGCACTTGTTTCTCCTCTCGTCTATTTCATCCTAAGCATTAATTCTTTTTTTGTTTCTTCCTTGTTTAGACGAGGCGCACGAGATCCGGAACGCCAGTACACAGAAAGCCAAAGCCGCCTTTGCTGTGAATGCGGAATTTAAATGGTGCTTGACTGGGACTCCGCTGTAATTTTCCGATGTCATTTGGATTACGCGTCCTGCTCATCTTCAATACTTCCCCTCCAGGCAGAACAAGATTCGCGATCTTTTTTCCCTGTTTCATCTACTTCGTGTCGAGAACTTTTCGGACGATGGCTGGTTCAAGAGCAATATCGAATTGCCAATCACGAAAAATACCCTGGATTCCCTGAAAGCTCAAAAATTGCTGAAGGTCATCTTCTGGGGTTTTGGTGATTTTATTTATTCATTGAACAACTTCTGGTTTCAGATTGCCCTCGGTAACACCATGCTACGGCGACTAAAAACTGATGAAGTCAATGGTCAACCCATCCTTGTACTTCCAGAGCTCCGAATTACAATCTGGGATTGTGATCTTTCACCGTCGGAAAGAGAATTTTACGATGCTCTTGAAGCGCGAATGCAAGATATTCTCGAGAGTCTGATAAGCCAGCTAGAACGGGGTGACATCCGCTTTTACAGTGCTGCTTGGGTACTTCTTTTGCGTCTACGGCAAGGTAAGAGGCTAGACTATGTCATTCCAATTGGTGCTTTTCTCATTAAGATCTCCAGCTTGTATACACCCTGCTCTACTAGTGCAAAATCTCGAGCGTGCTGTTGAAGATGTCGGTGCAAAAGATGAACGTGACGTTTTGAAAGAGGACAACAGATGCCCATTGTGCAGAAATCGGTATGTTATTTTGTGTCGTAAGCATACACCATTTGATGTTTATTCAATAAGGAATGAGTCGACTGCGCATAAGAAAGCATGCGGGCGATACATCGAGATGGCCAAATATCTTTCAAAAACCCAACCTTCGACAAAAATCACCATCACTCTCAACATCTTGCGCGAAATCAAAGCTCGACCTGGAAAGGAGAAAACAATAATCTTCTCCCAGTTTACCTCAATGCTGAATCTCATCGAGCCCTTCCTACAAAGACAGGGTATACGTTTCTCCCGACGTAAGGCTTTTCTGGGACTTTTGGTATGCAAAGTTCGTCTGACCATTGTTTCTAGTCGACGGAACGATGGATATGAACAAGCGCAAGGAGAAACTGAAGGCGATCAAAACTGACCCCAACGTCACTGTCATATTGGTGTCATTAATGGCAGGAGGGACAGGTATGGCTACAGGATTTATAGTATGAGCTGCGTTCCGTTTAATATTGTGTTTCTCGCAGGACTTAATCTCACAGAATGCAACAATGTCATCCTGTTTGATTTGTGGTGGAATCCTGCTGTTGAAGAGCAGGCTTTTGCTCGTGCACATCGCATGGGACAAACTAGGACCGTCAACGTTTACAAGCTCGTTACGAAGGACACCGTTGAAAGACGAATTATGGAAGTAAGCGTATTTCTTTTCGTGTTCTGCATTCGCGATGTATGTACATCATTTTCCTTGATTAGCTACAGGACAAAAAGAAGAAGCTTGCAATGGAAACATTAGATCAGGGTGAGATCGAGAATATGAAGAAACTATCGAAGGACGAAATTTTGCGTTTGTTGGCTTGTCATATTTAGAATATCTGATTAATGGCAAGAAGTCTGAAGGTTGATATAATTCTATGTGTGGGAAGGTAGGTATGGTATGGAAGCAGAAATCTATCTCTATGTTTTGGATAAAGCTACAACACACGAAGCAAACGGAAAGGACAGTGAGTGGGTTATTGCACAAAGGGTATGAGCAGACAGGTGACAACATTTGAAAGAGCAACAAAGGTAATCCACACGGTTTATTGAGATGACAACAAGATTCGAGACAAAAGTTGAAGAACGAACTGGATATACAGGAGAGTGAAAAGATGGATGAATTAAGCTAGAATTTCGATGCCCAATGATTGAATGACATCGCTTCTCGATCTGTGCTCATAACACGAGCGTATTCTAGTAAAAGCCTACGGAGAGACATCAGAGATAATGGCGATTGCCAGACATCGAAACTGACCGGAAATTATAAGCAACCAAGTCTTCCTGTCTCCAGAAGGTATGACTCCAAACCCTTCCAGCTTCGCCAATTTTCTGCGCCAGATCATCGTGCCCAAAGTCACCATTAAGATCGCCACGGAAGAAGGAAAAAGCGTCCCAAAGATCGGAAAGGTCAATCTGTACAGGGACGTAATGGACCCAAGGCTGAATGCGGTCGGTGAACCTGGAAAGTCAATTCGATGATCGGTGAAATAGGTAATGGGCCAAGTTAAAATGAGACATACCATTCAGGATAAATAGTTGCTTTGAATATACATGACGAAGTGGTAATAAGGCGCTTGAAACGAGAAGACCAAGCGTTTCCGTCTATGTCCAGAATGTACTTGAATTTGCCTGCATCCACGAAGTTGGCTCTTTTCCGCCATTCAAACATGTCCTGTAGCTGGCCGCAACTACCGTCTTCTTCTTCACAACCGATTGGCTTCCCAGTGAAAGAGATATCCAACATCGCAGGCACCCATCGCGCCTTTTCTACCACCGTGCCTTCACCAATCCGTTCGCCCTCCTTCACACCCAAACCAAGGATTCTCAAATCCGAATAAAGGTTATGATGTGCCCACTCCATCATCTTGATACGATGCGAGAGACGCCATGGAATACTTTTCGAATAATGTATACCGGTGTTGGCCCCGCGCCAATGCAGCCGTTCATCTACTTTATCTTCCCAAGCAGGATTTGCGCCTAATGGAAGATCGCGGAACCAGTTCATGGGATTTGCAGAAATGATATCGTGGTGCAGTACCGAAGGGCTGAAGCTAAATATTGGAATTAGGGAATTTCGGGGTTCAACGCCTTTACCAAATTTGACAAACTGTCCGTGTTGACGGAGGAGGTGTGGATTATTACAAGGGTCCATGGCTGCACGATGGTCGTAAATGAATGTGCGGGTATGGGAAGGAGACATAGGGTCTCCATTGGGCCAAAGATGGGTGGGATAGGGAGCATCAAAGTCGATAGGCGTGGTCGAAGCAGGCGATGTCGGGTCGCAGGCTGTGAGCCAGCCATGGTAGGGGTCATCCAGGGGAGGTGCGTCGAGGATAGAAAAGGCTGGCAGAAAAGATGATATGAGGCATAGTTCGATATATATCCAGAACGAGGGGGTCTTACTCTTTCCTTCCTGCGCGTGTGCAACGGCTTTTAACCAAAGATTCCGATTTGTCAACATTTCAGGACTGTCGTGTGGGTTAAACGTAGCTCGAAAGGGTGGGATGTATTTATCGACGCCAGCTTCTCTAAGCATCTCCATGATCATTTTTCCGCCTTCAGCCATGTCGTAATCTACTGAAGCATTGTGTGGTAGCGAATAGTTCAAAAGGGTGATAGAATCCTTCAGGTTGAGCTTTCCCAAAGTGTAGGTATCGCACTCTGGCAAGACTTCATGCGCGAACTCGATGGTTTGAAGGTCCTGAGGTTTGATACCCCAATATGCCTCGAGATCTCTGTCGATCTGGTCGTACTCGTCGGGTAGCTGGACATTATTATCTTCGACATATTGCCACCTTTATTTTTATCGGCGAATGTTAAAACGCGATCCAGCTGACGCGAACGCAAAAACTGACCACTTATCGAACCCCAAAGGGGGTTTTCGGCCATACCGCCTTTCATACTCGATAACAGCCTCATGCAGGCTGCGACTGGCGCTCTTTAATTTTGCCTTCCAAGCAGCCTCACTCTGCTCGATCAAATCGAAAATCGGATGTTGACCATTAGGGTTGACCTCGAGCAAGCCGTTGGAATAAAACTTATGTTTCTTCAAAGCAGCTCTATGATCCTCCCAGCTAACCTTCTGATAACCCTTCGCGTCCTTTTTCCGTTCATCAGAGCCCAAAGCTAAACGAGGCATCTCCGTTCTGGACTTTTTTGGAGGCTGTAGCCAAGCAGTAGTGCGCATGACTGTGATGGGCTCCAGAAAAGTTTTCATACCAATGTTGGATATATTCTCTCCATGAAGAATGCTCCGAATATAGTTTGCGAATAAACAAACCAAGCAAAGGGCAGATACAAGGACGAATCGCCTGCGACTAGACCGCCGTGCGATACGAGAGATATTTGGCGACAGCATCGAGGCAACAAGGAAGGCGAACTCGTCGAGAACGAAGACGAGACGCTGGAGAAAGAGAAAGAGTGAAGAAGAAATTGAAGTCTCCGATGGTCTAACAGGGTCTAACACAGAGGAGTAAACGCGTTAATATCAGGAGAGGTGTCGATCACGCGTAATAATTGCCGAGACAGCATGTCAGCGCTCAGCGCTCAACGCCGAGCCTGGTCAAGAACGGTTGAAGAGTCACGAAGTAAAAGAGCTGCAAAGAAGATATGTCAGTCAGCGACCCTTCCATTTTAACATGAAACTCGCCACAACGTCTACCATCCGTCACTGAGCTTCATTCGGAGTAAGGATTTCGAGGATTAATCTGAGAACCGATACGTCCAGCTTTTCATGATAAACTGTCTCATTACGCTGGAACAGGCTGAACTACCGTGAAAAAGAGAAAAAGTTGAATGACTGACGGGCCGGTAGCGTGTATCAGGGCCGATTAACGGCAGACGTATAGCCCAGACGAGACTGCTAGCTGTCCCCAGACGGTCTCAGACGTAGCATAATAATTAGTCCTCAATTGCTTGCTGGGCAGATAAAGAATGCGAACTACAGTAGCTCCTTCGTATATACATACTAGCTCTGCATCTCGTAACAGCTTGTAACCTAGAAGTCAGATTTACTGTATTTCTCTTGATCCAGTTGATTAATTTCTAACATTGAAAGCACCCAAAATTCGCATCCGCTGAAGTATCGGTGGCCCAGTAATCTCAACAGTCAGTATAAAACCCACTTATTTAGACCGATCTCTATCGTTCGTAAACACTAGGCTTTGTTTGACCTAGAGCTGGAGAAATGTCGATGCAAGAGCGTAGCAGTAGTTACATACTATGTCTCCAGTACTGAAGAGCCACCGTAAAAGTATTCACCGCAAATGTCCTTCAGCGTAGCGAAATTCAGGTTTGGCAGAAGAGCAATCTGCAACAGATGGGACTGAGGACAGGCGCTGACAGGCGCTAGATAAATATAACGTCGCGAGAAGGTTGCGCGCGGAAAATTTGCATGGCGCCAGACTAACGCCACAGCAGTACTACAGCATGTGGCATAGTATCATGAAAGCTATAGAACGCGATATGAATTCCCGTATCAACCTTGGTCCTATCATAAAGTGCAACGCCGGGAAACGATGAAGAGGAGAGGTGTCCATATTTGGTAAGTAGTCCGCATGTAGCGCTTGACTGTACCACCATATTGTTTCAATACATAGATTGTCCCTGGGTTGTACAATCCGGGCCTCAGACTTACCTCGCAAAATCTATATGGTCTAATAGGGTCTAATTGATTTGGGCAAGGTAGAGTTGGAATTACGCTTCATTCTGCGAGCTCATTCTCAATTTTCGTATTAAGGTTTTGCGACATGCAACCGTTTTAACATTGGGTGTGGCAAATGCGAGGCAGAGTAGTCTCGACAGGGTTCGAAGGCGCCTCGGAAACAACACGACTTTCACCAAAAGCGGCAGAATAGTCACATCCCAAACTACAACAAGAATCAAAGCAAGGCGGAGCTCACTACAAATATATGGCAACCAGCCTGGCTGGAGCTTTTAGTCGGCTCCAAGTCTGAGTCCGGCATGTACTAAGTTAATACACAATGAACCGTACGAGATGACATAGCTTCTGCCTCACAATGCATGGCTTCAATGTGGAATGTGGAAGAGTATATTGTGCATACTTTTTATTTGGTAAATCACCCATCTTCGGCTCTTTCTTTCAAGTCCTCAAATTTTGGGCCCTAACTATACGGACATATTACTCTGTTAGAAGAGTCAAAACCATCTTTTACTTGTACGTTCAGGTTTTTACTTGCACTTGTGTACAGCGTCCTTTCTCTTTGCGGACTCCAGAGCTGTCGAAGTATCTCTTCACTGCCATCTCTGATTGTTTGTAGGCAAAGGAGTTCAGGGGCACAACGAATTCAGCGCTTTGCCCTTCATCTTAGATCGGGTATTGCCTATTACCCCTAGCGCCATAAAAAGGCAGAGCAGCTGGATTTTATGGATTTCTCTAGTATGGCACTTCCATTGTATATCTACACTCTCTTTGGATTAGTACCTTTCTTTGCCCTTGTGCGATGGAAAGCGTACAGGACACTTCGAAAGGCCGCACCTTCTCCCCCTGGACCTCCTGGACTACCTTTCTTAGGCACTGTTTCAATGTTGTGGGAGAGGAAACCCTGGTTGCGTTTCATGGAATGGAAGGACGAATATGGTGTGTTACTCGTTCCACTCGCAGTTTAACTTTCTATTATAATCCAGCCTACAGGTCCTGTCGTTCAACTGAAGATCCTAGGTAGAACAATCGTGGTCCTTAATACACATGAAGCTGCGTTCGATCTTTTGTGTTAGTTCGAGTAATTGCCTACTCTTTACAGTTGATCATGGAAGATTTTTTTCCAGGCTGTCGCAACAAGATTTATAACGGTCGGCCACGATCTATCTTAATTAGCGAGATGATGACTGGAGGGCTTGCGTTTCCTTTGGTGGATTATGGCGAGCTGTATGTATGCATTTAGTGCATTTATGTTGTAACTGACATCCCTGGTCTACGGAACGCAGCTGGAAAGGGCATCGTCGTGCTGCGCAAACCGTATTAAGTTCGCGCGCGGTTGAACAGTATCATGATAACCAAGAGCGTCACTCCGAAAGGCTGGTGCAATCTCTATTACAGGATTCAGAAGCGTGGTCTGAACATGTCAAGGAGTGCGTCTCACATTTGTTTTATTCTCATTGCTAACATTAAAATGTGACGTAGTTCTCTATACAGCCTATTTTGTTCAGTGGGGTACGGAGACGCGAACAAGGACAAGGCCTCGTACCATATACGCAACTTCATCGGGCGTATCGTGCATGCGGCTATCCCAGGTTCTGCGGTGACAGACTTTTTCCCTTTACTATCACGTTTGCCAAGTTGGTTGTTGCCTTCAAAAGGTCGTCATTTAGCGCAATTCCAAGCTGACAATGAAGAGTTTGTGAGACTAGTATCAAAGTCCCAATTAGAAATGGTAAGCCATTCTTTTCAAATGCCTCATGTTTTGTCTGTTCATGTGAGCAGCCAGGAGGAGATTCAATGACCGCCAATCTCCTTGCAAACCGAGGCACAGACCAAATGATGTTCCGTGAAATCGCCTGGCTTATTGCAGTTCTGTGGTTCGTTATTCTCTCTCATGAATTATAGCAACTCATCGAGAGTGTCAATGTAGTGCAATAGGCGGGGAAGTGGCATGTACCTTCTGAATTCTTGTTACCCAGAGTCGTTCCTTACCCTATTTTTGGCCTTATTTTCATACAGACTTCGTCTGTGCTTCCTGTCTTTGTACTTGCAATGGCGCTTTATCCAGCTGTTCAACAGCGCGCGCAAAAAGAAATCGACAGTGTTGTTGGAAAAGGTCGATTTCCGACATTTCAGGACCGAAATAAGTTGCCCTATGTTCAGGCAATTGTGCGCGAAGTTCTGAGATGGCGTCCAATAGGACCAATCGGTGAGAGTAAACTCATTCCCACGTTATCGGTGTTGAACTCAGTGTTTAGGTTTTCCGAGATGCTGCCTTCAGGTGTGCTTTATGCCTTCTGTAGCCCAATCGAGACTAAAAATTTGCAGGATGATTTATACAAAGGTTATTTGATACAGGCAGGTGCGTAGATGTCTTTCTGGAAAAAATACACTGTACCATGCAGTGAAAGCAGGTTCTATCGTTGTGCCGAATATATGGTAAGATGCCCTTCAGTTAGTTGTCAGCAATGCTCTATATATGTACTACCCTTGGTTAGGGCCATGAACCGAGACCCACATCTATATCGCGACTGTGACAAGTTTCATCCAGAAAGGTTTTTAGATTTCAAAGGCGACGTCCCAGGGGCACTTGGACAAGGTCACGTTTCGTACGTTTATTCGAAAAGTAGTAAGCTTTGTACCATTCTGACCCCTATTGTCTGGTTGCTGCTATAGGTATGGCTTTGGAGACCGGTGAAGAAATTTCAGCCTCCCACAGAAAATTCCGCCCTGATTTCCACCACTACAGAATTTGTAGCGGTATGCATATCGCCGATGATGCATTATTTATCAACATTGCAGCTATTCTACATGCCTGTGATATCCGAGAATCTCCGAATTCACCTTTAGCGAAGGATGTCTTTGAAGACTTTGGGATCGTAACGTGAGTCTACTGCGGTAACTTGACGTTGAACCTCTTTCTTTATGCAACATCTCTTAGGCGGCCTGGACCCTTCCCATGTCAAATCACAGCACGCAGTACCAATATTTAGACCAATGTTTTCGACGCTCCCTTTATATTTAAAACATCGAAGCTATATTGTGTATTGGATCTTATCTGGACCATCTTTATTTGTACTTAGTCATCGTCATCTAATCACCTCTGTAAAGAAAGTCTGTATAGTTTACGCTACCAAGGTTTCGAGTCCTTGCATCAAACATTATAAGTGACTAATAAGGGACTAAGCTGGACTAGGATTCCCCAAGGTTCCGGGAGCGATGTCGTATGAGGCGGACGGACCCGGTGTTGGACCCCAAAGACGGGGCCGTGTATCTATCTATATACTATAAAGTTTTCGAACAGTGCAAGGGGTTGACAAGCACGAAATCTATAATTTTAGACGATGCAACGCTCTATACGACACCCTAATATCCGGAACCTCATGTAACTCGAATATCACTTTTACACAGAATCCACGAATTTCTCCAAAAGTTCATTCAGCTCTATTCGACTCTGCATTCCTTCATCCCAGCTTCTCCACATTTCCTCTCCTAATCTTTCGAAATTCGATCTTACTATCCGTCCTTCTTCACCCTTAAGTTTTTCGAGCAACCCCTCCACCTCCGCCTTGACTGCCTCGACAGTAAAAGTAGGTTGATAGGCAGTGCCCTCGAAACGCAATAACGGTTTTGTACCGTTTTCGCCAGAACGCACTTCGATCAACTCGAAGGCTGCTTTATGGCTCAGACTAAGAACAGCGGCGTTGACCGGCTGATCAGCGCCCATAGGCCAGAAAATTCTGAAAAAGTAAACGAAGTTGGGAAAAGACGGCCATCGCTCCAAAATAATAATGATACTCACAATGGGACTTTGTGCTCAAACGACTCTTGGATACTATTCCAACCTCCGTGAGTGATAAACCACCCTGTCACTTCGTGTTGTAGAATAGTCTCTTGTGGACTCCAAACCATTTCCATCGCAATTCCGCTGTTTTTGATTGATGCGAGGAATTCATCGGAAAGATTTGTAGCCAAAGGAGATGAATGAGAAAAAATAAAAGGTGTCTGGTTCGCAAGAAGTGTTTCGATGAGGGCAGTCAACTTTTCCTGTTCAGGTGGCCAGAAAAACGTGCCAAATGATATCTGGTGGCAATGTCACAGCAATTTTCAGTGCAAATGCAAAAGCGGAAGGACGCACGTATATAAGCGATTTGGTCCCAAATCGTTCTTTTATAGCATCTAGAAAGAGCAATATATCCGTGTCGCCACCTTGTTGACCCTTTTGTTGGGGAAGAGATAGAGGAGCCAAGGCATAAGTAGGTTTCCCAATGCCTGACAACCACTCTTTCATGGCTTCCATTGATTCCCTTTCGTACACGGAATTTGATACAGTGATAACCCCATCACCTACAAGCGTGTATATCTGACCAAGCCTTTCAAGTGGTGCTTCTGGTAGAAGACTCTGCAAAGAGATCAGAAGGCAATTCCAAGGCAATTTCTGTGGTTCACGACACCTAACGTACAATTTGGGGTCGCCATTCATGTTCGTACATCGGAGGCATGCCGGGGACCATAGTCTTCTTGAGAACGGTGGAGGTAGTCTAGGCCGGCGATTGAGTCCAAGGGCAAGCTCATGGTTTGGACAAACTTACTGCCAGCAGTGGTTGGGGAACAGACTTTTCTTCCTCTCTTGGTGGTACAAACAATTGTGCTCTTGCCAGTTTGAGTCCAGCTTCAGTTTCAATGGATGGATCGGCAGCTCCTCCGAATGATATAGGTCCACAGAGCCCAAGATAAGGCCCAGAAGGTGCGGAAATCCAGGTTATGATTGGGACCTCTTTCTGCGACGTAGCATGCATAGATTCCCATGCATATGATGCAAATGGCTGTGGTTAAAACGCGTCATCATTAGGACACTAGAACATGATTGTGAAAGACATACATCGATAATGGCTACGGCGGGACGAGGCAGTCCGGAGAATGTTTTGCCTGAAGATTTGCAGGCAATGGGCTCGGATTTCCAGATAGCTGTGTAGGTTGGGGCAAATTCATGGAGAGGTTCAAAAGGGTCTACAACTGGACCGGAAATATCAATAATACTGTCTCGTGCTGTTAACTAGGCAAGAACAGCAGGACGAATTTGCATACTTGATACGAGGTGAAAGCGAATGATATTCCTCCGCAGACAATTTTGACTTGAGCTCGTTGTGAAATTTTGGGTATATAATTCCTGTGGTGATTACTGTGATAACGATGTCCGGGCGCGCTCTTGTGATGATCACTGCTAGTGCAGCCATAGGTTTGTTGTGACCTAAATGGAAAATCATAACAATCCTGTTTGAGAAGCTCGAAAGGACACAGAAGTCACCGTACCCCATGCAGAAAGAGCATGAAACAAAATATTTTTGACGGAAGACATCGTAATCGATCTGGACGGTCAACTAAGCTGGAAAGAAAAAGATAAGTGTATTTTAAGGTTTTCCGCGAAAGGTAGATAGAATGACTGAAAAGGATGGGCCTCGGGAAGATGGCCGGAAGTGCTTGAGAATACATCTTTCCCTGATGATTGATTACTGTAGGCGCGAGCCTCTGGCTGACTTACCCAGGACTTGCCTACTCAGCATATATGAGTGATAAATGTCGTTGCTTACTTCCGAAGCGAGTCAGCCACAGATCGTTCCATGAGCCTCTGTCTGAAATCATTCGAACGCGAAATACTGTATTGGTGTCGTCTGAGCTTGTTAGATAGACGGCTCCATAAAGGAAACCGCGGGTCCCCTACATACGTCAGCGCAAGAGCGAGCCTGAGCGAGCGCATCCCTCGTCTACATAAAAAGTCTTACGTGCCGTCACTCAAGAGGGCACACACACGTAACGGCTTCGAACTCTACAATTGTCTCTTGTCAGAAAGATGGTGACCAAGTGCTTAGTGCGCTATTCTCCGTACCTTGTCAGCTACTCAACCTTGTCATCAACCTTATTCATAATAATAGGTGGCGGTGTCAAGAGAGGGAGGTATAAACTCTATCTCAATGTTCATTTCTCCCTCATTAATGAAGGTTCTGACGGTTTGGATGTCTTTTATTTTTGCATAAAGTTGATATACGCTTTCAACAATCAAAGTTGGCCTTCCCATGGGCCGGACTAGTAAATTACTTCAGCTTGGGTCATGAACGGGATATAGATGTGATCGATGGCTTGCCCGGAGTGTTTGTTTTCACATGCGAGGAAGTGAAAGTTTGTGCTGATTTTTCATTTCAAAACGGCACCGAGACCCATAACTCACTCAAGAGCTTGACAATCTTTCCTTTGAAACATGGCCTTCCAGCAGTTTACAGAGACCAAAACCAGGTCGTCGTTTGCGCCCATCCTGAGTGCCCGTGAAGCTTCGAAAGAGATGCAGATAGAATGTAACAATTGATTATCTACGACCGAGACTTCGAGAGAGGATGGGGCTCGAATTTCCTTCACATAATTGAATACCACTTGAAGCCAGTGCGGTGCGGTGTTATTGAACCAATGACATAAACCGGACATTGGATACTCGACATGTGAAGGAAGTATTGAAGTCAAGAAGAGAAAGGGAGTTCGAGAGGAACCGAGATATGGCAAGAGAGAATGTTAGTTTGTGGTCCAGTTGAGCCTGGCTTCAAGGGTGGTACAGGCGCCTAAAGTTTTCACATGACTCAGGACTACATAGCACAGTAGAGCGGGGTCCCGCGGCGTATGTTATGATTCTACTCCGATTCTACGTTAACCACTTTAACCACTTCCACCACCTACCCTTCGCTGTCCTCCTTCGATCCTCATTCAGCCACGATATCTCGACATCGCTTACCGCGGCAACCCGAATATCATCTTTGAATCGGCGTTAGTCGGACTTTGTTTACGCCCACCATGTCCCATGGCTTCAGGATAACTTCTGCTTTATGGGACAAGATTCACCATTTTGCCAGCTTTCCGCAAACCGGAGGTGAATATCCAACTATCTACTGATTTATGACGAAGGACCGCTGATCACTGTACACGCCAGTCTCATTGCAGCAAATGGTTCTATTTGGGCAGAATCCCAGCCAAGGAACGTTACTGAAAGCCAGCCAATTTCTTAGTGGTTAGTAGAACTCAAACCATGTACTTTCCGAGATCCGAAGATGAGTTTTGTGTTGCCAGAGGAGTTACCTGTTCGACTCGCTCACCGGGCCAAGGAGCTGGATGAACTACCTCACAATCTCTCCGCCATGCCTTCCATTGAAAAGGTCAAGAATTGGTATGCTCAGAGCTTCGAGGTATGTCTACCATGTCATCATGTTATTCAGTTTCTCTCAAATGATTCTATGTAGGAACTCATCAAGTTTCCTCCGCTTCCTGCTCTTTCACCCGAAATTCGGCGATCGTTATTCTCTCCTCCGTCTGTGGCAAACTCAAACCCCGAGCACCAGCTGCCTTCATCTACACCCAATCCTTCTCTTGAGCACATGCTTCTGGTAGATGATGTTGCGAACCAAAACTTTCCAACCAGTCTCGATGGATCAGGTTCCAATGGATCACTAGCTTCCGGAAGCATGGGATTTTACGGTGGAGCGAACGGGTCAAATGCTGGGTGGGCAATTGGTAACGGGAATGGGAATGGGAACGGAACTGCAGTCGAAGGGTTTAACAAGTTGAAACTGAGAGTTCCGATGGAGAGAAGGTTAATCCTCACTCCATCATAGGCCGACATGTGTTTTAACCACGGAGTCAGATACTTTGCCGCTCCGCTTTCTTCCAACATAGACTGGCCACCAGAAGTGCGCGATTACAACAAGCGGTTTACGAGATTGCTAGAGACCATCAAAACAAGACACGATCCAACTGTCACTACAGTCGCGCAAGGTGTGCTGGAATGGAAACGCTCACAACGAGCTCGTCATATAGGTCTTGATATGCAGCAGTGGTTGGATAGATTCTATCTGAGTCGGATCGGGATCCGGTTTTTAATAGGGCAACGTCAGTAAAATTTGCTTTCCGTCCTCGGGCTTGTTCAAATTTCTTCGTATGCGCCTTTAGACATTGCGCTAAATACACAGGAATCACACCCGGATTATGTCGGCATTATTTGCACTAACGCGGTCGGTAGCTCCGTCGGCCTTCCGAAAACCATTTGCTAACTCTTTCACTCCAATAACAGAATGTTCACGATATCATTGAAGAAGCCATAGAAAATGCGAGATTCGTCTGTGAAGAACATTATGCACTCTTCTCCTCCCCTCCGGTGCAGCTGATTTGTCCACAAAAACTCACCTTCCCTTACGTCCCCGGTCACCTGTCTCACATCATATTCGAGCTGTTGAAGAATAGCTTGCGAGCAGTCGTGGAACGACACGGTGTAGGAAGTGAGGGTAACTTCCCGCCGATCAAGGTGCGTTTGTCAATGTGCGCAGTCCCATGGATGTATCGGACTAACGACGAATATCACATTTCAAGGTGATCGTCGTGGAAGGGAAAGAAGATATCACGATCAAAATATCTGACGAGGGAGGTGGGATTGCTCGTTCCGCAATGGGCTTAATTTGGACATACATGTACACGACGATGAACCTAGGCCCTGGTGAAGGACTAGACGAAGGCTTCCGGGACAGCGATTTCAAGGCGCCTATGGCTGGTTTTGGATATGGACTTCCGCTGAGTCGATTGGTGAGTGTTTTTCCAGGTCCATTTGCTATGCGAGATATCCTCTTACTCGCATATCTGTTCACACAGTATGCACGTTATTTCGGGGGTGATTTGCGTCTGATTTCAATGGATGGGTTTGGAACAGATGTTTATATCCATCTCAATCGATTGAGTAGTAGCCGAGAACCTTTGCCTTGATTATCCCCGAGGTATTGCTGTTGCTTTCCAAAGGCAAAAATGGATACCAATGGGCTGCCTGTACTCCGAGGTACTGATACCCAACTCGTGTACCGCTACGGGTGCAGATCAAGCATGTAAAGGCGTACCACTCTTGTTTGAGTTGTACTGGAGGCACAAAATGTAAATCTATAGTGTACGAATATTATGATCACCATGCTTGCGATGCAAGGTGACCTTGCATCTATTCCACCCTGGATTTCACGTCCTGATGTGCAGGCACACTCAAATCTATATATCATCCTTCCGCAAGCAAGGTGCAGTCCACAGCAGTGGAGGTTATTAGCCATGCATATTTCACTCTACGGATGAATAGATTTACGATCTCAATGCGTCTGTCAACACTGTGCACATACCAGAAGATAGTATAGAATAATAAGTATATGTAACAGTATAGCGGCGTCAATAAACAAGATATAAATTAAGTATTTGCGATAAGCGTCGATAATATAGTCTACTGCTGCTTACCAGGAATGTCCCGGCTTACAGAATAGTACATCCGCACCGATTAAAAACTGTCGGAAAGCTCGTCATCCACCATCTCCAACTTCCACCTGTGTGGTCCGTAAACATGACGTGCCCATCCTGTCTCTAAAATCATCCATATTATGCGTAGACATATCCATATCGATATCCGAGTCCCCAAGCGAACGACGAATACTATTCCTTGGGGATTGAAACTGTAAATAATAGCTACCCTGCCATGTGCCTTCTCCACTAGATCTCGTACCGTCGCGCCGGGAATGCTTTCCGCCAAGGGCTTGGACATGAGGATCGTATCTGCTCTCGTCCTCGCTTAATAAACTAGGGCTAGCTGATTCTGAAGGAGGTATCCGATGATGCTTGAATTGAGGGATTGAATAAGAATTGTGGTCTTGCTTGTTAGTGGGGAAGTTGAGAGAGCCAATCCGTGGAGGTGTATGATCGGGTGTAGGAGGTGGCCGGCCAAGAGTAGGTGACGTTTTGGCTGGTGTCAAAGGTGAAGGTGAGAGGTAGGATTGGATGAGGGACTGAGATGGGGGTTTGACAATTTGGGAACGAGGAGGTATACGTATTGTGAGATGGCGAAGGGGTGAGACTGGAGAGGAAGGTGATTGAGATATGCGAGACGGGGCGCAAATGGGCGAGACAGGAGAAGGAGGTAGTAGAGATATGCGAGACGGGGAGTGCAGGGGATATTTTTTTGGATGAGATTGCGAGAATATCTGTGAATATGTAGGAACTTCGACCACCAACTTCTTTCGCTTGATTTCATGCTCCTCACCAACGAAGCCCTTTCGCTTCTTATCATGTGATTCTTCTTTCGTCTTTGTCTTTGCTTTGGGTTTTTGCTTCACTGAAGGAAGTCCGGAAAGGACAGCAAGAGCTAGTTCTTCTTCCTTCTTTCTCCGTTTTTCGACAGCTACTTCCTTGGCATGTAATTCTTTCTTCAACTCTTCTTGCAACATGTGCGCAAACGTCTGTGCATCGCCCTGCACCCATACATCGAAGACGCCCTCCCATTCTCTCGTTGGAACAGGGAAATCCAGATTCAAGTAAACGGATTTTAACGGCTGCTGCTGTTGCTGGGACACTGGTTCATCACTTCCGGGAGTGCTCTCCTTCGAGGTAGATCCCCTTGAGTGAACAGCCTTTGAGAATTCTCTGACCATCCGTTTAGTGCCAGGCACCCGGAGAGACGTCCCGACTACTAAGAGCAAATCTGCTCCACTACGCCCTTTCCCTCCAATGAGATCTTTCTGAACAGCTTCTCCAACGCCCTCGCCGTCTTTGTGCGTTTCATTATAAAGCACCACGCTCGGCCGTAATTTCCCCACTCCACGGGCACGCTTGCCTATCAGCTGTCTTGTTCGTTCCATTGAAGTGCACTCTGGGCATTCCGGGGGAACTCCGGCTGTCAAGGATGATAGATAGTCCGAAAGGGGGAAAGAGTGTGTGCAGATCTGGCAATGGACTCGTTGAAGGGTTCCGTGAAGAGGTATACATCGTGGTGTTCTATTAGAAGTGCTAGATGGGCCCGGGTCACCGACCTCCTGAAACGTGGCGATACGCGGTTTGCTTCGTTTACCTTCGAATTCTGGGACGCCAAAAGAGAGACCAGATTTTAACTCTATAGCGTCAATGTTCTGAGTGTATACGCGTAAAAGACGACCATTGAAGTCGAGGGTTTTTAGGAGATGGTGAAATGCTGTCGGTTCAGCGGCTTTGGAAAGATCAGACAGCCTTGCAATCATTTGGCAGAATAATGCAGTTTTGTGCTCAGTCTTGGAGAGTAAATTTCGGAATGAGCATTCGATAGGAGGGGAAAAAGGTGCATAAGTTAAAGACTTACATTGAAGACAGAAGCGTCGAACAAGTCTTTCCCTGACGACAAAGCATCTTTAGGATTGTCCCGTTTCAACGTCTGGAAGAGGCCATCCGAAGATCTAAAATCAGGTATTCCAGCTTTAACAGATATTCCGGCACCTTCAAGGGATGGAAAATCAGTATTTATTATTATTCATCCGAATGAAAGAAAAGGCTCACCACATATCACTACGATTCGCTTTGCCTTCAAAATTGACTTGATAACTTTCAGAACTTGAGGGGCGGGTTCACTGGGTTTGATCACGAACGTTGGTATTGAAGTCGAGGACGCGGATTCCTCCAACGGGAGAAATAGTGTCATGAATAGAAAAAGGAGGTGAAGGTAGAAGAGAAGGATTCACCGAGTACAGTCTCATGTGACGCTGGAAATCCACTGTCAAGTTTTCCAAATGTCATGTCAGACTGTGCGGTGCTCGCCACAACAAATTTCCGTGAACGAAACGTAGAGCATGCTGTACGGTTAAATAAACTGGGTTTAAAAAGTTATATTCATGCTTGGACTCGGACCAATTTCACGTTGGAACCGATTATATACATATATTTATGTGCATAGTGGATTCAAGAGTACAAGATAAGTAGTCACGAAATTTCTGTCTTCAGAATCCTATTACCCTTTGACTTCGGTACAGGAGCTACAAAGAGGAAACAAATTAGGGTGAATTGATTGGTTGGATTGAAGGTATACTGACCATTTGTGTTTTCAGTGATATAGAATCGACGAAGGATCATGATAGCATCTTCTCTACAGTATCCGCCTGTTGCTTTGTATGCAGGATGTGCAGGATGCTCTAGACTTGTACAGGTCAGTCCGTGTATATGTCTTGACAACAGTGGATGGGAGGACATACTCGCTATTCACCCCCAGCACACTTCCGCATCCTCCGAATCGCTCATTACCACAGCCGTAGATAACTTCCCGTATGCCCAGCTGTCTGAGGGCCGATGCACACATTATGCACGGCTCCACAGTCACATATAGAGTTGTTGTGGATAGAGGATATTCCGTGATTTGTGGGGTTAGCGTCTTATCCGATAGAATTTCATCGATAGCTTCGAGCTCAGCGTGTCTTGTGGCCTATGAAGATTAAAAGGATAAAATCTCTTCATATGGTGATGAACTATATCCATACATTCCGTAGTTGGTTTGTTCGATTCCTCGCTTTTGCGATCACCTTTTCGCCTCGTACAAAAACGCAGCCAACGGGAACTTCAGCAGCAGCTAACGCTTCTTCTGCCTGATAGAGAGTTAGGCACTTGAAGAGTCTCTTCGTTCTGAAGAAAGATGTTTGACCATTGCCATTGCTTCTTGCATCCAGTGTAGGTGGATAGAGTTCATTGGTAGGAATAAGTCGCAGGCTAAGGTGAGCGCTGCGTACACTGTCCCACGAAAATATTCTACTCTGCTTGATTCGGAAATTTTGAGTGACCACTGGGATGTACACACATGGAATATCCACACTCGACGAAACGCGAAGAATTATACGAAAAATAGAACGCCATCTGAGACATGCATAGTTTGGATAAGTTCGGGATAAGTAGCCATTATCCTCAACGTTGCAATACAAACCACTTATAATTTTCACTCCCCAAAGCTCGATGCTCGTAGAATTCTCACTATGAGCAGATCCTAAAGTGAATCAAGGAGTACATATGATGAATATGATGCTATATTGGTAGCCGAGGAGAGCAGAGAGGGCAATAACCGTGACCTTACTGCTTGCTGCGCTCTCACCAGAGAGAGAGGCAGAGAAAGTTGATTCAACCGTCGCAGGCCACCATTTCAGAGTCAAGAGTGGGGAAAACTATGTACTAAGCACTAGTAACACTGGGTATCATATAGTGGTTGAATATGTACTGTAAACTGTGTTCGTTGGTTGTTGCAAATCTGCATCATGAGGCTAAAGGTTGTAAATTTGTGTGTAAGTATAGGTGAACGTGATGATCAAAAAGTTTGGACAACAGATATGAGTAGCTGAAAAACTGAGTATAAGAAATTGGAAATGAAAATGGGTGTAGAGAACACAGAGTTATAGAGAGAAAGATAGGCAACATAGTAAAGCCAATATATGTATGTGTACTGATGAGTCTGTGGTTTTGATCTTGTCGCCTGCAGCGTATGAGAACGCCCATTAGTCGAGTCGTTGTCGCTCTCACCAGATCATAGTGAGCACTTGACACGCATACTCGTAACACTCAGAGGAAAGGCAAATTTTTTTGCCTTTGTGATCGGGCCCTTCACGCTATGTAGTGCAGAGTTCAGGTCCTTCACTTCGAAGGTGCAATGTTCAGGTAGAGCGTGGTCGAAACGGACACATCTCCCCCCTGAAGTATTTATATCCTGCAGCTCGTCAAGATTAGCATGGCCATCCCAATTGGTTACAATTTCCCCCACGTCTGAGCCGGAGCAGTGTCGACTAGCGTAAGCAGTGATCTCGATTGGGGCGGCCAATAACAGGGCTGAGGATTGCGAAGACGGTGGAGATGAAGAAGGTACTCGTAGTACGCATTTTAGAACGATGGATTTTTGGCCGATTACAGATTTTAGCTGAGTGAGTTCGATGAAAGATTGAGGTCCACAAATAATTATTTATACCTTTTGAAATTTCCAAAGAGACGTCCAGGGGAGGGTCACTGTGGGTACAAGTGTCACGGCGAAACAATCAGACACCACCCACCTCCCTTCCTCTCCCTGGCTCCCCTCACGCAGCCTGGATAAACGATTAATTTATTCGGTCCAAGTTCTACCCGGTTTCTGCCCGATTTCTTCAGACCTGAGCCTATAGTTTACATAGCGGAAATGGTGGGTCGAGTTTGTTATTTCCTGGGCTCCGACTGGGATACTCAAAACGAATATTCCTGCCCCATCGGAATTTCATTTTCTGAAGAATCGTCCCAAGTTCGTACAGAAAATGTATGGTTACTATCCCGTAAACAATGAACCACTAGCTACTCCTGTTCACGTAGAGAACTCCAAATTTGATCTCAAATCTTCTACGTAGCGATTGTCCCAAGGCGTAGTGAGGGCTGAGCGCTGATAGGTGGACCACATTACTATCATGAATGACATTAGCAATAGTCCCTCATGATCAATAGTAAGATAGTCCTCACTGGCTTGCATTCTATACTCATGTCCTCAAATTTACCGCCAGTTCCAGGTCCTGGTATTGATGTGCCCACGGATATAGGACCGTTGTGTCGAGATTGAATATTGCGAGAAGAGCTGGCTATGAGTCTGAGAGTGCAGCCATCAGGCAACTCATGATCGAATTTGGCGCATTTCGCGTCCTTAACAGTTGTAAAGTGTCTGAAACGACTGACGGCATTCCAGACGAGGGAGATAGATGCCACTTCCGTGTTAGGGCTGCATGATGCAGAAGTATAAGCCGTGACCTCGAGCAGGATTTGCGGAGCCTCATACTGCTCAGTGGGTGCGGCAATGGCGATGGCAAGAGCAGCGAAAAGGAGCGAGACGATAAACATGGTGCGCATGGTGCAATAGTCCTGAGTCCAGCTCAGTAACGTAGAGTAACAGACCCAATCAAAGGTGAAATTTTTAACCTACAGTGCCACGTAATGCTTCCCACGATACTTAACGCGTATGGTACGCGTGGTCAATAATGGTCTATGCTTCATTCTAAACCATGTCCACTGCTTCGAGCTCTAATCCGAAAACGCAAGACAAGTCTGGGCAGAATGCAGACGATAAAAAGAAACAGGAAGCCCGTCCCCATCTCGGTGTTTTAGAAGAGGATGATGAGTTTGAAGAATTCGCGGCTGCTGGTGCGTTAGTCGATTCCTTCAGTGGCCGTGAACGCACATCTCTTATATCGCTTTCTGTTTCTTCAAAAATATCTTCCGCGACTAACTATAGACTGGGACGACTCTCAGACCGATCTGGCACATCTAGGCGGAGTCGCTCCTGGTGCAGCCAAGTCTGGTGGAGACAAGCTATGGGAGGATAACTGGGACGATGATGATATCGAAGATGAGTTTAGTGTGCAACTAAGGTGAGTGAACCCAGAGTGAATCTGCGAATCTCATCTGATCTCGTCTTGTAGGAATGAATTAGTGAAGACAGCGAAAGGCAACGGGGATGCTATGGAGCACTGAAATCGTACTACAAGGAATTTGTATCAGGCACGAGCACTGCAGCGCTCTTAACCACTCAATCAATTCTCTCTTTCAATCCACCTCGATTCTTTCGATCTGTTAATTTTTTTGTCTTTTCGCTAACTGTCTGCGATCTCCCCTGTAGTCTACGTGCATATGAGCATCCAAAGCCCGATATCTCCTCTCGCGGTAGATCAGAGCGTATATCATACAGAAGCTTGGGGCAGAATCATAGAGGACATGCAAAGGAATACATACGAAAGACATGGACAAGCCTGGCGGGACTCGTAGTACTAGTAAGGCATTTATGGAGGTGACTCGCCAAGCTTCGGCCAGATACGCAGGAAGCGACTATACAAACGATTACGATGAGAGGAGAATGTCAAAGGAGAAGAGGGATGGTAATAACGGCCTCAAGGAAACTCGAGCGCGCGATGTGTCTCAACTGGTCAGTGCAGAGGGTATATATGACTTTGTCTCTATTGCCATCATTTCCATCTTCCACTTGGAGTGTATGCACCCATGTTCCAGTTCTCTTCTTCGTTGTTTTCATTTACTGTACTAATTTGCCTCTATGCATAACGTACATGCGCAAGTGGAGAAATGAACCAACGTTCGACATGGATTGCAAAAAATTAGGCCTGTGTTAAAAGACGAAATTTTGGGCGCAGAATCAGAAAGAGGCCTATGTGTGAAAAATAGGATGAGCTATACGACCTTGACTCAAGAGGACTCAAGAGGTCATCGAATTTGCATTCTGGAGATCAAGATGGAGCTGGAGAAGGAAGCACAAGATTTGACAGAAGAAATCAGTCCAGTCGATAAAGTAAGTAAACCGGCGCAGATATCTTTTGCATATGTCGAACCTAACACATGGATATCGATTAAAATTCATGGCAATCATATAGACATGCAAAGTAAGATGGAACATAAGGCTGAATGAAGGAGGAGAAAGCAGCGACGAGGGAGGTAGTAGCTGAAGGTAGGCATAAGCGAGTCTGCTTTTTCTTGCTTGTTGTCATTGATATTGACCCGAAAGCCTTCCATCTACCTCAAGGAAAGACAGATGCTATTTACAGTATTTTACATTCTCTGGAACGATTGGTGTGTCTTTCGTTGTCAAGCGGCTTCGTAATTTCTATTTTAGGTAAATGCACCCGCCGCTCCAATTTAGGGATTTTTTCACATATCACCGTCTCTTTTAGCGCTCTTTGGGGAGATCCGACTCCGAACAAGGACCAGGACCCTAGTTGGAGAGAATCACACTTCGTATATCGCATACTTGCTTTGTCTCGGACACTTCCCAGAGTTTGTTCGGAATTTCGCGCGATGAATGATAAAGCAAGGGATTCAGGTGCGTCCAAACAGGTACAAGCAATCTTCTAGTTTCGCCGTTTTGAGAAAATTTGCTTTGAATTGATTACGTTGGGTGGATACCAACTTTTGGATTGGTACCTTCCATTCGCTTTTCTATATAACTCGCCCGTAATTCCGCTATGTCCCTCAATCTGCCCGGTTCTCATCGACGTATCGACACCTTGACGCGTACACTGTCGCATTCTACCCAGTCACCTCATACAAGAAAGCCCTAGAATCCGTCTCTAACTCAAATGTCTTCTACTTCAGTCGAAATTCCAGTCCAGGTCGCGTCCTCGGTCGCGTCTTCCAGTCACATCTCGCAACCAAATGCTGTTTCCCATACCATCGAAGGCAGCCATTTGCCTTTGGACTCTACAATCGTCATTCACGATCTTCCTGCGACTATGGACGCTGTAGATAATATCTTTGGTCGTCATTGCCAGGAGCAAGAAGCTCTGCCTCCTTATATCGAAGAACCACCAGCGTACACTCCATCAGGTTCAAATGAACCTATAACGCTTGCTATGTACCTTTTTAAATTCGGATTCCGTGAGTATTCGCAATAACAATCGCACATCGAATGTGATTCTGATATTATACTTCGTTGCAGTATTCCCTCCATTCTGGATAATAGGTGCCCTCATCCTTCTTTCTCCTCTCCGTCAGCCGGAATCCACACCCTCATCCGTATGGCTGCCAGAAAAGACCGAGAGTGAGCGAGAGGAGATTATTCAAAAGATGCGTCAGGCAGAGGTTAGATGGGCGAAGCGGTGTTTGGTTGCGCTGTGCATACTGCTTGTGCTTGTCATCGTTGGTGCCTTGGCTATATGGGCAGTCTTGAGAGCATGAAAGTCCACCTATAAACGACGTCTGATCTCGCTGGCTCGGTTCCCCATCCACTGCACCGCTCTTTTTTTATGATTATCTTTATGGCCCCTGCTTCCAAACCAACTTTTTATCCATCCTTTGGTCTGCTGTTCCGAAAGCTTTCGCATTCTTTCGTCTTACAACCTTACACTATTTATGTGTATCTATAGATCTGCAATGTATCTTTTACCTGTCCTGTTGTTATCCTAATACAATGACCTTGCCCCGTCTTCCACTCCTCTGCTACTAAGTGCAGAGAACTTCCTCTAAAATTTGAAGATCAAGGACTCCGTATCGCAACAGATCACGGTCGACATTCCGCTCGTAAGCTTTACAGCTGGTTGCAGTACCGAAGGCGCGCCAAGATATTTGCCGATATTCGCCGGATTTTATGAATCTGTCGAGGTCTATCTTCCAACATAGATATCTTGCTCAAAAATCAATATTTTATTGAGATTTTAATTTCATTGGCCTGCGATTGCAAAATTCTAAGTCCTGATTGAAACGTCCATGTGGTTAGCTTACTTCAATAAAAAGTTATAGGAAGAAGTGTTATTATGCCTATGTCACAACTATTTAAAGTATTAATACCTCTCAAAATGTTAGTACAGTGCCCTTGCATCTGCTATTGAGGCTACATTGAAGACTTGAGGCCAAAGAATTTGAAAGTATGGAAGTTCGCGGTGATCCATGTGAAATTTTATCACTCCCTTGCGCACACACCATTCATCTGTTTTTCACTCATCCAAAATTTCATGAGACCCATTACAAGTCAGCGCAATACCCCAGAGGATGAATATGAAGCATTAAATGGGCTTGAAGCTACTATGATGAGGAATGAGGGATCACAACAAGAGGTACGTGGCATTCAATGTTTGCTGGTATTACACCTTGTAACATGCTTTTTGCAGCCTCAAAACAAATTCTCTATGCCAATTAATGAATTTGAGAATCATTATCACCATCTGGATCAATGAGATAGTCTAGGATTGTTGAATGCTGGCAGTAACCCACTTCCTCAAATTTTCAATCCATTGCAACCCGTCTTCGAGCCCTATTTTCTCAAATTCCTTCTGGTGTGCCCTCAGGTACATACCTGAAATATCATATGTCCATTTTGGTTGCTGTGTCTGCTAAATTCATTGAGAGTTTCATGTTCGGGTGTCGAAAGACTCAAACTGTCCTAACTTTTGAACCACATGCACTACCACCATGGATGTTTCACTCAGGACTTAGTATTTTGCAATTCCAACCCGATGCAAGAAGAATCTAAGCGTAATAATGATTTTTGAGCTGGATATGCATGTTGGAAGATAGAGCTTCATAAGTTTATAAAATCCGGCGAATTTCGGCAAATATCTGCGCGCGCCTTCGGTACTGCAAATAGCTGTAAGTATTTCTTCCGCACCCCAAGTGCAGGTAGTCCTGATGTTTCAGAATGCCTCACTCGCTGAGGAGCGGGGCATCGAGAGGGCGGTGCATTGAAGATGAGGGGACTTCGATGTAAAAGTATCTTTGGAGGTTGAGTACAGTATAGTGGACGTTAATGATGAGGTTCATTAGAAAAAGGATGAAGGTTAAGGTTACTGGTGTATATTACTGTCACTCGTCTCTCACCTTGTTTACCATGAGTATACTATGTATATAATTCACTCTTCCTCATTCTTTGCAATCGAGATGACTCCTTCCGCCGCCAACCCGTAACGGATACCAGATCAACGAATCGTCACGACAACGCTGAAGCTGTCCTAGTACGGCCGGCAATGTCCTGGTGGTGTTGCTCAGCTGACCCGCACTGCACTGTGTAGACGTTGACAATGAAAGCCCCTTCCTGACCAGGACCGTCGTCCTTGCGAGTGCGATAATGAACGCCAGGGGTGCTTCCAAATTTTTTGAATCGCGTAACTCGAAGAACATGAAATTTCCGCCATTTTATTCAATGGAACCTACAGGGCCATTAGAGCAAGTTCCACTGTCCCGCAAACTCAGCAACCTCTCTGTTATCTCTTCATCCACAGCGACGTCCTTGTATCGGTCATCTTCACACCAGTATCATCTCGAAAACATTCCGGACGATGTACTTCGCGAAATCGCAAATTGGTGTAGTCCAGCGACCAATCTGCGCGTTTCGTTAGCTGTATGTGCTTACTATTTAATTATCGTATATGGCACTGAAAGTAATCGTGTTCGCTTCAGTGTAAACGACTCGCGATTTTGTTCCGACCATATCTATACAACTCGGTCGATCTGGCGTATACAGACTTGTGTCGTGCGGGGCTTAAAGTGTTTTCTCAACGGCCAACGCTGACACGCTATATTAAAATCCTCATACTCAAACCGAATCGTAATTCGGGCTGGACTAAAAGTCTGGACAAGAGCATCGATGAAGTTTGGATCATTGACGTTCTTCAAAACATCGCATCCCAGGGTGATCTGCCTTTATTGACAACATTCAAGTGGTACGGGAAGGAGTTACCCAAAGATTCCTTTTGGCTGACTCTGCGAACACAGTGGGTGCTGGACTTCTTGTAATTTTTTGATTTCAAAATTATCGTCCTATCAGTTGTCCGGATCTACGAAATATCGGCACTTCAGTTGGCCAGAAAACATTGCAGGCCTTCAAATCGAACGACCATGTATTACTTTTCGCAATGCCGTGAGACGATCTTATACGCTGACTTCTACTATAGCTCTTTGCGTTCCGAAACCTCACCGGATTCCATCTATTTACTCAAGTGTTGGAACGTTGGACAATGTTCAGTGAGCACAATTTTGCCTCATCTTCGACAGTTTTTCAAACTCAGGATACTATCGTTAGACTACCAGATGGAGCGGGATCTACCTGAGACGTTGTGGGAAATGCTGTTTGACAGTCAAGCACTAGAAGAGCTTACACTCGACGGAACATGCTTCTCCGATGCCAACGCTTGGAACTTGAAGCCCGTATTTTCCGGACGATGGCCTGGCCTTCGCAGATTAGCTTTGGGCAACGTGTTTTACGACGACAGCACCGACAATGATGACTCCGTATGTAAGTTTCTGCAGGAACATTCGAATCTAGAGCAAATATCGTCCTTGGGGAACATGTCTTATTCTCCGACCGCGATGGCGTGTCTCGTTTCGCTACCAAAACTCCAGACCTATCGAGGAAGATTGCAGCAGCTTCAAGATGGTGGCGAACTGACACAGATACGGAATATAATTCTAACAGTGCGTGGTGACCTTGTGATCAATAACCTTACTCTCAAGCTGTAGTCACTAATTGGTGCTGAAAAAGGATTGGTTTAGCCCTTCTGCTAATTTCGGTGACATATTGGGGGATCTACATCACTTGGAATCACTCACTGTCTGCGTGAACTTCGTCGACAATGTCCATTCACAGCTTGGTTTCTACGATAGGCTACTTGAGCAGTGTTCGCAATTGAAGTATCTGGAAATATCTTCCACTTCATGGTTATCCCTAGTGAGTGAATTTGCCTTTTGCTTCATATATCTGAGGATCTTACTTTGTTCGTATCCAGCGAAAGCTTTCAAGCGGTCTCCGGCTTGTCCCAGATCTTCGCACTCTAACAGTCACGCGAGTACACAAAATGAACAGTAACAATCTAACCAAAAGCGCGCTACATATCGCTTCTCAAAATATCAATCTACGCGAGTTCACGATTCGGGATGTACCAGTTTGGGATCACCTTGATCAGCTGAGTGGTGTTTTCCGTACAAAGCACTTGGGGCACTATACTGTTCAACATGAACATGGAGAGCGCATTTTGAGTGTCCAAGAGGTCGGGGTTGGTGCGCTAAGGCAGCTCTATCATCGGTCCTTTAGCCGATTAATTGAAGATACCCAGCACCTTTGAGTTTTATCCATCGACGATTGAATAAAATGAGCATTATCATTTACAACAACAGTGCATAAATTAGGGCATTAGGAGTCAAGACATAAGCAAGAGCAATGCGAAAGCAACCAGAGGAACCACGATTATAGGCAGATGCTACCTCAAACAACGGATTTTTGGTCAACTTTTTCGTCACTTGTAGTATCATCAATAGCTGTCACGGAGCCAGTTCCACCAAGCCCCATAGTGCTAGTGTCGAAGCCATGAGCCTCGAGGTATTGCCGGAACTGCACACCCAATAGAAACGTTAGTTCAATTCAGCAAGGCACTCCAACTACGTCCTACCTTTTCATCTTCATCAGCCATTCCGTCATGGCTCAAAGGCCTGATAAAGAAGAACGTGATCAATGCACTGAGAACAGCAAGGCCACTGCCAACCCAGAAAGGCCCAGTATTCCCTCGTACAGAGGATGCTCCGCCAAATGCTAAAGATGAAATGGCAGTTATGTATGCGATAGGACCCCGAACAGCGCGTGGTCCGTACCATCAATCATAGGCGGGAAGGCCCAAGTGCCAACAAATGCTCCAATTTTACCAACGGCGGCTGCAGTCCCATAGAACTGACCACGAACTGCAGTTGGGCTGGTCTTGCTGGCGAGAAGACCTAGGCAATTCCCGGGACCTGAACAAGATGCCTCAGAGAAGTTCGACGATCTGAACATTAGATACCCACCAACTTCACCGAAGCTCAAAAAAATACCGTATACAACCTTTAAGAGAAATTGCTTTCAAATGTACAGTAGATGAATGGAAGGGAATTTACCGCGAAAGCAGCGACGTGGGATGTGAGCCTGTTTCAAAGAATTGAAACGACGAACAACACCTCAAGTGTATACAGAGCTTACTTCTCATATAGGCCACTCATAATAAACCCGATGACGGCTTGACTGATGAGACCAGCGATCTACAGATACCAGATCAGAGCTGAGAAAAACGGGAAACCAAGTACGAACCATGCAGTTTTTGGGACCGACGTAATCGACGATCAAAGCGCCGCCAAGAGTACCTGGTATATAAAACAAACTGGATACATAAATTAATGAGTTGACGACAAAACCTCCGCTAACACAGACATACTTGATGATGATATTCCAACCGAAGATGACAGGGATTGCGTCACTCCCCCCAGTGATACTGAACGAGATGATTAGAACGGGGGGGTTTTGGAGGAATGTGTCAACACTCACTTGTCCACCACTGTAGAAGAATAGATACCGAACTAGAAAATGACAGCATTGAGGAACCAAACTGTAAGAGGAGCCGTTGCCCAACGCACTGGGTATCTATAAAACTATCAACGAGAGGGTGAGAAGAGAGTCAGAAACGACATACGTGATGAAGTCGTAAATGAACCACGTCAAAGAAATGGCAACAAGAGAGGGCCAATAGCGACGAAGGACCAGCATGTAAGGGATCTTCACATTCTTCATAGATGATTTCTTGTAGGAGTCGGGTTCGTCCATACTAAGTCGCCAAATAAACACAAGCATAGCGGGAATGAATCCAAGACCGAGGGACAAACGCCACACAGCTCGCAGGTGATTGGGACCGCAAATCCAATATAGAACAAGTGGCACGAATGCAGAGATGACGAAACCAGTATCGATCATGGAGTCTGTAAATGCATACGTCGGGACGACTGGAGGTAACAAGTGCGAAATTTCAACGCACTTGTAGCAAGAGCAAACCATCTGTGCTGTGCATTCTTGCTGATTGACTTTTGTTCTGTCTGCTCGGACGCAGAAACAGAGCCACATGGATATTCAGCACCAACGCCGATACCGAGTAAAAATCTACGTCAGATGTTGTGTTAAGGATTTGGGGTGTAATGGGGATAGGCGCACCTGCAAGCACTCAGCATTGCCAATGTCCCCCCTACACTATGATGTGCACCTTCTGAAGCAGCAGAAAGTAGGGAGAAGAACGCTACAATCCCCGTTGCGGTCATCATTCCGAATTTTCGTCCCATTTTGTCAGATAAGTACCCTAATTTCAAGGTCAGCGCCAAAAACTCATTCAAAAAGACGGAAACGCACCGAAGACAAGCATCCCAACCACTGTGCCCGCGAACGCCACACTGCTCACGACAGTAGAGTAATTATGGGCAGTTATTTCATCACCATAAATACGCTTTAACACTGGGTAAGGATGAGTTGATTTGCCTAGCTTTAAAGCAGAATCAAAAACTGACAAGTATTTACTGAGATGATATGTATTAGTTGACAACTATACGATGATGAAATCTTAGAGTAGCTTGCCTTCACTAATCACACCATTCGCATAACCTACAAAAGAAGAAAATGAACTCTGGAATTTTCTTGTTTATCAACGTAATCAATACCGTCTGAAAACAGTGCGGTTCCACATCTAGCATCGGACGTTAGCTTGATCTTGATAATAGTATCAGTAAACCCTACGCGAAGATGAGTGAAACTCCTGAAAGACGACTGCGCAACGCCGGTTGGTCAGTCATCGCTGTAAATGGGCGAGGAAAGAGACTCGGGCCTTCATGCTAATGGCGGTGGATTTTATGCCTTTACTCCCGCCTGGTCTTCGGGGTCCTCAAGTTGAGCCATTATGCAATTTTTTGAATGATAAGCGCTGATAAAGGTATCTTTATCGCGCACGTTCATCGGCGAGCACCGGTACCGACCGCCAGCCTACCTACCTACTTACTCTTTAGATTTCAAAGCTTTAAGATACATCTCAGAGCTTAACCGTTTCCCTCACCCAACCCTCTCTAGATAAATCAAATCCTTATCCAGAAACTAACAAGTAGCATGTGGATGCGTTGATAAGGAACCACCGAAATGCGCGATTTATCAGCGTCGCAAAGCAAGGGCCAGAACAGGAAAAGAAAATAAAGGAGCGCTCGCCTTTCCTACATACGAGTTCTAAGCTTGGTACGTATCCCTTTGCCGCTTCCTGAAGCGCTAGACTCTTCAGATGGTATTCCAACAGCATATATTCCCAGAGGCCAGTGTACTACCGATATCGCGATATCAACTCACCATTACTTGTTTTCCGGACCCTCATGAGAGGCCTGGGACCTTTAAGTTACAATTGAATATCAATAACTCGGGTCTACTTCGTCGAGGTCGTATGAGTAATAAGTTACAGTAAGTAGCCAGTTAACTTTCATAAGATTTTCGCACTGGAATTCCGTTCGTTGAAGGCGCGCGAAGTAGACCATTCGAAGCCAATCCTGGAAAATCAATGGACTTAGAGGCATCTATTATTGATTCGTCTTGGAGGTGTGGATTTTCATTCTTGTATAATATTCTCATGATCCTCAAGTGATCCTCTCCAAGGCCCTGGTTTTTGTCACGAGGAGAAAGTAAAAGCCTATAACCCCAACGCAAACTTTGAACGGCATAACCTTCAACCTGTCTTTTCGTCATTCCACTTCGAATCTTTTGTGCTCGGGCTGCCTCCGTGTCAAGGTCTTTTGTGTTCAAACCTCGTCCTGACATGGACATCCGAATGTCAATCTTCTGTCGTAAAGAGTCCTACTAGCAATTCTCGGTCCCTCCTATCTGTTGAGTTGACACGCTCTTTTGTTCTAACTCTCAGCATTAACCCCAGTACCTCATGTGGATTGACGGAGGTTAATGTCAATCTTCGCTCTAATCAATAGGATTGACAAGGTGCTCGCTAGTCTATTCCAACACGAAGCCAAACCTAGATCGTTAGAGCAATACGCATACCGAAAGGACTCTTCCGGATGCCTCTTCCAAACGACACACTGCTGATTCTCCGGGTGTATACAGAGCATCAATCAATCATAGTTCTGAATAGATCGATCCTAGTAATCGCTGCTTCCGCTTCCCCATGGTCAAATGAGGTCACATCGCAGAAAGGGAGCTTCAATTACAATCCTCTGACCTATGTAGTGCACGAGTTGCTTATCGCCTTTCAATGTCAATAAACGAGGTGCTGCGTGCGGCAGTGTCAAAAGATACTCTACGGCATCTGGAGAGTTGTGAAAAGTCGTGAATCGCTGCTCTTTCCAAATCAGAACTCAAAATTTGACAATGTCAATCATTTCGGTGACATGTCCAGGGAATTTCTGGAATGAATACTCGGACATGAACTCCCTCTGCATCCGGCGTCATGAGGCCCACCGAAATCCCTTCTGAGGCGTATTTTTCGGGATCCGGCACCGCTGTGTATTCCCTTGGATGTGCACCGACCCTACATGCACCATCTGAGCTTCAAATGTTCTTTCTTATAGTCTAATGAAAGAAGCTCTAGTATTTTGCCTCGAATCTTGAGCATAGATTGCCGCGCATACATAAAAGTGGAGATGTATTTGCTTCCTATTTCTTTGTCAGTGCAACTCGAATCTGTGTTTTCTGTAGACCGTGACTCATTCTAAAGTTCTAATTGTTCAGCATATTCACCCCCCTCCTAGTCCTCGGTTCGGCATGTCCTCACCAGTCTCCACACTCAGTCTAATACTGGAATCCGACAATCCTTACAACACAAACATGTACGATGAAAAGGACGGACGAATATTATACCAGGTCATGACAGAACACCAACCAGAAAAGGTGACTAGAGTGAGGAATGTTGACGGAGAAACCATTGCGTCGTGGCACTGGAGAGATCCCAAACCCGACATCATCATCTTAGGCAATGGGAATCCGGTACCTCTAGGTACCTGGCTAAAAAAAAGCATTATGCCTTTCAAAGAGTAGGTTGTTCTGTCATGTCCGTTCATCATTCATTGTGACCTCATGCGTTCGAAAGCGCCGTGACATTTCAAGATCAGATAGGGCGGCACTTTAAATGGAAAGGATGGGGAACTGGTACAGCAGCTAGTACATCTCTGGAGGTAAGCCCATTGCTGATGCCGTGTATATTATGTACGGTCTTGGACCTGTCCTTCGATCAAAATCACCATCTGATCGCAAAGTACGCTTTGACTTCATAGCTCTACTGTGAAGACGACAAGAAACACCCCATCGCCCATTTTGTCAAGTCATATTCAATTTCTAGTAATCAACTAGACGCCTGGAATACTTCTAATCAGCAGTGGGTACAAGCCAGGTTGTTGGTGGATCGACGGGGACAAGAAATCCTTGATCTCGTCGTCATATCATTTTTGGTTCTGGAAAAAGGTCGCCGGGCAGAGCTCTCAACCGGGCACAGGACTGACTCATTCATGGGCACACATACATGACCGTGTATGGACTTATTGGTGAAATGATCACATACACGACGACTACTACATTGCACTTCGCACCACCATACATAGAAGCGCAACTTAATGTAATATGGGACAGAATTGGTAGCATGCTCTACTCAGGTAGATTTGGACGGAAGATGGATCAGAACCGCATGAATTACAGCAGTACAAGTCCAGAAACAGAAGAACTAGGGTGAACGTAAGATAAAACGTGATATTTTCCTAGGATACGTAGGTATGATACGATGATAAAGTATTTGACCAAAGCATAGGAGAATCAAAAACATGCAGGAGATGACAAAGAATGAGATTTATAATACAAGCAGTCCAAAAGAAAGCTTCATTTTAACAAATTACTTCGCACTTTCAGAATGATGCCCGTTTGGCTGATACATATATCGATGCACTGTTGGGAGTTGCGATGCTCCCGAGGAAGAGGAAGGTCTAGAGGGAGGATCTGTAGGTCGTGGACGATAATAGCTTGTTACGCGATGATCTGGAGGAGAGGGACCAATATTAACAGGAGACGATGTGCTTACTGCAACAACTGGCATCGGCCATGGTTGACCAGCGGGTCCTGGAGGTATTACAGGAACTGATGTTGACGCTTTAGAGTTGGAACTGGGAGGTTGATGCTGGTTTTGGAGGGACGGTGAAGCAACCGGCGTAGACGATGGAGTAGAGGAGGGATTGCGGACAGTAGTCGCATTTGGGGTCGGGGCGGCGCTGCTTACAGGATCACCGTCTACGTCGCGCCGTCTCTTCACGCCGCGTACTGAGGAGCTTTCCTTTAGGCCCACTTGAGTTGCTTTAATGAGTATTTGATGTCTAATGGGTGATGTTAGTGAGCTGCCTGTGGAACCGATGAATTCAACACACCTGGATCTGGTGCTTCCCCATTGGCTAATTATGTCGTCCCAATCGATCTCCCCCGAGCCGGTCTTCTTTTCTTCTGCCATTATTTTCAGCCGTTCAATCTCTTCATCGGACCATGCTCCAGAGTTTCCAGTCCCTGAATTTGTCATTGTGACGATGGGAGGAGCCGCTGGAGCTGCTGGGGGCGGGACAACAGGTGCAACGGCGGGGGTGTAGTATGCGCCAGGATGACCATAAGGGTATGAGTAGTAGGATGTTGTAGGGTATTGGCCTGGCGGCGGAGGCGCATAATATGCATGGCTACCCATAGGGACGACAAAAGTTTGAGGTTGGCTGATCATGGTGGGAGGGCTGGGAAGTGCCCCAGAACTAGAGCTGGATGATGGAATGCCTGTGGTGTAGAAAGTCGGAACGGCAGGATACATCGGGGGAGGAGGGGATGTGATTAGCCGAGAAGGATTTGCAAGCTGATGATGGTATAAGATTTGAAAGATAGGCATTAATTGGAACAACGATCGAGACTTACAAGTATATCACAGTTTTGTTTAGCTTCGTTCAACATGATGAGAGGATCGACTTTACTATTGGGACCCATCTGGTAACATTGGGCGATGACTAGGGCCGGGGTCCCTTTCTAGTCAATGAATAATTTTAGTGGACACAAGCCGTACTAGATTGACACTTACCACAAGTTCTTCTGCAGCTCCATAAAATTCTGCACATAAGTTTAATACACGCCACTGAAACTCGTAATATTGCTGATTCTGAGCGGTGACTTCTGGAAGCTGAGGAGGGTTTGTTCCTTGACCAGTAGCATGTAGTGGTTGGTGACTAGGTGGTGATGACTTAACAGCCTGGCTACTAACACGACCACGACGATTTTTGGACCCTCGAGGACGACCTCGACGTTTGGGTTCAGGCTCATGTTGGTGTTCAGAGCTATATCGAAATCTGCTGAGAGAGCCTTGAGAAATTGCAATAGAAAAACATACGCGGTTTCGGGAGGTTTTGGCGAAGGCGGAGCACTAGTTCGACTGAGTTGCTCTTCCACCATTCCCTCGTCATCATCGTCAGACTCGATTGTTTTCTGATGTTCTACCGATGCCGTCTTGTAAAATTGAGGTTGTGAAGAACTTCTGGGGGGATTCAAGGCATGAGACAACGGTTGATAGTATTGAGGATTATCCATAGAAATCGTTGTTCCAAATCGTTTTCAATCACACGGCAACAGGGCTTTTAAAAGAATATATATATATGAGGTGTGTAAGACTGAAAGGAAAACAAGCCGTACAAGTTCTACGAGGCGAGCCGTGACGTTTCCTGTGAGTGATAAGGGTGACCATAAACATAGGATAATCACATAAAAACAAAATAGAAAACTGACCAACCCTGTAAAAACAGTGTTCTCCCACTCACAGCGCCAATCTTTCACGGATGTTGAAATGATTAGAATGATTTTGGAGGTTGTGGACAGCTCAGATTAGTTGACTCAAAGCTAAGCTCGTCGTGAACGAAGGGAAGATTCTTCTATGAATTGTGCGGAGTTCGAATTAAAATGTGACCGACGCTTGTCACTCACCCTCACTAACTTGTCATATTGATGTGACCATTGGTCGTGACTCGCATATATTGGCTGTATGTGGAGGTGGTCGATCTACTTCAGCCTACTGCAACTGTCTTTTTCGAAATTAGAGAACGATCTTTGAATCGAGATGATACTAGTATCAATGATAGGTTATTAATATACGCATTTTGCAAGTCGCGTGACATTATTGGGTGAAGTGACATCAGCATCAGGAGTTCATATATTAATCTTAAACTCAAACGCGTCTGAACTAGTGACCACTACCTTGTACCTTCATGGCAGTATTCTCTAAGATTTTTCCTTCTCTCGCCACTTCATACATCGTGCAAGCTGGTACTGCTCTTTTCCTATCTTCGACACTACTCCACTCAATATTTATCATCTGTTACTAGTCTTTGCACTTGTTTTTGTGCCGCAACGGAATGAGAAGTATTATGACCTTGGCGGAGCTGTTGGGTTCATATCCACAACATTTGCCTCGCTGTATTATCCCTCTCTGCGGGAAAGCGTTATGGGAGGCAAATTTCTGCCGCTTCCACCGTTATCACATTTTGCCCCTCGACAACTCATACTCTCTGCTGCACTCGGCATTTGGATTACAAGATTGGGGTCATTCTTGGTCCAGGTATGTTATCATCGCGTCGTATCATACTTGCATTAATCAGGTAGCATATAGCGAGTACGCACTTATCTCCCGTTACTCCTTGTGTCCTGACTACCAACGACAGGCATTTAAAGCAGGCGGGGACTCTAGGTTCGACGAAGTCAAGCATAAACCGGTTCATTTTACATTTTATTGGTTCATGCAAGGTTCTGCTTTTCATTCATTCAGCTTCCGCTATGTAGTCTTAATCGGCCTCTGTTTCAGCTACCTGGGTATTCATCGTTGGTTTGCCAGTTTATCTGGCGAATACGATCCCGAAAAACGTCCATCCACCAATGAGCACCCGGGATTATTTGTCTATTGGCTTATTTGCTAGTTCGTTCTTCTTCGAAGCTCTTGCCGACCGCCAAAAGACCATTTGGCGACGTAGAAGAGATGCGAAGGAGCACGACGAAAAGTTTATTACTTCTGGTCTATGGAGCCTTAGTCGGCATCCAAAGTGAGTTCGACTGTCTTTACGGTATGCACTTGAATGTGGCTTTTTAACAGAATATATGCGCAAGTTATGTTGGCGAAGTAGGTATATGGGCTGGTATATGGGGCCTTTCCACCACCGCTCTGCAAACACCATATTTCTCCCGAGGAACAGTGGCTATTGCTGCTATTAGTCCGATATTCACATATTTTCTTTTGAGAAAGGTGCGATACCTCTTAATGTCAAGCGTTCTTATCCCTTGTTGAAAACGTTGTATATTCATATTTAGCTTTCTGGGGTCCCACCCCTTGAGAAAGCCGGTGACAAGCGATTTGGGACTGACCCTAAATGGCATGAGTATAAACGGTTCGTTGTAATCTTTCGATGCGATGACTAGAAGTATTGCTAACACTGAGACCCTTGCAGGACTGTACCCATCTTCTGGCCATGGTCTTCTGCCCGAGAGTGAAACAAAGATCCCCTCGCGCAAATCAAGCACCAAAAGTTCTTTGTCCTTTCATCTTAGGAGAGTTCCAGGCAGGCTAACAAAGGAATAGTTGATTGTGCAAGTTCGTGTAACTAATAAGTATACTAAAAATGTTGTTTTTGGGAACCTGCAAGACACCGCAGAGTGATATACCTCAGAAACCAAGTGCCGCCAGTGTCTGGGTCATATTCTCGTCTGCGAAGAATTGCCTCGCATCAAGCATCCTAGTATGAAGAGGCCTGTCAGTACACAGCTCTGGGGAGTACCGTCTATACTATGTACTTACAGGATGTGCACGAAAGTCGAGGATTGAGCTGGGGCACTGGCGTTGAACGCATCAACAGTAGCAGCAATCGGACCGTCAAGCGATGTCAGCAAAGTATTGATATCCGGAACGATAGCGGGGGTGAGGGCGGAGAGACCAGAGGTAACTTTCCTGAGGAGAATATTCAGCGATCTGGTATAGAGAATTTCTGGGGACTCACGATAGAGAATCACCGAGGCTCACGGCGAGGTCGTTGTCGGTGGGAGTAGTGGTGTTGCTTCTACATGGCGTTTGGATGTGAGAGGACTCTCCTTTCCATCATTATCATTCGTCACCACATACCCAATACTCGGAGGAATGCCGCTGAGGGCACTCGCGGTAGTGTTCCATGCCGCGATCAGCATTTCGATCTGCGCTCCGATGCTAGTATCGTTAGCTTGGTGAGATACCTGCAAGAGTTCTGCAATAGCAAGATTGGTTGAAATCAACAACAACTTGTTTAAATTGCTTGCGTCTTGACTCACGAATTTCAGGTATAATCACGCCGACTTTCGACGCCAGAGTGTCCAAGGGAGGGAGGATTTGAGCATTGGTGTCCGTTCCCTGCCTCTTGCCGAATGGATTGGCGAAGACAACAGAAACTAAAGCGAGTGCAAAGACGTTGCGAAACAACATTGTTGATACTAGGGGGTCTCACAAAAGCAAGTGGTCGAATCATCAAAATCTGGCTGAATTTAATAGTGGGTCCGTGGGTACTGAACCAGACACGCAAAGCCTTCCCGATGTCAACACCTACCCCATAGTGGTGGAAACAATGGAGCGAGCAATATTTTCCCCAATCATCGCAGGAGAAATTGGCACACTGAGATGAAGAACTCACCCGCCCCTGATAGAGCTTGGAATGGATGAAAGAAGCAAGAGAGCGTAATTGGCTCAACCGTGAACGAAGTGTATGACAGCGAGTGTTGGAATGTTTGGGACGGTGAGAAATCGTTGCATGTGTGTGAGTCCAAGTCGAACGAGAGTAGCTAATTACTCCCATCGATGCGAAACCAATAACTTCGTGGCACGAACAACAAATCGTTATGTAAATATACCTTGACAAAATTTGTCTATTTTTTCAACCAGCATATTTTGGGTGATAAAAGTCTGATATTTTGAGAATTGAAGGCGTACACAGACGTAGATCAGCGAGGAACATTTTCAGAGAATTTATTTTGTGTCTGTGTCTTTAGTGACACTCAGTCAGAAGGGAGATTTCCTCCATGGACTCGTTGGCATAAGCCTAGGATCCTGGAAACTGTTTTTCTTCTGAGAAAACGAAATACAATCCGCAAAAAGCAGATGGTACCTGAGTTCCAAATCCCAAGCTGTACCAAGGCCCATATACACTGTAGGTCACTTCCACTTGCAATATTTGGCCAGGCCTTGCTGTCGTAAAAGAAGGGTGTGCTGGGGTGTGCAGGAACTCGGCAAATTGAGATAAATATATGTAGTAATGCGAGGAGAGTTTTTGCTCGAACGAGACTCATTTTCGGGTTGAAAGTACCAGGAAAGTTTGGTTCTAATTATAGGAATCCAGCTTGGATGACGCTCAAAAGTGAAAATGATTCCACACATCATCCATCACGTCTCCGAAGCAGCGGTGACCTTCCTAAGAGTAAGACAGGCGCTTATTGTTCTTCTGCATATCATGGTGTATAGTCGCGATTCTGGCTTTGTTCTACTCAATATCCCGAATGTACAGATACGCTCTCAACAATCGTCGTACTCAGAAAGCGGTACACTGACCATAGAATGCATCTATGTCACTCCAGAGGGTCAAGCAGCTATCAACCGGAATATATTTCTCATATTGCGTATCAACTCTAACGAAATACCACTCGATCCTCGGCGTATGATCACCTTCACTGCTCAGGTACAAGGAACCCACGCCGGCCAGACGTATGTTCTTCACGGAACAGACTTGGATCCAGAAGTACTTGAACTTTACGTCCCGGTTTTTGACTCAAACGATGCTAAGGCGTTGCAAAGACAAGAAGACCTAGATACTCTGCAGGGTATCTTCACAGAATATGCAGGTCTTACAGAACTCGCTTCTGCCCATGTGTCGCACAGTATGCCTATGTCGACAAACTCTCCAGATCTCCGCGGTCATCTTGTGTTGGTCAACGAGGATTCTGGTGACATTATAGGAGAGGTGGATCAGAGAGTTACTGTTTATGAAGACCCAGATATTTCCCGTCTTGAGAAAGGGCATGAGCATGGGCCTGTTGTCATCGAAATCAACCAGGATGAAGAAGGTCAAGCAATAGAAGTGTTTGCGAGGGCAATTCCTACTGGTCAGGAGGATTGGATGACCAAGTCTGCCAGACTAGTCAGGTATGTATTCCATCAAATGTGCAGCACAATTCAAACGTCATCTACAGTCAAGGAATCTCTCAAACTACCAATCTCCTTGTAAATGTCGTTTCTTCTGCCTCTTCCAACTACGTAAACCGATCGTCCCCGTCTACTTCGACTGTCCCCGGTGCAAAATCATCTCCATCATCATCGAAAGCTGTTGCTTTCATTTCATCTTCCCGCACTCGGACAGGGCTTACCCATGCACACGCGCTCACTGCACAGGCCGTAAAAGTGAGCGGGAAAACGCTGTCGGTGATAGACGACATGATAGGCAAGATGATTGGCACTAAGAGCAGCAGCAATACGCCAAAAGGCATGCCGGTCACGCTGCCGAGCTTAAATAATGTTGTAAATGTCCCGCCTCCGCCCCCGTATTCGACTTCTCCTAATCCTCTCACAGACTCTGTGAAGCCTCCACTGCCTCCGCGGAAGGTGCCAATTCTTTCTCAGTCCGGATCCGAGAAACCTCCACTTCCACCTCGTTTCATCAGTACTCCAGCTACGGCCCCACCTGCTTCTTCCAGCGCGCTCACTGCGAAAGCGAAGCTCATCCTGTCCGCGGACTTGATCCTTTCTACCTTGGATCAATCTGTAAAGCAGCTTATCGATGTCGGAGGTCGTAGCGCAACTAGAGTTGTTGGGCATCAGTTAGTGGCTCATCTCCTCGGTTAGCTTGTTCACTCATTAAAGACATGCTTATAGATATGGCTCAGAAGCGGCGCAAAATACAGCTCTCATAGCCGGTACCGTGCGGAACGTCGCTCTGGTGTATATTGATATGCGCGGTGTTGGGCGGAAGGCACTCATAAAGAGAGTTGGTAAACAATACGTCAAAAGCAAATTCGCAAAACGAGATGAATAATGCAGACTGATGGAAAATGGACACTTGTATGTAATGTTACAGTCTCTGATGGTCTGTGAGGTACTTGGAATAAAATGTACTGAATAACTTGGCGGAGTAAAAGAGTCCAACAACCTATCACGCAAACAACTGAAGATGTCATATATTTGTATTTACATGCATAGTCTACTAATATCCTCTTGTCAGATAGGTGTAAGGACTGGACTTGTACATGAAACTTGAAGGGGGTTCAGGTCAAAGCGAGTTCTACGAGCTTACCTAATAGATAGATCCAAACCATAACCTTACTTTCGGTCTCCCGAACGGGGGCACGTTTTGGGGGCACCCCCTTATATACGCGGCTAAGTTGAGACTTGTTCTGCTATGCCCAGAAATGGCACCATTCCTACCCCCAAAGATCGTCCTGTCCGGGTTTAAAGAGAAGATTGATTCTCTGTTAGTCCAAGGCAAGATCCAATTGCCTTGCATATATCTACGCTATAGTCATTACTATTCGTTTAGGCGACAGAACCTATCTGGGTACTGCGACTGGTAACCTACATGTGTATAGTCACGATCCCTCTGGCGACCTGACTCTAGTTGAAGTGAAGAAGAGTTTGACCAAAAGGTCAATAGAGCAGCTGGGATTCATCAAGGATGTTAACTCCGTAGTGACGCTGTCAGGTATGTGGATCTTTGACACTACTTTATATTGCACCTAACGCTGGAATAAGAGACAACCGTGACGCTATTTCCGCTTCCTTCATTCTCGCCTCCAACCATCCTTTCTGCTGCAAAGGCTGCTTTTTCATTCACAATCCATTCCTACACCTACCGCGGGGAGTCCGAACTTCAAGGCCAAGATGAATTCACGAAGCCAGCTCCCATACCCGTACTAATGACCTACTTGCTCGTCGGATGTCGCCGAAAAGTTGTAATCTATTCTTGGAAAGACGGAGAAGCACAGGCGCTCAAAGTGCGTCCTCAATCTATGTTTTGGGGCTATAATGAACCGTCGCATTAGGAACACCCGCTACCGCATTCACCTCGGATAATCAGTTTCATGAACGATGACCTTGCGTGCTTTGCATATTCTGCGACCGAATATGCTGTATTCTCATTATCAAAGAAGACAGTCATCGAAGTAACGATGCCATTGCCACTTTCTGCTCCGTCCTCTACAATGGGCGCCTTGACCGGCTTTTCGGGCTACATGACTCTTGGTCTCGGTGCTAAATCGAAGCCTGGAATTGTGAAACTCAACGAAGCAGAATCTCTCATCATCAAAGATAGTGCGTTGCTGTGTTATGTTAGATTATTGAGACTGGATTTCACGTCCATTGTAGATGAGGGCATAATCATCGGAAAAGATGCAAAACCGTCAAGGTCTGAGACGATCGGATGGCAGGCACCTCCTGAGGAGATAGGTTCGCCGAGATCGTATACCAATGTGACTGCCGTTCTGAAGCTAATATGTAGCATTCATCAAGCCATATATCTTCTCTGTTTTACCTCCTGGTTCGATCCCTTCCACAAACACAGATCCAGGCCAGAACTCAATCCCTACAAGCGTGGTTCAGATTCGTTCTTCTATATCATTACTTCCAATCCAAACATACATTTATCCATTCAGGGAACCGTCCAGACCATCCTCTCCTGCGCCTGCTCCCCAGCCTTCTCTGCTCGCCAATGCTACCATTCGGCTAATGTCACCTTCTTTGGCCACGAACCATTCTATCTTCCTAGTCACGACGCCAACTGATAGGGCAACAGCTACTTCTGAAGGCAGTTCTATCTGGCAGTTTGAGATGAAGACGTGGTCTGAGCAGATTGACGAACTGGTTCTGGCCGGTCAGTATTCGGATGCCCTGAAGTTCCTTGAAAGTATTGAATCTAAAGATCTCTCGGACAAGGTGAGCCTGCGCTGCATTCCTTGTATTTCTATATCTGATACCTTTGAAGGACGACCGCAGGGTTCGAATTCGTGCTCTAAATGCCGTTTCAGAATTTGAAGCAGGTCAATTCGACAAAGCTATTGATACCTTCACGGAATTGAACATTAACCCTGCCAAAGTCGTCGCACTCTACCCCGAGTCAATATCCGGTCGATTGTCCGTTCCTCGAGATAAATGGATTGAATTATACGGTGGCCCCCCTAAACAGAAAGACGTTGTCGAGAGTCCTACTGAAGGCAGTGAGGCGGATTCCAAGGGAAGCGAAACACCCAAGAAATCCGAGCATGAACGCTCGATGACTGCCACAGACGAAATGTTGGATAACCTGGGATTAGCGGGTCCTGGATCGATCCGAGGCCGATTGAAGGGACTAGGTGTTTTAATGGGTGCTGCTGCTGCCGTTCCTACTACCCAAAAAGATGACGACACAGCGTCTGTGAAGTCGCAGACATCTAGACCTTCCAAAGTAAACTCTGACAGCGGTGAGTGCGGCTTGATTTGAATGACTGTGATAGCAGGCTTAATAGCGCATACAGATTATCATAAATCCGTAGAGAGTCTGGTGAGGAGCTTCCTCCCAGATCGCAGAGTAAAACTTGGAGCTGCGCTCAATGCAGTGGGTATGACGCCTGCAGACCAAGCACATGAAATCACATCACTTTCAGCAATGTCTGTTGAGGACCTGTATGCACTACCTAATGCACCTTTCACACAACTTACACCTGAGCAGCTACTGCGGTATGCGCAGATAGTCGATACTGCGCTTTTCAAGTCGTACCTTGTCGTGAGGCCAATTTTGGCTGGGTCATTATTCAGGGTGCCGAATTGGTGCGAGGTGGAAGAGGTAGAAGGTGTTTTGAGAGCAAGAGGTGTAAGTCAGCGCTACACATCTTGGAAGATTGGTCGACGTATTGTCGTACGTAGATGTTCAGGGAGTTGAAAGATTTGTATCACCAGAAGAAGATGCACAGGAAGGCACTTGAGCTTTTACGACAGTACGTTCATAAATCGTTTCAACAAATGACTCTGTACTGAAAGCTTTTCAAGACTCGGTGAAAAGGAGGAAGACTTGGACGAGAGAGTATACGACTCAGTACAATATTTACGGAAATTGGGCCCAGGAGATTTAGGGCAAGTGTTTGAGTCGGCACGATGGGTTATCGAACAGAATTCTGACCGGGGTTTAGAAGTAAGATTTTCCATGATCGAATTATGCGACTTGTAGACGTTTTGGTACAGATATTCAAGTCTGAAGATGTCGACCTACCTCGCAATCATGTCGCTGACTATCTGGAGAAAATTAGTCCCTTGCTTTGTACAAATTATCTGGAATACTTGATTCAAGAGCGAGGAGAGGTGTCCGTCGATTTTCACGACCGACTGGTGGAGCTGTATGCCAAAATAACTCTTGAAGCTAGAAGGAAAAAGGAAGAGAGTGAGTTTCCGTTCATTCAGAATGTGGTATGTTCAAGATCGTTTTCTGTAGATTTGCGCCAACAAACGTACGATAAATTGATGACTTTCATTTCAACGACCACTCATTATCGGGTGGATCGTTTATATGGTCTGCTATCCTCGGAAGGTATCCATTCGTCTCTACCCTGATGATATCCAAGATTCTAATCTTGTCTTCTTTAGATTTGTTCGAGGCCCGCGCTATACTCCTCGGTAAGCTGGGTCGTCACGATCAGGCCCTCGAGCTGTATGTCTACCGGCTACAGGACTATCTCAAAGCTGAAGAGTAAGCTCGACTATCTACTAATGTATCTGCCTTATAATCTGTTTCAAGGTATTGCAAGCAATACTATCAAGCAGGGACCGCAACCAGCAATGTCTTTCTCACCCTCCTACGGATCTATTTACGACCGACTGTTAAGACGAATGTGGATTTGCTGAAACCCGCGCTCGAGTTGATTAGTCGGCACAGTCGCCGCCTGGACACCACAGAAGCTCTTCAACTTCTTCCGCCTCTAGTCACACTAAATGATGTCCAGACTTTCCTTATCGAAGGTCTACGAATACCGATTTTTGATACGGATGTGATACGCCAAATCAGTAAGGCGAGAGACAATCAAATGGCACGCAAGTTAATGTCCTTGCAAATGAAGAGGGTCAAAGTGACGGATAGTCGAATGTACGTCGAACTTCCCTAGTTTATGTTTGGTGTGCTGTATTTGAAACTCTACGATGGCAATTAGATGTCCACAATGCCACAAGCGGATTGGTTCTACAATCATTGCTGTCCACAGTCCAAGGTGGGTGATGTTGTGGTAGTGTCAGGTTCTGTACTGACTGTTTCCCTCAGGGGTGAAGTGACTCATTTTTCATGTCGCGAAGCGTTTGCACGAAAACTGCACGAATTCAGGCGATAGATTTCTTTAATTTGTATATGATAGTATATCTAGTACATAGTAGTTCTTGCACAACCTGAATTGCCGTCGCCCAGCCTTGCCTTAAGTTGCTGTTAGGGTCAGGTGACCTATCAAAATTTAAATAAGTGTGGGTTCTCCTTTAGATCTTCTCGACTCTTGACCGTCATCATGTCTTTGGTTGCCCGGAAAAAGTCCATGGATCCAGCGAAGTTGTGGATTAAATGGCTAATCTACACACTCTTATGCTTCACAGCTGATCTGTTGGATACACTTCTTTCTTTTGTTGTCCCCAAAAGCAAGCCTCCCCTCAGTCTAAAACCCTCTGATGTGGACAATCTGAGTGACGACGAGATCCTAAATGAGTTCGCGAAGACGAGGGATGGACTAGACAGGCAGAATCTAGAAAAGGGGGTGGAATATGACTGGACTGTGCTCCCTCGCGGCACACCTGGCACCGTGGGGAAAGCAGTCTCCGTGTTGTCAGAAGAAGACGAAAGTAGGACTGATTCCTCCGAGGCCAATGCCTTAAACCTCCTATGGGCAAACACGATGATCCCTGTCCCTCGAGTCCGCCGTGTCATGAAGCTGGAATATCTCTTCTTCATAGTTGAGGACTACATCGAGGGCCCAACTCTTGCACAGGTCTGGTCCACTTATTCCTTATGGCAGAAAATCCATGTTGCCTTTACGCTTCGCAGCTATATCCGCCAACTACGAAAATTGAAAGCTCCCCGTGGTGCTCCACCAGGTCCTATCAGTAATGATGGGCCCCGTGTTTGTACATCACCGCTTTTTGGGATGCTTGACCTTGATCAAGGACCTTTTGCTTCATACGCCGATCTTGCCAGTTTCTTCAATGAAAAAGCAAAGTTGTGCTATGATTATAACAACATTCCAGAGGACCACCCTTGCAGGAGACAGAAATTTGATGATTCCGAGGAATTGGTGCTTTCACACCAGGATTTGAACCCTAGGAATATCATTGTCGGGTTGGATGGTACAATATGGATGATTGACTGGGGATGGGCAGGGTATTTTCCACCATGGTTTGAGTATGTGGCAATGAAAGAGAAGTCAATTAGTGAGCACTACTACCAGTATTGGGACTTATTCATTCCTTTCATTTGCGGACCATATTTCGAGCACGAAATTTGGCGCTTAAACATGGCCCGGGGGTTCTCCTATAGGTAGTATATAGCTCCAGTTGTACAGTTCACATTACCACCAATGTTGTCACCTCGTTTTATACAGACTGATTTGGCTTCAGCTCGGCTTTGTGACCTTGGATTAGCGCTCGACTTTGACTTTAACTACTGTATCACAGTCACATGACCGTGTGTTATTGCAGTGCCTTTTCGGGTCCGGCCTTGTGGCTCTTGACGACTCGTTTTTTGTTTTAAACCACCATCACATCTCCAAAAGGGCGCCACTTACTGCAATGTTTTCCAGTCCTACACCTGCTCCTGGATCCAGAACGCTGGCTTCGAATGCTCTTCGGAATGCTGGTCTCATAGACCGCGATGCAAAGATGCGAGATGCGACTGATAAACCAGGTGGCCGCAAAGGCTCTTCTAAAGCTCGGTCGCATCGAACGCGTCCCATAGACGTCTACAAGGACTCAGGCCCTAGCAAATCGGTAAATATCATTGTCATTACTCATTACTTCACCCTCCGAATTCCAGGGTTCGAGTTCCAGTCGTCACACACTGAATTTCTGGTCTTTCCGTGCTACCTTTATCCTTCCATCTGCCGCGAAAACCAACTTACGCTCAAATATCCTCTCGCCCTCTCAGCTCTCTGCTCGGTTGAACACTCACGCAAGTCATGCCGGCCCTTCGGATCCGCTAACTATTCGTGGGGCATCATCTCGGCCGACTACAGCTGGTCGTCTACGTCGGAATGCAGTCTCAGGAGCCGTTGAAACCAATAGTCCATCACGGATTCCCGTACGGGTTACGCATACAACGCCCAAGAGCGTAGAGGCATGGAGAAAATTCGTTCAGAAACGATGGAGCCCAGATACAGCATTATTAGACCTCAGTGTGAGTTGTTATCAATCAAAATCATACATGCAGTCTTTAACTTATAGTAATGAAGAACATGATTGAAGACGAGATGGTGAAGAAGTTCAACCTCATGCCTCCCGGCCATGGTGGGAGCGCTCGTGATGCAGCTGTAGTGTTCAAACTGGCAAAAGAGCTCAAACCACAGGTGCTGTCTAATAAATAAAGTTTGATCCCCGTTGGCTAATTAATCTTAGGTGCAATCGCTGAATCTAGCTAAAAATCAACTTAGCGGCCAGCATCTATCACTACTCAGTCATTATCTTCCGGGACTAGTCAATCTATCCTTGCAGGACAATGACCTCAAAACCTACAGAGACCTCGACGCTATTTCTGGCAGAAAGGACAAGCTCGTCGGGTTGAAAGAGCTATTGCTTGCCGGCAATCCTTTACGCGAGGAAATGATAAAGAAGGATGCTGAACAATTCAAGAAGTATGTGTAATATCCCTTTCTTTCCATTGCTCGATGACAATTTTCAACCTCAATAGTGAAGTATCGCGTCGATTTCCATCCCTTATGACCCTCGATGGCCAATCCATAGCTCAAATATCATTCGATGTATCTCGAGAACCTAACAAGCTCTCGACTGCTGTACAGAAGCCATCATCCACCACATTTCCTGTAGAAATGAGTGGTTCGTTGATTGTAGGTGTTGATGGAGCTTTACTGAGCAACTTTCTGGTTCGGTGAGTTCAAAATTCGTTTTCAGATTCCACATTTACCCTTATCGAAAATAGATTTTTCTCCGCATATGATTCTCAACGTGCAGCGTTGAAAGATGTTTATGACGCCGCCGCTACGTTCTCTTATTCGTGTAACACATCGATACCGGAGCGTGCAAGGATCCTGGCGTTGCATCACAAACTTCCCAATCAAAGAAAGCTTGAATGGGGTCCATGGCTTGACCAAGGGAACACCGGCTCACGCAACCTCATGCGTCTTGCCCATTCCCATGAAAAGCAAGTACAAAGGCTTTTACTCGGTGGCGAAGCTATTGCCGCCTATGTCTCCACTTTACCGTTAACGAAACACGATATTTCCGGTCCTGCCGAAAAGTTTTGCGTAGATTGTTTTCCCGTTGCTCAGGGCGGAATGATGGGACTACTCGTCATGGTACATGGTGAATTCACGGAATGTGCGTACCGACAATTTTTTATAACCCTTGTTGGAATCTAACTCTTGATCCTTCAGTACCAGCGGAAGGTCTGAGGTCTTTTGACCGAACATTTGTTCTAGTTCCAGCACCCGAGGCCTCACGGTATGTATTTTCCGAAATACTTTTATATATCCATCGAACTTTAATCGTGCTTCTAGTGCGAAATCAAGCGGCTGGGACGTTGTCATTATTTCCGATCAGTGGACGATACGAGCGTACTCTTCGCCAGACGCTTGGAAGCCCGGTCCAATGGTTGTGCAGCCAGACCCCGCGGCAGTGAGACAGAAGAATGGACCTTCCGGGAACGATTCAAACTTGGATAAAGGGCGAACGGTTTCCCTACTGTCGACTGAACAGCAAAACGCGCTTGGCCAAATAGTACGTTCGCACCAGTGATATACGTCCATAATCTCTGATCTACTTTCCTTAGCCGGAACCTCAACGATCGATGGTGCTGCACATTTCTGTTCGCACAGGGTTGAATGTCCAGTATTCGGTTGACTGTTTGACGAATAATGGTTGGGATGTAGAGAAAGCGTTTGCGAATTTCGAGCAAGTAAAGGTGCGTTTTTCAGAATCTCCTGCTCCCCGTCACCTCCCCTCCCCGTGTTCCTGAACCGCCATCATACCCTAGTCCTCGTGGTGCAGTTTATCAACTTTTCCTTCACTTTAGGGCACTTTGGCAAGAGAAGCATTCCTGTAAACTATAATCATATAGTATCCGTTGGACAATGACAGACACAACGTCTATTGACATGGAAGAACTAGAAATACCTAAACGACAATCCCACTTATTTTATATCATATATCACCCTCCTCGCATCGCATCTCAGACTTCATTGCAATTTCTTCTCCATCCTGTATTTTATCACCAGCTAACAAGTCATTCCTGCATTGTATTCTCTAACCCAGATAATAAACCCTTGCAATGGTATACCTCACTCCGCTCGATTCCATGTCTTCTTAAGCTAAGTATCAGATTCTTTCAGAGTTCCAGACTTATCAGAATGAATGACTGCTTCCTTGGCTATGGATTCTTGCATCTTGACATTCCAATCAAGCAGGTCACCGCTACGTACAATTCACCAGCAATTCACCCGCCCTAGTTGGATGTCAGTGAATGTCTCGTAGTGGCAGATGCAGGCCTAAGTATGCGCAACTGGTACAGTATTTAGTTGTACAGATCTGCTACAATCTCTTGCCGCTGTCAGCAACTGGTGCAAGCACATCGAACACTATAACTTATAAGCTGTCCGCCGTCCATTGAACATCCGGATATGTTCGGAGCCCGAACACGCCTCGAGGCATTGCCCAGTCGAGCTTGCGAGAGTTTCGGGTCGCTTCGTATCAGATTTGCTGTGGGCGGCTAAATTCACTGTATTCAAAGCGGGCGGTTATACTTCAGTTCTCGACTTCTGATATGGAAAACGCCTCGTTTTCGTCGCGTAATGCCTTTTTTCCCGTTATAAACTCTACTTTCTCATTGTTTCTCGCAATTCCTCCTCTTCATAATACTCTCTTCTTCCGATCACTGTACAGTTCGGGGCAAACACGTTTACAACCCACATTCCCTTTCCTGCTTTGGGAATCTTGCTTTAAATCACTGTCTCTACTCATGACCTCTGTGTATTCATCAACTCTCTCTTCGGACAATTTTGGATTAGAATTCTGGGCTTTGGGAGGCGATGATGAAGGGGTGCAGGATGCAATTAATGCTGGCGCAAATATTAACGCGACTGACGCGTCTGGACGTACGGCGCTCATGTGTGCAGTAGCTGGGAAGCAGTACGCATTTTGTTCATTATTGTCATCTTGGCCCCGCTGAATTGTTGGTAGTTGGAGCAATATTTCCTTCGCTCATGATGAATCGTTCATGACTTCCTCTCGACTAAAGGTAGTTGATATTTTGCTCAGACGACCTGAGGTCTCTCTATCCACTTTGAACGCGCCTCAGAACGCGTTCAACGATGCAACACCTCTCGGTATGGCGGCCTGGCTCAACATGCCCGAAGCAGTTCGTGTTCTGCTGAGGAGCAGTCTGGACTGTGTAGCGGTAGATGGAACTGACATGCATGGTTCAACGCCGTTAATGTGTGAGTCTCGGGTCATCAAGTGGTAGAATTCCTCATCCTGATCTGCTGCTTGATAGATGCAGCTCGTGACGGTCACGTCGACATTGTCAAGTCATTGGTGAGAGTAGGTTCCACCGATATAATACCATGATTTAAATTTTGTACTCTTTCAGCTTCAGCATGGCGCAAGACCAGATTTACGCGCTCTCAACCATCGAAGTGCCATACAATACGCAATTTCTCATCCTCAAGTATTGTATTTGTGTGAAACCATGCTGCGCCAACATCGCCTACACGAGTGGAAGGTATTGCTTCTTGTGCTCGGTCCGAGACGCTTACTCATACGGTGTAGTTTACAAACAAAACCGGATCACCTACGGATTCTGATGACCTGTTCGAACGAGCTGCTTCTTCACTTGCCTTTATTCGAACATTCGATGATCTTGCACAACCTCTTGAAGCAAGTTCCCACAGTAAAACAACTGACACTATCCTACAATGTCTGCGCTCCAACCCCCAGGGATTGTGCTCCACACTCTTTCCTGCACATACGACGCAAAGTTCTTTCTTCCCCCCACTCGTGAATAACAGAGATAGAAATGGTTGGAGCCCTATACATCATGGTGCTTCCGCTTCCGAACCATCTGTCCGAATGCTGGACACACTATATTGTGCAGGTGCCGATGTTGCGCTCTTTACAGAGCACGAGCACTATACGGCACTACATTGCTTTGCTTTCTCAGATCATGCGACATACGCCTTCGATGAATTGTACCAATATGTGTATCATCTCGTTCACGACCTCCGAGCTCCTCTTTCTGCCAGAGATAAGCAAGGAAATACTTGTATCCACATAGCAGCCGAGCACGGCTATTCTATTGAAGTTTTGCGGGCGTTGCTTAAATGCGATTCCTCATACTTCGTTCGAGACCTTTGCAATGCCAAAGGGTACGTTAATCTGATCTTTGATATTTTCCCTTGCTCATTATCATAATATTTTAGCCTCACCGCTTGGGAGGTTGCGAAACCTCAATATCGGACTGCTTTTAGTGACACAAATCTATCTCGACCTAGGTCCTCTCTTTCGACCAACACACTTCGGCCTGCCCATTACTCCATCGAGTCGTACATGGAACCCGAGTCTATAGCTGACAGGAAACATGCTTCGCGCCTTCCCACTTCAAATCATGACATCTTCGGCACTGCTACTCGCCTTATCGACAACTTACGCATATCCTCCCCATCGATTCACCATGATTTTGATATTAGACACACAGAGCATTTGGAATCACTCGTGATAGAGATGGAACAACTGCAACGGACTATTATTGACCATTTTCAAGTTCGTATGCAACAAGTGTCTGACGTATTGAAGGAAATGGAGGACGATGCTCAAGAGACGGCTGTCCTGCTGGAGTCGGTAGCGCATTCGGTAGATGCGAAGTTACAGGAACGCGGTCTTCAGCCTTGGACACGGATCCGCATGTCTGAAGATTCCGAAATTACCTGCGTCAGCGATCGATTTTCAAATTCCAGAGGATTGAAAACCAAATCGAGTTTATCAATCCCAAAGTCTCTTGAATCTACTGCGTCAAGCGCGAATGGCTCATCGACTGCGAGCGCGGAGAAGAAGGCGGCTCCTTCTACGACGTCCAGATTCGTGGCATGGATAAAACGAAAGACTTCTGCTAATGCCTTGGCAAAAGTATCCAATCCTTCGCCGACACTTCTACAGAAGGATGCACCGAAACAAACGTTCACTGACAGGGGAGAGTCAGACCTTGATATGATGCGTACCTCCATTGAATCTGCCTTACGGACCTCCGTTTTTCCACTACGTGCTGCCGGACGAGACCTAGAGTCATTGCGGGAAAGCATCGCTTCCGTAAGTATTCAGCCATTCCTTTTTCTCTTGACTAAAATCTGCAAGTAGGCCAGGAAGCTTTTACGATCTGCTGCTCAGTCGATCTCACGAGCCGATCGCGTGTTAAGCAGAGCTTTGAAGGTGCGATATATTCGACATTCCTCTACACTGGAACTAATGATTTTTGTATAGACAAGAAGGGCAATGATTGGAACCCTACGAAAGGAGGATGATTTGTTCATCCACAGTAACTCCCTCTCTAATAAATCCAGCCTGGCATCGATAGCCTCAATATCAACTATCGCATCCCAAGTATCTGCTGGGAACACGTCGTTCAGTGGAATACTTGCAGAAAGCGATGATGAAGAGACGAGAGCCATCCGACGGCTGTTACTCAGGAAGATAGATGCTCGACATAATGGAGTATTGGACGAGATCGAAAAGACCAGCAGGTGGCTTCTAGTCATCAAGGATATTGTTCAAGGCGTAAAACGAAGGACTTATGTTTGATGTAATAAGCGGAGTTGTATATAGACGTTGTATGTAGAAGATATATGTATCATACGTATATAAAAGTATCTAGAGTGTAGTCTTATTTCTGTACGGATAATTGTACGGTTTGTACCTACCTGCACTTTGTTGTTAATATATAGTGTCAAGTGTAAGGTTGTTGCCAGTTGGACGAGGTTGGACGACGCATACTCAAAAACTTCGTTCTTCGAAACAAATACAAGCTTACAATGTACAAAACGTTCCAGGTATATATTTACACAGGTTTTTTTTCTTCTACATCTTGACAATCAGAAATTAGAGCGATCCGGAGGCACCTGACAGAACATATTAGATTCCAACATGACTCAAGCTGATTTAAACATACTGGCAGAGCCAACATAAGCGTTGAAATTGTCTGATTCATAGAATTGCCAGGTAAGTCGAGCCTCAAAATGTCTGGTCTCTAGAGGTACTCACATTGGTCAGTCCATCCTTGATATTGAAAATCGCTCGGAGTGTAATTAATGACCTCCTGGCCATTCTTTCTCATCTTGACTGTCACAGACCCGAAAGCGTTCAACGGAAGACTAATCTTGTTAACTCCGTAAGATAGGTTGTTGAAGTCTTGCGAGTAACTCCCGACTTGGAGAGTGACACTGCAGGTCGAAGAACAGAAGACTGCTACCCACATAACGTCCTAACACAGAAATTTTATGAATGGTCATCAGAACCCAACGCGACACTTACGGAGGCCCAATCCCAGCCTTGGGGCCTGGACAAACCGTCGTTATTCGCGTTTATTCCGGCGGGATGAGGGCGCGACCAGAAGTAAATGGTATCACTCTGTGAAATGATATGGTATTAGTATGCGGAGACCCAGCAACACAATGGCGCACTGTAATAGCTGGGTAAGTCCCCGTCTTGAAAGCCTCGATGTAATAATTTATGAGGTCGAAGAACGCATCATGAGGATATCCATTAGTCCAAGTAGTGCCTCGTTTAGCGTAAATCAACCGTGACTCTCTCTATATATAAATATTTGCCCACCATAAGGCTGAGATCCTGCTGTGGGAGGCCCGGAGTTGAGACTGGCATGAAATCATTCAGAATGTATAATTCTGGGGAGGGTAGTCTGACTAACTAGTGCGATTCCCCGAAATCATTCCTATTTGCCAAGCGTTGTGAATTCTTGGGTAAATTTAACGAAAGAGAGAAAAACACGAACCAAGTCAACACTTCCACAAATCGCAGCTGGTCTCGCATAGAAATTAGCTCCTCCCATCGAGTGAGAAACAGCCATGCGTCGCCACGAAGGTAGAAGTTCTTGTAGTTATAATGGGTAAAGAACCAACCACTAACGGTGGCAGCATATCTGTCAGGCCCCAGAATATCCATGTCTATAACATCATCAGTCAATACGAGGAAGGGAACTCGCCATGTATATCAAATACTTACAATAATGATCATCTTGGGTCTGCATGGATGATTAGTGACCTAGATTATGATATGAAAAAGAAAGAGACAGGGCACAAACGGTCTTGTCTTGGTCTCCTTGCGGCCACGCACAACCCCAACTAACAGAATTCTAGATTTCTATTCGGATACGCGAGGGCAACGACGTACCACTGCCAAGAGTCCAAAAACCCATAACTTGCACCCCTCCTCAACTGTTGGTAATCTATGTTATAAATGAATGGCATTAGAAAACCACCCGTCCTGTCGCGAACGGCTTGCCAGCCGCCAGGGCCTAAACAATCCCCGGAAAAGCTGGATACCATCGGACGACCATCGACCTTGAATTGGGCCGGAGAGCCGCTGAATGTATTAACCCAGTTCACGGTTTCGTCGACACTGCAGTCGAAAGAGGTATAATCAAAAGAGAAGAACACATCAATGCCTACTGCAGCTGCAGCGTTATAAGCGTCCTGGACCCGTGCCCACTCCCAATAATCGCGTCCAACGTTTAGTGCAACAGCGTCGCTAAAGGCGAGAATGGGAATGATGGTCAAGGTGATGCCGAAGTCCAGGCGCAAATGAAATTACATGTTCTTAGCTCGTATCTGGTTGAAGTCGTTTACCCAAAGATCGTAATTGTAGTCGTAGCTGTAAGTCATTCTGGAAATGAGAAGATGGATACTACATCGTTGCAGGTCGTTACGCACGTATCTGAAAGGGAGTTAGCAGGTTGTTCTTATTTCAGGAGTGGAAGACTCACTGCCGACAATCTTGGGGGAGGCGTCAGGTCAGCTAATAGCAGTAGGCGATTCTTCGTAAACGACTTACATGATGCATAAAAACATACTTTGTGCCATCTCGCTTTTCAAGATTAGCGATATCGTCGTAGCCGGCGTTGTCAGTCGTTTTGGACGCGTCAGTTGAGTTTCTAATGTGAAGCTCTCGTTTGCTCGTCGGGGACGATTGTCTGGCGGCGTGAGCAAGAGAAAGTGATGGTAGGGCGATGGAAAGAGCGGCGGATAGAAAGAGCGAAGAGATCAGCACTTTCATGGTCGGAGGAATAAAGGAATAGCAGTGGTAGAAAGGTAAGGAAAGGGACTGTTACCATAGGTTTTATAGTTCACCTACCACGCGATGACGAGGAATTTCTTCGATCGCGACCAGATATAGCGATCGAGTCTCGAAGGAGGCCCTCCTCGAAGACTTTCTGCGGTGGCTAGTGTGTGTGGCGGCGAAGCAGTCTATCCAAACACTTGTTATCTCCCCCTACGCTCACACAGCGTTCCATAACCAGATTAATATGCCATCGCGTCAACGTCGAAATTAAAATTACTTACAATAACCAGATTGATCGGAAGACCCCTAGTTCGACAAGACTTCTACGACTCTTTTCAACTTCGACGTCAATCGATGCGAGATTTTACGCGTTCAAAAGTAGAAATTCGTTAATAGTGCGATGGGGCATGTGGATTCTTGAATACCAAACCGGAGAGAGACTCGTCACTGAGGATTTCGATGCCCTCCTCAAGCTCTGGAGAACGCATGATTCTCATTCTTCGGCTACTACGAACAAAGTTCCCTTTCTCCCTCTATGGCAACGCCAATGATAACAGCCGTAAATAGAAAGACTCAAACACGGCATTAAAATAAATCTTGCTTCTTCGAGGCAGCGTTGAGCTTCGTGTAAATGCCCCGGTTGGCGGCGAAAGCAGAAGATGTTTGAAAGTGTGGGAAGAATTCTGTCGGACCACCAAACCATTCCTTTTCCTCGGGGCGCTTACTTACTTGTTTAATTTTACAGATTCGATGACTCCCCCACGAAGCAATGTTCCTGGGTTTTCTCGCCTATGGATCATAATACCCATCCTCTGTGCACTGTACTATATGCTCCTGAATACTGTGCACTTGCAGCTCTACTCCTCGATTCGCCACGTATACTCAGAACACCTTGTGCATCTGTCATTTTTTGGTCTTTCTCCCGAGACTATCGCGTCACAAAAATCATCACAAATATTGCTCACTCCCCCCGACAATCTGAACACTTTACAACCCTTTACTCGGCATATCGTTGCTGTAGGAGATCTTCATGGAGATTTGCCTAATGCTCTACGTGTCTTGAGATTCTCTAAAGTCATAGACAATGTAGGAAACTGGTCAGGAGCTGTTGATTTTTTTGTGCAAACGGGGGACATTATCGACCGGTAAGTTGTCCGTTGTTATCCCTTTTTTGAACTGTAAATTGAACAAAAACATATCTTCAGCGGAGATGACACGATAAAACTCTTCAAGTTGATGGAAAAGTTGCGAAGTCAAGCTCCCAAAACTGGAGGCGTCGTTATCTCTCATCTAGGAAATCATGAGTGGATGAACGCCATTGGTGACTGGAGATATGTATATCCGTCAGAGATCAAGACCTTTGGCACTGTTGAAGCCCGCCAGCGCATGATCTCTACTGGAAGCATTGGACGTGCTTGGGCAAACAATTACACGGTCGCTTCCCGTCTGCCGCTACATCCTTATCTGGGGCCGCCCAATACTCCCTACCCTCCAGTCCGCTCACAGCTTTACTTTGAACAAGATCTCGATGGCACAGAAAAATTAGAAACATCACATATGCACGAACTGGACCTGGAGAGCGGTCCACTATCTCATGCCGCATTATCATTCGTGCACGGTGGTTTGTCTCCAACGTACGAGGCACTCGTTCCGTTCCCAGAGAAGATCAACGAATTAGGCACGTCGTTGTTAAGGAAGCTGCAGCGGAGGGAACAGCCACCTCCACATCCACCGCATCCGTATCCGGGCTTACCTCCGAGCGCTACTGGTGAAGAGCACGAACTATACGACGCTAACGGGCCTCTGTGGTATCGCGGATGGGCTCTTGAACCCGAAGAGAAGGTTTGTGAAGATGTTGAAAAAGTCCTGAAAGCGACGGGGACCCGAAGGATGATCATGGGTCATACTCCAGACTTCCATGTAGGTCGCTCGTTTTCTAGAAAGTCGTTATGCCAGGTCTGATCTAGGGTATTACTTACAGAACATTGTTTCTCGATGTAACGGCAAGATTATCATCATAGACACAGGTTAGTCGATTTGAACGCTTCGTATAATTCCACTCGGTTTAACCACAAACAGGAATTTCGCATGCCTATGGCGGTGTGCTTTCAGCACTGTCAATACATTACACCTTCACGCCTGTCTTTGACCCCGAAAATACAGGTGCGAAACAGATATGGCTGGAGCGCGAGGTCGTCAGCGCGCTTTACGAGGAGCACCAGGAGGTTATTGCTGATGAGCAGAGGGTGGTCGTGGGTGATTTTGTAGCATAGAATACAGACATGATCTATTTATGAAGCATTTGTATCTCATTCTAAGTTATACCGCCAATAACATCAAGTAAGCCTTGTGTTACATACCCTTGTCGAGCATTTGTAGGCGTTCGTGCAATAAAAAATGATGAGTGGAGTGGCATTGATTAACAGATTGATACATATAGGTGGTGTGTAGTTCGTGATACATGTAAAGCCGTAGGCAAGCATAAAACTTCGCACATAAAATCCCAAGAGGTGTTGTAAGTAGGAGAGTAGAAACAGACGTCCCTCGGAGTAGAGACCAGAATGAGCTTAGAACCCGCCCATACCTCCCATACCTCCCATACCGCCCATGCCTCCCATAGGAGCAGCTGGCTTCTCTTCTGGTGCGTCTACCACACAGCACTCGCTTGTTGTTAACAAACTTGCAACACCGGCTGCGTCGACTAGCGCAGTTCGGACAACCTTCAATGGGTCAACAATACCAGCCTTGATCATGTCGACGTATTCACCCTTGCTAGCGTCATATCCCCAGGCAAACTTATCAGGGGAACCGTATGTTGAGAGAAGTGTGCCAACAATGACACTAGATTCCTCGCCAGCGTTGTTAAGGATGGCGCGGGATGGACCTGAAATAGCACGACGGATAATGGAAACACCAAGGTCCTGGTCGAAATTGGCGGTAGGTATAGGGTTGGCATTAGGGGAGACAGGAGTGCTAGATGAAGCAGGGGATGGCGAGGTGGTGCTCAGCATCAAGGAGGCTTTGAGGAGAGCGACACCACCTCCGGGAAGGATACCTTCCTCGACAGCAGCTCGGGTAGCATTGAGCGCATCGTCATAACGATCCTTCTTTTCCCCGACCTCAACTTCACTAGATCCACCAACCTTAATGACGGCAACACCCCCGGAAAGCTTAGCAAGACGCTCCTGCAAACGAGTACAGTCATAGTCGGAGGTAGTAGGATCGGCGATAAGAGCACGGAGCTGTTCGCAGCGAGCCTGAATAGCGTCCTTAGAACCTTCGCCATTGAGGAAAATGGTATCTTCTTTGGTGACAGTGACGCTTCCAGTAGTACCAAACATATCTGGAGTAGCTTTATCGAGCTTAATGTCGATCTCGTCGGTGAAGACAGTTCCGCCAGTTAAAATGGCAAGGTCACCGAGAATGGACTTCCGGTTGTCACCGAAGCCGGGAGCCTTCACGGCAGCGACAGCCAGCTGCCCGCGAAGCTTGTTGACGATACACGCAGCGAGAGCCTCACCGTCGATGTCTTCGGCGATGATAAGAAGAGGACGACGCGACTGAGCGGCAAGTTCGAGAGCCGGAAGAATGTCTTGTAAGGCCGAAATTTTCTTTTCGGAAAGAAGAATGAGAGGCTTTTCAAACTCAACCTTTTGACCCTTCACGTCGGTGATGAAGTACGGTGAGATAAACCCACGGTCGAAACGCATACCCTCCGTCACCTCAATCTCGTCCTCGATGGTCTTTCCTTCTTTGACGGTGATCACTCCTTCCTTACCGACTTTTTCCATGGCCTGAGCTATGAGGTTACCAACATGAACGTCACCATTTGCTGAAATAGTTGCTACTTGAGCAATCTCGGCAGTTGTGGTTATTGTTTTGGTTTGCGAAGCAAGGTAATCTACCACACGGTCAACAGCAGCTTGCGAGCCCCGACGGAGATCCATGGGGTTGCATCCAGCCGCGACATTTTTGACACCCTCGGAGTAGATAGCCCGTGCAAGGACGGTGGCAGTTGTTGTACCGTCACCTGCTATCTCGTTGGTTTTCTGGGCAACGTCTTGGACAAGACTAATGACGTGGCTCCCAGTCAATTAAAGTCTGGAATTACGTGTACAGACGACTCACCGGGCACCAAGGTTCTCAAACTTGTCCTGGAGTGTAATGGACTTTGCTACAGTGACACCGTCTGCGGAAGTTTTCGCGTCAAAACGTTCTTCGTGATAAACTTTCACACCCACCCTTGGTGATTTTTGGACCGCCAAACGACTGCTCAATGATAACGTTGCGACCTAAGAGCTTCTTGAGTAACAGGCCGACCTTTACAAAGGAACAAAAAAGTACCTTTCGGGCCGAGAGTAACACTGACCGCGTTGGCGAGGACGTCAACACCCTTCAGAATGCTGGCTCTGCCCTCGTTCGAAAACTTGATCTCCTTATGAGCGCCACGAGTTAACGAGGGCTTGACAGCCTTAGCAGCTGCACGTCGGAGAGACCTTGAAGAGTTGGTCGACAGGTGATGCATTTTTTTTGAGAATGAAAGATGGAAAGAAACGAAAGGCGCGCGCTTATAAAAAAAGGCTCCTCGCCAGAGTATTATTGGTAAGCAGAAATTTCCAGAACTCCGACTCGAGACCCTTCGTCTTCTTACCAAGATAACCTACATACGGCTGGAGAAGAGTGCCTACATGTAAGTGATTAAAAGTTGGGAAAAGTGGGTGTTTGCTTGCTAAACCAGACACGAAATCTCCATTAACTTACAACGAGTCTCAATGAGTTTACAACTGTTTACAATACATCGACCGCAAAATTGACCGACTCGACAGAGACAAGTTCCATATAACGAGGCCCTCAATCTCCTTTAGCTAACTCAACGATCAACGGCAGCTGCGGGTGTCCGGAGTTGGACCCTCCAACGACAACGGGGCTCGCAATTCCTGACATTTGCCAGAAAATTTCCTTGTTCTGTGAAGTGGAGAATTTGAAGTTCTCTACAAGCATGGCAATAACGACCTCTGATGTCAGGAAACTAGTGAGACCACATTTTAAGAAACACGGAAATGGTCCGGGCACGTACTCATTTCCAGTTGGGAGAACTTGAATCCTCTGAACGAAGCTCACAGAAATGCTTAACATCACCGAAAGAAAAGCAGAATATAGTGACATACATGCACGAGCGACTTCCACCATTGAAAGTCATTCTGTACATACATACGATATACACACAGTAAGCATCGGAACATTCGACAGATTCAAGGACTTACAAGTGAGAATAGACTCCAGGCATCTTGGAATTCATAATGGCCTCAGGAAGTGGCGATAGCCAACGTTCAGGTTTCCACTCTAGTACATCTAAAGTACAGATGTACTCGGAAGTGCAATCATAAGTAAAAGAGAATGCTCAATACCTGGTCCCCATAGCTTAGGATCTCTGTTTGCATTCATTATCTAGTGGAAGCATGATGGTAAGTCGTCGTACATATCGAGAATATGATTCATCATACAGATATCATCACAGTCGTAGCCTTGGGAAGGAAGATTTCTGTCACCTCGTTCCCATCGGCATCACGCACAGGTCGCGAGAGCGGTACTATAGCATCTTCAGTGGATCTACATAGAACCGCATACGATCAGGATTTAAGTTTGGCGAATTGAGTTCCCGAAAAAACTCACTTTCGTAACAAAGACGACACCGGGGCGTATCTTTCAACGAGAGCAAAAATGAGTAGAAAGTAAATATTTTTGTGTGAATGCACTACACGCACAGTCGCAAGGTCTCTCTGCACACGGCGTCAAGATAAGGAAGCCCAACCAAATCGTCATAGGATAATTGACTACCCTGATGTTCCCTTCGAGCTGCGATAAGTTCGTCTCGCATTTTGTCCTGAATCTCGGGATGAAGGGTTAGAAGATGAAGGATGCGAGACAAGCCGCTCTACTTGCGATAAGTCAAACGAAGTGTAAATAGCAATCCACACTTACAGAGGTAGTGTCCATTGCTGCAAATATGAATGTTCTAAGTTGGATAATCTCGTAAACAGTAGTAAAAGGTCAAAAGGCTGTCGACAAAACTTACGACATCTAGAGAAGGTGGATTAGAACCTGGAACAAAATGTGAGGATGAGACACTGCACTTGGGCAATAATTTCAGCTTCTTCTAGCTTGTCTTCGCTATCAGCTTTTCTATTCTCTTTCACTAGCAAACGGGGATGTTATCCATGCATTCCAAGTAGAACAAGCCGAAGAGAGCTTACTCATGATACTGAGAAGGTCTTTTCCTTTTCCAATTTGTTTCACCACAGCCTCATCTCCTTCTTCAAACGCACACTTCTTCTCTTCGTAAACCTCCACAGATAACTCATGCATGTAATTAACCATGTCCCGAACGTCATGCAGAGATTTCCAAGGGGTAATGTTCATGATGAAAGTGAGAGCATATGTAGGCAAAATTTTCAAAGCCAAGGGAAGCAAGTAGAACCTTGCGAAAGCTAATCGAGCTAATGCCGGACTATAACGGAGCCATAAATTATTGAGGCGCTAGGGAACTTTCAAGAACATACGCAAGGTCCTTGATAACGATGCTGTATTCATGTCTGGGTACATCGTCTACCATGTTGTCAAAAGAGTACCCGAAACCGGATTGACCAATGAGCTCAAGCGCAGTGCGGGCCATCCATCCTAGGAGATCAATCTACAAGTATCGCGGGTTAATGAATGAGGATAAAGTACAGTTACACCTACCTCTCGAGCTCCATTTTGAACTCGTTCTGTTAAGGCGTTCCGTAACTGTCGTATAATAATGATAGTATACACAATGTCAACGGAAATTCAAGTCAAAGAGTTAACATTTGTCACCTGGTCTACTACATTGTTGAAGATGGGCACTATCCATCTCCCTTTAGTTTCCAGTGATACATCGAAGTTCATGCCAGTGTACAAGCTCACTCATTGAACGCATATGAGCAATCGAAAAAACCGGATTGAGCATCTTCCGTTGCTTGCGATGTTGTTCTCCGATGGTGCTCAACAGGCCATTCCCAAACAAGAGAGGGCCGCTCCTGGTAGTTAGTAAACGTTCCGATAGTCAATCAGCAAGTTACATTTCGCGTACTCAATGCGATGAGGTTGGAACAAAGCACCATCCTAATTGACCATTTATCGCCCTACATTCAGTTTCAGTAAAATCACGAACCTTGACTAGTATGTGATGCATGGCTTTAGGGTCGAACGTGTAAAGTTGTTTCCTCTATTGGGATTTGTGGAATCAAAGGCAGAATTCAAGCTCTCTAGCGCCGCTGCTTACACCCAAGAAACCCGTGATTTGAGCAGTAGGTCCATCTAAAGAGACAAAGTCATGCAAGGGAAGACGCTAGAACAGACATAATCTACACTCGGCTGCAAGCATTTCATGGAACTCCCACCCGTTTTGCAAGTCGAAAATTTGTGAAGAGTTACCTCGTAGACGTTTTAGTGCGATTTTGGGCTAATACAAACGCCAGGCCTTTCACCCATGATCGTGATTGCGGACCTCGAAGTTGGCTCAAAGACGATACGCCATGGGATCTTCGCCGATTGCGAAGCATCATCCAAATACTTGCTAAAATAATCACAACAATGATATTTTGAAATGAGCTGGAGTAGGTGAGATCGTTGACATTATAATGTATTTGCCAATGATAGGGGAGCCTTTCAGACATCTTTGAGGAGGGTGTAAGTAGCAGCGTTTAACGTGTAACCCTTGGAGCTTGAAGGGTGGCATATATTAGAATGATGTGGGAGTCATCAAAGAAGCACCATTAAAAAGATAGGTCTATAGGAGCTTATAGGAGTCAGGACGTAGGAGTTGAATAAGACTATCATTCAGTCACCAGTACATGGGAGAGATTCGGAAAACTTGGCTAAATTCCTCATCATCATCTGACCATTTACAAGAAGGGTACACTGGGAACCAGTATATCAGGGGGGATTTGGAGCCACCCAGCCGAACGTGAAGGCTGATGCCAGTGGTGGTATTCAAGTTACACCTGCCCACCTAGTAGGTGTTTACAACAACGTTAATACAGGTTGAACTACATACTGACAAACTATTAAATTAACATTCACAATCGTCGGTCTCGATGCTCGGGATCCTAGTAGAAAGAATCTATGTTCCATTTGTCAACTCGACCATCAACGGCAAACACGGGTGTCGGGAATTGCCGCATACAACAGGACTTGTAATTCCTGTCATTTGCCAGAAAATTTCCTTGTTCGGTGACGACGAAAACTTGAAATTTTCCACAAGCATTGCTATCACGACCTCTAATACCATGTTAGCCAGCGACTCTCCATATTTGATTGGCGTACGTACTCATTTCTAGTTGCGAAAACTTGAATCCTCTAAACGACAAAGACGCGGCTGAGTCAGTTGGAATTGAGAGGTAAAAACGGTATCTTACATGCAGGAGCGACTGCCACCACTGAAAGTCATTCTGTACGTTGTACAGTAAGCTTTTCCGAACATGGAACAGAGTTTCAGTGACTTACAAATGGGAATAGACTCCAGGCATCTTGGAATTCACGACCGACTCGGGAAGTGGCGAGAGCCAACGTTCAGGCTTCCACTCTAACGCATCTAGTACAGTTCCCATCGGTAAATGAGATTGTAGCATGTAGTATAAAGGTTTGACCTGGTCCCCACAGTTCAGGATTCCTATTTGCATTCAATATCTGTTAGAGACATGAGACACACATGGAGCGAAGATTTCGATTATTATTCACAGATATCACTACAGTTGTAGCCTTTGGAAGAAATAGTTCCGTAACCTCAGTGCCATCTGCGCCGCGCATAGGTCGTGAGAGGGGAATTAGCGCATCTTCTGTAGATCTAAGATTTTATGAATCAGAATGTGGGCCTTCAAAGATTGACACTATTTATGAAAACCCACTTTCGTAGCAAAGAAGATACTGGAGCATATCTTTCATTGAGGGTAGAATGAGTGAGGAGCAAGGGCTGGATGCAATTTTTATATCACATACAGTCGTAAAGTCTCTCTGCACACAGCATCAAGATATGGAAGCCCAACTAATTCATCGTAGCTTAATTGACCGCCCTGACGTTCTTTTTGAGCTGCGATAATCTCTTGTCTCAGTTTGTCCTGTACTTCGGGGTGAAGAGCCAAAAGATGAAGGATGCGAGACATGGCACTCTTTTGGCGGTGTAAACGTCAAAACACGGACAAAATGCACATATCGAAGTGACGCTCACAGAAGTAGTGTCCATGGCCGCAAATATAAATGTCCTAGGCGAATAAATTTGTAACAAAGACCTATGGATGTAAACTGTAGAGGAACTTACGACATCTTGATGATGGTATATCAAAACTTCGGACAAATAATCTATGGTCAAAACACGCACTTGAGCGATGATTTCAGCTTCTTCCAACTTGTCTTCATGATGAGCTTTCATATTTTCTTTCACTAATTGAACAATGGTTTTGAAGATGCAATCCGGATGACCAACAAGTGAGAAGCACTAGCACTTACTCATGATACTAAGGAGATCTTTTCCTTTTCCGATTTGCCTAACCACAGCCTCGTCACCTTCTTCAAACGCACGTTTTTTCTCTTCGTAAATCTCCACAGACAATTCATGCATGTAGTTGACCATGTCGCGAACATCATGTAGGGTTCTCCAAGGCGTAATATTCATGATGAAAGTGCGAACATTTGTAGGCAAGACCTTCACAGATAGAGGAAGTAAGTAGGTCCTCGCAAAACCTAATTGAGATAATGCGGGTCTGTGGTGGGTTTTCAACGACTATGATATGATGAGGGTTGAAAACACATACACAAGATCCTTTATAACGGTGCTGTATTTGTGTTTGGGTACATCATCCATCATGTCGTCAAAAGAATACCCGAAACCAGATTGACCAATGAGTTCTAGTGCGGTGCGGGCCATCCACTCAAGGAGATCAATCTGCAAAGAATTAATTGGAATGATAGCAGGTAATACTTGATAGCACTTGCCTCTTGAGGCCCATTCTGAACCCGGTGTAATAAGGCATCTCGCAACTATCATGAGAATCAACAATTATCCAAACTAGAGGGTGGTATTATCTCGCCTGATCCACTACGTTGTGAAAGATAGGCACTATCCAGATGGCAGAAGTGAATGAATGAGTTCGCAATATGAATGACGAAGTTCAGACACTCACTCATGGAACGCATATGAGCGATCGAGAAAACTGGGTTGAGCATCTTTCGTTGCTTGCGGTGATGTTCTCCGGTTGTGTTCAACAGACCCTTACCAAGGAGGAGGGCGCCCGATCTAAGATTCTTCATGAGTTGGTGTTGAATGTTTGAATGTTCAAAAACACATTTGCATACTCGATACGATGAGGTTGGAACAAAGCACCCTCCTGTTGGCAATGACATATAGCTATTGGTATTAAAATTATGCAGAGATGTGAGAGCACTTACCTTGACGAGAATATGATGCATAGCTTTGGGGTCGAACGTATAAAGCTGTTTTCTCTATTGGGAAATGGAGTTCAACGGTGGAATCGAACTTTGTGACCGTTACCTACCCCTAAGAATCCCTTGACTTGTACAGTAGGTCCGTCTATTATGGTCAATTTAATCGTACGCCAAGACGTTAAGTGAGGAAATTTACACTCGTCTGCTAAATATCTATGGAACTCCCAGCCGCGCTTCAAGTTGAAGAGTTGCGAGTAGTTGCCTGATTTGAATCTAAGTACAGTTGGGGTTCAACAGAAAGATAGGAACCAAGTGACCTTTCAACCACGATTGCGATCGTGGACCTCGGAGTTGGCCTAAGTGCGTAACGCCTTGTAGTTTACGGCGGTGGAAAAGCAGTCTCCAAAGGCTTGCCGAAAGAACAGCAACGACGACGCTTTGTAGTAAGCTGTAGTAGTTGATGACGTGAATATTGCCATGAGTTTGCAAATGAGAAAGGAATTCGAACATCTTCGAGGAAGGCTGGCAGTCAAATTATGGCCGTCTTTATGGCTTATATACCTATTTCATCAACGAGTCTCACGACTCTAAGAGGTCTAGAGAAGAAGCTCTCAGCTTGATAGCGGGGATAGCGGATAGCTAGTGTATAGTATTATCAAGAGAAAATGACCCAACTTGAATCTATCATCGGATGGGAGCCGTATCATTAGGTTATGGTCTTTATTATGTCTGCTTTTATCACCTGTGTGATCTGATATGGTGGAAGAAACGTGGTGTGAAAATTAGTAGCCAAACAGACCAAAAATCTGTCATATGCTGTATATCGGAGGAGGTATCGCCTTACTGTTGTAATGAGCAATTTTGGCAGCTGGAAGATCAGGTATTTGATGATGCATGGAACTAATGTCCACAAGGGTGGCTTAGCGCGGCTTGTACTACAAGTGATTCTGAAGTTGAACGTTGTGGCTGGAATTTCGAAAGGTAGAGCGAAACGAATCATGTGATCTCATTTACGACTCCGAACCAAATTATCTTCGTGAACCTAAAAGCTCCTACAAGAGCCTACAAGACGGCTAGCTGCTAGTCAGGCTCATCTGTTCGGAAGCAGTATTCTCTTCGTACGGAGTGATCCAAAAGACGGCTAGCCAGGTTACGCGCACCAGGCAATCTTGGTCATGACAGGGGCAAACTACATGGGAGGAAAGCGGTACACTATTTTCGATCCCTTTCTCCTCATCCACTGAATGATTTTGACAGAAACGCAGCCAAGGCACGCGTAAGAGACTCAGCCAGCCGCGCTCAGAAAAGATATTTTGGCGCCCAGAGACTCAATCTTGCTGCAAATCGTGGAAGTGGAATGACCGAGAAGTCTGGCGTAAACCCAATTTTGGATCTTGTCCAAACCAATGGCTTCACAAAATCAATACCTGATATCAAGCTTGCGCATGCCAGGCAAAATTCTTCGAATACTGCTAACCAGATTGTTGGATACATACCTGATCCGATCCGTGTTTCACCTTGCACACCAAAATCACAGCTACGGCTCTCAAAGATTTCCATGGATAGTAATCACTCAAGCTCGACAAGAATCATGCCTTCGAGAGTCTTGCAGGCTTTGGATACATGCGAACGTAGGTCACCCAATATATCCAGATGTCATAGCATTTATATGCATTTTTTGAAAAAGCATTCGCCTTACGAGCCGCCATGGACCAGGTGCTATCACTGTCGGATTTAGCAGGGCTCTCAAGACGTCCAGGTCGTAATCTAAAACGACAACATTCTTCGTCTTCGCCATGTCCTCGCGAGGAAAGTAACAAGCAACATGTATGTGCTGTGATTCAACGAATCCACCTTCATGCTAATTCTACTATGACAGAAAGCAGCATTGCTGTTTCTTACCTCTTCCGACGAGTCCACATTTACGAGCGCAGAAGTTAGTGATTTAGGTCCGTCTCGTCAAGAATCTTCCTCCGACTTCGAAGAGGCCGTGGTTGAATCACAATTCGCTTTCAACATTCCAGATGATGGCGTGCTCGGCAAAGACGATGAACAGGGTCATTGTGCGTCGAATTTCCCATCACCCGTTTCAATTATCGAACCGTACAACAGCGTCAGATAACAACAGATTTGCTACATGGACTGTGTATCCCAATCGCAAGACTGATTCGCCTGAAATGGTTCGCCACATTGGCCCAGCAGACCGTTCTTTGCCGAGACTTTCTGAGCCCAAACATCTCAATGTAACCTTAACTTCTCCTTCATACCATGTCGCTTCCGAAAATCCTATGGAGTACCCGCATATATCGAACCTATCCTCGCAGACAACACCAGGGAGCAATATCTTTGACTATGAGGATCCCTGGATGGCCATCGGTGTTATGCTAGGAGTAGAAAAGACTCCGCTCAAACCACTGAAGAAACGTGATTTCCGAAAGATTTTGGCGGAAATACCAACACCAGTTGCAACACCTACGTCGAACGTCAACATCTTCGCAACAAACCATTTGGTTCCGGATTTGATTATTGCTGGTTCTAGCTCGCCGTCCCAACTCTCGGATTCAAAAGTACGGGTATCTCCCTCCACGCATGCTAATACAGATGCGGCTCAAAATCCATTTCGAATATTCTCGCCATTTGTTCGAAAACAACCCATTTTCCCAAATGCCTTCCATTCATTGGTGCCATATTCCTCGGATGAAGCAATCTTTGACCATCTATCGAGTTCCACTCACGTAAACCGGTCGCAACCTGTTTCAGACTTCTCAATCGACCAAGGACGTGGAATAGTCAATCAAACTCAAAGTGATATGTTAACAAACATCAGACCAAGGTCTGGCTCCTCCAAGTTTTCTAGCCCCAATTATGGCCGTGAGGGGAAGGCTGATTCTTCTTATCTCGTTTCGGAACACGAATTGCCTTTATTACCTAATTTGCGCAATGATTTAGACGACGTCAATACCAATGATCATCGTGCGTCGAATCGTGCAGCAGATTTGTCTTCATCTCCTCTGTTTGGCCGCTCCCTTTACTCTTCGTCCAGTCACACTCGTCGTGGACAGGCTCTTCCTCTAGATCTCCACCGTCGGCAACGTCATGAACTAACACATATGCACGATCTCCATCATGTCCAAGGTGGACTTTCGAATTTTCAGGAAGTAGCTGCTTCTCAAGGAGGTGATCCTTCGTCGTCATTACTTACGCCTATACAATTTGCTCTCTCGCCTAGAAGATTGAACTTTGATCCCAAATGTCATGTTGACTTTCCTTTTTCCGCCATCGCTCAAGCTGGAGATGAAAGATTACACACTCCTGAGCAGCGTACTCGGATTGGTACTTACAAGAACAGAACTCCACACGTCGACACGGATCCTCCTACTATACGACTCGTAAATACCACAAAACAGTCAACTGCCGCTTCTCCATCAATAGTGAATTCCGACGTATCCTCTCCCAATGACCTTCAACTTCATGCTTCACAGTCGGAACAATTGCGTGATAATCGACGATTTGCCCCCGCCTCTATTCCTCGCCTGAACCCTCGTACGAAATTATCTACCGAGCTGGATACGTCACTACACCGTGCCGCTGCTAGATATAGATCTCCTGCTGTTTGTCCTACAAATGCTACTGAAAATTTACCGCGAACTCCACAGACCGGAAGATCGCCATTATTTTCAAGATTCAACGCTAGTCATGCTGTTCCATCATCTCAATCTACACTTCCAACTCTTTTCTTGAACTCGCCCGCACGTCGATCAGCTCGAAATCACTCTCACGAAAACACGTCCAAAGAAATTGATATTCAAGACAATCGTCAATCTACAAGAGAAGATAACCAGAAGACTGAGATACCTACGCCCGCACACTCGATAGTTCAAGATAGTACATCTAAACCTGAAGATGAAGAGGTACGAGAAAGAGGGTTAGCAGAGTCCAATGTGGGTGAACAGCCGGTTCCGTCTGCGGAAGCAGGGAGCGAGAAACACTCCTCGCGGGTCGCATTACGCTTCAGTCTGTTCGCAGATGATGAAATAGAGTCGGATAGTGAAAGTGAATGAAGTACAGTACATACATTGATGGTGCTTTGATCTTATCTGATGCGCTGACGCCTTCTCACGTAACGGTACCTTGCCAAAATTCATGAGCAAAAAATGAGCACGAACCCTTCACATATCCTCATCGCACGCAACTCCAATAACTATTACTCTGTCTCTCGTGGGCCAAATAATCCTTCTGCATCTCTCAGTTCACCGACAGAAACACATGTGCATGCTGCGGCTTCTGCTTCTGGAGCAGGCATCTCACCTTACTTGTTGTCAGAAAGCGAACCGGAAGAAGGCGCAGAAGAAACAGATGGCGGAGAAGAAGACATCGAGATCCACGAAACATTTACGAAAAATGCCAAGTTTCCTGGAACGGTGAAAATTATAGTAGAAAACACAACCTTCTGGACGCATAAAGAGGTTCTTGTCTTCGCTAGCCCTTTCTTCGAAGCAGCCTTGAGTGGAAACTGGTCAGAGACGGAAACAGAGGGGAAGGAGGGAACAGATGAAGAACATTCCCAGAGACTCTCTGGACGTCCACCATCGATAATAACGATATCTCACTCCATTGGCCCGGACTCTGAGACGGAAATGCGGGTGACGTTCGATCCAGTCAAGGAGAACGACATCGACATCGATCGGTCCAGAAGCGATACCCTTACAAAACTACAGGATAGCTCTCCTCCTCCTAGTGCTGTCATTGTTCTTCAGGAAGAGCGGCCGAGTACATTTCACGACTTTCTTCAATATATATACCCCCATCTCTCCTGCATAATCACATGGAATAATGTTGAACCGTTGATCCATATCTCTCATAAACTCCTCCAACCTTCGCTTCAAAGGGACTGCCTTACTTTTTTGCTCACTCATGCTGCTGGAAAGCCTATCAAAGCTATGCGAATTGCAGAGCTATTTGAAGAGGAAGAGTTGTATAAGGAGAGCTCTAGGTATGGGTTTCCAACCTTTTATACAGTCACAGCCATAATCCCTGACATAGGTTTGTACTGGATAATCCCGGTGGCTGGTCCGAAGATGAAATGTGCTCCCTTACCCAAGAAACCCTACTCAAACTCGAAAAGCGCCGAAACTGGTTTCTTGAACGTGTTCTCAAAATCGGCCTAACATCTGTTGCGAAGGAGTACCAATGCTGTTCCTCCTGCCCCGATCCACCACTATGCGCCCGTCAGCTGGAGGAAAAGTGGCGCCAGGCATACCATGCTGTATTTCGTTTCGGTCCCCCACAGCCGTCGATGGTGTATCGATACCTGCGCCAACTCGAAGGCGTGAGTCCGCCGCTTTCATTGACCCATCTGGCGTGTCAGACGACAGCCAAAGCGTTCATTGCTACACGTCAGTTTGCATTCTCGTTGATGATACCCACTCATTCATATTCATCCATTCCAGTTTTCGACCGAATGTTCTCTCTAGGGGTTCCTCGCACTTCCTCATCTCTCAACCCTACCAACGTTGAAGTCGCACAACACGCACCACTTAGCCTTGGAACCCGTGTTGCAGCGGCCGCTATTGCTGCAGGTGGGAGTACTGCGCCGCGAAGGCATTTTCTCTTCTGCACCCTGCGACCGGAGGGAACCAGACAAAGGGGTGCCAAAGGCAAACGGAGAGAAAGAGAAAGAAGTTCACGAGTCGGCGATACATGAGTTTTATGCGAAAATTTCGGATTCAACATGTATATTCCTTCATTACATAAGTCGTAGCTGCATAGTCCAGTGTTATTGTTCATACAACGACAATCGCTTCGCCAACTCTAAGTCTCGCTCAAACATTGCTTCATCCTGGGGCGTATTTGTGTTCCGAGTTGTCCTATCTTCGCCCTCCTTCAAGTCCAAATCTGATGGAGGAGACCCCGTTGATATACTCGCGGAGCTTGAGGGCATGCCTTTCCCCACCTTAAGCTTCTCTTCCTTCTCAGACTCGTACATAACCTCCTCCGCAGCTTTCGCAATATTTTTCTTTCTATCCATGACTTTCTCCTTCTGCATCAGATCCTTGAATCTCTTCACAACTTTCACCCTCTCGTTTTCCGTACTGAACTTTACAGCTTGTAACCCTTCCTCCACGCGAGTCTGATAATGCGGTTCATCCTGCTCCTTTACAAGGGTAGTCTGTGCGCTCTTCCAAGCACCTTGTATAGGATTGGCTACGACGCCGACTATGCCAGCCGCGGGGCGCATCGTCGCGTTTATGACTAGGAGCCACAGGAAATAATTGTTTAAGATCGATTGAACTTGAAGGGGTAGTAGATGGACAAACTCACAACTTCTCCCAGCACCTTTTACTGCTCCTGCAAATCCTCCCTTCTGCGCACCTTGCCAGGGCTCACGTACGAGACCAGTAATCCCGTCGTAATATCCGTAAAATAGACCCTGTGATCAAAGTTTTATTCCGGTACAAAGTGACGAAAAAGCATAATTCTCATTACCTTTCCCGCTTCTTTGACGCCACTAGAAAAATCAGTCACCTTTCCGGGTTGGCGAACATCCGACCCATACAATTTTGGCATATTATGGAATCCTTCGTGAATAGAAGAAACGATTTTCATTACACCTTTTGGGATTGCGGTTGTTGTGTGGATGATGCCCTTTACAGGCGAACTACATGAGCAGTCATGAGATGACTCGACTAATGCATAAACAATGACGCACTAAAATAGTTCTGCAATTCCCCCATAATAATGCGTCACTGTCCAAAATATCGCGCTTGCTCCTCCTGTGAGAGGATCCGGAGGGGGTTTATGCGTTTCGTATTCTTTGGGCCCTACACGCGAAAAAAAGATACATTTAGCGAAATACCCCCATGAAAACTTGGACACCTACGATGAAGATCCAGTCCTTTGAGGTCAAGCAGTTTAGCGTTCATTAGTGTCTGTGTTGCGAATGCGCTGAATTTGAGGCACTACGTAGAATGATATTCCATGAGGGCCAAGAAACTGAGTGGATGAAAGGCAACTGACGTGCTCTGTAGACCACCAAACGGCCACCTTCGATGGATCAAGATCGCATCTCATATTCTTCAAGGGTAAATGTCGATAGAAGCTTTCCACGCCCCGATTCACACCATCCTGACCGGAAAACCTGTTAGTAAATACACGATCAAAGATCCAAGTGCAACGAGCTCCCTAGGCATACCTCCTTTTGAATCTTCTCTGCTAATATCCTCGCAGCGGTCTTCGCTCCAGGGCTGACCGCAAACAGGATTGCATCTCTGAGATTCTCTATCTCCAGCATTTTATGTGGGATAGGCTGCGGACCCGCACCTGCCTTGTGTATCATACTACCCCAGAATCCCTGATCACCAAAGAACGGGACGACTACTGTTGGAAGACCCTTTGATAACCCGATAGCAGTAGTGCCTGCACCGCCATGGTGTACGACCGCAGAAACGCGTTCGTTTGCGAATAGCCAGTCATGGGGGATGTTTCCGAGGATGAAGATGTGTGGTGGGATGGAGACGCCTCCGAGACCACCCTATATCATGATGAGATAGTGTAATTTGGATGAGATGAGAGAGCGGTATCGGGATGACTTGCCCATCCAGCAGAAACAAGGGCTCGTACACCAGCTTGCCTAGTTGCTTCGAATATCGTATCTGTCAAAAGTTGGTCCTGAGTCTAAGTATGTTTCTCGAAATCACCGAGCTACAGCCCCTTACTGGTCATTGATGCTGGATCGTCGACCACGACCGAACCAAACCTGGAGTATCAATATTATTAGTACAGAAACTTTCCAGCTGTGAACAAGCTGGTACCCAATATATACCGGGGGCTCTCCTGCAGCCAAAAACGCCACCAAGTCATCCGGGGGAGTAAAATCTGTCGCGAGATCTAGAAAGTAAAATCCTACAACGTCTAGGAAGTGGATAAGACTATCGTGATGAATATCGATTTCAACTCATGCGTGGAACTTCTTGCGCACCGATATGACTCTTCCAATCCTTCGGTTTGGGTACAAGACCAGAGCTCATGCAATACGTCCAAGGCACTTTCACGTTGTCCAAGACCCCGGCGCCGGACTTAAGCGAGAGTGCTGGCAGCCCGAGGGAACGTCTACGGAATTTGTTCACAATGTCGCCGATTCTTTAGAAAAGGTGAGATGGAGGTAAATCGCTCTGAGGAAGATGACACACACACCCTTGCCAGGTAAATATATCAGCAAGTGCATAACTGAGGTAGTTTGTGAGGCCACTTTGCGCGTTGGAGCTTTGGATATTAACAAGAGGATGGGGGAATGCGGTCGTTGGACTCCTGTGCGCTAGATTAGATGTTTACAGAACATGAACAAAATCGTATTGATGTTTACAAACCACGGCATCGCTAGAAAATGATGAGTACATGCACGAAAGAGAGAAAGAGAAAGCTACAAGCTTACTGAAAGTAAGAAGTAGAGGAATACCCATGGCTTCTGCGCAATGAATATGTGCGAACGCAGGAGGGTTGGATATGATCGCGTCTGCTACGAAGGGACGGCCCGTCTGCGGATCCGTTGAATGGCAAGACTTCCAGCAGCCTTCCATCATCTAATAACAAGTCAGGCTCTTTGCTTTGTAGTCGGTATTCGAGCGCACAGTCGAAAGCATCTGGCGTTTCCTCCCGATGTCGCCGTTAGTTAGTGATTCGAAACCAGGAATCAAACCAGGATCTATGAATGGTTCAAGGGTGTCATGAATTAATTTCGGTGACAGTAACAGACAAACTCTTGACCATGTAACTCATGAGCTCCTGTGGGTTTCCGCCGATGTCAAAGAATTCAAGGCCAGCGTCGTGAACGAAGGAGCGGAATGTCCCATGGGAGGCGATTCGGATGCGATGTCCGTCTTGAAGAAGACGCTTTCCGAGAGCCACATAAGGTTGTACGTCGCCTAAGAGATTGCTTCAAGATAAAAATTTTCTTTTTAAATAAATACTGACCTCGACTCCCTACAATCATGATCACTATGTTCATAGAAGGGTATTCCATCCATTTCGACTTGTCGATACCGAATTCGTGAACTTCGGGTGCATAGTCTGGTGGTAGATCTGGCAGCTGCTGTTTGAGGTCGAGCGATATGATAATTCGTCCATCGGGGTCAATGCGAGCTTTAGAGAACAATCCTTTGCCTGTTTGAACATATTCTGCATAATCTGTGAAGGATATGGTTACATGTGAGCTAAAAGCATTGAAGCGATACTCACTAATACTGGGATTTGTTTGAATGCTTCCAATGTCTATAGACTGCTCGTCTTGCGCAGCGTTGGTGACTTGCGGTGGTGATTCCTCTGATCCCTGCATATGAAAAGGTTTTGTTGCATCGACCATTGTTGAAGTTAGAATGATAAAATTAGGCTGACGTCATGTTATTTAATTTGTATACAGCGAACGATTTCCACGTTTACTGCGCTAAGACGACACTACAGCGAACAAGGCAGTAGAATAGATTTTGTACAATTCCAGAAACGACACTAAGAATCGCTGTCCGTATGATTAGAGAAGTATCCCATCCAACAGTATCATAAATAAGGACGTCCGACACCTCAGTCCCTGCCTCCGCCTCTATCTCTTCACAATTCATCATGAAAACACAACAAACGATCCTAGACCCATTGCTGTCACTATGGTGAACATCGCCATTCCTAACAGTCCAGATAGGCCGAAGGAGACCCGGGAAGCGCTGCTCGCCGCTGCCGTTGAAGTAGATCCAAATTCACTGAGCCATTGGCTGTAGTCAAGTATTGTGCCTGTAGCAGGCGCAGGTGTGCCTAGGGCGGTAGTAAAGGTCGGAATAAACGTTGCTTCAATTGCAGTAGTAACACCAGCAATGACTGTGGTATATGTGTATGGAGTCGGCCCATTCGGATCGACAGTATTCGTGGTTCCTGGAGCACCAACTACTCCTCCTCCTTGCTGAAGAGTCGTTGCAGCCGTGGTCGCAGTTTTCGCGGTAGTGGTTGCGGTGGTGGCGGTAGTTGCGGTAGTCGCAGTAGTGGCGGCACCAGGTAGTATGGTTGAGCTGTCATCAAAGGGTCAAATAATACTCAGGCAGTGAAGGAGCAGGAGTTACATAATTGAAGTGGTCGGAAGCCCTTGTCGATTAGTGGTGATGTCCTCTACGACAGTGTCGCCATCGCTGTACAAAAAAGATGTAGATTTTAATTAGATATTCCTCGAAGAAAAGACTGCAACTCAACGCATCTAGTACCGTCTCCAACTGAGCGCGGGCAAAGACCAAAAAGAGCGTGAAGAAGGTGAAAATGAAGACCCTCATTATTCTTCGGGTTAACCTTACGGTAGTTCTTACGGTTGTTGGGAGGCGAAGAGATCTGAATTTTGTGACATCAGTGGAGCCGTGACCGTCACTCCAGCGCTTGTTCTTGGCCAATTACTTTGCCTGAGCGCCATTTCTCTGAATGGTGTCTGGTACTGACCGATTGAGGATCGCGATTGTGAGTCCCCTCTAATTCTGATTTAAAGGATCGTTCATGCTGGACAAGTGTAGACATTAACGGCCTTGAAATTCAAGAAGCCCGACCAGTCTTGTCATTGTAAGTACCAGTAGTCGTACAATCGTATAGCAGCACAATATGCTCATAAAACTCGTGTCTTGATCATTCTGGGCATTTCACCTTTCACAAATCGCTCCAACTTGCGGCTTTAAATCTACCTCATCCGTGCATCAAAAATATTCACTCAACCATTGTGAACCTATAGCTTGTGTACTCGAACTACGGTCCAAATTCCCCCCCTCTGTCCCACATGCGCCAACAACAGATGGCTCATGGAGGACGCATGCGCTTGATCTTGAAAACGAGATTAAGGTGTTGAAGGAAAGGCAGGAGGAGGAACAGATCGGTGTGTACAATCGTTCTGTGCCACTCCACCACCTTTGATGGACCTCGGCAATAGAATATCTCGCTCGCGTAAACGAGGCTACTGCTGCTTTGGCCGCGTTTCAAACAACCAGCACGGGAATAGGCGTGCAGGGTTCTCCAGAGGAACCCCACCTGGTTCAGAATTCAACATTGCTACCAAATGCGGAGGTATCGATGAAAACCGCGGTACCGAAGAAAAAAGGCAAACAAAAAAAGTCGAACGTTCTGGATAGTAATGGAGTAAATACCACCAAGAAATCTTCTGCCCAAGCACCAGTGCCGTTCAAGTCAGAGGTACAAGTGCCCAAAAAACCTCTTCGACTCGATCTGCAAGCGATATTCAAAGAATTTCAGGGATGTGACTCCCTCGAGGGTAAGATGTCCAATCTTGGGCCTACATACAGAATATTTATTCGATCGCTGATCCAGGAAGAACCTTAAACTCAACTCCAATACCATGCACGCGAACGATTGAGGATTCCCTTTTTAGCTCCTTCTCCAGCTTTGACCGTCTGGTTCTTGCGTTTACTACACACCCTACACCTCTTACTGTCTCTCAAAAGACTCTGTTGTTATCGTCAACGATCCGGACTTTGCATGCTGTTTCGCGCGTTTTGAACAGCGTCATATCACTATCATCATCTCCCTCCGGATCACTTTCCACGAGGAAAACAAACTCAATGAAGACCATTCAAACCCTGAATATCCTGTTGACTCACCTTCTATCTACGTCTTTCAAGTTTCTTTTTCCGCGTACGGCTTCATTTTCTGAAGACGCCGTTGTTCAGCAACCAGGCAAAAAGAAAAGGCAAGGAAAGAAGATGCAGAAAAAGGATAAAGACCCCTCTGACTTGCGATCAGACCCAACGGCTGGTTCTTCAAAACCTCCTTTATCACTCGCAGAGGAATTTTCTCCAGAATTCTGGACATCCTTGGAACGGCTTTTCGGCATTTTGACAACATCGATCCTAGAACCTATTCTGAAATCTTTCGTGTCGCTCTCTCAGCATTATCTGTCGATGACTTTCGCTCCCGAAAACCAGGGTATCGGGAAAGCGGGCTCCTCACCCTTCTGCAAGTTCTCAGATATCAGACCGGATTTGCTCTCTTTGGTTCAAAGCGGTTGCAATCAAATATTTCAAGCTATCGTGTTATTCGATTCCATAGATTCCTTACCACGCAGCCGTGCTCAAAGCACCCGCGACAGCGGCTATGCATGCTATGTTTCTGGCGTCAGAGAATATCTCTCCCTGGTAGCTGTACGCGAACTGTTCAAATCATTTGCGGTTAACTATAGTGGCGGCCTTCGCAATGTCAACCCCACGCACAAAGCTCGTAGTATCAATGCTTTTTTGAAGAGTCTTCCTCAAGACCTCAGCGATCCGGCTATATCTACGTGCATGAAATCTCGTACCAGCGGCGTACTTCCACTCCCTCGATTTTCTGGTGAAATCTCCGCATTCACTACCGAACAAAAACCGGTACCAGAATCAAGTTCAGCAGACACTCAATCAAAGGAATTTGCTGCAGCACCCAAGCCGGTATCTCAGCACCCTCGAGCTCGTACCAGAGAAGCTCGGATTCGTGACTTGGCGCGGAAAGACGCTGTTTGGTATCTTGCTACGGTTTTGCATGTCTTGTTCGAGGATGGGTGTTTTTCAGACGATGTTAACGACATTGGAGGTATCGATACTGATGAAGTTGGTGCCACAATTACCTCGGTACCTTCGTTCGAAATGAACGCTTCTAGTACCAACCCTGGACTCAACCCCAATGGAGATAAAAGTCCTGATGTCTCCGTCCCATCTGAATCGAACTCCCTTTCAACGTCTTCGGGGAGCAAGGGACTCAACCATGAAATCATCCCTCCAGCTTCAGTTCATCTTAAAGTAGACAACATCTCCCAAAAATATTCTTCATTGAACCCCAACGAGGCAGCCAGATCAAGCTTATCGTTGCTCAGAACAGGATTATTAGATTCATTCGATGCATTGCTGTTTTTGGTGACAGAATGTCGGCCAGCTGCTTCGTTTCCTGTATCCCAGGGGTGCAATGGCTCGTTTGCCATGATAGATATAAACGCGGCCACTAGCAATGCTTCGGCCAACAATGTTGAGGATAGTATGCCAGGTGATACAAGTGGCGAAGCTGGTGGAGGGACAGCGAATCTCCATCGTACTGTGACACCATCCTCAGGTTCATGTACAAGACAGCTAGCATTCAATTTGGGGTCAGGAATCATGGATGAAGTTGAGTATGACATGGTATTGGGGGTTGTCGAGAGGTATTGGGAGTGCACATTAGGCTTGAAGGGTTTGTAAACAGAATATACCAACAATCAAAAGTGATGCACAGATGATGACCTACAGTCATTCTAGTGTAGAGCCTTTGTCTGCTTATACTGTAAGTGCATATGCTGCTTAGTAGGAAACAAATGAGTTCCGCATTGGATTGCACAGAACAAGGTGTGACTGGTGTATTGTCAATATCAGTCAGTTATCCTCTTCCAATCAGTTCAATGTTCAAAATAAACAAACAAATTTTCATAATCAAAGAAATGCACCAGTACAGACCAGTACTTGGAAAAACAGATGTCCGAACTGTGAAGTGAATGGTATAATCAAAAACAATTTTGCAATAACCTCCCAAAATGATAGAGGAGTATAACAAAGATCGAGAAGGTATGGAAAGTTATATTTAACTGTAGTACCATTCGACTGGAGATTACGAGATCATTAGCAAGAGGTATTATCACACAGGAATGCGAGGACATACTGTTGAGTTGACCAGTTGCAAGCGCACCAATTGTAAGGAAGGCACCAAGCGACATGTCGATGGAGTTGGCGTTGATGCTGACACGAAAGTCAATGAAAATCCACGATAGACAAAGAACATTTTCCCTACCATGTTGGGCATTCATCTGCAACAACCGCCGTCACGGACTAGAAAAGACGTCACTAATAAGTCAACAAATGGATTCAAAAACTACCAACCGCTCCGGTATCAGTGTTGGTGATTGTCACCGATTTGCCGCAAAGGTCAGCGCTGTAAATGGCGGAGTCCATCGCCAGGACAAAGTCATAATCACCTTAACAGTCATCAGCAGATTGTGATTGTAACAGAGTCAGATGGACGTACTGTGAACAGTTCCACAAGCCCCTGCCACTCCGTTTTGGTAGAAGAATGTGCCAAAACCCCCGGTATTGACATTGGCAGTGCTTGACGCCGAAACAGCGGAAGAAGTGGAAGTCCAAGTGTCGGAAGAGGAAGTCCAAGTATCGGAGGAAGAAGTCCATGTGTCAGAGGAAGAAGTCCAGGTGTCGGAGGAAGAAGTCCAAGCATCGGAGGAGGATGTCCAGGTGTCGGGGGTCCAGGTGTCGGAAGACGAGGAGCTCCAAGTAGTGGTGGGAGCGGCTGCCTGTACCACATCGGTGGTGGGGGTCACATCAGCGGTCGAGGACCACGAGGAGCTTGTGGAGGTGTAGCCTTCGAGACTGGCACTGACGGAAGAGAGAACAGTAGGGTCTGGAGTGCAGCGGGCCTCGAGGTCGCTCAAAGTTTCGTTTTGCTACGTGACGCACCATCAAGGTTTGATCCAACAACGTGGAACATGTAAAACAGCGCAACTCACGAGCAACGGGTGACAGCATGCATCAAAGAAGTCGTTGCCGTGGTTGTACTGGCAACCCAACGCCAAATAACGAGCATGGTACGTGAAATAAGCTTCGAGGATAGCCGTGTCATAAGTAGAAGGCGTGTTGACTCGGGGTAGTATACGGTGTCTGGGAGTGACACGAGCAGAAGTGGAGATTGCGGAAAGCGCAATAACGGCTGCGACCAGACTGAAGGAGAACATTTTGTGAGCTGGTATTTGTTAAACGTCACAGAGCCGAATGAAAGAATGAAAGAATGTGGTGGGTTAAAGAGCGTGTCCGGAGAACAAATGAGGGGATGAAGACAGATTGAAGGCAAAAAGGCGCGTTATATATGCCAACTCAAATTTGAATTTTCCACTCCACTGCCACTGTACATGGAATTATGAAATTCTAGTTGGCACATCACATGTGCCTGCTACTACGCCTGCGTACATAAGATCTCAGTCCAGCTTGCGGTAATTCCCAAGTTGTACTACTGTGAGCACAGTGAGGTATTGCACAGAACGACTAAACGGTTATATGAGGCCATTTTCATCGGGCATTGTATCCCGCCACCGTACCTCCGACGCTATGGGAAAACAATGTGTATTCGGTGAGTAAAGGCCGGCGAACCCTCTTCATGTGGATTTCGATTTCAGATGTCAACAAAGAAAAGTGTTGTGACTGCATTGGAAAGCTCGGAAGACAGCTTACCTCTTCGAAGATACTAGAAAAATCTCTGATCTTCCATTCTAATCACAAGGTGCCAGTCGCAAATCGCAAGTCATGAAGAAGCCCCTGTAACCAGGATAAGATAACATAGCAGTAGTATATTCATTCTTCATCATCTTCGTCTCCAGAAACCTCAGCATTCTCTTGGCCAGCTTTAGCCATAAGCTGGGCGAGATCTTGTTCGTCGGTCTCTGAAACAGCTTTGGGCTGGTGATGGATGAGTAAACAGATCGTGATTTTGGAATGTAGCGATCGTACCTTCATTTTTACGACTAAAGAGCCACCTTGGTCTTCGATAGTGCTTTGGATTGATTCTATCGCGCGTTCCAAGCGATCAACGGCGGCATACTAAAAACTGTTATGAGGGCAATATACATATAGATGAGAATTATTCCCAAACCTTGTCTGTTGCGTTTGTGGTAAGTACATAGAAGGGAGGGGCGACGAGCTTCACTTTGATTGGGACAGCCTCACTACTCTCTTTCTCTCCTGCCTTCAAAGCTTTCTTGATGGCGTCGATGCCAGCAGGGGTATAACAGGTCACTTCAATATCGGCACGAAGTTTGATTGGCTGAGGAGTGAGACGACGAGCAATAGTGGCCGTTAATAGTGTTTTAATCGCGGGAGATATAGTAGTTTGTAGTGTACCGAAAACGGTATCAGGCTCCCTGTAAGATTGTGAGCTGGAATAACTCGTTTAGAATATTTCGAAAACTCACGCCAATGACAGCTTGAACGCATCGTACGGATGTCCGTACGTTTTCCCGAGAGGCCAGGCAATTTGTTCATATAACATCTCGAGTCGATCCTCCTCATTTCCTGTTGAGACTGGAAGTTCTTCAGCACCATCTTCATCGTGAGCGGCCTGACGAGCGGCTCTACGTGCTTTCTTGCTATCTTTATCTCCGACATCTATAGGTGCTGGTGCAGCTTCGACAGTTTTGGGTTCCACGTCCGTGGATGGTATTTTTGAAGCGACATGCCGTAGAATCGATGCGACTGTTTTTGACTTCATGTATCGCTCCTCACATTTCGTGATATCTTCGGGAGACACCCGTCTTTTGGATAGATCGATATAACCTTAGATCGGGATCAGCTGTATCAAAGGAAAAGCAGAACGTTAGACGGCACCTTTTTCTTTATCGACACGCAATACAACAACAACTTCATTCCTCCCGACTCGAATAAGTTTTTGCACCGATCTTATACGCCTTCTAGAGAGCTCAGACAGGAGAATCATTCCTTCGGTATTGTCATATTCTAGCTGTAAACAGTCCATTATCTGAACGGAATCTTTTGTGATTTCGAGATACTCACAAGCTTGACATACGCTCCCATCTCTGCTATCTGACGAACTTGTACCATGACAAGTTCGTCGACCTCCGGATATTTTTGCTCGTAATACCGCATCGTAGGCTGGAAACTGCTAGAATGTAACGCAAAGAGTTTGCGAGATCCGTGATGGCTTCTGACTCAGAGTCAGTGAATTGCTGTGAATTGTACACCGGGACGGCCGGACTACGGTCCCCGGTTTCATTTTAAATTTTTGGCTTGGCAGTCAGTCGACACTGTAGGCATATTTGCAAGTTTAAGATGATAAATCAGCTATGCCCTTAACGGACTAAGGCTACATTTCATGGCTCGATGCAGGCGCCGATGAGGACGGTTTTGGTTGGTAAGTACCACCAGATGATTATAACCCAAGAACGTGACTTCTCCCATCTCTCAGGATATCTCTTCTGTCTATATATATGCCCGTGCTCACCGTCTTACACCTTCTCTTGAATTATCATGTTGCCACCGTCGGAGGCTGAGGCTCAGGGGCTCTCTTTCGTTCTCCTGGAACCAGGCTCAAATGTGTCAGAAGCAGAGTATCATGGTTTGTGCACTGATCAAGTTTTACTCCCTAGTCACTATTTGCTTATCTATCATTTATCTATCGTCCAGACTGGTATGATAATGAACACGCCCCGGCGCGATTGACGATCCCTACGTTCCTTAACGCAACTCGTTTTAAAGCTGTCGACGGCCAGAAACCCACATATCTGACTCTGTATGACATCTCTGAATCCAGTGTCGCAGATGGACCTGAATATCAGGCTCTCAAAGATAATGGGTCCGAAAGAGACAAACGTCTTCTCGCGACGGTGCAATATTTGAATCGAAGGGCGTACTCCTCCATCTACAACTCTACCCTTACCACTGCTTCCGCCTCCGATTTTCCTCCGAAATTCATCTTTGTTGTTGGATTGGACGTAAAGACCGAAGGAGAAGCTGATTTCAACAAGTTGTACAACGAAGAGCACATACCCATGATCTCGAAGATTCCTGGTTGGCTCAGGAGCAGGAGGTATATCCTGAGCAACAGTGCAATCCGGGGTTCTATTGACGCCGAAGTCACTGTATGCAAGTACCTGGTCATTCATGACTTTTCGGAGAGTGGCTACATGGACACTTCCGAGATGAAGGCAGCAGCCAGCACTCCTTGGGTAAAGGAGGTGCTCAAAAGTATAGTGCGCCGGGAGGCGAGGCATTTCACGCTCCTTAAGGAATACAAGCGTCCCGAGTGATTGCCGATCTAGCGGTTGGAGTATTTCTTGGATCCCGTTCATACTACATACATCCTGCATACATCCTTTAGCGCCGCGCCCCGCACGGCAGTCCCCGACTCTGAAAGTCAATATTTTAGTTGAATATGAAACCTAATTTCCCTTTCTATGTAGAAAGTGTGCTTAAAAAACAAACCCACATAGTAGCCTGGCAGCATAAGCAGGTATGTCCAGGGTACATCTATCTACCTCTCTCCCATTGCCATGTTGAATCTAAAAATGTGTGTGTTCCCCTTGAGATGGATGGGAACAGCTCTGAGCCTCTCTGAACAGTGCACTGCAGTGCACCGGAAACCCCGAAAGTACAGCACATTTGCATCAGACTGCAAAATGCTGCAAACCAGTGTGCCGGAACCCCCGAAAGGCACTGCACATTTGTGTCACTGGGACACTACCATCACAAAAACTCACGACTTTTGATTGCCATTTGGTGCGAACAAGGACCTCCTCTTTCAGAGTCGGTGATGCACCTACAGATGATTAAATTCATTTTTATTTTGGATCGCTCTCGCGTTTGTAGTGAAAGCACTGAGCAGGATATCTATCTCTTCAACCATTTTAAGAGATGACAGAAAGCTGCTGCTAGCCAGTATCATCATGCCTTCTATGCCCCGCAAATCATCACACAGACATGTAATGCATTACATGCAGGAACGTGCACGTCGAGTAGATATACCTTTATTTATTTCCTGGAAATTACGAAGGTAGAAAATAAGATAATTTGTTTGTTTGTCGTTCTCGTCGTGCTCTGACCTCCCATTCATCATCTTCAAAATACATATCAAGCGCCCTCAATTCCACATCAGAAGCCTGACCCCCAACGGCATTTCTGAACTGCGAAACCGTACCCAGCTCTTTTTTTTTGAGGTCATACTGCCGTCCGGAATCTTCAACAGCTTCATCTTCTGCAAGAGCTATATAAGCCTTTGCGACTCTCCAATCTACTTCTTTGGTGACAATTTGTAAATGTTTCTCCGCACGTTCGCGAGCTCGTCTCACCGCTCTTAGTGTCTCTTCGGCATCGTCAGAGGGACTATAAAGTAGGCTGTGTCCATTTTGGTCCTTGAGGCGAGCGAAAGCAGGAAGGGTCAGGACGGTTCGTGTATGGAGGAGATGAGGAGTTTTGCTTAGTGTACTGGGCGGAAGTTTGTTCAAACGACAGAGCTCTCGTCCCTAGAAATGTAGAATTAGTCGAAGAGACTCAGAGATGACGAAGAATATGCTAACATACGTCAACTCCGAAACGAAGGGCAATTCCGTGCACAGTGTCTCCTCTTTGAATATAGTATTGGGATGAATTGTGATAATTAGAAGAATTTAACTTGGTGGTTATCTCCGCCGAAGAAATCGACTGTGGAGTTGGCTGGCCATCTGCTTGCGCTGGTGGTGATGACGACTTGGACGATGTCTGTTCGGGATAAGGTGGTGGTGGTGTACCTTCCCCAGAAAGATCTTCGTCGTCTTCATCTTCACCTAATACAAAAGTGTCTTCATCGCGCACGGCACCGTTAATATTGATCTTTTCCGGTGGCACAAATGGCTGCTGTCTTCCTCCGTGCCTTCGTAGTCCTACAGCCTGCACTCCTCCAAGACAAGCTAGGCAAGGGTTATATCGTGCGAGCCGGGGGTTGCCTGAAACACAGGAATAACATATGGGTTTTTTGCAGCACTGTGTCGTAAAGATGGGATCATGAGACCGTGGAGGAAGAGAAGACGAGCAAGCAAGACAAAGAGAAAGATTTGAGTCTCCAGCAAGAATTGACATGTTGAAGTGATAGTATAATCTAAAGTAGCCTCGACAGTAAGTTTAATTCGAAAGCCTGCCTTCGGGAGATTCTTTAATCAAGACTCCGGCGAACTTTCTCACCAACCACGATGTCGGTCGCGCCCGCTTCGGACCCTCACATTGTTTCACTCGTCCTGCAATCAAAGAAAGCTCTTCAGGAAGGTGAACAGATCTGTTCGAAGGCCAATGAGCTCTCGGCCACATCGACCCAAACATCTATTGATGTCCTCATATTGGATGCTAAAGTCAAATGGATTACTGACAATGTTCTTGAGCAGCTGAAAGTACGTGATTCTGTCTGTATTGCCTACGGGTCTCTTATTTGAAACTAGCTGGCCGCGTTCGTCGCGAAGAGCATTGAGGAGAAACGTACGAAACTGAACAAACAAGTGCAGGTATTATTCCCTCGTATCACGTCGCTGCACGCTTGCCCTTACATTCTGAGTACTCAGGATTGGGATAATCTTCGTACTAAACAGACAGATGCATTAGATAAAATTTTGAACGAATTGGGCTCTCAGCGCGTCCCACCAGACTTTCATCAGACCTCCACTGCATCATCTATATTCGGTAGTCAGAATTCCGAGGATGAACAACAAAATTATACGCAGAGCAATGGTCTGTCAACACTTTCTCGGAGCCCTTCAGATACAATACAGGTACCTAGACCAAAGCCACAGGCTGATCTCAAGAATTGGAAAACACTGCGCGATTTTGTAGATGACCAGGCAATAGAAGACATATTTGAGTGCATGGAAGAGGAACACACGATTGTCGAGGTATCAAAACTTCTATGTGTATACCAGCTTGGTCATGACTGATACGGTGATGCATTCTAACTCAAGGATATATTGAGTAGAACAGACGAATATTCTGAAAAACTCACTACCGCTATCCACTCAATTCGCGAATACCTGCCTGAAATGACCCCACCACCATCTATAGAACAACTTATTACCTCGCAGGATTCTGCTCAAATTGGGATGGCCGGTCACTTGGAAAGTCTTGCGGCTCACTATGATCAGATGTGCAACGCTCTTCGAGAAAGGGAAGCAGGTGATGTGTTCGGTGAAGATGATCTTCAAGGTACGGTCTATCAAAACTTGCCTATCTACCGTGTTAATTTTATCAAGACATGAATCGTGATACGGAGGAATTGCCGTCCATCCTGTCTGAGTTGGAAGAAAATCTCCGCTCTGTAACCGCAACATAGTAAGTTCCAAAAGTGTGGTCATTATGCCCCAGACTCATCTCTCGTTAGTGATCAACTTTGCCAAATTCGAGACACCAACCAGGAACATATAAAGAGGTTATCCAATGTTCTAGACGAACTAGATGAACTGGGTGACATCATGACGGAGATGCTACAAACTCAAGAGACTGTAGAGGTCAGCGTCCATGCTTAGTGTAGTGTAGTTCGCTAATATCTTGGCCTTTAGAGTGAATGCGAGCAGCGCTTTACACAGATGCAACGTCATCTACTAACGGTGGAAGACCTCCAACAACAGTTCATATCTTACCAAACGGCGTTCCGCAAATTGATTTTGGAGATTGCTAGGAGGCGAGTCTACAAAGAGGCTGCAGAAAACATCGTACGAGGCATGATGGACCAGTTAACAGCTATGACTGAAGGTAGTGATTCTTCTACAACAATTGCAAAAATCGTTTACAAGGTGGAGCTGACTACGCCACAGAAGAACGACGAGTACGGGAACACTTCAATCAGGAGCAGGGCGCTCATCTTCCAGAAGATCTTTGTCTTTGTATAAGTAACTATCCGACGAAATGGGACATTTCACCGTGGGCTGGCGAAGTTCTGGAAAGTCTCCCAGATATTCCTACCGATATGGTTACAGAGGTATATTTTTTTACTTAAGTTGAAGTTGCACCCGAGTTTCTAACTTTTTAAGGCAAGGAATCATGTCCGCACGGAACCCCCCTCTGTGGTGAATGGAACCGAAAGTTTGTGATTGTCGCCTACATACATAGGGATGATCGCAGCTGTATGTACAATCGTCTGCAAATGTGCTATTTCTTACCTCATTGGATTTGGTGAAATATCGGACGGAGATGCGTAAAAACTGCAGGTGGACCTGCAACAACGCGTGAACTTATCGGGAAAAATCTACTCGCGCGAAACTAATTTTTTTTGGTCTGAAAACCTACAGAACTTCCATAACATGTAGGTATGCACGGAGGTCAAAATTTGATCGTGATTATAACTTGTTGCCTCGCCGTTCACAGTTTAAATGGTTGTATGGTCCTAGTGATTCGCAGCACAGATATACCAAGAAGCAAGCCGCGCTAATTCATTTTTTATATTCGAAGCCATTTTAATCGATCATTTGCTGTCTTCGGAAACAAAATGTTGGGCCGTTGAACTGGGACATCATCATCGACTTTTTTCCTTCCAGTTGACTCTTGGCCTCGAAAATTAGACGAATGATGGCGTACAGGGAGAACAGACCCGACAGACGCTCTATATCTTCGCTCTTGAACCCTGTTGTTTTGAATAGCGATGTGCCTCCACCGAATTTCTCTTCCAACGACAATATGCCTCGTAGCCACCATTATGCACAACTGGTGAAAACTTCTCGTACTGAATTTGACCGACATTCTTCCAACCCAGACCTCGTGGGGAGTGGTTTACACCTACCGCCACGCTCAAAAATGGAATGGCCTAGAAATTTACACAGTGCGTGGCTGGAAACCTTCTTCTCCCACTGTAAATAATAATGTTTTTGAAGCAGACAATCATCGCAGGACCTCCAATCGAAACGATATCCCAAACATTGCAAGTGCCATTCTCTATTAATGATTATGGAGCTAATTTTCTCCAAATCCGGCGGAATATAGCAGACTTCCAAAATGCCCCGAACACGACATTCTCCTGTTGGCTCTGCTAGCGGGCAATTTTATGGCGAGGGTTATCCGAACGGTGTTACCAGCTCTACAGCATATGTCTCTGATATCAGTGGTTTACCGTAGGTATTCTGACTGATGATCCCACATCAACAGTCTTAACCTACTTCTGGATTTTCGTAGATTTCGGAACGAGCAACTCACCGGTTTGGTACAGTCAAACCCCATGCCGCAAGCACCTGTACACTCTTCCTCGAACCTGGAAAAAAATCCTGTGGCCCAAAATCCTGGCGGTACCTTCCATACTTTCTCTGTCGCATTGAGGAAGGAGTATTCGTCAATTCGCACCTCGCCGCTGGTTATCAGGCCCAGGACGGCTGAAATTTCACCACAGCCGAGAATATGCTCCGCTTGTGGCATTACTCACACTGTTCTGTGGCGAAAGTCGAAGGTGCATCCTGGGAACTATGTAAGTCGTCATGCACATCATTTACAAGAGAAGTCTTCTGAAAAAAACATTGGCTCCCTCTCAGCTCTGCAATCGATGTGGCCTCTGGGAGCGCAATAATCGCGTGGAGCGAACCACATTAGCTGAAGGTCATACCTCAATGGTGAAAGAGTTTATCGTACAATCGCCGTATTCAAGCGAAGGGGATATCTTAGAGTGACACCTCACGCAGCAGGAGAGAACGCGGTGCCACTTTCTGTCTTGCAAATGTTCCAGAGCGCGTTCGTAGATTCACTTGGAGAAGAAGGCTTGAAGTTGAGCGTTATATTTTACGTCGGGAACTGTCCATAGATGTGTACCGTGTATCTAGCTGGATGCGGCTTTGTAAAATGTTACTTGCTGTATAGTTGCACTTACACACCTTGTTACCTGATGACAGCATAGAGCAAATGCCGAAGCTTCGACGGTAATTTGGAACTGCATCCGGGCGCATTGGTATAGCAGTGGCTGTGCTACATAGTTTATTGCACAAACAAACTGCTCGCGTACATACTACGTTTCTTTCTGACGATAATGTCCCTCCTGGCACCAATTATATGTGACAATGGTACAGGCTACTCTAAAGTCGGGTACGATAATTCACCACTACTGCGAAGCATTCCATTGATCGATAGTCTACCAGGTTTGCTGGAAACTCCGATCCATCGTTGTAAGTTGTTTCCAAGGTATCACAATTGTAAATCGGATTTTACAGCTTTGTACAGCGTATTTCCTACTGCAATAGCCACCCGCGGACCTGCTGGACAATCATCGCGAGCACCAGCTGTACCCTCGAAACCTGGTCATCTCGCATCCAAGCGTGGTGTTGAGGACCTTGATTTCTTCATTGGCGATGAAGCTCTTGCTAATGCCAGGACACCGGGCTACGGGGTTCATTATCCTATTCGTCACGGAATGATAGATAATTGGGATCATATGGAACGATACTGGGAACAGACGATCTTCAAATATCTTAGGGCAGAGCCTGAGGATCACTACTTCCTTCTCGTACGTCGATATCCAATTCTACCTTTTGATATTACTGAATTAAGACTGTATTTGATCACAGACCGAGCCTCCTCTAAATCCACCTGAAAACAGAGAGCAAACCGCCGAAATTTTCTTCGAATCGTTCAACATCAAAGGTCTCTATATTGCTGTTCAAGCTGTGCTTGCTCTTGCCGCATCGTGGTCGTCCAACCGTGTTACTGATCGTACGCTTACTGGGACAGTCATCGACTCCGGTGACGGTGTAACACATGTTATCCCTTGCGCTGAGGGTTATGTCATCGGGAGTGCAATCAAGCACATCCCCATTGCTGGTCGTGATATCACGAAGTTCGTTCTTGATCTCATGCGAGAGCGTGGAGAGACTGTAACTATCCCTCCGGAAGATCAATTGCGAGTCGCTGGTAAAATCAAAGAAAACTATAGCTATGTCTGCCAGGATATTGTGAAGGAGTTCCGTAAATTTGATACCGAGCCGTACAAGTACTTTGAACGATACGAGGGCGAGCACAGCGTCACTGGGCGGGTGAGTCGGATAATGTTATTTTCTCTTGAGGCTCTTACGAATATTGTCATAGAAATACAGTATTGACGTTGGATATGAACGATTCCTTGCTCCTGAAATTTTCTTCAATCCCGAAATTTACTCTTCTGACTTCCTTACACCTCTACCGGAAATTGTCGATGACGTCATTCAGCAATCACCTATCGATGTTCGTCGAGGCCTATACAAGGTGATACAATTTGCAGACGAGTTTGAATGTTAAATCTGATCTTCGTTGATCAGAACATTGTTCTCTCTGGTGGATCTACGATGTTCCAACATTTTGGTAACCGCCTCAAACGAGATTTGAAGCAACTAGTCGATCGTCGTCTGGATGCCAGCGTCCTCGCCAGCGGCAGTGTTCTCAAGGTATTTATAACTATAATTTGACAAACGTTGATGTCCTCATAAACAAATCCAAGTCAACTGGTGTCGAAGTCGATGTTATTTCTCACAAACGACAAAGGTGAGTTCTTCGTGGCATGATCCCGTTCGTTCTTCAATGATCCATCTAGATACGCTGTATGGTTCGGTGGATCTTTGCTGGCATCACTCGTAAGTTGTGACTGGCTGACCACGCCTACTTGGACTGATAATCATATTGAACTGAACAGCCCGAGTTTTACACCTCGTGTCACACCAAAGCTCAGTACGACGAAATTGGTCCTAGTATCTGCAGACGTTATCAGATATTTGGCAGTGCTACCTGATCGTAAACGGACATCAGCTGTGAAACTGAGAAATTGTTATATATTTAGGAGGAAACCAACAGGTGTACTTTTTATAGTTCTGGATAGGATAGGAGTAGAAGAAAATGCAAGGTTTCTGACCCCCTCACAGACAGCAAGCTCAACATCAATGCATCAACACCGTTGAGTTTGGTTCAACATGCATAATATTATTGAATCTGCTGAGATGTGCATTCCACAAGCAACAGCTTGACTGACGCAGTCGGCGGTTTTTTCAGTTGATAGAAAAAAAAACAATTTTGATAAATTGATTTATTGTTGGCTTAGTGGCTGTGCAATCACTTTCACCCACTCCTTCCATGAACTTTGAAACAGACTCTGAATCGATCCCGGCTATACGCGCAACAAAGGTGAGCTATGAGATCAACGGTTGAATGTTTCATTAATCTTCACTTCAATTCTAGCGTAAACTTGACGATGCGTTCCAGTCGCTCGATGCTGCTGTGGGCCCCAAAGAACTTTCGACAGAAGCACATCCTCGCACAAAACCGTTCAATGCTCGTTCAATATACTCTACACTCGCGAAATATGGCATAAAGCCCAGAAACGTCGACTCCTCCAAGTCAGTTCTTCAACTCTGCTACATATATTAGCCTGTCAGTTTTCTGAAACAATCGCCCCTTATTCAACATTTCTCTGTTTTGCAAATCAGAAGCTCGGAGGATACCAAATTTGCTTCTCTTTCTAAGAGCACTCCCAATCTCTCAGCCATTCTTTCTCGAGCTGCCGCTAGAACACGAAAGGCTTTTCCTACGAAGCTCGGAGAATGTTCAAGTGCAACGCCCTTGTCACCTTTAGCCGACTACCGTCCTTCCTCTATTCCGTCTTTCCTAGGTCGCCTGGAAACCTTCAAACTTGCCACTTATGCCAATAAACCTGCAACACTAGATGCGGTGGCGGCTTCAAAGTGTGGGTGGATCAACGATGGAAAGGATCGGCTGGTATGTGGGCTTTGCAATGCGTCGTGGGTTGTTGCAGGGAAAGAAGGACTATCTAGGGAGGCAGGTAAGGAATATTGTCTTTGCACATCATATCAGCTTAACTCGTCCCAGCGAATGCCTTGGTCGATAAACAACGTGCATCACTCGTTCAGAACCACAAAATTGGTTGCCCCTGGAGAACGAGACAATGTGATGGTATGCACTCGGCCAATTCCATGAGAATTACCTCAATCAATCGTGACATTTAGATTCAATTTATCGAATACCGCTACAATCACCCGCTTCCACTGTACAGAACATCAAGATAAACGCTGCTACTCTGGATACGGTGCTCCAAGATGTTGAGATTAAGCATCCCTTGGTATGTTCCATGTCTTCCCTTTTGGGTCTCGAATAATCATCCTCCTCAGACCGCAAGTCAAGTCAGCTCACTACAATCTGCAATTTCCTCTTTTGATTCCTCCCCTGACATGTCCTTGGAAAAATCAGGCAACCATTCGTCATCTTCTGAAATCTCACAAACAGCCATCATAACCTCTCTCTTTGGATGGACTCTCGCTCCAGAACGTCCACGTTCCACTTCTACGTCGCGGTCGAACTCTAGATTACCGTCCGCATCACGAACGCCTTCACTTTCCCGCTCCACCTCTGTTGTGCCTGTCGGTAGTCCTGATAGATCAAGACCTTTGCTGCACACGGCTGTGTCCCAAGCAATGGCCCGAGACACATCCCTAGTGCATTGTGTTCTTTGCCAGAGACGCGTAGGTTTATGGGCCTTTGCTCCTCCAAAACAACCCCCAGCTACTTCTTTAGAGGCTTCAGAAGCATCCTCACCGCAACAACCAAAGAGAAATAACAGCATATTGAACAAACGCCAATTTGACCTGCTGAAGGAACATCGCTCATACTGTCCGTATGTGGTACGCTCTACAGTGGTCCCTACTTTACCATCGTCTCCTTCTGTTGTATCCGTTTCCACACCCCGTACAAGTAATTTGCATATTCGTTCGAGCTCTTCCACCTCGCAACTTAATGGGATTTCTGGAGCTCGTATGGGCTCCAATGCCACGGAAGGCTGGCGCGCTATCCTTTCCGTGGTCATGCGATATCGGATGGCACAAAGGCACCAATTATCGAGAATTGAAGGTTTAATGACAGGAGACGATGCAGAGGGACAGAGGAGCTCACAAGATAGCATAGGAGTTGACGATGGCGTCGATATGATGGTGCAGGGCGTCAAAGCACGAGGGGTAAGAAGATCTTCGAGCACTCATGAATATTTCTGCTTATGACTTGTTAGGGAAGCGATTTATTGAGATATGTGAAGGGTTTACTTGGATAATAAGGGATTTCAGCGGATTACTTGTAGACCATTATTGTATCGTTGACAACTTTTCTACTGTGTTTGGTATCTGGATCACTTATCGACGTGCGGCTACCCTCTCAGAAATGCGACTAGCCCGCACTGCGCACAATGAATATCTCTATGAGTAATCCTAGTTCGAGATGAAACCAGCAATTTTTCCTCGTCTCCGAAAATACATATAGTTCGGTTTCAAAAACATATGTAGATATCCTTACGTTGCACTGGAAACCACGACTCCAGATTACTGTTTCCCGATCTCACTTTGCCAGGTATGTGCCTTCTCGAATCCATTCCTACCCATTTGGTCTTAGAAACAAGAGTTGATTTAGCTGATAATGCATGCCAAGAACCAAAGAATTACTCACAGTCCATTAATGTCTTTTGAATCTCCTCCCGGGTGGTCATGACAAAGGGACCGTACTGGAAGACTGTTTGATCGAGAGGTTCACCGGCGACCTGTTGATTCACGGTTGATGTTCAGTACGATGCGGCTATGTACACACAGTAACCGTTATTTACAAGGATGAATTGTGTATCGTCGTCTCCGGATACCATTTTGACCCCGGTTTCGCCTTTGTTCGCAGATAAGACGAGTGTGTGGAATGATTCAGCTGGTATAATATCATTTCCAACGATTACAGACCCCTTCCAAACTGAAAATTTCGATTAGTATAATGCGTCATTATCATCAAAGTGAATATTTAAGTTACTGTAAATGAAAGCAGTCCATCCTTCTGCTGTAAGTAAAAAGCTTCAGTGTGAAGAGCGACAGACAATGGAAAAATACATACGTATGTCTTGGAAGACGGTGATACCCTTCTTACTGAAACTGAGGTGAAAGTACCAGCATCCTCCGAGGTGCCTTACGGGCGATTCCACGCCATGACTCTTGCCTGATATAACCTTGATCTTGACAGGACCATCGAGACCTTCAGGATAGGCAGATGGGATTCTGAGAAAGAGCAACGTGAAATGAACATCGTATTGTCGACAAATTTCATGGTTCAGACATACTCCTTTGGTCCTAATTCCTGGTACATGGGGTCGACCATTTTGTACTATGATGTTGACGTTCTTTAGTCCGGTAGCACGAGATAAACTCAGGGAAGATTAACTTCTTTGGGCAGATCAATCCAGAGTTGCATTCCCCGAGGGTCAGGAAGACCTTCTTCATGCACAGGCATTTCGGCGTGTATGATACCCTTGCCTGCACACATCCATTGTACGCCTCCCGTTTCTGTCCGATGATGAAGACTTATGAGCCTCGAAGTTAATATGTCACTCTATAATCTGATTGCTGACCGATTGTTCCCTTGTGCCCAGCAGAGTCCTCATGCCGGCTTGTTCTAAGGAGTTAAGAGCAATGGATGAGGGGAGAAAATCATATAGTATCATTGGAGTAGACTTCCTACCCTTCGAGCATGTAGGTCACCGTGGCTTGACCGCGATGAGGATGATCGGGGAAACCCTGAAAATCAGTAAGATCATTTGCGAGGAAAGTTCGTAGATAGCCAACTTACAGCTCCTTTTGAGATCTGGAAGTGATCTGTTGGAGTCCGTATTGAGCCTCTTCGAGAAAGAAGATTTGATATTTGATAGATGAAATTTTACCTAGCATCAGGAAGGGAGACAGGTTCCTTAGGGTCATGGAGCCAATGCTACGCCGAACGAGTGCTCCCGCGCCCTACATTGAATGACAATTACTATTAGGATACAAAGACACAAGTGGTTGTGGACTTACCTCAGGAGTCTCAACGGCCAAAACCTTCTTCACGATACTACGCGAAACAGACGCTACGGCCATATTTGATTCTATATTTGCAATGTTATTCGAAGGCTTTGTCCTGTTGAGAGAAATCGAAACTAAGTTTGAGAGCTCTGGTCCGCTGTATAGATATGCAAGAGCGATTGCAAGCGCAAGGACAAAAATAGAGAGCCTTTTATACATACACAGTGAACGCGTTTATCAGCAAGTGTAATTCTGGCTGACAATATCGGAAGACAAGAGAGGGGGGATATCACTTTGTTATAGCGTGCGCTCAGTCATCACTGTCATGGAATTACCTATTTGGGCCAAAAAGGCGCACGAGAATATGGAATGATGTAGTGGGCGCCTAGCTGTGCTATCCCTGAATGCAACCTTCGTCTTCTCTGTCCAGAATGACAGTCAATATCACGAAATACAAGATCTCTTCTTTACCAATTCCACCTTCTTCTCACCTCCTTACACACAATCTAGTTCCAGATCCAGTCACAGGAGGAACTTCCGTCTCGAACTTTATCGAAAAGATATTAGCTAAAACACCTAGTGTTCAGCGACGTGCTCGTTTAACATCCCCAGAAACTCATTTTTCATATGTGACTCCGTTTCCCACCTCATTTCCTTACAATATTGAGCCTCCCTCTCCAGACGAGTCTGAAAATATAGATGACAAGGGTGCTTATGTAGAGAAATGGTTAGCAGATAGGGAGGCGAGAAACCCAAAGGCTGATGCAATATCCGGATCCTCGGGCAAGTTACAGCTGCATTATTCGCTACTACCGGAAAACGACCAGCCCAGAATCCTGATTGGATTATCCGAAACCGGTCTAAGAGACTGTGTACCTCACTTGGATGTAGGAGATGCGTTCGCTATTCTTGGTGAACCTGCCCTTGTAGTCTCTGACACAGAAGGACACGGGTCCAATCACGAATCGGACCAAGAGGAGGTCATAGCTGCCAGACAGGAAATGATTGATGTTCTTGGTGGTCGGGCTGTTCTCATATCGCAAGACTACCCCAAATCGGAGTCTAGGCCGGAAAGAGGAGGTTTCGCACCGTGGAGTCATCGATATTCGGGACACCAGTTCGGAACCTGGGCTGGTCAGTTGGGAGACGGGAGGGCTGTCTCTATCCGTGAGTTTCCCCGGCTTTCTCTTTCCATTTCTTTTGCGTGAACTCACACAGTGGCCACTTCACACCCATCCAAATCCAATGACGTTTACGAACTACAGCTCAAGGGAGCAGGAAGAACACCATATTCACGATCAGCTGATGGTCTTGCAGTGTTGCGTTCATCTATTCGAGAATATCTGGGCTCGGAAGGTACGTACTACTGCTATCATACGAATTGTACACTATCTGAAGACTATCTAGCTATCGCGGCGCTAGGAATTCCCACTACTCGGTCCCTGTCACTCATATCTCTGTCCTCCGTCGAAGTTCGGCGAGAGAGGATGGAGACCGCTTGTGTTTTCACCCGTATGGCGCCCTCTTTTATTCGCATAGGTTCATTCGAAGCGCTTAGTCCCCCAGATGGTCACAGTATGGCTTTCTTCGGTGGTGGTCAGCAGAAACCTCACTGGGAGAGCTTACGGATCTTGGGAGAATGGGTTAGCAAGAAGGTACTCCGATTAGATTTGCAGGAAGGACAACCATGGGGCAAGGAACTTGTATTGGAAGTTACGAGACGAAATGCAAAGATGGTAGCTGGTTGGCAGGCGTATGGTTGGATGCATGGTGTAATGAACACAGGTGTGTGTCACACTCATCGAATCCACCCCATCTATTCAAACATTTCGACATAGATAAGTATGCAAGTCTTCCAAATCATTCGCAATTCTTTACCCATGCATCTGTCATTGTCTTAGCGTGTCGATTCTGGGTCTCACTATCGATTACGGTCCATTCGCATTCATGGATGTCTTTGACCCTGCACATATCTGCAATCATACTGATGATGGTGGAAGATATGCGTACAAGGTACGCGTCTTATTGTGAGCTGATTTAGTCCTCTTTTGATGTTTCTACAGTACCAGCCCACCATGATGTGCGTACCATACTGCATGAATGTGGTTGTATCGATATACTGATGTTCGTTTTGCAGAATGTTTGCCCTGCGTGCCCTGCTTAATTCGCTCGCCCCCTTGATAGGCGCAGAAATGGAATCTGGGAAAGCGGTTTCCCCGGACTGGGCTTCCTCCGCCTCCAACGAAAAGATAGATGAATGGCGACAGCATGCAACGTCGGCCATCAAGGACGAAATGGAAACAGTATTCCAGGAAATTTGCAGCACTGAGAATGGTCTTCTGATGCGAAAAGTGGGTGTAAATTCTCGAATGTTTATTTCCCCTCCCAGACTTACTTAATTTGCAGAGACTTGGTCTTCGTCGTTCTCTTACTACCGATGAATCCCGATTCATCCAACCACTGCTGACCATGATGGAAAATCATCGATTAGACTTTAATCGCACCTTTAGGCTGTTAAGTTTTTTCAAACCACCTGCGTCGGACAATGATAATGCCAGGTTCATTCAACAATTATTGGACAATGTTTCGCCTACAGATAGGCAAATGCTTAACATGGATTCAGCTAGGAAAGAGTGGGACGAGTGGCTGGCAAGGTTTAAAGGACGTATAGAAGAAGATCAGATATTTTGCAAAGATGATGCAGGCAATGTCGCATCGGCAGTGTCACTAGATGATGCGTATGAATTGAGAGTGAAAGAGGCCAAGAAAACTAATCCTCGGTTTGTACTGAGGCAGTGGGTGTTGGAAGAAATCATCAAGCGTGTTGAAAGTGATCCGGAGAAGGGTAAAAGACAATTGGCCAAAGTCATGCATGCAAGTTCATTCTCTTTTCATGAAATTTTTTTTGCAAGGCCAATATATATTCCACAGATGGCATGTAGCCCATTCGAGGCATGGGGTGCAGAGTGGGAGGAGATGTCAGAAGATGGGAATGGAGAGGGTTTGAGTGTGGAGGAGAAGGAGGAGAGGCGATATTGTGACATTGGTGAAGGGAGTATGCTTGGATTTCAGTGTAGTTGCTCCAGTTAAAACCTGAAGGTAAGATATTGGAGAAGGTCAGATGGTTGATTCTTGGGACAATATTTGTATCATTGCTACTGGGTTTGTTGTACATGTCTGTGTCCTAAACCAAAATACAAACCGCAGAGCTCTTCTATTCCTCACAACGAACACACCATCCCTCCCACTCGAACCTTCCCTTTTGTATGTCGACAATCATCTGCCACATAGCTCGGCTTACAGGGCCCATACCACCTTCATGCAACGGTAAGACCAAGTCCCTCGCCGGCTTCTTTACGTCGTCCTGGAACCCAACACGACCTATAGGTGTGAGAACAACAGCTGTGCCTACAGCAAACATTTCTTGTAATATGTCATCCGCAAGCCACTGGTCCATGTCAGCAATGGTGAATGCTCGTTCTTGCGGGTATAGACGTTGAGTAGAGTATACACCAGGAAGGGTAAGTTTTCCAGCTGAATGTGCTTTGGCAATGGCCAGAACGGATTCTCGGGTGACACCAGGCAATATGGTTCCATCCAAGGGAGGAGTGATAAGGTCAATATCTTGAAGTGGAAAATTTGGTTAGACTGGAATGCGAGATAACATTGTAAAAGAGAATTTCTGCTTACCACCATCTTCTCTTCCTATAACAGCGAAGATGTTCATTGCACCCGCCTCCGTAACCTTCCACTCAAGCTCATCCCTTAATAGCCACAAGATCTGGTCATACCCTTGCTTCGCTGCCATCCGCTGTGGCAAGAATCCCGGAGAGTAGTTCCCCGCGACCTTGTGCGATCCTGTTCCACCAGGCCATGACCGAACGTTTTCTGCGGCGGCTAGTAAGGAGATAGGTTTCGGTCCTGTGCGGAAATATGGGCCTGTAGGAGATAAAATGACATAGAGGAGGGAATGGTCGGAGGCGGAGACACCCAGAGCTGAAAGAAAAAGGTCTCAGCAGGGATATAGATGCTAGAGACGGATAATGTGCCAACCTGATCGAGTTCCGATGATAGTAGGTCGAATATACAAACTATAACCTTCGATGTCAGGGATCCATCTTTGGTCAATAGCGACCAATTTTTTAATCAACTCCAACAACGCGTTCGGGTTGAAAGGCTACATATAAATCGCATATAAATCGTTGAACTCAGATTCGTCAAACGAATGGAGGATGTAGGGACATACCGGTAGGGCAAGCCTTTCAGCTGATCGTGCAAGACGCGCCATATTCTTCTCTGGTCTAAACAGCCGTGGCGCACCATCAGGACCAATGTAAGCCTATATTAACCAACAATTCACCCGGAGTGTAAGCGAAAATCCGACATGAAATTTCATCTCTGACCTTCATCCCTTCAAATGTATTCGTTGCATATTGAAAACAACTAGAAGCCGGGTCCAACGTAAACGGACCATAGGGCTTGATTTCCGGTGCGGACCATCCAGTTACAGGATCGAAGGAGGCAACAAGCATGTGGTCTGTCATTGTCTAGCATGAAAAAAATGGTAAATGTTAAGACCTGGAATAGCGCAATGGGAAGAATGGAGAATGCAACTCACACTACCAAAGACGAGGCTTTCAGGATAGGGTATCGGCTTAAGAGATTTACTTAGAGTGACAGTGAGTTTCGAAGCCTACTGGATATATGAAAAAAAGAGGCAGAAGAGTCGAAGGAGCACTTACATCCAGATCCGGAACTGGTAAAGGTCCTTCGAGGTGCCCATTGCCCACAGATTTCCACTCGGGGTTGGTCATTTTCGAGTGCCGAGTATCAGTAGGATGAAATCTTGTGGAAGGGGGCTCGAAAAAGCAGAAGTGTCGTGAATGGAATAAAAAACATGATCGGAGTCACTGTACCATGACCATGTGATGTTCGGCTTCGGCGGCTGGCCTTTCCATTAGCAAGGAAGGCTACTGTTGATATGAGCATTCCTACTTGAGTACTTGAGTACCTACCAAAGGGATCAGTAAAGAAACGAACCTACTGTAACCATATCAATGTCCTGATCGAGGAACTCCCGAACACTGAAGTAAGAATTCAGAGGTCCTATCTGGAGCTGATGAACCTGAATGTGAAGAAATTCTTTCCCAATCAGTTGTAGGCCTGCTCGCTGAGCTAGCATCCAAGTGAAGCCGTGTCAAATATCTGTCAAGGTCCACCACATCGCATTGCAATTATAGCGGATCGCCCTAGGGAGTGACTGTTAGGTGACAACGAAGATTACTGACCGTCTGTTGAGCACGTGGGATGCCGACTATTCATGTTATCGCCGAGTTATTGATCAGTCAACGGAAATTGTATGAACTCCCTGTCTCTGACCATCATCGCCTTGCATTTATATCCATACTTTCTATCTATTTTATTTCTAACTCAGCATGCCAACTCGGTATACGGCTTTGCCTTCACATGAAGAAGTAAACTCCAGGGAATTGGCTGACGCATTTGGCTCAGAGGACGAAGATGAAATGACAACTTTCCAAAACCATCACACACTTCAATTTCGGGATAACATGGACGTAGAAGCGTATGCTGGACTTCCACCTGCTACGCCCAGCGCCGTACCTGGCACTTATGACTTCGAGAGGGACTACGACGTTCCCCCACCTGGCTCACCTCCTCCATCTTCTCGTGCGTTGCCGAATAATTTCAGCAATAACATTGGGTTCCTTCCAACTTCTCCTATTCGACACACCTTTGATCGTCGTCCAAGGAACTCTTTCTTCCGTCGGATCATGGGCGCTGTATTACCAACCCACTACTCACAGATACCTACAGAAGATTCTCCAGAATCTGTGGGTCCACGTCATTATGTCGGCGGTGGCTCCGACAACGATGGTGTCTTTGCAAATGTCATGGCTAAACCTGCTCCTGCATCTGAATCTCGAATCGTCCGAGATCCCAATGGCAATATTCACCTCGTACCAGAGGAAAACCAGAAAGAACCACCGCCTTCATATGCCGCAGCTCAGGCTGATGCTGTCCCTGCCTATTGGGAAACTACCGTTCATGCCCCTGCACTGACAAACGGCGGTGAAGGCGCAGATGGAACCATGCTCATCGACGATTTACCCTCAGGATCCGTTTGGGTGTTCTTTGTCAATCTCGTCATATCTTTCTTCTTTCAATTCGTCGGCTTCTTACTTACTTTCATCCTGCACACTTCTCACGCAGCCAAATATGGCTCCCGCGCCGGACTCGGACTTACTCTCATCCAGTATGGTTTTTACACTCGCAGCGCTTCCGTTGCTGGTTGGAATGTCGACGGCAATGGTGATGGAGTTGAAATTATCACTACCGATCGGACTGACCCACCAATTCCGAGCTCTTTATTGAATGACACTGGAATTGTTGATCCTAGTGAACAGGAGGTGGTACCCGGGGTTAGTTCTCGCGATTGGCTTTCGTTTTTGCTAATGACAGTAGGTGAGTATGAGTATTACTATGAAATTATTATGCCAGTCAACGACGTTCCTACTATCTTCTAGGCTGGTTCCTATTGCTCTCATCAGCCATATCATTCTGGCGTGTCAAGAGATGGGAGTCATCCATCCGTTCTTCCACCTCTTCCACCGCCACCTCTGCCCCTCGCTCTAACGAACAATCTACCCCAGACTCCCAATTCCTCACACAGGCAGAGCTCGAAAACGACGTCGTCATGCGACGAAACCTCGCCTCTGTCTTTGGTATCAACTTTGATGATGAAGAACAAACCGCGCGAGATGCAATAATCGCAAATGGCGGCGGAGGAACACTTGGTGGTGGTGCAGTCGGAGGAGGAGTGTTTGGTTGGGGTGCAAGTGCGGGAAGATTACTCGTTGACGAGAATGGACATGCGATTGTTATTCCTGGTCAAGAAGCTCTCGAGGAAGCCAGATTGGCTCGGGATTTAAGGGCTGCAGGACTATTGTGATATCTCTCGGTGATACTCTGCGGAGTATCCTCCTTTTTCCTACCCGACCATGAAACCGATCTTTTGTAATTGCAGCTTGCTTCGAGACACCTGCTATTGTATTTATTGATTTATTGTTAGCACTATTGGATATATTTGTACTATCGATAACTTTTTTGCATGAATTGAGCGGTCAAAGATAGACGCTCGGATGTCGCGTTACTTTTCAGCGCTTGAGTTGGTGACGCGTCCTTCGAACCTTCCTTCAACTTGTTCTTTACCATGGCCGACGATATTGTCTTACCGATTCCCAATCTTTCAGCCGCTCAAAACCTCTTCATCCTTTCAAATCCTTCATTGAGCCGCTTACACGATGAAGCTCGTGAATCTGCTCTCAAAGCAATCAAGGACGACCGTGCGTCCCCGCCTCAGTGCAAAGCCGCGTAATCTTCTAATAGTTCTCATACAGAAATGGCTCCATACTACCAACTTGCAACTTCTTCGTCTAAACCACTGCTCCCCCTGGATTCGGATCTTCTTTCTTCTATGCAAGAAGCAAACACCGCTACACTGAAATCACTTGACGAGACTCTTGAGTCCGCAACAGCAACTGAAGGAGAATCAGAGATCTCCGACGCTCTCAAAGCTCGTGCAAACTTTCTGACCCGTATCGGAGAGAAGGACAAAGCTATTGAAGCCCAGAAACTTGCTCTAGAAAAGACGCCAGGTCTGGGAAGCAGGATTGATATTGTTTTGACCCTCGTTAGAATTGGGTACTTTTGGAATGACGAACCATTGATAGTGTGGGGTTTGGACAACGCAGAAAAGTAAGTAAAATGATCGTGCTTCGCTTGAACATAGCGTTGATAGAACGCCGCAAGGTTGATTGAGGAAGGTGGCGACTGGGATCGAAGGAACCGTTTGAAGGTGTACCAAGGACAACACCTCATTTCCAACCGGCAATTTAAGCGGGGCGGTGAGCTCCTCTTGGATGCTCTTTCCACCTTTACCGCTTCCGAACTCATCAGCTACAACGAATTCATTTCGCTGACTGCTGTCGCTGGTGCTCTGACTTTAGGCAGAGTGGATTTGAAGAAGAAGGTTTGCATTATTTCGTGCTTTACCGTGTGGATCTTCTACTTTAATGTGAATTCACTTATAGCTCATCAATTCACCAGAGGTGAACCAAACACTGCCCGAACTCCCTGTCCTCGGTGATCTGGTCAAAAACCTCTACGAATGTCATTACGATAAGTTCTTCCATGCTCTAGGTAGGTCAACTACGGTATGTCCCAATTAAGATCCGTACTGATCGTTTTTTTGCAGCTCGTGTAGAACAAGAAATCCTCCTTCCTTCTCGTATTCTGTCTCCCCACGCGCGCTTCTATGTGCGTGAAATGCGTATCCTTGCATATGCACAGCTTCTGGAGAGTTATCGAAGTCTGACCCTGGAGAGTTTGGGGCAGGCCTTTGGTGTCAGCGTAGACTTTGTTGATAGGTTTGGATCTCTATATAGCTCTTTCCACAATCTTTATATGCTGACATAACTCTGTGTGGGCAGTGAACTGTCACGGTTCATTTCAACAGGACGTATACATGCTTCAATAGACAGAGTACACGGTGTTGTTGAAACAACCAAAACGTCGGAAGTTTGGGGTAAAAAGACGCTGCAGTTTGAGCAGGTTATACGCCAGGGTGATATCTTACTCAATGAAGTCCAGCGGTTGAGCAAAGTCCTGTATTAGTCAATTAATACAGCCTGCAATGAATGCAATGATATAGCAGACCCTGCTAATAAGTACAGTACGTATATACCTGAATTATATAGATATATGATCATCAGCTCGTTCCATGAACATGGATGGATAAAATAATGAAGTCGTAGGGGATACGTACGGTCGGTGAAGATATATGATACAGTGTATATGCGTTCTAATAGCGGGAAGATATCCCAAATGATGATGCGTAACGACGTAACGATGTTCCAAGATGGTAGAATGGATACAAGAAGCTGTATAAGCCCGTGGAGCCAATGGTCTTGAATGTAAAGATTGAAAGCAGCTGCATTATAACTTATTTTGATTTCCACCGAATCGTGTATAAGCGGGGTCATCGCGTGAAGTGTCTGGGTGTAGCTGTAATTTTCCTTCCCATAAGGCAGCTGAAGATTTTGAGGGATCGTTCGAGGTCGGATCAGACAGAGTACCGCGTGGGCTATATCCATGAGTGGCAACTGCCCCAGCAATCAGCGTAGGTGCCATCGTGAGGAGTGAAGAGCTAAAAAGAAGGAATAGTTTAATAAACAGCGTCGTATCATTCGACAGACACGATACACTCACATCCGTAATGGTTCCTGGTCTCTATTCAATCTGGCAGAACGACTCTTGACAACAAACGAAGACGAGCGTAAACGACCTCCACGGACATGAGAGAATGTACTGAGATTATCCCGAACCAGAGAAATGGCTCCGTGCCAGCCCTCTTGATCGACTGTTGAGGTAGGTAATACTTCCGATGACTTGCCAAACAGACCCAGCTTATCGAATAATTTTTCAAATGGTTCATTGGGAAGAATACGGATCAGAGCACCCAGAGGAATGGACACGAAACCGAGCGCGAGGGAAATACCCCAGACTTTGCCATCAACACGGGTAACTTGGAATGCGGAACCACCGACGAACACAATGAGAACTTGAACGACAATTTCTACAAAAGATAAAGGGTCAGTTAAAAGCAATTGAGTTATAATGCATCACAAATTACCGATGAGGGTAATGGCGATAAAATACCAATTCCTCATGACTCCCTCGAAGATGTTCAGCTTCCTATCTAGCCTTCTCGAACTGACAGAGTTGAAAATTTGAGCAAACACGAATGTGTTGAATACCATGGTTTGGACAATTGTGTTATTTGTGGTAGACGATTCGATACCAAGAACTTGGAGACCGAGGAAATGCAATATGAGTGTGATGATGATCTGGTAGGTGCTTTGGAACAGGATTTGTTTATACATGTCGACGGTAAATAGCGGAGCATTTTTTGATTCAGGTTTTCTGTTGAGAAGAGCTTCAGATGCAGGGTCAGTGGCCAAAGCTAGAGCAGCAAATGTGTCCATAATGATGTTGATCCAAAGAAGTTGAACGGCGGACAAAACAGACTCCTCCTCGTTGGAAGCCACAGCAGACACGAAGGTGATAACGACTGCGGTGACATTGGTGGAAAGCTGAAATTGCAAGAATTTTCGAACAGCATCATTGACACAACGTCCCCACATGATAGCTTTGACGATGGATGCAAAATTATCGTCCATGAGAATGATATCAGAGGCTTCCTTGGCCACCTCCGTGCCCGCAATGCCCATAGAGAAACCGACGTTAGCTGTCTTCAGAGCAGGCCCGTCATTCGTTCCGTCACCAGTAACACCTACGAGGTCACCGATGTGCTTCAGAGTCTCCACGAGAACCTTTTTATCTTCTGGAGAAGAACGCGCAAGGACTTGTAGGCGGGGCACGATCTCAATCATTTCGGGCTGCGAGAGTTTGCGAAAAACGGGTCCTTCCATGATGATACCACCTTTGGTGAAGATGCCGCATTGCGAGGCGATGGAGCGAGCTGTAAGCACGTTATCTCCCGTACACATCTTCACAGTGACACCTGCTCTATGGCACTTGGAGACAGCTTCGCGAACACCGTCACGCAAAGGATCTTCCAAGCCAGCAATGGCAACCAGAGTCAAATCCTGAGCTAGGTCATTGAAGTCAGCCTCTCCTTCTTCATCCACTGCCATTCCAGCCGGCGGCCACTGTTCAAAGTCCCGATAGCAGACTGAGATGGTGCGAAGCATTTGATTGGCGTAGAATATGATGGTTCGACTGATGTTATCCGCCGCGAGTTCGTCAATCTCTCGAGTCTCTATACGATCATCCTCGTAAGCGGGTCGGTCTTGTCCAGGTCTACCAACAACAATGTGTTTGGTACACTTTTTGCTCAGAATTTCGCTCGCGCCTTTGACGTAGAACCGATATCGTCCTCCTGTACTGATAACGACGCCCATGGACTTACGTTCGCTGGAAAAAGGAATCATCTGCAAAACTTTGCCTTTCGATCTAGCTAATCCTCCTTTACTATCGCTGTCCTCGTCGCCAGCCGAAAGCCCGTACGCGGTGCGAGTCTCGCGGTAGTCCGGCCATCCCAGCTCGCTAGCAAACTTCAAAAATGCTGTCTCTGTCTTGCTGCCGACGAATACCATTTCACCCGTGTTCGGATCAGTGTCCTGAAACGCCGTAGAGTTAACCGCAATAGCTTCGTTGAATAGTTCTTGCGTAGCGGGGGATAGAATAGTGTTGAGTTGAGACTGATCCAAAGAAAAATCGTGAATATGTTTCCTCGTAGCTGCTGCAACGGCAGCTTGACTAGGCTTCTCCTCGGCATTGGTTCTGCCCTCATTCTCCTTCAAGGTGCGAACAAACTTGGCATGGATACCAACAGAGCCAGCAACGACAGTCATGTCATTTTGGGTCAAAGTGCCGGTTTTGTCGGTGCAAACGACCGTAGCATTCGCCATAGTTTCACAGGATCCAAGAACACGGACGAGAAGTTTTTCCTTTGTCATTCGCTTCGTCGCAAACGCAAGCGCAATTGTGACAGCCAGGGGCAGTCCTACAAAAAAAGAATAAACGGGTGCCCGTTGCGGCAAAGAAAAATACGAAAGGCTTACCTTCAGGAACAGCAACCACAATCAAAGTAACGGAAATGATCAAGATATTGACAAAGGCGATACCTTTCTCGCTGGCAGTTCTGACCGGTTCACCGGTTCCCAATTGAACAAAAAATCTAATCATCAACGCTGTGAACAAGATTAAGCCAGCGGCCGAACCAAGTTTGGCGATGAGTTCCGCGAGATCGTTGAGTTTGAGCTGCAGCGGAGTATTTTCTGTGTCACCACGAAGAGCTGCCACCACCATTTCAGTTCGGGAAGAAGATTGTGAACTGGATGGGGAATTACGTACCCATCATAATACGACCATTGAAGCTTTTTTGACCGACCGCGACAACGACATACCTCCCGACACCCTCGAGCACTTTGCTACCAGACACCACGAAGCAGTCAACATGGGCCGGTTCAGACTCGTGTGCTAATAGTAAATCAGGAATTACTCTCACTGATGGCAAAGAAAGCCGGGACTAACCCTCGGCGTGCTTCTTTCTCAAGGCTGTCCAATCATCCCAAGAAACCTTTCGAATCGCGTCGCTTTCACCCGTAGCAGCACTTTCGTCACATCTGCAGTTGTGGCCACTGATAAATACACCATCGCAGGGAACGATTTCACCAGGTTCCAACAGCGCAATGTCACCCACGACAACTTCCTGTGAGTTATAAACGGTCGGTTGTCCTACCAAGAGGAACAATTTCACAAGAGCTTACCTTGATGTCGATAACTTTTTCAACCCCGCCGCGAATGACTTTTACTCCTCGCTCTTCTTTCTTGTCATTTAAAGACTTGAACTGTCGCTCTTTCTGCCAGTCATTTAGAGAACCGACAATGACCTGATGGCAATGATAAGTTGTGAAATGAATATTGGCAGAAATAATACGAACCACTATCAGGATGGCAACAACAATTGCAACACCCTCGACCCAATCCACTTTAGGTCCTGCGTCCGGAGCTCGTGGAGTACCTAATCACGAATTAGGGATTCACATGACAGAAATTTCAATGATTACTCACCGAAATCTTGGAAAAAACCCAGCGCCAAACTCACTACTGCGGCTATACTTAGCAAAATTAAAACCTTGTCCTTCATCGCAGCTGCCATCAACGCAAGTAATGACTTGCTTTTCCTGACTGGAAGTGTATTGTGACCATATATTTCTCTTCTCTTTTCTAAACTTGACTGGAAAGCACCAGAAGCATCGAACGTCTGTATGTCAAAGGCCGCACTAGGGATTGGATCCTTCTCCTTCAAAGGATAGGAGTTGATCGAAGGGGTTGATCCAGCTTTCACGATAGCACCCTCGCCATCCTCGGCATCTGGCTGAGTGAGCACAATAGCTGGCGTCAATGGCGGATGACGATGAGAAACACCTTCCCCTGCTCCAAGCTCATCTCCTCCAACACCCTGTTTAGTAACTTCGGTCTTCCCTACGTCTGATTCATGTATATTTTCGTGCGAATCGCGATTATTTCGTACAGCTCCAACGTGAAGTCCCCGCGTCGGATCTGCACCCAGGCCCTGCAGTAGTCCATCCTGACCCCCAAGACTCGCCAAAGAATCATAACTCTTGGGGTCAAGTAGACGCGCAAGGGTTAACGGGGAGAAAGCAAACGGAGCCGGAATTATATCTTCATCCTCGATCAACTCAACTTGAGCCTTTAATCCGTCCTCGTGGATTTGTGCTGCATCGTCGTCTGGAGATGCGCGGCCTTTCCCTTTACGGAGTGGTGATGTTGATTCTCGTGAACGACTCCGGCTGGGAATCCGTGTCACCTCAGTCGTATTTGTTTTGATCTGACTTAGCTCGTTGGTACCGCGAGGCGAATGGGAATCTGGGTCCGTGCCAGTTTCCGTGTTTGAGGACGCAAAACTGTTGTCAGTTGCCGTACTTCCCTTCCGCCTGTGTGAACTCCCAGTGTCCTGCCCCATGCTGCTTGGAGACAACAAAGCATACGAATCTCCGCCACTTCTCGCGTTCGGATGGTTGTCCCGGAGGGCGAGAGTCGATTTTGGCTCAAAGTGCACCGATGACCTGAAAGACAGAGTCGGAGATGGTGGTACAGAGATGGTGGAGCCATCGTGTATAGAGGCACTATCAGCTGCACTGCTGGCTGATGAATTGGGTGAAGGGACATCAAGACGACCTGCTGTTATTGGTGAGAGAAGACTGGTGTCCCAAATTGGCAAAGGCGAGCTGGCTGGAGAAGACAGTGAGAAAGAATGAGTAGGAGATGAGGAAGAGCCTGGGATGTTATGGTCGTCGTTGTCAGGAACGTTGATGTCAGGCACCTGTATGCGAATCTCTGGGGAATTGGGGGCAGACATGAAAGGTTTGATGGAGGAGAATAAAGTCTACTTTGGAGTACTGCGCGTAAAAACGACTTGAAGTACCACGGGAAGTCCTAAAAGAATATTCAACAATGCATGGCACTATATATGTAATTGCCTTTTTTGGAGAGCAAAGGTGTTAAGTAAACCAGTGCGAACCAGTTCGACTGCGTCATTTTTAACCGCCGGCAGAGTTTATGAGTTGCTCCAGCTCCGCAACACCATTTTGAATCATTATACATAACTCTGGTGCTTGCAGGTCTGTCTATGATCGACAGCTTCAACTTCCAACATATTCACCAAATACCCCATTTCACATAGAAGGTCCAGCTTTGCCCATATGACTGGCCATATGGTATCAGAAACAACATAAGAGCTGACAAGCCTGAGGCTCATATCTTAGCATGGTCTTGGCCTGAATATAGCAGTTATCATCCCGGGCTCCTGGTTGCGATTTGGTTGCCCTTGGCAATTTCTGAGTGCGCCCTCCTACTCCTACTACTCTCCGAACAAAACGCTCAACACCAATTCGTGATCGTGTGATGCGTAACAGCGTGAGTTTCACCTCGACTTCATTCAGAATTCCAGTGCGAACACCTTCACAGGGCATTGACTCTATGTATCAGCTCGAGGAACACCTTCAATGATTTTAACGGTTCTTCATGAAGGTGTTCCGCTAATCTCTGAGTTTGATCACAAATAGGTGATCAAGACGCCCTCTCAAATTTCGAACGTTTACGATGTTGTCAAAGCCTTCGAGATATATCATCGCCTATAGTCGCTAGGCTGTCTTTGCGTCTCAATAGCAAATATCACTCTCCGAAGTTTTTGCGTTATCAAGATGAACTTCTATGCAGCTTTTCGCCTCATTGACTAGTATTGAATGCAATAGTGCATGGTGCTGTTCCTCTCGATTTCAACTGCTAATCGGAACACTGAAGTGGAGGATTATAAAACTTCAGATACCCGTGTATGATAAATATCCTGTGCTGGGATGGAAGGTATGACAAAATGACGGCCCTGCCAGCTTACTACAGCCACTGCACTCTGGATGAAGAATAGCAATGTTTTTCCTCGGCGCGGTCGCAGCTAGGTGCCGTTAAAAACTAATCATGACCATGCACTATCCTTGACCCAGAGAAGGCTCCAATGCCATCTAGCCTGAGTCTACTCTCGCGACGCCACGTCAAACAGCCTCGAACGGGCCAGGTTAAGCGTAGTTCGTCGCATGTGTATCGGTACCGTCCCCGAGTACCTCTTCTGTGTCGCAAAAATCTATCCTCCTCATAAAATACACCGCCAATACTAGTTCTCTCTGCTCAATTGTAAACTATAGTGATAATACTGTTATGACAGTGGGCATCATAAGTGACGACTTTGTACATATATACCTATCTAGGTGCTAAGAATCTGGCTGGGGCATCCATATGTGGAAAATAATCAGCGATCACGATTGAAGGTGCAAATGTGGCAGAACATCGTATTGTACTTGCTATGCTAATGCACGATGGATATGAATCGTTTCTGTATTTGTATAATTGTCTTGACTCCGATACACACTTATATCTACATGGTAGGACAGTTGCACGTTGCGATTTCAAGCACACGACTTAAACATGCAGACCACTCACTTCCCGTAGTCGTATGTCGCATAAAGCAACTGAGAAGATTGTGACGTTGCGGTGATAGGTCTACGGGGCATGGTCACCTCAAATCAGAACAGATACTACATATCACAGCGCCGAAGTATACAGATATCAAGATGATGGCGATGTTTACCGTAGATCTGGGTCCGTGCCTTCCACGAACGACTCTCTTCATTTGTGAGAGGAGTCAGACTCCCGGTCAGATCAGGGTTTCCGTACTCTCCATAATCAGGTCGGACGGATGGCAGGAACGGTCCGGTAGTTGAACTTTCACAGCCATTCACTTTGCTACGCATCCTTCATTCTCCCTTCATACCCTAAGTGCCTTCTCCTGGTCCTTGACGCCAATTTGACGCTTGATATACTCGCTTTGACACCAACAACTCTTCGGATTTATTTACCAGACGCCGAAACCAGTTTGGCGCTTCTTTGGCGCTTTCACTGTCTCAACAGCAATTCGTCCGTATCGGGACATTGAGCGCCCTCGCGCGCCTGGGGCGACTGATTTCTTTTTTCTTGATCCATGATCCAAGTCACAAAAGTTCACCGGTTATGTTTCCAGATTGTACATGAATGACTACTCAATCTAATTTTTGAATTGGAGCTTTCATCGATGTGTCCACAGCCAGATAACTAGCATTACTTACCTCAACTCTGAACTATAAAAAATCCGACGTGCATACAAATGCCCTATTGACTCTTCGGATTTTAGGAAGTTCAATGTCCAACATGCTGCCATCTTTAAGTTGCAGCCAAACTTCTTAGAATTGTCTCGAAAATAGACAAGATCATTGTAGCCATACTAGTCACATTTACTGCGGCAAGAAAAAGGGTGCGAAGCAAAGATAAAGCCAAAAACATGGGACACGATAATCATTGAAACCCAAGAGCATTTGACAGTTATTTAACTTTCACTGACCAGGCTCTTGCTGGTGCCTGAACAAAGACTGTCTGCCAGTCTCTGTCACCTGGGGGAGGTCAAAGGGCTGGTAGGAAATTTGATTCTCTTTTCACCCCGGCGCTTTCAACAACGGCAGTCAGTACATTGATTTGAAGAGAACTACCATTACACCTTTCGATCTAAATGGAGTTGAGTTGAGAGGGATGCTTTATAGATAGTAGCAGATAGAAATCGGCTGCAATGAATGAGGTTTGTCATGGTCTTCATTTGAGTGCTGTACAGACCGTCGACCTCTCATAGTTATTAGTCTGGTTTGAGACTCCTTAGTTACTTCATTGTTATATGTAATAAAGCAGCCATCTAAGCTCACGGAAATTTATTTACTAATAGCACCTGTACTAGACGCCAATAGCTTCTTCGAGTTTGTTGATTGAGCGAGTAACGAACTTGACGGTTATAGAAGATACTGGACCTGTAACTTCAGGCCTCAGGCCTCAGGTTGAATTTAGAAAATGGTTGAAGCTGGTGAGTCTGGGAGAGTCTGAGCTCCTCAGCGTGCTGTTTACTCCCGGCCGCGGGCCGCGGGGCGCATTCCGGCATACAGCACGAACTTCAACTCGACCAACACTCTTGCCCAAAAGTTGCAAGTCAATGGCAGTCGATTCGTCAGTTTGGATATGGATTTGCCTACTAATCAAAGTTCAAACTGCAGAAACGAACTCTGCACCAGGTCGGGTCGTAAATCAAGCTAGCATACGAACATATCATTTGATGGTGTACTTATATCGTCAGTGACGGTCAGTCTGAATACTCGAGACTACATAACTGACACTGTAACCCATGGACAAAATTTGCTGTGGGATGTTAGTATGCACTAGCCTTCGCTCGGCTAACGTTCGCACCAGGAAAGGGCAAGTTAGACCTGCAGGTGAAGGTTTCCCTTTGAGTGGAAGCAGAACAAAGACGCTGTGGTCTAAGCTGTTTGTCATCTCAATTTCATTGAAACTCGAAGGGAATTAGCTAACCACAACTTCCCTTCAAGGTAGTAAAATTTGAACTGCCCCTCCAGTGTCAATGATATTCATCTGCAAAGCTCGAGTTTTCGGCTCTAGCGACTGTCAAGCCCGATTCTTGCGCTCTTGAAGTACAGGTTTTGCAGATACAGTTTTATTGTATCCCACGATCTTAAGTTTCCAACAGCAATAATTGATTAAATATTCATTTAGCCTCTACAGGTACGAAGATCCTTCCTCGCCCGTGCTACTGCCACGGGTGTTGAATTCAAATGACTTGAATTGGGTTAACGCTGGTCTTCTATTCCTTCAGTGTGAAGTTCGTTACGGATGAGTACAGTATGCTCGAGTCGTACTAATGCAAATCGAACCAGGACTATAATATAAACTTGTATGTCCGTTTTTTTATTTCCATGGCCCAATGCTATCTGGCGCCTTCCGGATGGCTTCCATTGACATCATTAACAGCGGCGAGTTCAAGTAAATAAAATCAAGTTCCCAACTGTATAATGACTAGTAGAGCTTTTAATATCAAGGCTCTCCTCATTCCCTTCAGGCTTGTGCCGGTAAAAGCTTGCAAGGAGCTGCAAATGTACCTTCCTCAGACTTTCTGAGGCGCAGAACAAAGCCCTCGAGTAAAATTCGAGGTACCCTTATAGTGAGAAGGTGTTACTACATATATATTCTTCTCCAGCAATCGTGAGGTAATCATCTTTGAAAAATAATATCTGAAATGCTTAAAGGTTTTGTCTAGACAAGTTTTACAGCTTTTCGTCTCCAAATATGTTGCTATAAATTAGATTTATCTCATATGCCAACGGATGATTGTACTATGCAGGAAACAAAGTAAGCATGCCCACGCCACTTCCCAAATTTGTTCAAGCTCACTCCAAGTCTGCTTATTGTATCCCATCCCAGCGTGTGTCTCGCGCTGTCAAAGCCCTGTAGATTTTATTTGGCATATTCGCAGTCGTGGGCGACGTACTTACTGACACTCAAAAATACAGTTTCAAGACAAACTGCCGGTTCAAGGATTACCATGTACATGAATTGGATCCAGCAGTGAAAACGCAATATGCAAAGTCCCAGTCTTCAAAATCCTCCCAAGAAGGATACCCACTGCGGTTTTATTTACCAGCATCTACGCGGCTTCTTATGATCCTTCGGACTGTTGTACAAAATTAGTTCGTGTTTTCTTGGTAATGTACACCTATAACATAACAAAAGGAAAAGTGTATTTATGAGGACGGTTGCACGGTGAACAAAAATCGCCTCAAGCACCCAAATTTAAACATCTAAGACAGTAAACGTCCTTGATCTGGTAGAATTCTATACTATGCCTTGATGGAGGGAGGCCCTGGAACGGAATGTCCGAACCCTCCTGCCTCACCTTTCGCTGTCAACACCGCCTGTCCTTCCTTTTCCTTACCCACATCCCCAGGTTTGATGCGAGTCATCTCTTTAATAAAGCTCGTTCCCCAGAACGCCGCACTGTATTTATTCACGTACTTGAACAGCTTTCTATGGTTTTCAGCGCGCGTAGGGGCATCGATAATCACAGCTTCGTGTATAGCGTCCGCAACTTGCTGAGAATCCCATGGATTGACAACAATCGACCCATTAAGGCTTTGTGCGGCGCCGGCGAACTCGGATAGGATCATGACACCTTGGCGGGCTTGCTGGCAAGCGATGTATTCGTAAGAAACCTGAAGTAGTTTCAGCGTAAGCACGTGGATAAAGCCAAACGGATAGCATAAACTCACTAGGTTCATACCGTCACGAGTACTGGTCACCAAACACACGTCAGAGACGGCATATAACGCACAAAGTTCGTCGAAGGGCAAGCTTTTGTGCATGAAGTGAATCGGCATGAAGTCAACGGTCCCAAAGCGTCCATTGATACGACCAACCAGTTCGTTCACAATAGATCGAAGGTTCTGATATTCTTCAACGTCCTGACGTGAGGGAACGGCGAGCTGAACTAGCACGACCTTTAAGGAAATCAGGATATTGCAAGAACGTTACAAGAAAATACAACGAACTTTGCCTATCCATTCCGGGTGTTGAGAAAGGAAAAGCTCCAATGCATGAAGCTTTTGAGGAACTCCCTTAATGTAGTCCAATCGGTCAACACCAACAATGACTTTCATGCCATGGAACCGCTGCTCGAGTGCGGCAATTCGCGCTTTCACCGACTCTTTTTTGAGGTTCTTGAGGAAGGCGTCAGAATGTCACACACATGACGCGTTTGAGAGGCACTGTACCTCAACAAAAGAGCCAGGTTCTATACCAATCGGGAAAGTGCCAACGTGAGCCATGCGGCCCTCAAACTCAACACCATTGGGCATAGTAGGGAGCCCGAGAATACGTGTACACGATGACAAGAAGTGACGAGCATAATCATAGGTATGGAAACCTATGAGATCACAATACAGTATACCGAGAAGGATTTCGCGTCGAACGGGAAGAATTCTAGAAATACGTATAAATTTCAACGTCATCCGAGCCAGTTCGTAACATACCTGTAGATCTCACTACTTGGAAATGGGGTATGGAGAAAGAATCCTATCTTGATTCCCGGCACCTTTTCCTTAGTTATTGTGGGATCTTCACCTTCAATTCCCTCTGTTATTTTGTGCAATTCATTTACCGTATATTCTCCGCCAGCTTTATTGCCATCTATAAGACCCCGGAGAAGCATCGGAAGGAGCATGAGATGATAATCCTGCACCCAGACCATCGCTCCTGGTGTAATTTGTTGCCGAACAGCCTCCGCAAACTGCATGTTCGCTTGACGATACGCCAGCCAGTTCTCTTCATCAAAGTTCATCTCTCCGGGATGATAGTGGAAAAGTGGCCAAAGGATAGAATTCGAAAAACCGTTATAATGACGATCAGCGAGGTCGTCCTCCAGATAAACGGCCTGACATGAATACTCCTCCATCAGTCGTTTGTCTACGAGCGGTCTGTCTTTAGGCGGAATGAAGAATCCAGGCCAGCCAATCCACGTGAAACTGAGCGACTTTTTGAATCCAGAGAGAGCAGATACGAGACCACCAGAGGACATCTTGAAGTGGTATTCACCATTGGCATCTTTGCTAATGGTGATAGGTAGTCGGTTCGACACGACGATGAGATGGCTATTATCTCCAAATTCCATGTCGAGAGGGGGATTATCGTTGGGTGAGAAGAAGGAGGACATGAGTTTATGTAGTAAAATTTGTCCACGAAGATCAGGTAGATTATCGGATATGGACGGAAATGTGCTTTTCCTGCGCTGAAATTCCCAAAGGAATCTCTAAATCACAGATTGACGAAGTTCGACGAACGTGCTGCGATGTTGACGAATTCGGATCCAGGCAGTTCTTTGATACTCGTGTTTAGCCGATGAAAACTATATTACGATCTGTGTAGCTGAATGAGCTTCCTGAACTCGAGCTCGGGAGTCCAGTAGAAAAATGACAGGAAAAGTGGTAGCAAGCAGCGATTGTACAATGAGACATAATTGCGGTCATCGAAGGAGGCGGTTAATGCCGAAGATCCGCCGCTTAAGCCGATTTCTTACGAGGAGTTGCCTTAACAATCCAAGAGCTTTATCGATATGACAATATCAGAAAAAATTCATCATTGTGCGATGGGTATGGTACGAATACTACTGACGCTACATACACAAAATGCGACTTCCCTAGCTCAATCAAACAGACCAAAGCCCTACGGATTGAAATAAGCAAAATTTTCAGTGCGAGTTAGACGAAGTGGCTCACCATATCGTCATCAGATTCTTCAGCTTCTTCAGCTTTGGTTTCCTCAACAGCAGCTTCAGCAGCAGGGGCGGAAGAAGCATCAGCTACAGGAGCGGCAACTGCGAAGGCATCCGGGTTCTCGAGGTATTCCTTAACCTGAGAAAATGTCATCAAATTGGTGGCGAAAAGGGAAAATACATTCACTTGCCTTGGCTGAGCCCTCAAAGGTGTAGTCGGTGGCAAGTGATACAGCGATGAGGTTCTTATATGAGTTGACAAGGGTATGCATAACCGAAACGATGGTTGGGTAATTAATAGCCAAGGAAATCGCAGCAATGGTCTTGATGCCCGTTAGGAAACGGTCAATGAGCTCGGATTCGTCAACGTCGAGAACGTCCGGAGAGAAACTGTTACCAGAGTCAAAGATCTGGACAACGGTCATTCCATAGGTAAAGGGAGAAATATTGAGCATGTTCAAAAGAGTAGCTTCGGATGATCCGACACGGGTACCAGCAGTGACGACCTTGACATCCGAAACGATTTCAATGGTACCTCGAGCAATTTTGGTAGGAATACCCAAAGCCTGGAAGAAGGAGGTCTTGCCGGGTTCCATACCGGTGTTGCCAGCAGGGACAGTCACATCTTTGGGAGCAAAGGCACCAGCACGAGCAGGAGCGGCGACTTTGTTGGAGAGTATGACCTCGCGAATCTCCTTGAGATCTCCGCTGGTGAAGACAAAACCAATGTTGCCCTTCACGTGGGGAAGCAACCTCTCATACTGAGGGTATTCGGAAAGGATAGAGCGCAGTGCACGGCGAACCATGGTGTTCTTTCCCATGAGAACAACACCTTTACCACGGAGAGCGACACGAATTTGGTGCATCTGGTTAGATCCGACATTGTCCACGTTCACGATGAAGAGGGAAGCTGAAAAAAATCTCGATTGAGATCAAGGACTGTAAAAAATAGACAGGTATACGTACGATATTTTTGCAAGAGATCCTTGAGTTTTTGAAAGTAGAGCTCCTTATCGGCTTTGGAAGCACCCATCGTATGATATTTTTAATGCTGATTGTTGGTAAACGAATGTAACGACGAACGTCCACAGAAAAATCGGACTGACCGATGAAAAGTTTTGAAATGATTGCCTCCCGAGTGACCTCTTAGCGTGCCACTGGATATTTCAAGGACTTGAAGACTAAATCATCGTGTCAAAATGGAGTAGAAACGCTGGGGTCGTCGACGTACCCAGTTGCAATAAAGTTGAAAAAGTTGAAGCCGAATAGGTAAGGAATAAAATAATGTCAATATTGTGGGAAGCTATTTCCAAATATAGACGCCTGTACAGCTGCTGACTAAATGTTTGCCGCGCCTGCCGAGCCGCCATCTGCCGCCGTCTTTCCCAGGGGCAATCCCGCGTGGTTCTGCTAGGTTACTATACTCGCGCAAGAGGCTCGAGAATCCAGCCTAGCTTGAGCTTAACTGCAATGGAATGTTGCGATGGCTTCAGTCGACCGTCCAAATTTCGGGCGGCTACGGCGGTTCTGCTGTGCGGTACGTTTCCAACTAGCGTATTCTAGTCTGAACAGTTATAGTTTCTACAATACTAACGGTGTTCGCAGAATGCATGTAGCGCAGAAGCTATATCCCAAATGTATATCTCACCTTGGTCTCCTTAAACACCAGTCCTCCATCTTGTCAGGTCATTCCGCTCGCTTTCGTGTTCTCAGTGCAGTGTCAGGCTTTCCCCAGAATGGAGAAGCAGATGTACCTCAATCGTCTGTACTTCGTGATGGCGCCGAATACGTGTCAAATGAACGTATCAGAGACTTCGAAAGACTGCGCCTTTATCTCACTTCTGCACCCACGAAGAAACTTGCACCGGAACTTCTTGTTTCCTTGTACGACTCTGTGCGGGTCAGTTCACAGTTCAAGTCGTTTAGTGCTACCCAACTTAGCACTCTCATAAGTATACTTGGCTCCTCTTCTCTTCCACCGGATGCTCCTCGCATTAGGAACAATTATGTGGACGGCACGTCAAATACTTCTGCCTACTGGTCCCATGTTCTATGCATAGCAGATGATAAGAAGGCGTTGGGCTTCCTCCTCAATGATGGAGATCATTATTGGGCTATGTGGGCTTGGCTTGCACTGTCCCGTTCTGGTGAACACGGTGCGTTCATTTCCCAATCATAGGCTCAAAATCTAATCGCGCATTATATATAGTGAAAGCCTTATCCAATGCCTCAAAACATTACAATCAGATATGGCAGAAGACCAAATTTCCCGATATTTTGGTCCCTTATCTTGAGACTTTGATATCGACTGGCAGCTCGGAACATCTTCAAACTGCCGTTGTCGACCTTTGTAACATACTAGGAGTACACACAAACCTTCACGGACGCTCTCTCAAACTCATATGGGATATCTTCCTCTCTTCTTCGACGGCTTTGACACCATCTATGAAAACTTCTATCCTTCATGCTTTGTGGAGTCGGTCTACTATGTCTCACACCACAGTTCAACGCAGTAATTATATGGCTACTCACATGTTCAATCCTCTTACCAAACGACACGAACGTCTTCCTTTGGACATCGCTCACCTTATCGCAAGCCTTGGGGCACCTCTCTTCCCGTTCTTTCTGGTGTCTGTTCCTTTATCCGTTCAACGCTGGGCTCGTCGTCAGACTGCAGCAGCTTTATCTCCATCCTGTTCTGACGAAGTCCGCTGGACGAATTTCTCCCTTTTCGCTTTGAATCAGGCTGCTCGTAAAGGTCTAGGTAATCGCATACCTACTTTGGACCCCAATTTCGCAGGCTCTGATTTAAACGATTGGCATATCGTTCTCACTCTGTCAATACTTGAAAATGTGGTCAACAGCTACATGGTATCTGCTCAAGGATCTGAATTATGTTCTCTATCAGGGGCTTTATGGGAAAGATGGATGAGTTTCAAAGCTGATAGGCCAATTTTTGTCTCTCGAGCTGTTGTGAGCTCCTTTTTACGGCTCGCCGCACGAACGCAGGACACCTATATCTTGGATCAATGTTACCGCTACTCCATAGATCATGCTCTTTGGCAGACGAATCCAGATCATACTGCCGCCGATCGAGCTCAAATTGAAGCTCTTATTGGTTTTCACTTCGCGGCTTTCATTCGTTGTCATGGGAGACGTTGGGCCGATATTCTTCACTTCTTGGATGTACAGAAGGATCTATCCGTTTCCGGATCTCATGCAGATTTTGTCATTCAGAGATTATCTTCCTTGGACATTGAGATCGCTTTTGAATTCTATGAATTCTGCATCTCTCATAGTGTTCCAGTCGGTGTCGACATCACTACTATGTTGGCGACTGCAATGGCTCCAGTTCGCGTACATGTGGTTTTTCCTATGCTCGAGCGTGGACTCAATCACGCTCAAATGGAGAAGGTTCTCTTAGCATTGCTAGATACGCTGCGAACACAACGCCACCAATATTTGAATCCGGCCTCGGGGCGTATCCTTGGACGCGCTTTATGCAAACTTTTACAGTCAAAAGCTCCTGTAGTACGAATTAAGTATCCGCTGCGGTACTCTCTTTTACGGCTGGTCGCGTCAAATTGTGCTACAGATGCTATCCGGATAGTCGAGCTGGTTGACGAGGGTGCCCCCTCTTTTCTCAGTGCTCGATTTCTGCATCGGCTACTCGGTATTTTCCTTCGCCATCGACAGTATACCTTAGCTGGGCGCCTCTACTATATCATGAAGAGCAGGTCTATACCTTCGCAAGATAGATTCCGCAGGAAGTTAATTCTTGGGCTGATGAGAGGTGGGGCAAACACGTTTGCGAAACGCTTTCGAAGTTCAAGGTCGACTAGGTCTACAGTTGAGAGAATGGTTACCCGACTGGAATTTAGAGGTGCTATCCCGTGTCGTACATCCTCTGACCGCGTCCTGTCGATCGTTCGGAAATATCCCAATGATATACCCAGCATCAAATCGGCGTTCTCCGCCCTCGTTCTATCTAAACGCCCTGTAGCTGCAAAACGTCTGTTCCAGGACTCTTTGCCGTATCTGGATTCACCAACCAAAGTCTGGCTCGGTAACATGTTCCTCCATCGTATCCTCCGCCGTTTTGATAAACGGAACATGCAGGTTGTGAAGAAACTTCTACGGGCGAAGAACTATCTGATGATGAATTTCGGGTTCACTGGAGACCGTATCACATTCAATATTCTTCTGAAAGGCATGCTTCGCTGGAAGAACGTCTCGTCCTCCAAAACTCGGATGCTCTTTGACGATTGCATCCGGATGGGGTACCCCGTCGGTTCTCGCTGGCGGAGGATCAACAATGTTCCTTTCGGCACTCAGTCCCTTTCTCCGCCTATCAATTTTGGGATGCCGATGCTAGACCCTCATATATCCTTTCAGCGCCATGTACGACCATTGTACAAAATGTTCATCAAAGCATTCTATTTACGCAAGGATGTCGAGGCTGCGAAGACCGTTGTTGGAATTCTGAAGAACGAGGAAGCAGAGAATTTATCGAGGCAACAGTATCGAGATCGCAGCCGTCTCGAGGGATTGCGAAGGCGCAGACTGACCAAAGGAACAACAATGTCAGATGATAATTTGTGATAATTACCTTGCTTGCGCAGATACTTTGATGAGTGCGGCCCATATTTGGGCCGTCACCTTATGTGACCTTGATCACGCCTGCGGTTTTACGTGCCGTCATCACTATTCATCTCCTGGGACCTACTAGGAGTCACTAGGGAGTGTTAGGAGCGCTATTTGTGAGAGTACTTGGTACCCAAAGGGAGCCCTTTGCATGACAGTACATTAATAGGTCTACGCTCTTGTTCCTAGAGGAGCACAGCTGCGATGGCCCACTTTCGAAATTCGCACGTCGGTAGTTAGGCGGTCACACAATGGCGAACACAACGTTTAGCCTATTATACTACGAATAGGTTTCGAATCCAATACAAGATGTGTACATACAGTACATGATAAGATAGGATTAGGTATCATAAGCAGAACAAGGTGGAGCAACAGGAGGCAACAGACTGCAACAGAGGAAATAAAACAAGTTGAAGTAGATCATAGATACACTGCATAGGATCCTATCACGGGTCTATGGTCACTCCGTCCTTCCAAACGTCTCATACTTTTATCGTTGAGGGTATCATAACTAAGACAAACTAAGTCGCCTCGCCTAGGAACATTGATGCTGATGTCAGTTGGAGGCGTGGAGATTATATCTGTAGAGCTGCTCGATGTCGAATTATGGTATAAGAAGGGGAAAAACCTCCATTTTGACGGAGTAGATACGTGCTCTCTAGGGGCGTTGTAAGGTGACGAATCGGGGGGAACGGGAGGGGCAGATGTCGATGCTCTTCTGGGATTTCTTTCAAGTATATTAGTTTTAGATTGTTTTCGAGAAGAGGATGAAAATGATCTCTTGACTTGAGAGGAGCCATGTTCGTTATGAGAGGGAAGCTGGTTAGCAGCTGGGGTTATGACTTCGCTAGGGGAAGTGTCGAACGGAAGGGGGCTTGAATTTCCATAGACAAACCTTGAAAACGGGGCTACTTGCTCCAGAAGGTCGGCAGAGTGTATCACTGACGAAGGTGTAGAGTCGCCTCTCGGAGTAGGTGTGGCACTGTTGTGATTCGATACAGATGAGGCAACGGAATGAACTAGCGATGATAAAGAGCTGTATGATTCCCTCCGTGATCGAGCTGATAGTGGACGGAAGGCATTTGCAAAAAATTGCCCCATCTTAGTTCGTGTGCGAACAGAATTGTCAGCCACATCTGCTTCAACCTCTGGATTGGGTTGTACAGTACTTTTGAAAAGGATTCGATCACACCTAATACAATCAGTCGTCAGCTTGGGGTCACATATTGACAGAAGACAACCTACCAGCCGGGAACACGTCTTTTATGAGACGAATCATACACCCCTTTATCCTCCTGAGAAACATCGTCATCATCACTCGGTACTTGCGACTTGGAAGAGTTGACCCTGCTACGCTGAGCGGTATGCGACGAAGCAGCATCGGGGCTTATCTCGGGTTCAGAGCCTCCTAATTTCAAGTCTTCAACAGATTGCTGAGTTTTGCGCTTCTGGAGCCTTGTAAGAAGATTCTGCTGTTGCTCTAAGAAAGGAGGTTTTTTGAGCCACTTTGTCGGGCTCGAAGGGGCTGTGGGTGATAACAAAGAACGCCACTTGGTCTTCGCTTTGTGAGCAGCGAGAGATAAAGAGGCTCGACTTCCGGGGGCACTGGCACTGCGCATCATGTTAGGTGTGGAGCTAAAGTAACTTTCGTCGGGTTGTTGTTCGGTAATTGCCTTGGAATGCATAGATGTCCAGATAGACGAGGCTAGTGATGTGGATTCCTCTTCCCCTTCCCCTTCTGCATCTGGGTCCTCTTCCCTGTCCTCGTCTTCGCCGTCACTCTCCTGGTCTCCATCCTCGTCGTCAATTCTCAGCTCGTGCTCCACTGTGTCCAATTCTTTCTCATCGACTTCAGTCAAGCGGCGTGCTTTTTCATGAGGGTACCGGAGCTGACCCGGTCTGTGGCCAGATCGATGCTTGTTGCGTTTCAAGGTGCGCATTACATCGTATTTGAATGTTGGAGGAAACATAATAACACCCTCACTGAAACCGACAAAAGCTCGACCGTGCTCCATCAAATTTTTAAGCTGGTCAAAGGCAAGCGCTTGAGCATAATCTGAAGTTGGGTAAATGCCTGATTGGATGAATACAACTTTAGATGAATTACCTTGTCTGGAGATAAGCCAGTCCGCATGAAGCCTGGAGATATCAAGGCGAAAATTCAGATCGCCAAAAACGAAGGTATAGTCAAACTTGTCGGTTAGATCTGTAGACGTCTTAGTTAGTGTTAGTGATGTGAACAAAGAAGAACAATCAACCTTCCGCCATGACACGCGGATCGTCGCTTGAGAGAAAATCATCTACGGAAAGTTCAGTCTGTACGGCGAACGAATAAACCAAGTATCATTGAACATCGATGGTAATACGCACTTTGATCTTATTGAAATTGTTGAGACGATCATGTAGATTGGCTTTGTCAACTTGAGCTGAGGTCGGAGTAAGGATTGTGTTATACGATGTTCAAAACAGCATACGCACCTGCGAGGTGGCAGTTCAGGAAAAGGAAAGATCTTCCATAAATTTTAGCACTGATGCCTACTCCGCCCTTGTTACCCCATCGACCACCCAATAATCCAGCCGGCACGAAAGCTTTAGAAGTGCCTAGTACATTGTTTAGCGAAAGCGAGGCAATCCCACTGGAATCAATACGAACTTTCGACCAAAGGTTTGAGATCTCGATGAACGTACATTGCCAGATAGATTCCCAGTAGCCGCTCTTTGCAGAGCAGTTGGTAGGGACCCTGTTTCGCTGTTGATTCTTTCACTGTCAATACGGTTCGAGGAGACAACGGTTTATGTACGCCGATGTCTGATGTTGTAGGTGAAGCAGCGCGAGCCATGGAACCGCCATGACACAGCCAATCTTCTACAATAGATGTCCATCCACTATTATGAGTTGCGGTTTCTTGGGTATACTCGTCGGTACCACTACTCTTCTTGTACTTAAGAGATTCTTGTCCGTGAATTGGTTTGGATGAGCGGGGTTTTTCTTCTTTGTCCTTATCTTCCTTGAGTTTGAATCCAGCTCCGAGACCCATGGGAATTCCTTCTGAAAAGTTAAAACGGTATTTTGCATCGAATTATGACCACATACCAGATGTGGATGGACATTCTTGTCCAGCTCTAAATTGGATTCAGTACATACGTGATTGTGAAAAAGACGCCTGAGACGCACACAAGGATAAGATGATAAGGGTGTTCTGCATCCGCATCTAATTGAGGAAATTCTGGAGACGACGAAGAGGAAGTGGGTGAGAAGGAAGAGGTATATGGAGGAACCTTGCCAAGAAGTTCTTCCAAATCGCCCTGCAATCATAAGCATCCTGCTTTCAAGACGTTGTAAGAGGTCTTACCTTTGGGACTGAATCATGCATGTTCCAAGTCAATATGCGAATCTTGAGAAATTTGGGAGCAGTAGTCGAAGATTGAGGCGGCCGTAGAGTGGCGTCATCATTAGCTGAAGGTGATATACCGGAAAGAGCGTTGGGGGATGTTGGAAAGAGGCCTTGAAGACGAGAAATAACTGACTGTTGAGCTATATAGAAGGTTGAGCATTGAGAATTAAGCATTTCCGTTTTCTTACGTTCTCTCGTCCGCACTGTCAGTTGTGGTCTCCGCGACATCTCGATGTTGTAAGTTATATCAAGAAGCCAAAACGTCAATGGAGGAGCGCAGTCAAGAGCCACAGATGAAAGGAACAACAGAATCAAGGGGACTGAGGAAAAGTGCAGGCCATCTCATGGAAGACAATTACAAAAGCTATAGTATTTGTTTTAAGCGCCGAAGAAACAGCCGCTGTCAGTGTTACTTCACGAAGATAATTTCGTCCGTGAATAAAACTGGGAGCATTTAAACAATGCACGCTGACTCTAAGCAGCTCAGTTCCACTCGGGGCGTCGCATTACTCCTTCGCCTGCATACTGAGCATCATTAACCATCTAGATTCTAGTAAGCAAGGGGCGCTTAATCATATGTTTAGCCAATCTAGAGCCAATCAGCTTTATCGAACCAAGCCTTTGTATTGTTGATATGTTCTTTCTTCATCACTATGAAGCTTGTTGTCACAGGTTGCAACGGCGGGGTTGGCAAGCGAGTCGTCAAGCTTGCTCTTCAACGCGACCATAGTGTTGTCGGCCTCGATCTTGCAGACGGTCCTTTCACAGACAACTTGCTTACAACCCAAGAAGCGTCCAATTTTACTTATCTCCAGGTCGATCTGACAAATTATGAGGCATCATTGGCCGCCATTCGTGGATGTGAAGGGATTATACACCTCGCAGGTCCATAGTCGGAGTCTGTTATTGCTCAAGAATGCTCAGAAACTGAGTATCTGCGTGTAGCACATCCAAATCCGGGTGACTTTGTTGTTGCGACGCACAATACGTGAGCTGTCATGGATAATTCTGGATCTCAAATGATTTTGACTGAATCTTCAGAAATGTTGTCGCGTCCTGGAATGTTCTTCGCGGAGCTGCAGAGGTTTGTGTTCCATTGTGTGCGGTACACCTATTTGCGGTCTCCTGATGTCTACAATGGAGCAGCTGGGAATCAAACGAATCGCTCAAGCATCCTCAGTCAATGTTATAACCATGGTCTACAGCAAGAAGTGTGATTTCAGATACTTTCCGCTTGACGAAATGCATCCATGTCTCCCTGACGAGCCTTACGGTCTTTCCAAATTGTCTGTACCATACTTTCATCCCCTGATATATCTTCTTCATGGCATGCATTAGGATATGCGAGATACAAGCTGATAGCATAATTCGACGTTACCCTGCGATGAGGATTGCCAGTCTTCGTTTGCATTGGTCGATACCAGACCCTACTCTAGCCAGTTGCAAGGACCCAAGTGGCCGTATCAAACAGGATCTGTGGGGATATGTGCAGGAAGATTCAGCAGCAGATGCATTTCTGCGTGCTGTAGTGGAAGAGAATGGAAAATGGTCAGGACACGAAGCGTTCTTTATCGCGTCTCCGAAGCATGCTTATTGGGATGGTACGAGCCAGTATTGCCCAATCGATTCCAGAGAGCTACGGGTGAAATACTGGCCGGATGTTCCAATCAAAGATGGTTTCGATGTGAGTGGAATGGAGGGTTTCTTTGATTGCGCAAAAGCAAAAAGACTTCTGGATTGGGTACATATTGATAAATGATGTATATGCGGGATGAACAGAAATGCGGAGGCAGAGTCAGTCCCCTCGTGGCGGCAGGATTCATAGGAACAACTGTATAATTTCTTGATCGAATAAATGTCCACCAGTCTCTAGTTGCCTTGTAGTTTCAACTTCAGAAGGGAGAAAGATAATTTCATTCCCCGATGTTCACGTGGACTAACACGTGCGCGTGAAGGCCGATTCCAGGAATCAACACTGTTCAGTGTTTTATCAAACACGCCCCGCGGCGCTCTTATTTACAGTACACTTGATCTTGACTACACCAGAACGCTGTTAGAACATTTTCTTCTTATGCCCGATCCAAGAAATATCTTCAAGAACCGATACAAGAAGCAAACGAAAACGTGATGACCATCCATGTTCAGTATCTACTACTAGTGTCTTATAAACAGAAATTCATGCAGTTACGGTTATGGGAAAGTAGCTGGGATTGAAGTAGGCACAATATTGAGCAGCAGGCAGGAGTGTAGTGACAGAGGGTTAGTCTCATTCACAATATACGAGATGGGCTTACAACTTACTTTGTCCTTAGGCTTCACGGACCCACACAAGTGCGTTCATGGTCAGTGGCACAAGAATTCGACTTATCTCTTCACAGGCCGGTATCCACGGAAATGCTACGTACGGCGCATACTCTGTTGTATTGTGAGCCTCGAAGATTATGATCTCCGCATGAAATCAATTTTTGTCAGATCCGGCGGATATGAAGACGATGAAGACAATGGAGAACGAGTGTTAGTGTGGTTATATCTTCTCCTATCTTGCATCTATTAACTGATCTACTCTCTACAGTTGGTATACTGGTGAAGGCATGATGTCCCCTTCTCATTCTGATTCGCAAATTGTAATGGCTCTGTAGGTGGTCGGAAGAACGGCGGTGGGCCTCAAATAGCAGACCAGGATTGGAAAAACAAAAATAACCGAAGTTTGAAGGTGCAGGAAATGAACCATTATAACTAAATGCTTCATAGATGCTGACACTTCTTCAGATCAGCTGTGCACCAGATAGATATCCCATTCGTGTTATTCGTGGTCATACCTTGCATTCCCGTTATGCACCTAGTTGGGGTTACCGTTATGATGGCCTATATCGAGTGGCAAAAGTGCGTGAATATCATCCTAGAGCCTCTGTATTGACAACTTTCTCATCCATTTTTTTTCACCAGGCGATTCAAGTAAGAGGAAAAGCTGGAAAACTTTTATGCAAGTTTCTCTTTGTGGTAAGAATTATGCGATTCCATTTGGTATACACTCATGGCATTATTAGCGACAGAAAGGGCAACCTCCACTACCACAACCGACCGCAGGATCGCCCACCACACTACACTCACAGAGGCCCAAGCAGTACTCCCACTCTCATTCTAGCTCCGATAATGAGAGCGAGACCGCGGAAGTCAAATCCTTTACTTCGAGGCGAACAAATTCTCCTTCCTCTGATGGCACCCATATTCAGAACTACAGAAGACAGGACCACGAACCGGAGGTGATCGAAATTGACGACAGCGAGAAAGCAGATTCTGTCAAAGGTTCTCCATCAAACAGTACATTTTCTGGAGTCGACTCGAACGAGAATGAGCAAGAAGCTTTCGAAAATGATAGCGAGTATGTGTCAGAAGTAGATCAGAAACAGGAAGAAGAATCCGATGTGCTGGGTGAGGAACCCGCAGCAATTCCAAACAACGAGCCTTTATCGTCTGCTGCTACCTCTAGAAAACGGAAACGAATTTCTGTCTTGCGATGTTCTAGTGATGAGGACCTACCTCTCGAACGAAAACGTCGGCAACGACGACTGGTTCCGTCTTCGAGCCCCGTTCTTGGTACAGACGAGGATGCCATTTCTTTGTTTAGTGATGACGAGAACAGGAGAATTGGGGCAACAATTGGCATATCTATTCCCCGTACCAAGAAGCTTCCTCATCCCGCTCCCCAGAAAATTAATTCTAGAAGGTCACTTCCCTTAAACCCAATTTCTCTTTTATCGACGCGTGGAGGAAAATTGGATACACCAGATAGACAGGAAGGGATCCTCGGTGAAAGCCATGTTTTACATGCATTGCACTCTTCCTCAAAAATTGGTGTCGCTCCCTCGCTGTCTTCCCCCTCCGATGCCGCTTCGTCAGTGGCGAGGAATGACAATCCACTTCCAACTGTCAATCCGCCTCCGATGTCCGTGTCATTATCCGCCTCAGCTACGGTCCCTGAAGCGACATTAGTTTCAGACAATTCCGCTTACCAAACTTCAGTTTCTGGTATCATTACCTCATCTATGGCACAGTCTCCTTTACAGCTTGTCTCCAGTCGTACGGAGACAGCCCGGTCCATATCACCACCCGCCTCTTTGCCTGATGTTCCAATAGCTTCCTATGACCCATCTGCTCCTCAGTCCTCTACTGTTTCTTCTCGAGCTCCCTTGGCTTCCCATAATCTCGCATCTTCATCGCGTCTTCGAAGCTACGAGAACCCAGACATGCTTTCGTTGTCAGTCCCTACCACCTCTTCCAATAAAGCTGTGGTTTCCGTTAATTCCGCATCCCCGAACCTTGACCCAATCACATCTCTGCCTTCAGAATTAAGGCCTGTTCCTATGGGACCTCCACTATCATCCGTTTCTTCCATCCCCTATCCAGGGCTGCAGCTGTTAGAGCACCAGCCTCAGACGAATTTGTCCAAATTCGATTGGAGTGGGCTGTTGCATGATTTATATATGATACAGGTGGAGGAAACGCGAATGCGACCGAGTGGAGTTACAGAATGACCTTCTTCATCGCTGTAATTAAGCACACTAGTCGAGTTTGCGGTGAGCTTACCTATTGCTGCTAATCCACGTTCTGGAGTATATAGATATATGTTGCTTCAATTGTTTATAGCATTGATGTCCGAGTCATCTTTGGTACTAAGCCCTCCTCAGGCCCTCCTGATCAAAGGCAGTACAATATACGTATGTATATCATTGTCTAATGAAAGATCCAGTCATATTATGAAATCAAAAAAAGAGAGTGAGCATTGATCATTGGAAGCAGAACGAAAGCGCGAAGAATGTGAAGAGCCGAATACGAGGAGAACGAAAGTTAAGTTGAGTCAAACCCAGAAAGTACTTGAATAAAGTAAAAGAAAAGCAATAACAAAAGTGCAGTAGTGAAGAAAAAAAATGTATGGAAATGAGAAGGGATGACCTACCCATGCATAATGTCGGAAAGTATACCATACAGTGTTGCGACAGAAAGACCACTTAAGTGAGATAGGTATATGATTGAGTAAGATACAGTGAAGAGGGTAAATTGTATGCACGACGATTCCGGGAAAGCGATGGTTTTCTGAGTTTGTAATTCGATGTATACTTGTGATTGCTTTTCTTTTCTTTTCCTTTTGTCTTTCATTCGTCATCGCAGCCTCGCGACACGATGGAGTATTAAGACGAATGGATATATTGTCCTACTCCTCATCAGGTATCTCGTGAACATCCAACTCATCAGGAATGTTGGCCATACTTATCGGACGAGGCTTGACAAATTCGAGAAGATTGACCATGTCCTCGATATCGTTCCCTTCCTCTTGGGAAGGAGGAGGAATGTCGGATGCATTCCCAACTGACAAAGTTTCTGCTTCACCCCCAGCGCTACTAGTATCGTAATCCGGCGACGATTCGTCTAGATGATGAGTAGAAGGGGCAGGTGAGGGTCCCGACTGTGAAGCAGACCCGTGCTCAGACGGCGACGACTCCTCAAGAGGTTTTGCTTCAGACTGAGCTTCAGATTCTACGATGGGATCTCCCTCCTCGCGGAGCTCTTCCACGTGAATTTCAACATCATCTTCATGCATCTTTTCCTCATGTGCTTCTGCTCCATCGTGAGGATCGTCCTGATTTGTTTCTGCAGGTTCCTCTGTATGTTGAATCTCTTCTGCAGATGCATCCCTAACTTCTTTTTCCTCGTGAGACACTTCGCCATTTCCGTGGTGAGGTGATTTTCGCGCAGAAAATTGGTCTGTCGTTGAAGCAGGTGCGGCTTTCTTGGCAAAGGTTGTCGTAGCAGCAGTCTTTGACTTGACACCTCCTTTTGCCGCATTTGTGCCACCTCTTGTGGAGGGTGTACCCCTTACCTGTGTCACAGGCGGGGCGGATCGCGCTTTGGACAGAGAAGCAGCGGTAGGCTTGCTGAGTCTTTCGGCCGCTGCACTGCTGAGCGTAACCTTTCGTGTCGGGGCAGGAGGCTGCGGCGGACCAGTACGCGCTCTGGCCAGAGATGCAGCAGTAGGCGCAAATAAACCAGAAGATGGAGTTTTAGGTCTACTTGCGGGTGTGGTGGAGCTGGGAGTCTTGGGTCTATTTGCATGTATGGCAGGAGTCTTGGGCCTACCTGCAGCAACAGATCCGGGGGTCTTTGGGCGTATAGAAGAGGGTGTTGTGGGAACGCCACTAGAGCGAGAGCTTTTCGGGGTAGATGGTACCACTTTTGGCTTCGGCGAAGAAGTGGATGTCATGGACTGGCCAGTATGCTGAAGGTTGATGGGTGTCATACTGGATCGCGGCGTCGCTGCGTGCTTGACCGTTGTACGAGCGGCTGTTTTGGTCGCGCGTGGACTCTGCACTGCAGGTGCTACTGCCTGAGGCTGGGGCGTTGGGGAAGATGGTGGCTCAGCAGGTACGTTAGGTTCAGGTCTATCTGTAGGTGAAGACGACACGTTGGTGGATGTTTTACCAATCTCTGAAGTGATATTGGAAGGGGAATCTGCTGCTGCTGCGGTTTTTGGTCTGGACCAAAACGCGGAACCATAGATAGGAGCTGGCGGGGCAAGAGGAGAACTACTATCTGGTATCGCAGCGGACTTTGGAGGCCATTCCCGTTTCTCCTTCACTTCCTCCTTAGCAGAATCACCTGTGATATTGGACACTACGCTTGAACTTCTTGAAGGTGAAGCATTCGAGGCAGCTGAGAGGGAGTGCCGTTTATTCTGTTGCTCGAAACGACCTATGAGATTGGCTACTGTGGCTCGAGGTCGCTCATCTGGCAATGGCCTGATTAGAAACAGATATGATGATATTAGCTATTATTTATATCGAAGGGGAGTGTGACTGACATTTTCGCCTTGAGATCCACGAGCTACAGAAAGTTGATTTAATACTGAAAGTCAAACTTGAGTTGGTAAGTTAATGGTGAAAGAGAATGGGAAGAACTCCGTTGTATTTGAAATTTACCTCCGAACAATGAACACCTAGATTGAGGTTACGGTCGTAGTAACCATTGCGGCAGCGCCGAACGACGTGGAAGGAAGGATTGAATAAATAGCTTGCAATTACATACATGGGAGAGGAAAATTGTGACAACATGCAATCCAGAAACCATTTCATGTAACAGTAGAAATAAGGAGAGAGGAAGCAGTGATTATGGTATGTACAATTATACGAATGAAAGAATGAAAGGTAGTAGTCGCTGCACAGACCCACTGTAGTATAAAGTATGTATACGGTCCGTGAATAGCATGTGGTGAAATGTGTCTTGCAGTGAGCATGGTCGAAGTGATTAGTACAATCGGGAAGAACAGAAAGCGACTCTAACTTCTACTAGTGGTCGACTAGGGATCCACAAGTTTGGGTAACTTTGACTCTGAGTCGTTCAGAGAGGGCCCAGCTTCCAAAATGATATCGCCGTCGTCGTCTTCAGATGTGTAATCGTCTTCGTCAATGTCGTCTTCGGAAGCCAAAAGTTGGGTGCGGGAATCAGCGTCCTTCGACTTGTTGGCCAGACGGGTGGCTCCCGCAGCAAGAATCTGGTCTTCTTCTTCCTCTTCTTCCTCATCATAGAGGAATACTGCTCCATTAGCAGCGCTTCGCGGCGTAGGCGTCATGGCTGAACTTGGAGTATCCTCGTCCTGTTCCTCTATATCTGCAGTAACTCCTCCACGTTTGAACCAATATCTCAGTCCAACTGGAATCATCACCCCTAATACGATGGCAGAAAGACCAAGGAAATTCTTCCAACTAATTAGATGAAAATCATCGGCACTAGTCATCTCATCAAGACCACCTCCGATAGTCGTATGGATGACAGAGACACCAAAGATTCCTAGAGCGGTACTGATCCAGAACGTTGGTATGGATATTCCTACGTGTGGAGCGACGACGTTCACGACCCAATGAGGAGGAAGAGGAGCAATGCGCAACACGATGAGAAAGGAGATTAGGTTCTCTTTATTCCGCTGGACCCTGGCGGCCGTGCTTTCTAGATGTTTCTTGATACGGGGAATGGTAAGGAGCGCAGGCCCCAGGGCGGATGATATAAGGTAGCAAAGGGTTGCTCCTGAAGCGACACAGCAGCATGCTAGAGGAAGTGCGCGCGCTACACCCCACACTGCGCCACCAAGTATTGAAAGATACATGGAACCGGGAAGGGAAAAAGCTTGCAAGCTAGGAGGGCTATTAGCCGAGGTATAGAAGAGGAGGAGAAACATACAATAAGTAAACGGTGATATAACATATCACTATTCTGTAGGGATAGATGTCCCGGTATTTTTTCAAAAGGCCATTGAGATCCTGAAGTTGTTCGAAGGATTTTGGTATGCGCAACATAGGTCTGTCCTTCCTGCAAAATAAAATGCCTAAGAACATTCATTCACAAGTTGACTACACTCTTACTCACTCTTCCAGAGTTGGCAGTGCAAGCCACAGTGTGATTCCCAAAATTGCCGTACTGACCACAAATATAGCAGCCATCTTCAACGTTGCATTCAGAATAAGCTTCCGCGATGATCTGGATGTCCCAGGCGACCGAGGCATAGTGGAACCATACGAAGGTGTTGAGGGAGTGAGAAGTGGAGCATGGGGAGAGTTCTCCTCATCATGGCGTTCGTTGACCGTAGCTAAAGTGTATACTGAAGAATTGGCCGTACGATTGAGATTCAATGGAGAAGGAGTCATGATTGGCGAGGCTTGCAGCTTGAAATTTGAGAATTTAGTTTGGACAATGGACAGCCGCCTTTAGAAATAATGCTTTAGAGGAAATTGCCGGGAAATCGCTGATGTAATCATTGCCTCTGATCTCCGACCTTGACGTACTTCGCAAAATATCCATGTCCCTACCTGAACTGCCCCCTTGCCCTCCTCCAAGATTGACTTCAAGCTCTCCCCCCACCACCCAACCTCACGCTGTGGTCACCTTCTCAAGCACAAACAGCAAGAGTTTATTACCTCAAAACTCCCACATGCAGCTGCAGGTAGTGCTACCTTCTGGCGCTACTACAACACTGCCGTTACGCCACTAGTCCCTGGAGATTGAGAGTAGAGAAGGAGAGAGCCAGGAGCAGCCAAGTCGGAATGGTGGTGTCAAGTCCATGCCTCGGGCCTCCATTTCGCCGCTCGGTACTCCGAAGATCCACTCCTTATTGTAATCTCTTCTTATTGTTCTTTCTCGCTACACATACCCTTTCGTTCTAGTCCCTCCTTATTGTCTTTTACTTTACCCTGCAGGTACTACTCGTATAGCTCCTAGTAGTTAGTCTGGCGTTCCGCACAGATGCGCCGTTCCATAGATATAAATACTGCCTGTATGCTACTGTAGTTCCTCAGTTTAATTATCAACTTAGATCAACTTAGCTCTTCTCTAAGTCTTCAGGCTCAACGCCTTGAAGCACGTTCTACTCGACCTTAGGACTTGAACGTCCTCTGGCCCGCTCCTTGTCATCGGCGATACCGCCGCTCCGACTTGGCTGCTACTTAGCTCCTCCCTCTATACTCTCGATTTCCGGGGACTAACGGCGTAACGGCAGTGTTGTTAATAACTTCACTACTGTCCCACTCGTCTTCCACACTTAGACACCTTGTGGCTTTGGCACGGTTACACGGTGTACATGATCTTAACAGTATAATTAAACTCAATCCGTTAACGTCGTACTGACCTATCATTTTTTATGCCTCCGAAAACTCGAGCTCAATCCAGAGCTAACTCCGAAGAAAACACTTTCTTCACCACAGCCCAATCTTTCGCCCCATTCTCCGAATCTATTTCTGCCATCGGTCAACCACATCGCCGTAATCGCGGTTTCGGTCCAGCCACTGTCCCTACTACGTCGACTCTTCCTGAAGCCATGGAAGAAGAACAACAATTTGAGTACAGCACCTTGTACACTGGTGACGGACAACCTGTCCAAGTTCTGACCCCTCGCCGTGGTCGCTCCGGCTCGGGGCCGTTCAACTACTTGGATTGATTCTCCAATTCTCCAAGCCATAGCCCGCCGTACGGGGAAACAACCCCAACGTAGAGCTGCATCTGAATCTCCTCGTGACCCACCTCCTCATTTCGATTTGGATACTGGTGATCACGATGATCAAGACCCTCCTGTCGACCCCGACGATGCGGGCGCCGACAACAATCATGACGACCTGGATGACGATTCCGGCGGTTTACCGCGTGGTGGACCTGGTGACCCCGGCGGTCCTGGTGGACCCCGTCCTCCTATCTCTCCTGACATCCCCAATGAGCAACATGCTATGTTGGAACTCCTCTTGGGGTTCAAGGGCTCCATTGAGACCCTTGGTACCGTTCTCGCCGCTCTTGGCCGTCCCTCTGACAGCTCTGAATCTAAGAGCAACGTCAAGGAGCCAGAGGTATTCGACAGTTCGGACCCCCGAAAACTCAAGACGTTCTTCGTCAATCTCGCCCTGGTCTTCAATGACCGTCCAAAGTATTTCACCGACCAACGGAAGGTGAACTACACCCTTTCCTATCTCAGTGGGTCAGCCAAAGAATGGTTTGTCCCTGATATCCTTGATCCGGATCTCGACTCGCTGCCGGCCTGGACGTCGTCCTTCAAGGCCCTTGTAAAGGAGCTACAGGACAATTTTGGCGTTTACAATGCCCAAGGCGAGGCCGAAGATTCTCTCGGTAATCTGAAGATGAAGGAAACCGAGAACATCCGGAAATACAATATCCGGTTCAACACCCTGGCTGCTAGTACCAACTGGGATTCTGCTGCCCTGAAATGGGCTTATGGACGAGGCCTAGCTGAACACATCAAGGACGAAATGGCGTGTTTGCCCGAACCGGCGACGCTTGCCGATTATTGTCAAGAGGTTCTTCGTATTGACAACCATTATTGGAAACGCGAGGAAACTAGAAAGCGTGAGGCGGGTAAGCCTTTTGTTGCTCAGAACCCGAAGAAGGGTTCCTTGGACTTTAAGACTGGTTCTACGAACCAGCAAAACAACTCTCAGCCATCTGGCTCTTCGGCGCCGTTCACGCCGAAGCCTAAACCCTTCTCTGGTGGTAAGCCTAACAACAATGGTAAGCCCCAGAACTCTTCGAATTCTGGCCAATCCGGCGGTCAGCGCCCTGCGTTCAACCATCTTGGTGCAGATGGGACAGTCCTTTCCTCCGAGAAGGAAAGAAGGATGAAGAACAACCTTTGTCTCTTCTGCGGTGGTAAGCATCAGATTGCTGACTGCAATAAGCGAAAGGCCCGAGAATCAAAGGGCCGTGCTGCCGAGGTTGAAGAAACCCCCGAAGCAACCATTGAGGTTGTTGAAGAGGGATTGGAAAACTAGTCCGCAGCTCTTGTTCCCCGGTACAAAACGGGAGCTGCGTTGATCAGGTTCGTACCTCACCTGGGGAGTTATATCTCAACGCGTCCGCTTTTTCTTCCATTGAACGATCTCTTGTAATATCATTAACTACTGAATTTCCGTTATCTGATTCGGCCGAACCCATCTCTGCTCTTCTTAAATTTCCTACTCTTGTTGATTCTAGTTCTACTGACTCTTTCATTGATACTCGTTATGTTTCTCAAAATTCCATTCCTACGACCAAAATTTCTCCTGTTAATCTTCGTCTCTTTGATGGTTCATTATCTTCTAAACCCATTACCGATATGGCGAATATCGCCGTTTGGTTTCCTTCTGGCGAGCTGCTTCTATTACCCTTTTATGTTACTCATTTAGATTCATCCTGTAAAGCAGTATTAGGTTACAGTTTCTTATCCCGCTACAATCCGTTGATTGACTGGGCATCTTGAAACATTACGTTCCGTAACACTTCACACTTTGATTCTCCACAGACGTCTGTGCCTTCTGCTAACAACCCCGTTGTTGCAAAGGTTGCTGTTCCACTACCGGAACTTTTGCCGTCGGTTTCACCGACAATTCTGGAGACCCCTCCTGGGGACTCACTTCGCTCTCGCCCTCGCTCCCGCTCTCGGACGTTACGGGCCAAGCCCCTTTCGTCTAAATTCCCTTTTGAACCCATCTATGCCTACCCTACGGTCTCTCAATTCGCTGCTCAACTGGAAACTCCCGAGGTCGACATTGCACTTGTCAGTGCTGCAGTCTTTAATAGGGCTTGCAAGGACGCTGGTATGGAACCCATCCTTCTTCATGCTATCCACTCTGAGGTCGCAGCCCGCGCCGCTGACTGCTCCTCCACCACTCCTACTGTCCCTCCACTCCATCATTCTATCCCAGAAGAGTATGCCGAGTTTGCAGACGTCTTCGACGAGATTGCTGCAGATTCATTACCTGAACACAGACCCTACGACCTGAAGATTGACTTGGAAGAGGGCGCTTCGCCGCCTCTCGGCCGTATTTATCCTTTGTCTGAAAAGGAGTTAGTCGCCCTTAAAGACTTTATTGACAAACAGCTGGCTACTGGTGCCATCACCCCATCATCCTCTCCTCACGGCGCTCTGGTCCTTTTTGTCCCGAAGAAAGACAGCAAACTTCGTCTTTGCGTTGATTTCCGTGGACTCAATCGTATCACCAAGAAGGACCGCTATCCCCTGCCGCTGATCTCGGACCTCCTCGATGCTCCGAAACGAGCTAAAATCTACACCAAATTGGACCTCGCTCACGCTTATCATCTAGTCAGAATAGCAGAAGGTGACGAATGGAAAACCACCTTTCGGACCCGCTACGGCTCTTACGAATGGAAGGTTATGCCGTTTGGCCTTACAAACGCACCTGCTGCTTTCCAACGGTTTGTTAATGACATCTTCTCTGACATGCTCGATGTTTGTGTCATCGTCTATCTTGATGATATTCTGATCTACTCTGATATGCCAGAAGAACACCGAGAACACGTCAAGGAGGTTCTTCGGCGGTTACGGAAACATCGGCTTTACGCCAACCCCGAGAAGTGCGAATTCAATATGGATACTGTTGAGTATTTGGGTTATATTCTTTCTCCTGACGGATTGACTATGTCCAAGGAGAAAGTTCAGACAGTTCTAGAGTGGCCAGTTCCGAGGAAGGTTAAGGACATTCAGTCCTTCCTGGGTTTTGCAAATTTCTATCGTCGTTTTATTTATAATTACAGTGATATCGTTGTGCCGATGACTTGGCTTACCCGAAAAGGCGCTTCCTGGATCTGGGACAGCAGCTGTCAAGAGGCCTTCGAAAATCTCAAGACTGCTTTCACTTCTGCGCCGATACTGGCCCATTGGGAGCCGAATCGCCCACTTATCGTGGAGACCGATGCTTCCGACTACGCCATTGCGGCTATTCTTTCCATCCAATATGCTGACGGTGAAATTCATCCTCTAGCCTTCCTTTCCAGAACGCTTCACGCGGCGGAACTTAACTACAATACCCACGACAAAGAGCTACTGGCCATCTTCGAGGCCTTTAAAGCTTGGCGTCATTATCTGGAAGGCTCGGGTGATCCGGTGGACGTCGTCACCGATCACAAGAATCTTGAGTATTTTTCTACTACCAAGGTTCTCACACGCCGACAGGTTCAATGGTCTGAATTTTTACATCAATTTAATATGGTCATTCACTTCTGACCGGGGAAACTCGGCGAGAAACCTGATTCGATAACTAGACGCTGGGACGTCTACCCTAAAGAGGGGGATATCAGCTACGCCCAAGTGAACCCTCATAACTTTCGTCCTATCTTTACTAACGAACAACTCACTGCGTCTCTTTGAGCT